CCGTTGACGCGACGACTTGTGCCTTGTTGTTGTGGGTATACACACAGCAAATGGGATGCTGGGGAGTAACGGGATCCGGAATAGAGAGCACGAGGTAATGTCGAGGTATGAGTGTGTCACAGGGCAACTCGACGGTATGCACCCTTCGGATAGCGAGCTACAAGGTCCCGTGGGAGCTTCTGCATAGACGTTTGGGGCGATGTAGTTATGCAGATGATGTGCATAATGTGGCAAAAATCTGACGGACATGGCAGTTATACATAGCCACTGCAAGCCAAGTGTCTGGGGAGCAGCAGATCCTCCAATGGCGGAAACACAGCCCTGGATGTGGAAACAAGGAGATGCCACTCCAGGCACAACTCCCCATTTCTTTCCCTGGATACCGAGAATATTAACAGCCATGGACGCTCAGTCGAGTCCGCCAGCATGGTCTGTCACTCCGGGCTAGCGGACAGGTCTCACTTATTGTCCTGACCTAGCCATGAGTCCCTGGAGCAGATAAAAGCACCAGATAGTCTGACGTTGCACTAGCGGGGATAACCCACTCCGGACACCAACTCCTTCGCCTACGGGCACGATTGTCAAGCAGAAGCTTATCCCGGCTGGCAGGCGTTGGGCTAATAGGTTATTGAAGATGACATATCCCCTCGGACTTTTGATTGGCGCGGACTAGCTCCGTTCGGAGAATTCTTGATACTTTGGCAAGACATTCCGGTGTGTGATATCACACGGTCATGTCCACTTACAGCTTCATTAGATCAGGACCCTGCTGGATGTGATCTGGGGTTACACATGGCAAGCCCCAGGCTCCACTATGGTCCCCGAGGAAGATCTGTATGGCCGGGGATTCAGAAGACTTTGTGGTTGACTGCATTTGTCTGCCAGTTACGGTTTTGGCTGGTGGAGAGTTAGAGATCGAGGCCCTGACGTCGGTGGAGCTGGAGATCCGGGTATCGTATGGAAATACTAGATGATCGATACAAGAATGGCATGACGGTTTGTATACGTTTTAATGACATCTTGATGAGACTATCGACGGAGCGAGGTAGTCATACTTTATCTCGTGGAAGTAACGCGTGATCTGATCCCCTGAACAAGACAACATGATATCTGTTGCTACCCAAAGCGGTCAAGATCACCCATGAAGCCCATGAACACCGGGTAGTTGTCTCTCAGCCTCGTTTTCGGGGGCTGATATGACAGCTCGAAAGTGACCATCTCAAAAACAAAACATGGACTCGAGCCGTCCTGCCGAGAACTCTAGAAGAAAGACCCTGAGACTTGAAAAGCAAAAATATCCATTTCCCTGCCGTTTATGAAAACTGGATCTCTTCTCGTCGCCTCCGGCAGGCAACCGAAACACTGTAGAGTAATTCCATCACTGACGACATTTTGAAAAATCCAAGACATTTCATCACCAACACAAGCCATTCGCCACCACGAGTCATAGTGATAAACAAGCCGTATCCTCCAGCTAAGGTGTTTCAAGAATGCTTTCGGCGCATCACCAGCAACCAAGAGCGTCAAGAAGCCACAATCTCATTCATCTCTGTGCAACGAGGCTTTTCGGGTTGCCTCTTACCCGGCTGCGTTGCCTTGTTTCATGAATCACTGGCTGTAGCCAGGTCTTCGCTTAATACCATGGTCGAGACCGCATCTGACACCCAGAGCCAAGACAACTCCGCCTCGACCTCTTTTGAATTCCGAGACTGCCGGATCGGCGTAATTCTTGCCGTATTCACAGCCTACTTTCTCAAAAAGAGACAGATACGAGGTCGCCTTGTCTCACCACGCAGCTGCTCAAGGTTCCGCAGCAATGGCCGTTGGTAGGGCCTTTGTCAAATGGTTGAAGCTATCCTTGAGTGGTATAGCGTATTCAGAGCTGTATATACGTGATTTCAAGGCTTGTCAAGGAATGCTTGCGTACGATTATTGGTTACACAAAGTAGTCATGCTGAACATACAAGCAGGCAGGAATTGTCAAGAACTATGACGGAGACCGCCATGATGATTTCCCGCATGTTTTTATCTCCAAATTGGCCATCATTCATACCTGAACAGCAGGTCTGACTAAGATTCAGTGATCATGAGGCGATTCAGGTACTTAACCTCGTATTTGAACATCAATCAAGCCACTTGTCCCTTGTACCTGCATATGTCAGGGCACTCCCGCATCGGTGCTTTGAAGCCAGGCCAGATCGAGGCTGTCTCAGCCGCAGCGGAAAGACAGCTCGTTTGCACGGCGAAAACAGAGTTGACTAGACCTCGGCAATAAGCCCGTCTTCATGACCGATCCACGAGGCGGCTCTCTCGGTTCAAGGAGCCAATGGATAAGCAAACGTGAAAAGAAAAGTTGGCCAAGGCGCGGTGGAATCTCACGCCATCCGCGCCACGACGCGAAATCGATCAAGGCGGCCGACAGGGCCTGAGATAGAGTTCTGCCACACGCTTGGCTTTATGTGCGGGTGAAGAGGAATCGGGAACGGGAAAGAAGGTTTAGGCTAGGGCCTTGTCCCTGAGACAAGCTATTGATACGCATGTGCCTGAGTGGTCAAGCAAGTGAAGGGCTCAACTCAATCTTGAGGACGTCAGCCCTCATGCTCTCTGGTTGGCACCGATGTGTTTTAATTCCCCCAGTCCAGGTTTGAGGGCAAGTACTGGCGCCCGATGTCAGCATCGTGTCGGTGGTGGCCTTCCAATAGCCGGTGGTAGTCCCATGATAGAATTACAAATGATGTCAGCGTTTCCAGTGACCGAGCTCCCGAAGAAACAGTCACAGAAGGAATGCTTGTATGCCATTTTGGAAATTGTAGCCCTTGGCAATCGAATGGGAGAATCTGTATTGGAAGGGGTCAAGAACGGCATTTGATCCGTGATGGTGTAGGGTAGTTGGATATTCCGAACTGATCAACGAAGGTAGGGAAAACAGCTGTTTGTCACTGGAAATTCAGTTAAATAGGGAGTTAGGTCCAGGAGTTTTACATGATATCTCATATGCAGTGAGGGGTATCTCGGAATGACTACTTAGAAACGGGAATCCAACCTTGAATGAGGGTGGTATTGTTAATGACAACGGAAGCTTTCAGGACACTTCAAACTGAGAGGTCCTTAAAACTGCGAATCTTGTGGGCATGATAACTTTGACTCAGCCGTTTATAGTAATGATGAGATAAGATTATTAATGACCCATACTTCAAGTCACAATATCACATTTGATATCGTCGTGAGGTCGAGGCATCACCACAGCTCAGGCGCTTGATGTCCAACTGCGACACTTTCTCTCAACCAATCAGAGCCACGCCCGGTTAGCTCAATCGGTAGAGCGTGAGACTCTTAGATACCCTCTGGGTGATGAGTACGCGATCTCAAGGTTGCGGGTTCGACCCCCGCATCGGGCTTTTCCTATACAATGATTGAGAACTTTGCTCTGGTTTCTTTTTGCTTGTCCATTTTTTTAAAACTTTTTTTCTAACCGCGAAGGGAGGTTCTTGTTTATTTTTCGTTGGTCCGTACTATCACCTGCTCTTCACTTTAAGAGCACCTCTTAGCAAGCAGCGAAGCACCTCTTCGGCCTTCTCTCTGCTCGAAGTTCTCGGATCTCGTTATTACTCTGCCCTGGAAACATTCATTAGACTTAATAAAGGACCGACTACGCCAAGAAGCGGCTGCCCTAACTCCTCGTTGCGCCCCCATAACCCCCATAAAGCAGAACCATGCCTTGTATCTGATTCACGCCCCCAGCCTAACAGCATCCTCCGAGACCTTGGGAACCAGCAAGGTCGGACCGAAATCCTGCTCCAAACCTGTATCGATGTTCACGCCAAGCCGTTTCTTGTCCACTTCCTCCCCCAAAGCCAACTGATACGAACGATGTTCTTGTAAAACTGCTGTTAGCGAGAATTCCTTAACCGTTCGATGGACTCATACCGCAAACACTGAATCTTGGACCCTGCACCAAGAAAGCGACGAGGCCACGATGAGTAACGAGGAAAATGTTCTTGTATTTGCCAGATGAAGCAAGGGCACTCAGACGCCGCCGAATTCTTTCAGCTCGAGCTGTCGCCCTTTCAGGACTGTGCGCTGAGTAGTCCCATTGCCTGCGACATGCCGAAAAGTCGAGATGAGGAAACTTGGCGGCGAGCTCTTCTCGTGATATTCCTTTGTTGCAGATTGCGTCGTGCGCTTCACGCAGCTCAGGCCAAACTTGAACCTCGACCTTCTTACCCCCAGAAGAGTCGTTGAAGAGGTGACCAAACACGATATTCATAGTCTGAATGGTTCTAGTCATGGGAGAGACCAGGATGAGGTCGGGCTTCACGGTCAAGGCTCGTCGCACCGCTTTAGCCTGTTCGCATCCAACCTCTGTCAAAGGAGGATCTCGGTACGGGTAGCCTCTCTGGACACTGTATCAATCAGCTCTCACGCTTGGTTATAGCTGAAAACTGCAACATACTTGTGACGGCCCTGCCCATGGCGCAGGATGTGAATCGTCGCCATCGCCTTGGTCGTGATGGTCTAGGCAGAAATGAACGCGGCGGCGGCCGAAGGTGTGCAACCTTTGTCTGACGCTCTCCAAGAACTGACACGTGACGGCGCCGCTTCTGTACTACATATAAACCTTCCAGGTTAGTCAGAAATGGCGCCTTCTTGAGATGGAATTCGCGATTAAAATGCAGCGCATAATTCAACATCAATTTCGAGGGTCATCTGAATCAGTAACATTGGCAGAAACCCTTCACCAAAATGACCTTGGCCCCTGCATTGCAGATCCTGGCAACGCAGAATACTTCCCAAGACTATCTTGAACCCAATCTTAGACCGAAAACGTCAATACTATTTGAACCAATGTTGCGATGCTCCTCCTGGTCTAAAGACTCAAGAATAGGCAAAGCTAATAAGAATGAGATAGAGAAAAGTAGACTGTGCGTTGGAGTTGGCTAGCAAGGCGCTATCTCCTTGAGGTGCATGGACCGCTCGACAATAATCTCAAAAGCTTGTGCTTAGCTCGAGTTCGAGTTGTCCGCACAAGACCAAGCAGCAGATCCTCCTTTGACATGATACGAGTCAATGATGCCCTGAATCGCGCCGTACGTGCCTGCGATCATGAGAAAGGTGCCTGAGACAATAACAAACACACTCCAGCCCACCATGAGACACCATCGAATAGTAGGGTTCTGCTTGCCCTTACTCCAATTATCATAGAGCCACATGCAACCCATCGGCTGGAACGAAAGTAGGGTACCGAAGAGGGCACCAGCCAGAGACACCATGCCACCAAAAACGGGGATGGCGCTGGCAAGAATATAGGCGATGAGACTAATGCCTACAGTACAGCCGAGCCATGAAGCCCAGTGAATGGCTGAGTTGGATGCAAGGTGCTTGGTGCCTCGAAGCGTGCGAACAAAGATGTACTTCGACGAGACCTGGTACGATCTGATAGTTAGCCAACAGCTCGACAGGAGAGTTTCACTTCACTCGATGCATGACTTACGTGTGTAAGAAGACCACCGCTAACAAGCAGACCGGGTAAAGCGATACCGTAAGCGACCTTCTTGATAACCGGCCCTGCGGAACCAAGGGCTGGAGAGGCGATGTACGATCCGCAATAGTAGTACACAACAACAGCCACCACCACATAAACAATGGTGACACCACATAAACAATGGTGACGAGAGTCTGGCAGACCATCAAGGCACGTGTGTACTTCCGTGGATCCTTCATCTCGGCGATGATGGGGAAAAAAGCACCGGTGCCGGCGTAGGCGAAGACTATAGCTGCAATAGCCGACACGGCTTCCAAAAAGGTGGGATCGCCGATGAGCTTATAATCTGACTCCCACACAACGTCGGTTGGGGCATCAGGGGGCTGACCCTGAACACTGACGCTGATGGTGACGATCAAAACTACGGGAAATATGAGAAAAGGATGATAATCGGGGATTCAGGATTCAAGACCTACCGCCAGTGATGATACTAAAAACACCAGTGATGGCGACCCATGTAATATTGCCAAGCGTACGGAGGCTGGCGCAAGCGAGGACGAGGACAAAGGCGACGGCGACAAAGACGGCCGTGCAGGCACCATGATTCGACAAGGCATTGAATCCGATGGAAAGACTGAGCATGGCCGAACCGGCAGTCATGACATATTCTGCATCATTGTCATCAACGAAACGTTCATGAAGGCACTCAAGAAGGGGGACATACGGCCCATGAAAGCGGCTGCGAAAAGCTCCTTGCCGATACGACCGAACATGAGTTGTCCAACATCATCGACACCGTATACGTCAGGATGATTCCGCTTAAACACGCCAACCATGTAGTCGGACCAGGTGGTAATGCCGGCAATGACACAGAGGATGATCACTCCGGGAATCAAACCCAACGTGTCGAGCACCGAAGGGAGAGACAAGACACCCAGACCGATCTGCGTCTTCATCATCAAACCAACTGTGCCTATCCAACCGACCTGTTCTTTGTCAGACAACCAATAACACAGTCATAGAATGTGCGCACATTTCGGTAATTTGGGCCCTCATCAGTGATTTCGCCAAACACCGCATCGTGTTGGACGTTGTTGCTTACGTTGCCAAATTCATGGTCAACGGGCATCGAGGGTTTCTCCTTGGTTGCATTTATCTCGTCTGGAACAAACGTCATGATGGCTGGTTTCTAAGTGTGGTGATGTGGAATGAAAGGGACTGAGGGGAGAAGAAGGCAAGACATCTTATACTTTTATACTACTCTGCTTAGATCATACGCACCCTCGTAGCTTTATCTAGAATGGAGAAGCCTTCCCCGTTAGTTGATGGCGAGACATACCCTCTGGCCGCCGCTTATCGCTTATACACGATCGTCATGACCACTTCTCCGCAAGACAAGAGTTAACCCACTGGCCCCATCAAACAAACGATAAGAGGTCCAGTATCACCCGATGTTAAGCGTAATCGATTACTGATAGGGGTCTGAGAAAGGGATATAACCAAAAGGAGGTGGCTGATTTGTCATTGAGGTGGTTCGTTCCGGGACTTTATCACGGATTGAGTCGGCATTAATCAAAACAACAGGGATTTCTTCCCCGGATTTCCCGTAATTCTTACTCTTACACCATGCTGGGGCCAACAGATGGACCACGCCATGTTCGGGGCACGATAAGGAGTGACGGAATTGCCTGCTTATTTAGGCTCACGTGGATGGTTGGGGATAGTTGGTCCGCTAGGGGCGGAACTACCTTGCGGATTCGAATGCCAGGGTTAAGCAATACGGAATTTACAACCCAAATATCTCTCTATTAACCACAAGAAGGCTTGTTTCACACTTTGAGTATGTGACTACCACTTACGGCCTTCCATTGAACCGGGACACGGCTCCGATGCGTCTGATCAGCCCCTAATGAGCTTGCACAGAATCTTCTCTCCTTGGAAAGTGAGTAATAACCATCTCAACATCAACTCGGGTAGAGCATCCGGGCGTACATGCACTACTGTCGTATGGTATCGCAAGAGGCCCCTTGGTGATCTACCTATTTCAATACCATCACTGCTGTGTTCTTCTTCTCAGCCTCCCATCACAACACACAGACTTGCCACTCGTGCTTCCTTCGTTTCCCATACCATCCAACGGTCATGCGATCAGAAACCGTCCCTCTCCGCCGTCTACAAGCTTTTTTGGACGAAAGCACCGTTCGGCCACACGTCGGCCGCTTCCTGGTGCCTGGAACAGCTGATGCAGATGTCGTCTTCTCCGATACGCCCATCAGCTTTATGATGGGTGTCAACGCCGAGACGGGTGTTGTAATGGACGAGCATCATCACCTCCGTGGAGTGTCTCTACAGGGAAAGGCATTTGCGTTGCGCAAGGGGCGCGGATCTTGTGCCTCGAGCGCAGTGATTCTAGAGCTGCTTTACATAGGAAAGGCCCCGAGTGCGCTGATATTTCGCGAGATGGATCCTATACTTCTTTTAGGTATCTTGCTAGCGGGAGCTCTCTACTCCAAATCCATCCCCGTCGTTCAGATCGATGACGATGTTGCATGGGAAAAACTATCCAAGGCTAAGTCTTGCAAAATCACATCCAAGGGTCTGATGATCGGCGATGAGCTGATGTCACTCGATCGGCCATACTCTCAGAGTGTCAAGACGAGTCCCGAGGATGATTGCATGCTACGGGGCGAGGGCTACGACCTAGCCACACAGATGGCTATGGAGTTGATAGTTGAGTTTGCGTCAATCCAGGGCGCAAAGGATCTAACCAACGTCTCCCAAGTCCATATCGATGCCTGTTGTCACGTGGGCCAGACCAGCCTCCTAGTTCCGCAGCGCCTTCTCGAGCTCGGAGGCCATGTCCGCGTGCCAGCCACCTGCAACTCCCTCGACGTCGACCGACAAAGATGGAGGGCCCTAGGCACCGACCCCGACATCTCCCAGTTTGCTTCCAAGATTGGCGATGCGTACCTGGCCATGGGCGCCACCATGAGCTTCACCTGCGCCCCGTATCTACTCGACAGCAAGCCGCAGCAGGGCGACCAGATCGCTTGGGGAGAATCCAACGCCGTCGCATTCGCCAATAGCGTGCTCGGTGCTCGCACGCAGAAATATCCCGACTACCTCGACGTTTTGATCGCCCTCACAGGACGGGCTCCAGTCATGGGTTGCCACCTAGACGAGGGCCGCCGACCCACCATGTCCTTTCACATTAACACGGATGAGCTCTCTGGCTTCGACGATTCGCTATTTCCTCTTCTCGGCTACCACATAGGATCTTTGGTGGGCGGAGACATCCCCATCATCTCTGGCCTCGAGAGCAGCAATCCTGGTGTCCCAGACTTGAAGGCATTCAGTGCCGGGTTCGCTACAACGTCGTCAGCGGCCATGTTTCATATCCGAGGCGTGACACCAGAGGCAGAGACAGTGGTTGTACCAAAGGGAATTCCTAAGATGACTATAAGAAGGAGAGAGCTGGCCAAGACTTGGCTACAGCTCCAATCAGCCAAAAACGACACCATCGACATCATCGCATTAGGAAACCCCCATTTCGCACTCGAAGAGTTCCCTCGCTTGATCCATCTCATCAAGAACAAGACCAAATCTCCCAACGTGGCCGTGGTCATCACCACAAGCCGCTTCGTCTACGAAAAGGCCGAGGAGGCCGGTTACCTAGACGTGGTGGTCAAGTTCGGGGCGCAATTCATCACCGACACGTGTTGGTGTATGCTGAAAGAGCCCATCATCCCTCCCAACGCGCAGAACATCATGACCATCTCGGCTAAGTACGCTCATTATGGGCCGGGAGTGTCGGGAAGGGGTGTCGCTTTTGGCAGCTTGGCTGATGCGGTAGAGGCTGCTTGCTCTGGGACGCGTCCAGTCGCTCCTGCGTGGCTATTTGGGCTGTGAGAGGCAGATGCTTAGATAGAAACGAACAAAGATAGTATTATTGCAGGACTGGCCACTGGCCTCTGTCTCGACCCACGCATGGCCATGCCGGTGAGCCGCTTCCCGATGCAACACGTCTCTTCCAGACCTCCATCATTCATTGGCACAGAATAGTCTCGAGTGCAACCTTAGCTCCTGCATCGTAGATCCGATCAACCCACAGAACACTTTCTAAGACACTCTTCGCCTGAGTCCAGTCTACAACGCCAAGTATCGACGCTGTCTTTGCAAGGGCTGTACGATGCCATTCTTGGTCGAACGACTCAAAGATGGACAACCCTGAGATGAACAAGGCCCAAAATACAAACTGCGCATGCTCCGGAGGTGGAGGATACTGCTGGGCCTGTAGCGAGAGACTAAACCTCTCCGACAGGTATCGCATATTTCTGCCGATACCAGGTATTTGAAAGAGAAGACCCTTGATGTACGCTAGCATTGACAGCCTCATGAGTTCTGCTAGTGACGTGCTGTCATACTCGAGGTGCAGTAAACGATTCGGAACAGAAGTGCTTAACGTTAGGAAGAGGTCTGGCTTTATCTCGAGCCCAGATTGGACGCGATTCGCTATTTTGGAGTAGCACTTCAAATCAGCCCAGATAGTGAGCAGTTTTGGATCAAGTGGTGGATGAATCTCCTCGAGTTCCTTGTACCATGCCGTACACCCTGAAGGGGCGATTTGCGGGTCCCAGGAGATTTCTTTGGGGAACAACCGCGGCTCACGGTTGGTTCCCATGGCGAGGGCGAGGTCTAGTCTGCCATAAGTTAGTTTGGAAGAACAAAGAGTTGATCAGGCATGGCTTGCCGTTGGGCCTTGTGTTGTACAAGGCTTCCGCGTTGAAGAGACTCCACTCCTCCTCGCAGCTCGAATATCCGGTACAGCCCATTCATGTGCTTCTCGACAGTCTGTAAATCTCCAAACACAGCAGCGGCTGACGCTAGCATTGCCACGATCGCGATGGTGGGCATGGCTACTGCGCCATGTCTGTCATTGAGGCTTTGCTGCAGATGACAAAGAGTCTTCCCAAGGTGAAACTGCGCAATTTTGCCACAGTGTTTCCCCAGAGAAAGGTCCTGAAATGCTTGGGCAGTGAACAGTATTGAATGAATTGTGGCTCGATGGGTGTGGATGTCAGACAGGTCAAAGACCTGAGTTTCAGTCTCGTTGACGAGCTTCATGTCGACAGCATAGATACAGGGTTTTGCAGTGGTAAAAGCTGTCTAGTGTTAGAGCTTTTTCATGTAGGTAATGTGAGGAAAGGGGAGTTTTTGCCTTGATGCATGAGATCTAGCATGTAAGGCTTCATCTCAAACCCATATCGGTCCAAGGCAAGCTCTGATGCAATCTTTCGGGGGATATGGATCCGATCTTGGTCTGGAACCGCCCGTCGGCAGCGCCCGCTATCAGAAGCCTCAGCGGGTTCTAGCTGAGACTGGGATTCTGCCCTCGCACGTCTATCGGCGCGCGTATTTCTTCCACGCATCACATGGCTCCTAATGTGTCTGCGCGTACGTGGATCCGGCTTGTCGAGAGAAGTGCTGATGATCCACGGACCGGGGTTTGGGACTGGAACAAGGGTCAGCTTCGCTGCTTCTGAGGGTTTGATACCGACCTGCTTGTGCTTCAAGCTTGGTATTACCAAGCATTTTGCATGGAACGAGTCTCCGGGGATGTTAGATTTGCCGTCTTACTGTTTTCCAAAAAGAGTTTACTCCAACGTCCTGGCGTCACTGGTTTTATAGCGACAGCACCAGCGTCAGCTCTGATCCGCGCCAAGACCGTACTGATTACTATGATAGGAAATGATCGTCGCTTGCCACATGCAACCCGGAAATTTTGGACACAAATAAGCAGCTGGGCTTCTGCAATAATTGGTGCGCTACTTGATGATCAATCTTGTCAACCGCTCTCCGGCTTTATACCCTGTTGTCTGTCTGTCCGCGCTGCCGCTGATCCAGCACAAAAATGGCAAATTGTAAGAAGCTGAAATCGAGGCCATGGTGAACTTGGACTGCAAGACCAGATTACAAACATGAAGGTTTTAAAACGAAAGAGAGCCCAGGTGAGGCGACTACTCTAGCATTATAAGAACGAGTTGCTCCTCGACTGCAATGTTTGTTCGCTGCCTCCCTAGTGTATCTATCAAGTCAACTCTCGTTTCTCTAGCCCTGTCACAATGATTTTCACTAGTAGCTCCATATCATTCAGCCCGGAAAAGGACATCCCATCACTCAACGGAAAAGTCATCCTAATTACAGGAGGCAACACTGGCCTTGGGAAGCAAGCCGTTGTCGAATTTGCTCGTCACAAACCTCTCCAGATCTGGCTCGCTGCCCGCAACCTCCAGAAAGCTGAAGCTGCGGTCGCCGAGATCAAGCAGCAAGTTCCAGATGCCCCAATCAAGCTCCTAGAGCTAGATCTTGCCAGTTTCGACTCTATCCGCCAGGCGGCACGTTCCTTTCTCGAGGAATCAGAGCGCCTTGATATACTCATGCTCAATGCTGGCATCATGGCAGTTCCGCCTGCACTCACCAAGGACGGCTATGAGATTCAGTTCGGCACCAACCACATGGGGCACGCATACCTTACGAAGCTCCTACTGCCAGTCTTGGAGAAGACGTCTCAAGCAGAGACAGAGGCGAAGCCCCGAGTTGTCTGTCTCGCGTCTCATGGTCATGTCTACCTATGCAAGGGTGGCTTCGACTTTAGCACGCTTCGCACGACGGGCGAGTCCACGGGACCACTTCAATGCTACTACCAGAGCAAACTGGCAAATATGCTCTGGGTTCGACAACTTGCCAAGCGATACCCTCAACTCACCGTGTCTGCCATCGACCCTGGCCTTGTGCAGACCGAACTGGCGGTAAAGGCAACAGGCATCAACTGGGTCCTCAGGACGATCATCAAGACGATGCTATTGACGCCTGTTGAGAAGGGAGTCAAGAACCAACTCTGGGCGTCAGTTTCAAAGGGTGTGAAGAGTGGGGAGTACTATGAGCCCATTGGAAGAGAAGGTCTAGCAACTGATGATGGAAAGGATGATGAACTGGCTGCAAAGCTTTGGGCCTGGACTGAGAATGAGCTGGATAATCTGGGGATTTAAACTAGATATCTCTGTACTTGGCTTGATATTGCGAATACTGCTGGTCTTCTAGCTCAGTTATGATGAAAGGTTATGTCACCCCTCAAAGGGTATTGAACCGCCCGAACTGTTTGTACGAGAACCATTCCTTTACATCTTCAAAGGACTGCAGTTTCAACACAATTCCAAGAGTAATAATAAATCAGTCACGCTCGTAGGACGCTGTCGCTGCCGCTGAGTATAGGAACCGGCACCCTCTCCCTCATACCCCCGCGAATACTGCTGTCTCCCGAGTGTCCAACTGTCAGATCCCACAAGGGGGAAATCAAGAAACTACACACTCATTTCCGATTACCCACAGTTGATAGCAGTTGACCGCAACGCATCCATACACCTAGGCGCCGTCTCCCGCGACGCACGGGGACACCCAACCACCGTTGTTCATCAAAGGCGGCGCATGCATAAGATTATTGGGTTGTTGATGATGGCTTAACACTCATTTAATAAATTATTTTAAAATTTCTATTATTCATATCTCATTATGCATTACTCTAATCCTATCGTGATCTACCTTATTACACGGCAGATTCTCAAGAAGAAAACGCAGATAATCCAACGCAGATAACAGCAAATGCAATCGTATATCGCAACAGTAGCATACTCGTACAAACCCATAACAGAAAAACATGAAAAGTCTAACCTTTGTGCTTTGCAGCTATTCCAACCTCTAGTGTTTGTGCCCTATACCATTCCCTCGTCTAGTTCGTGGCAGGTGTAACCGCAGCTTCAGGATCATCATTCTTCTTGCCCTTCCTCGAAAAGACACCCTTGAATTTGGTCCATTGCACAAGCAAGAACCTGTAGACAAACGCGAAAGGTGTACCAACAAAGCCAGCAACGGCAGCAAACCATTCATCAGGGAAAAGTCGAATGAGAATAGCCCAGGGAAGACAAAACAAAGCAGTGATGACAGAAACACCCCATTGCGTAGCATCAAGTCCATCCGGGACAATCTGGAAAGCCCTGGAACCCTTGAAGATGATGATGACCTGTAAACCAATCATGAGGAGCGTGATGAGGACAAAGAATTGGTTGCGCTGGACGCCCTGGAAGATGTTGAACTTGTTGTCGAGACGGCGGTTGTTGAACATGTTGAAGATTTGCATCCAGACAAAGGTGTTAAAGATGACGGTGTCGAGTTCAGTCTTTTGCCTCTCGATGGAGGTGTCGTAGCCTAGGATTTTGTCGCCGGCAAAGTAGAGGACAAAGGTGACTGCGAGTTGATAGATGGCCTGGCCGATGATCATCTTCCACATCTGCACATTGCATGTTAGCATACTGGTAGGAGATATTTAGAGGCGTGGACTTACGGTGACGGTGATCAATGGCTTATCCTTGCCCTGAGGAGGACGGTCAAGAATCTCCTCAGTGGGAGGGTCAGTAGCCAGGGCCAAGGCTGCAAAGGTATCCATAATGAGGTTGACCCAGAGGAGCTGGACCGCCTTGAGGACAGACTCCATGTCGGGGTCATAGACGGCGGTGATAAAGGCCAAGAGAACAGCGGTGATGTTGACGGTGATTTGGAACTGCTGCTGTTAGTACATGTTACTTGGTCAGCATGTGGATGGCTTACCTGGAGGAACTTTTGGACGGCATCGTTAACAGCTCGTCCCCACTTAAGGGCAGTGATAATGGAAGTAAAGTTGTCATCCATGAGAATAATTGACGAAGCCTCCTTTGCAACTTCGGTACCAGAAATGCCCATGGAGAAACCAATATCAGCAGCCTTGAGTGCAGGGGCGTCATTGGTACCATCTCCAGTGACTGCAACGGTCTCACCAAGGTGCTTAAGTCTCATGACAAGAATCCTCTTGTCCTCAGGTGAGGATCGAGCAAGGACTTGAAGATTCGGCAAGATTCTATCCATCTCTTCCTCAGAGAGTCTTCGGAAGTCAGGGCCTTCAATTACCAATCCGTCGGTGTAGATACCACACTCCCTGGCAATGGCCTTGGCAGTCTCGGCGTTGTCACCGGTGACCATGCGGACGGTGACATTAGCACGTTGAGCCTTGCGCACTGCTTCAGGTACACCGGGACGGACTGGATCTTGAATGCCAACGACACCGAGGAAGACAAGCTCGCTGAGGACAGACGCAAAGTCGACGTGGTTGTTGTCAGTGACTTCGGCGGATGACGGGGGCCAGCTGGGATAATCCTTGTACACGAGACCGATTGTCCGAAGAGATCTCCTCGCGTAGACACCGATGGTATCGTTCAAGGTCTGACGATCTTCATCGGTGAGAGGCTCTTCTTCGAAGGTGTCAATGTCGGCCTTGGACGTGCAGTATGCAAGAAGCATCTCGGAAGCACCCTTGACGAGAAGACGGTAACCGCCAGACCGAAGCTTGATAACAGCGCCCATGCACTTCTTGCTCGAGTCAAAGGGTATCATCTGAACAATCTCCTCATTGGCACGAACTTGGGCCAGAGAATCAAGACCGAGATGTTCCTTTGCTAGGTCGAGAAGAGCAGTCTCTGTCTTGGATCCGAGGAAAACAGCTTGACCATTCTCTTGACCTTCAAAGGCAGTGGAGTTGATGGCGACGCTTTGGATGATGATGTCCTTGGCATCAGGCGTGAGCTTCTTTGCCCAGGCGGCAATTGGGGTGTCCTGCTTCTCTGTGTTGGAGAAGTTGGTGTCACCAAATGTACCCGCGACAACAGTCATTCTGTTGGTCGTCTATAATAATGGTTAGCATCAATCCGCATATCTATGAATCCTTGAGTACGACTTACCAGAGTACCCGTCTTGTCCGAACAGATAGCAGTCGCATTACCCATAGTCTCGCACGCCCTAAGAACCCTCACGAGGTTATTCTCCTTCAACATCTTTGTTGTAGCAAACGCAAGAGCAAGCGTAACAGCAAGAGGCAAGCCCTCGGGCACGGCAACGACAATGATGGTGACGGCAACAATGAGGATATCCATAAATGACGAAGCCTTGTCCGTCGCGGGACGGTCATCGCCGGGGAGATTGGCAACGAAGCGGAACAAGAGGACAAAGAAGAGAAGACCGGCTGCAGCACCGCCGAGGTATGCGATGGAGCTGGCGAGTTTGGAGAGCTTCTTCTGGAGAGGGGTTTCTTCGGTTTCGGTGCGGACAGACATCATGATCTTGCCGTAGCTACTGTTGACGCCGACCGAGGTGCAAAGGAATGTGCCCATACCTGCGTTCGCTGTTAGTAATATGTCAAATCAATCGTCGGTGCCAAAACATACCTTCGAGAACCTTGGAGCCAGAGATGATGAAAGGATCAAGACCCTTTGAATCGCGATCAGCTTCCAATACCTGCATAACAGCCGCACCTCCAGTCTTCTTGATAGCATCCGATTCTCCAGTTGCCGAAGACTCATCACACTTAAGGTCATGTCCATCAATAAAAACACCATCAACCGGCACAAGATCACCAGGTTCAAGATGTAGAATATCACCAACGAGCACATCGTGAACGTTGATCATAACCACCTTGCCCGACCTAGTAACCTTGACCTCTCTATCCTCCTTTTTAGCATTCAACTTGACAAAGGCTCTCTCCTTTTGCCAATCATTGCCAGCGCTAACAAAGGAAACCACAATGATGGCAATGCAGATGGCCACACCCTCGACCCAATCAACAGGAGTAGGATCACCCGGGTCATGCTCAACACCAAATGTTTCGTAAAGTCCCAATGCAAGAGAGATAACAGCCGCTGCGGTGAGGAGGATGAGAACCTTGTCGTTGTATGCGTTCCATAATAACCTCCAAAACGGCGTTGCTTTCTTTGCGGGGAGTACGTTGCGATTGTAAACTCGTATACGATCGCCAAAGGGCTCTTTCGTGGGCTCTTTTGCGGTTGTCGACGGGGATTGCTTCGTAGGCGTGGTTTCTGTGGTTGTTTGCCACCTGGTGGCCTCTCCAAAGGTAACGTTCTTCCCCACTGCCGTTTCCTCCGCACTTAATCCAGAGGTAAGATCCGTCTGCAGGCCAGTAACTATGCCCCTCAAGCCTCCTAGCGCGCGGAAGGCATTAAGAGACTTTGGGTTCAGCAGCTTGTTGAGTTGACCAGGCGAAAAGGCAAAGGGGCTGGGGTCGACCATAAAGTCATTTTCGGTTCCTGGATCCGGCCGTAGTGATACTTCAAATTGTTCTAGGTGCGATGTAGAACCACCAGAAGACGACGCTGTAGCAAATGGGTCGGACAGGCTCGACTGATCCCCTGAGCTTAACCGTGAACGTTGTGCGGTAAGAGCAGGGGTGGAAGGTGAGAGATAGTCTGTTTTTTGAGTCATGATGATTAAAATTTGTCGATATGTTGGTCGAGCAGAAAGACAAGAATAAGCTTAAAGGGGACGGGGCCAAGAAGGGGAACTGTGCTCGATTTTAAGCTTGGCGAAGCGAGTGGTGTAGTGAGGCTTAGCCGAGGAGGCCGCGTGAGTACAAAACGATTGGAATATACGAAACTCCCGACAGTGAGGCTATGCTGAGGAAGTGTATCAAGTCAAGCCCCCCGGTAGAGGCAGGCTCTTAGGCAGAGGTTGGGTGTATTTCAAGGCTAACTCACACGGACGAGGCAGTAATAGGCTCGGCGAGGTGCATGGTACAGGTGTGGGTGGCAACCAATCCGCATGCGCCTCTGACAGTCGCCTAGACTAGGCGTTTTGCTTGTCGCCCTGACAGGTGTCGATCCTTGCGGCATATATTACTCAGGGTGAATCTCGACTAGCTATGCCAAGTTTCTCACCACTTTAGTCTTGATTTTCTTGACCTCATTCTGGTCAACTGCCGCGTCTTCTACTGCTCGAGATCGGATGCCTTGCCGGTACACTATGAAGCACAGACACAGATTAAACGCAGGCGCCGTACAGCCAAAACGTCTTAAACGACCTTGTTTCTCAGTTAAGCTTCAAAGGTAAGCTTCAACTGATGAATCATGTGAACATGCAACACTCGTTCCCCTGAAAGAGCCTACGCGAGCTCGTGAAAAGAAATTTGATGAGGTATTTGATCAGGCCCAAGATCAAAAATCAACTCAAATGCGACGCGTGCGTCGCGCCAAAGGGGGCAGTGCAACGCCCCTCCAACCCCTTCAAGCAAGTCCATCACCACAAAGAACAAGTACTCTACTAACCTCAAACACGTGAAAAGTCTCAGAAACACAGCCATCGTGCTAAACACATCTTTTCTACAACAGGACATCATCTCCGTATCCTCGGGGCCATCTAGATGTTGAAATCGCCGAGACGCGCAACTTGGGATGCCTCCCTGGTGGAAAATTGCCTCTGAAGGCGTCACCTTCCTAGATGACGAAAGCCTCAAGGGGGCTGTGTTTTTTTTTTTCAGTAGTCGTGTCATCGACTCCATGGCCAAGCGGATGGCTTCGGCTTGGTGGAACTCAGGCAGGGGATGGGCCTTTCTAAGCTTCGGGGGGAGGCCGCTCGCGTGAGGCAGTGCAAAGCAAAATCAAATGCCGGAGGGTTTTTGAGCCCAAAGACTGGCTCGGTTCTTGTACTCTAATGTCCCATGGCGGTGAAGCATCGAGATGATGCGCCGAAGAGTAAAAGCGTTGAGAAGGTAATGTCAAGGAACGGACTTGACCTTTCATCCATGGACAAAACATTAAAAGATCCGTCGGAGTTCTCCTTGAAATCCGCTCGATGGAGTTTTCATCTCGGCATGACACTCGGGTGATCAGATTGGTTGATCCAGGGCCAAGAACCAGGGAAGCTCATGTCAATCAGTCTTGGCGACCCACCATCTAATTAAGCTTGTTGGGAATAAGCTTCGCCTTAGTTTTGGTGAGGTCATCGACGGTCAACATTCCATGTTTTTGTACTCGAGACAATTATCTACAAGTTTCTGTTCAATTGTGGCAGTGTTGATTTTAGTCGATGCTTCATTTCACCAATATGGAAGGTAATGGTGCTTAGTGGAGTTGGGATTTCCTGCAACACAGGTGCTGTGCCGCCTCCAGCCACCCCGGATGTCACTGTCGCCGAATTCCATGGTGATTATGTATTGCAAGTACCAATACGGGGCATATTTTGCCGGATGTTTCCCAGACTGTAGGCCATGACTAATACATCTGCGCAGATGCATATGGTCACACCCTTGGATCAAGGGAAGTACATCTCGGTCATGCTCGGAACTCGTTGGCAGCCTCGGGTGGGACAAGTAGCGGGATTCAATCTGCCATACTTGGCATTCTCTGCCTTTCTCGCAACCAGGCCCTCCGGAGATCTCTTGACAGACCCGCAGCTTAATATGTTCTTCAACTCGCCTTCTGGACAGTGACCGACCCTCGACTGGTCGGATACACCCTTGCGTTCAGTGAATCAAGCCGTCCCGCCGCCAGCTGGTTATCGAATGCATGTTCCAAAGTACCCTAGAGGATTAAGCCTTGATTTAAAAATGGATCTTCAAAATACATCAGGTAACTTGAAAAGTACCAAAATAAATTCAACTCCTAATTAGTTGTTACCAAAACTAACCTGTGAACACTTGCGGTTGGCGGTTTGGAATTGCCACTCGAAATGGCAAACTTCTGGTAATCAAGAGGACTGATAGCAGGTAGGTACAAATCGCCAAAAGCCCATGATATTCACATATACTAGTTTTACATATCATTAAGCCTTGATGTATTTCGAATGCTGATACATGTGCATCTTTTCAACTTACTCTTCCTGTCGCTTTTAGAACACAACTCACCATCCTTGAACTATATGTCATAGATATTTTCCCATCATGTTCACCTTTGAGTCGCTAAACTGTGTCCATGTTCATCCTACGCAGATTGGGCAGTCACATCTCGAATTTATCGCAGTTTTTCACCCCTGAGTTAGAGAGCATACTAGTGAACCTTTCATGGTAGTCTTTAAGTCCTGTAATTATAGATAACTTCATCACAGCCCAAACTTGATTCATTGATGCTGAGAGTCATTGCTCAAGGGGAGGCATCAACTATAATACCAAATCATAGATTATAAACACATCGTAAAACATTATACACTGGAAACCCCCTGATTGTTCAGTTGTCTGTTGTTGAGCAAGTGCAGTCACTTTGGAGGTGAGGCCTCGCGAGATATATATGGTGGCTTGCTGACTGCAGCGGTTGCGCACGGCACAGGTCTTGGCTCTCCAGTGGCATTGGCCATTGTGAGGTCAAGCGACATGCAGTTGGCTGCCTTGAAATGCAGTGGAATTTGTCGCCAGCCTGATTGCAAAGCTGAGCCGACCGCTCAGCTGTCGCCACGCCACAACTGAAACAGTCAAGGCGAAATAGACAGAGACTTCGTAGAAAATTAAGCCTGATGATACAAATGTCGTATCAACCTCGATGGCACCGCCTGGGTAGCCAAGATGCCTCTCTTAATAGGCAGATATAGAAATCGTTCGCCCAGTCATCTTTTCCTCACTTTCGCCGCTTAATCAAAGCCAAGCCTGGTCCAGGTAGCCGCTGCGAGTTGGAAACTACGTGTTGTGTTGGCCCAGCCCCTGTCGATGCAAGCCCTGCTATTGGTCCCTGCAGCCAAGGCGAGTTCGCCTTCAAATGTCTGCCTCGAATCTCACCCGTTCTTTGCAATTTTCTCATCTCATCATTATTTCTCCAGCTTGGCCGACCTTATTAATCCGCTTCGCCTCTCATTGAGCTTACACTCTTTGCTTTCGCTGTGGCAAAGTCCCAGCAAGCCACGCGATGCGTCGAATACTATGCTGCGGCATTTCTCGCTTAGGCGACGGTAGCGACGACCAGCCTGGGCGACCAGTTGGACTCAACCCAAGTGCTTCTCAACAACACTCCAGCGGTAAGTCTTCTTCACCACGAGTCTAGTTTTATTTTCGCTCACGCGTAGGGCAGTGTCGAAGCCAGTTGGCCCCGTGGTATCAAATGGCATTGCAGCGCCTCCCTCTCTTGGCACTAGTCCCACGACTGAGCCCTCGGTCGAGAAGCAAGTCAAGCCTAATTTGTGGGACGAGGCGAGGGGGAGGCTCTCAGAAGAAGACAAGGCGTGGATCAACGGCAACTCCCAACAGTTTCTGGATTCGTCCGGCCCCGGGGTCCGTGGCATCATTGATCTAGTTGATCAAAAGCGTCGACAATGCGAAGCCAGGAGATGGACAAACGTCGACGTATTTGATACCACTATTAATCTCTCCGATCTGGCCAGCAACGCCATCACGTGGCTCAACAAATTCAAAGAGGTTGGCGACACGATTGTCCAGTACGACCCTGGACATGCAGCCTTGCCATGGGCGGCGACGAGGTTTATCCTTCAATCCGCGATTTCATACCAAGAGCATATGGCGTTCTCGTTAATCAGCGTTGAGAAAACAACAAGGATCGTCCATAGGTGCCAGATCTACGAGATGCTCTACAACTGCGATACAGCCAATGCCCAGGCTGCCAGTGGCCTAGAGCAGGCTTTGGTAGAACTGTATGCGTCGCTTCTGCATGTTCTCGCACGGGTGGGAAAGTTCCTGTCCAAAGACACTGCATGGCGCTCCATTCATGCTGTCTTCAGGCCAACCGAGGGGACAGACCTTCTATCAGAGCTTGAAAAGTTCGAGAACGAGGTCATCAAAGAAGCCACCGTCTGCGAGAGCAAGCGGAGCGCCAAGGCGGATTCCAAGACTGAAGAGCAGCTTCAAAAACTGCAATCTCTACTGAAGCTCGAAGGGCGCATGCTCAGAGTCGATGAAAATGTCCAGAAGGCCCTCGAGAGCATAGAACTCAAGGAATTGATAAAAGTGCTGACGTGGATCTCTCCCATCGAGTACAATCTACACCATGACCTGGTAAGACAGGCAAGGACCAAGGCCACCTGTGACTGGCTTGTCCAACAATCAAAATTCTACGAGTGGCAGAGCGAAACCTCTTCCATCACATTCTGGCTTCAGGGTTTTGGTAAGTCCTAGCATCATCGTGCAAGTGCGCTTTTCTAAATCTTTTGCAGCGGGCTCGGGCAAGACTTTCCTAACATCGAGAGTCATTGACCTAATTGCAGAGAATCTTGGAAGTAAGCGGAATCATGAGGGATTCGCCTTCTTCTACTGTAACCAAACCGAGCCAACACGCCGACAGGCACTCTCGGTTCTCTGCAGCTTTATCAGACAGCTTTCATCACCCAAGTGCATGTCTGATCACCTACATCCCAAGTTGAGGCAGCTTTACTTCGACTCTCAGCTGAAGGGTGCGGGGTGGACACTCGATCTATGCAAGGAGTACCTGATTGATCTTTTCAACTTTTATCCTCATACAACCGTCATCCTGGATGCGTTGGATGAATGCGAGGTTGAAGAGCGAATATTGCTGCTCAATATCTTCGATTGGGCAACAAAATCTTCTTCTCGGCCGGTCAAGATCTTCGTCTCTAGCCGCCCGGAAGCCGACATTCGACAACGGCTCATCAGCCTCCCCAATCTCGAGATCTCAGCCAAGAACAACAACGACGATATTTCCAGGTTTATTAAAGAGAGTGCTGATAGCCCGGGCCCATGGAGTCCAGTCTTGGAGAAAAACAAGGCCTTGAAGAACGAGATTGTCCAGACGTTGATCAAAAAGAGTGACGGCATGTTCCAGTGGGCGAGGCTACAGGTCGATCAACTCAGGGTCTTGGAACATGAAAACGATCTTCGAGACAGGCTTGGAAGACTTCCCAAAGATCTCAAGTCATCATATGACGAGATTTATCAGAGGATCCAAGATCGTCCCGAATACTCGAGAGTTCGGACTCTCAGGGCTCTCAAGTGGGTGACAGCATCAGCCCGCCCGCTCAAGACCAAAGAGCTCCTAGCTGCGATACGTTTGGACCCAGACAAAGAAGAGGTCGATAAGGCTGGCGAAGTTACAGAAGAGCAACTTCTTGGCTGGTGCGCAAACTTGCTGATTCGAGACAAGAACGAGTATTATTCCATTATCTGGCGGCCTTGCCACCTGTCAGTAGTCGAATATCTCGAGGACCGCTCCACGATGCCCACTGCGCATTTATTCGTTACACTGGCCAGTTTGTTTTTTCTGGTTGTCCAACCGGATAAAAAAGACCCTTTGTGCAGTCTACAACCTTACGCTCGCAAGCACTGGATGGAACATGTCCAATCATACGATAAGGCCAGCATTGACTTTGCGTGCGCCCCACATAATAGAGTCGCTGCCATGTTGAAGAGGTTTCTCGGTTCACCAACGCAAAGGTCTGATGCGTATGTCCAATGGACCCAGTTCGATGATTTTTCTTCCAACATTGATCCTCCATTTTCTGTTTGCTTTTACCCAGTTTTCTACCCCCTACGGGACTGGTGGGAGTCGGACGACGTGAAAGTTGATCACTTGGCATTGGATCATGACGGGGAGGGTCTTTTGACAGTCGCGGCCAGGTCAGGTTGCATACCAATATGCGACAATCTAATCAAACGAGGCATACCGGTGAACCCTGAAAAATACGGCACGGGCTATGAGAGCCCTCTTGCAGCAGCAGCAGCAAACGGACAAGCCCCTATGGTTAAGTTTCTCCTCGAACGAGGTGCCCATGTGGACTTGCTTCTGAAGGACGGCCACTATGGGAGCGCTCTTGCTGCAGCACGCGATGCCAACGTATCCCAAATTTTGATCGACAACGGGGCAGACATTAATCTCATGCTAGAAGCTGGATACTACGGCAGTGCTCTTGCTGCGACCAGAGACAAGGACATTGCCCAACTGCTAGTCGACAAAGGAGCAGACGTGAACATGATCCTCAAGGCTGGAGGATTCGGCAGCGCCCTGGTTAGCGCGATAGCCGCCTATGCTGACGACGTGGTTGAATTGCTCGTTGAGAAGGGTGCAGATGCCAATTTGCCACTGCTACGTGGGAGATATGGGAGTGCTTTGATTGCTGCCGCATACACGGGGAATGTGCACATTGCCAAGCTTCTCGTCAAGCACGGAGCGGATGTTAAGTACCTCCCGCCCGTTTGTTCTTACGGAAGTGCTCTCATTGCCGCTTCGTCAATTTTCCAAAGCAACGAGACTTTGCTGCTTCAGTTTCTGATTGAGAAAGGAGCAGAAGTGGATTCCATCGCCAAATCGGGCCATTTCGGAAGCGCCCTTGCTGCTGCTGCTCATTCTGACCGCCCGGTTGAGCAGTGCATCTCCGTGATGGATCTTTTGATAGAAAACGGGGCGAATGTGAACCTCGCCATCTCCACTGGAATATACGGCAGTGCTCTTAGAGCAGCAGTCAGTTCCAGGCGTCCCTCAGCCGCCGTCTGCAGGTATCTGCTGAAGAAGGGGGCAGATGTCCACCTTCATGTCCCGCATGGGTGCTACGGAAGCCCTCTCATTGCGGCCATGCAATCGGGGTCGGAAGAAGTGGTTAAATCCCTGCTCGAAGAGGGAGTGGAAGTTGATCAGATACCCGATGGGGAGAAGGTCGTCTTTGGAACTGCCCTAATAGCAGGAGCATATTGGGGATTCGCACGGGGCGTTCAGATGTTGCTGGAGGCTGGAGCTCTAGTGAATCTGCAGTCTAAAGTTGGGAGATTTAGGACTGCTCTCGAAGCTGTCAGGGCAGATTTGACAAATGAAGGAGGCGTGTTTAAGGATCCCCTGTGGAAGTGGAGGCGGGCGTTGGGTGAGGGGATTGAGGAAGCACGAGATAGAATGAAGCTCCAGGTAGAGGAGCTGCTGATAACACACGGGGCAACCGAATGAGATGGGCTAGGAATAGTCTAATGAAGATGGAACAATTGGTTTGACACATCTATTCCTCGGCGCTTATTGAATGCTGGTGGCCATGCCTTTGTGTGCCCAATTTACCATTGAGCCTCCCCAACCTCAGAAATCAGCTTTCGGAATCCAATCACTCCCCACGTCAACTTTGGTTCAAACTAGCATCGTAGGACATACGTCCTCGGGAACACGGAGTAATTTATAAAAAGTCTCCGGGGTCGGCTGAATTCACGCCGACCCGAGCAATGGTCCCAACTTTAAAAGCACCATGGCGCGTACGTCTCATATTCTCAACTCACATCCAACTTGGCAAGAAATCATGGCTACAAGATCTCTAGTAGTTGGTGGAACAGGCGGTATTGGCTATGCCATAGCCTGCCAGCTAGCTGCAGCTTCGACATCCTCCACCGTCATCATCAGCGGCCGTACAGAACCGAAGAGTCTTCCTCACACCAATATCGAGTTTCGGCCGTTAGATGCATCATCAATGCGCTCGATCAAGCGCTATACCGATAATTACAAGTCAGCAAAGGAACAGCACCTCGACTTGCTTGTTCTGACTCCAGGCATTATCTCAATGGCGGGGCGGACTGAGACGCCTGAAGGAATCGATCGCAAAATGGCCCTTCACTACTACGGGAGGCAGCTACTCATCCGAGAACTGAGTCCTGTTTTGAAAGACGATGCAAAAGTCCTCATTGTGCTGGATAGTACGCGAGGGAATCCGAACCAGCTGAAGTGGGATGACTTGGACCTCAAATCCAGCTTTACCCTGGCAGCTGTAACACAACATTGTGTGACAATGACCGATGCCATGATCCAGGCACATGCCGCTGAGCAAAAGCACCAAGGTCAAAAACGACGCACGTTCATTCACGCCCATCCCGGAATCGTCCAGACCAACATCTACAAGACACTACCATGGTACATACGCGGCGTCCCAAAGGCTCTCAGCCAAGTTTTCGGCGTCTCGCCTGAAACTTGCGCCAAGAACTTACTCAAAGGGACGTATGAGTGTGCAGCCGCCGACAAGGAGGACAAATTCTGGAGCTGTATCAATGAAAAGGGCGATGTTGTTCTGGATAAACCTGTTTGGAGTGAGGAGCAGATTCAGAGGGTTAGGGATCACACGTGGAAGATCATCGATGATGCACTGAATGCGAGTGACTGAGAGGACGGTGGATACTGTAGAATCATGACTATCATTATTCTTAGACTATTGATCGTAAATATTGGTCCGAAGTGTCTTACTCAAGGGTGGTTCAAGAATTTCGATCAATTGGAAAGCAATGACTCTAAGTAATGAATGTTGTGTCTAGAAAAGCGCCAGCCTATGCCCATTTCTCAGCTAACCGTACAATCGGCCAGCCACTTGCATCTGCCCATACAGAAGATTTTAAATACCCAAAATTGAAATCGCGGTAGATATTTAGGCAAAGACTGGCACATGTGAAGACCCGCGGGAAATCCCATGACAGAAGGTTGATGTCCCATCACGCCTATATAGGTATCATCACCACATAGCCGGCGCACATGTTTCTCCACACAGTCAAGGCGACGAAAGATGTCGTTTTCCCAAGAAATAGAATCTCTTTCGTTTTGTGTCCCGAGCATGGCGAGCGGAAAGTAATCTTTCATCTCTTCCGTCGTCCAGTTTCGCCTGGGCCCTTCGCGGCCTGGGTCCGCCAGCGCGAGTAAGAAAAATACCCACCCCTCTCCCAACTCACAGGGACCGAGAAGAATGTTTTTCATAATCTTTCAGAATACCACGAGGGCCTCACCCCTGTTTTCTTCGATGCCAGAGAGACGGAGGAATCGCTCCTCAAGAACTGTACTCTCCTCGAACAGGGGCTCGTGACCATAGAAAAAGGCATTGCAGTAGCCATGGAAACGTAAATATGCCTCCAATCCTTCTCTTTCCCACATTTCGCGGTATTCCTGGGATTCTTTAAGCATTAATAACACGAAGTACGACGTATGAAATTGCGTATGAAGTGGCGTAGGAAGCGGCATCGATGGGGTCCGTGGGCCGGTCTGTGATACGATTTTTTTGCCGTTTTGGAAGAGAGTGGTAAGCTGGCAAAGAACGGACAAGTTTTTCTCATATCCTTTTATATGAATCTTTTGTTTGAGAATCTGCTGTATCTTTCTTCTCAGGACTTCTCTCGAGGATCCTTGGTACTTCTCACGAACGTGCCGAAGGCGGCCAGCTAGTAAAGCCAGCGGAAGCACTGAGTCGAATTGGATCTGGTACTTGAGCCTCTCTGCCACGCCTTGTAGACAACGTGATCTAATTTCTTCAAGGCAAGCCAGCATAGCAGGCGATGCTAAGATGAGGGCTTTGATGTCGATGGCGGAGTGGCATCTGTGTATGGTTGCAATGCGGAGTTCTGTGGGGAGGTTCTGGAAGTAGTCGTCTTTCGGGAGAGTAGGACTTTGTGCCAATGGCGGTGGTCCCCCGGGGGAAAAGGGCAAGCTTATCGGTGCAGACATGGCGGCGATGGTAAAGCTCTTGGTGGTGGTGTGAAGATGATTGATGGTAGACGACGGTTGTTGTTTCAAAGATGGTGTCTATGTTAAGAATTGTGATTTGTATGGGGATATGAAGTGAAGATCGTGCTGAGTGTCATTTCTAAGCCTTGCGACTCTCGAGAGCATACCTGGAGAGGAACTCCGATGAGGCGAAAAAGAGAAGTAACAGAGACATGTGTTGATAAACTGATCAAAGTAATCCCTCGAGGGACATGTACTTAATATCTTGAAAGTCAAAATTCAGGTGACGTGTCTCGATGTTTAAGTAAGAAGAATCCGTCATTATAACCTTCTATGATACATCAAATACAGCTTGATATAATCCGTGGCGTAATTATTGGGTTGGATGTGCTGGGAACTTGACGCCAAGTGGAAACGGTCGTGCTACACACAATTGGTGTTTAGATGCAAGCATGGAAGCCCTCGTTGATAGACTAGATTGATGCCTAATTTAATGACCTAAGTATAACACTCTCCACACATAATTCTTTTGAAAATCTATTACCTATACAATACCAACAGTTCGTCACAATGATACAACCCTACATTGAGAATTGCGATTCTGCATCTCCGTTGTGGCGCCTCCTAACCTAGAGCTCAGTGTCTGCTACGGGTGGGTACAGGGCACACTCAGTGGGACAAACAAGACAGTACGGAGTCTTATAACATGCTCACCAGTGGGTAACTGTTCATGTATGACCGACAGGATGAAATGTCAACATCGAATAGGATCAAAACACGAGTAATGACCACCTGGAGTTCATGTAGAATGCACATGTGGTTGAAGGCTTGCAGTAGCGTGGCCAAGTCCCCTAACCCACAATCCCTGTCTGCCCCTCGCCTCCACTCTGGATCTTCTATTTTTCCCTCCTTTACCCCTTGCCGAATGCAATCACCGCTTTGATATCCACTTTTCCGTCCAAACAAGGGGCCAGCTTGAAGAAACATCAACAACTACGCTACCGAACAATCACTCACAGCGTCATTCATCACGATCGTCCCTCGAACCCGCCACCGATACAACCTCCCAGCCCAGGGGCTCACCTGGGAAAGTCGCCAAACAGGCGCAATCCTCAGCGCCACTTCACCTAATCCTCCATACCACTACCACCCCCTCCACCCACCCCCTTGCTTGGCTGCAACGCTACCACCATCTGCGGCTCTGACTCTTGCTCGAAAGCAGCTGCGCTGTCTCATCCTTTGTCTGCCGATCCTACCGACAGAGTGTGCCATCCCTTACGCGCGGCTGCCGCACAGCCTCTCAAACGACTCGCACACTACCGACTACCTACCACACGCTCCATAGTCTCTAATTAATAACCAACAAGCCCACCGCCAAAATGCCGCCCAAGACACCCAATTCCACCGGCACGCCCATCTTCTCGACCTCCATCTTCTCCTCCTCCTCCAACACCGCCGCCTCCCGCCCAACGACTCGCGACGGCCACGGTGTCGACCCCCTCAACACCAACCACCCGAACCTCCTGATCAAGGACCGCAAGCCATCCTTCTCGCGCAAGTCCTCGTTGTCTGGATCGCGCCGCCGTGGGAGTTCCTTTGGAAACGGTCCAAATGCCTACGTGACGGACGCAACAGCGCCCCCCGCCCTCCCCGAATACGCGCTGGCTGCCGCTGCCAAAATATCACCGCGACCCGATCTCGCCGAAGGTCATCATCTACCGCAGGCTCCCGACTTGGGTATTCAGATGTTGAATCGAACTGCGACTGGATCAACAATTCATTTGGGCGGCGGTATGACGTCTCATGGGACTTCAAACGGTGCGCCTGGCACGACTGGTGTGTGGCAGCAGAGCGAGGTCAGCATTATGCACCAACATGTCACTGAGCTCGCCAACAAGCGCATTTCGACACTTGACTATCTGCGCAAAGCGTGCGTTTCCAACACCATATTCCTATGATCGCATACTAACAGTATGTAGCCATGAAGGCCGTGTCCACTGGTTCAAGACCTACCTATTCGAAAGACCAGACCTCAACCGCATGCCCTCGTTCGACGCACGGAAGCTCGGTCGCAAAGCAACAAACCATCTCCTCCTGGGCCTCTCCCTCCCCACCGTCGTGGATCTCTACTCCTCCACTCCGATCGAGTTTCTACGAAGTCTCAACACCCTCCTCTCCGAATACGACTCGTTTCAGCAACTTCACGGCGACTCTTCAACAGCCGCTTCCTTGACCCGCGCCCGTCTCCCTAGCATGTTCCGCCGACCGGGCGGCAAGTCGCGACGATCAACATCTGCTGCTGATATGCATCCCATGGTGGACGAGATGGCCCCAGTGCCAGCAGCCGGTGGACCCGCACCAGCGGTTATGAACTTTGCGGCATCAGAAACGGACCTTCTTCCTGGCGAAGAGTATACGCATCTTTTAACGCCATCACTACCCTTCGATCCCGATTATTTTGAAACTTTTGCGACGTTGTGCGACGTGTTGATCGATTGTTATACCCGATTCTTGGCCCTTGTTCCTTCACCCCGCGAATGCTCCGCTCCCGTTGCCGAACTCTTTACCAAAGCCGACTCGCGAGTGCGCAAGATTATCGTGCAAGGCATTGTGCGAGAATTCGAAGATCAGAGCCGTCACCATATCAAGACGGAAGTAGCCAGCATCGGCAAGGTGGTCCTAGGAGGTCTCATGTGAGAGACACCCCGGGATTTGGGTTATTGCGTTTGACGGAGTTCTTAACGTTGCATGGAGTTGATGGCTGGGAGTGCAAGACATGGATATCCTGGTTGTGATCTTGCCAGGAGTTTGGTGTCTTGAAAATGGGTATAATCTGGTGTCTAATTCAGTTGAATGCCGAGATGAAGACTATGAAAGGGTATCATGAGGATATGTCGTCTTGTATTCATGCCGTCAGCAGAGACCGTCTCATCCATCTTACAGCAGGTCCTGTATAATACATTCAATACTATTCTACACTTTTATACATTTGCCTCTATTTCTTGTTCTTGTTCTCCTTCTCTTTGGCTTCTTCCTCTGTGACGAGGAGCTCAATGTCCCTGCCCACGAGCCAGTCCTTTGCACCATCCATGATCCTATCCAGCTTTTCACCTCCTTCCAGCACATTGGGTAAATCATGCACATCTATGCCCGCTCGATGATCAGTACATCGATCCTGGTTATAGTTGTAGGTCCTGATCTTGTCGCCTCGGGTGATCTGCGTCTTGGACAGCACACTGTTCCTCAACCTTGCAGCCTCCTCTTCCCTAGCTTCCCGTCTCTGATCCGCAATTCTCGCACGCATCATCTTCCACGCCTCGTCTCGATTCCTCTGCTGCGATCTATGATCCTGCATCGACACCGTCGTCCCCGTAGGCAAATGTGTCATCCTAATCGCAGACTCTGTCTTGTTGACATGCTGCCCACCAGCACCACGAGCCCGCATAGCTTCAATCTTGACGTCCTGCGGGTTGACGTAAAAGTCGCTTTCCGGATCTTCAAAGTCGACGCTGCCGGCACCACTCTCGGGAAACGAAGGGAGAACCCATACTGCGACGGCGCTCGTGTGAACACGGCCTTTGCTTTCGGTGCTGGGGATGCGTTGAACTCGATGCATGCCTGCTTCACTGCGAAAGAGGTCAAAGGCGCCTTGGTCTTGGATTTCTAGGACGGCTTCTTGGAGTGGGTTTTCGCCGGCTGAGGAGGATGAGTCGCCTGCTGTATCGGCGAATTCGTACTTCATTACACTGTGACGGTAGCCTTTTCGCATGCAGAGCGCCTTGTACATCTTGAACAAGGTATCGGTAAAGTATCGGCCTTCGAGGCCACCAGGGCCGGGTCGGAACTCGATCATGCAGGGAAAATCGGCAAAAGGATGGCGCGGGGTGAGACTGGCAGAGAGGTTCCTCGCAAGGGACTCAAGTTTTCCTGTCTCGCTCTCTAGCTCGTCTCGTGCGATGGAAACAAGATCAGCGTCTTGCTCTGGGTCATTGAGCATGGCTGTCAGCTCAGCAACAGAAGCCTGCGACTTTTCCCATGCTTTCAGAGCCTCGGCAACCCGAGAGAGCTCGCCGACGCGCTTAGCCTTTGTAGAGTCGAAAGAAGCGTTGAGAGTCTTTTGAAGTTCGTCGTATTCGGAGGTCATGGACTGTGCGCGATGAAGAAGAGCGGGAGCAAGAAGCGACGAGGCATCTAGAGAGCAATCATTAGCTAGAGCCTTTCGTCCAAGGTATGGCGTTGTACGAACCATTGGAGGCGAAGCGAACGAATTGGCGCACGTGAGAGCGAGCCAGCGCTCGAGTGCAGCTCCTGCATATCCATGGTGCCGGGGACATGGCTTGTGAGAGGAGATTGGGGGGTGGGAAGTGGAATTGTCGATGTTGGAGGGGGAGTTGAGGTTGAATTTTTAGAAGCCTCGTGTACCGCGAAAATCCGGGGATACAGTTGGCGCGGGGTCCGAGATGGTCAGTCGAGTCTCACAGCAGCCAATTGCAACGCGAAACATGCTGTGAAATGTGGTATACATGCAGTTATTCTATACAGCCTATGTCTATTCAGTGGTATATCCAATTCATGACTTTTGCCTCTCCTCTGCTTTTTTCGCTGCAAACAACAACGCCGCCCCAAGCATCATACTCGACCCTCCCCACATTTGTGCAGCCAGATAATCACCACCCGTCATCTGCATAAACTTGCCAGCAAGGGGTGATCCCGTAAGAGCCGCGAAACTAATGATTGTAAAAATCATGCCGATTCTTGTTCCTGCTTTACTCAGGTCCTTTGTTAAACTCGCGCACGTAGAAGGAAACATGCTTTGGATCCCGGCGCCAAAGTAGCCAAACACGGACACCCAGACGAAACCGCCGGGGAGGGTGTGGACTTGGGACCACATGTAGATGCAGATGCCGGCCGAGAGAATTGTCGGGATGAAGACATTGACGGCGCCGAAATATCGGTCTGCAAGCCAAGCTGCCACCATCCGTCCCGGTATACCCACAGCATTAATGACGATAAGGATGGTGAAAGAGTCCGAAGCAGTTCCGTCCAGTTTGTCAGTCGCGTATTGACGAGCCTATTAAACGTAAGTAACCATCCAAACAAACAGTCTCATTAAGCGAACTTACATAGTTGTACGAGATCCACGTCGGCCAAAGAGTAAAGAACATGGCCACGGCAAACAACACGTAGCTCAACTCCTTGAACGCTGCGAGTTCCACAAGCGGTCCAGCCTTTCTCGGAGGTAATCTCGTCCTCGCTAGGAGCATAATGAGGATTGACGCCACGAGGACGACTAGACCCATCACTCGGACCGTCCAGCGGAATCCGATCTTGGGCATGAGTTGCTGGGCGATCAGGGGGAACACCATGCCTCCGGTTCCTGCACCGCAGGCCGCAGCGGAAATGGCGATGGTCTTTTTCTTTGTAAAATATGTAGAAATGTTGGCTATTGTTGGAGCAAAGACGATGCCGTTACCAAGTCCTTGCGCTATGCCTTGGGCTAGCAAGACCTGCCAGTACTCAGACGCGATGCTGGTCATGAAGACACCAAGTGTCTGGAGGAATAGCCCGATGAGGAGGGCAGCACGGTAGTATCCCGCATCAAAAGCGCGCCCAGAAAAGGTACCAACAAGGAAAATGAGGCAAACCTCTAAACTCCCAATCCACGAGATGGTCGACGGCGGGAGCTTGAACTTGTCCTCGTAATAGGGCTGAAAGATGCCAAAGCTGATGAGGTAGCCCCAAGAGTTGAAGGCAACAAGATGACCGGTTACGACTTGAAGCCAAGCTCGTAGACCGCCGTCGGGAGGTTCTCCAGGGTCAATTGGACATGTTTGGTCTGATTCGTCGCCATTGAGGGTAGAAGAGATGTCGTCATCAGAGCCACGATGCTTCTTCTCAAGTGAAGACTCTGGATCGGTGTCAACGGGTGTAGGGCAGACACTGTCCCTCATGTCGTCCGCCGTCAATTTGAACAAAAGACCAACAAAAAGATACTGTGACAAAAAAAGATCATTGCTAGAGAGAGAGGTACCCGGGGTTTATGTAAAAGTAATACTCGTCCGCATGTCCGGCGCGCCCTTGACGGAGCCCACTTACCTTTTCGCGGGGTTCCGCCTCCGACCCCGGCATCTGTCATCCGGCCGAGAATCACGAAATATGCATTGACAAAAAGTCCAGCAATTGTGCATGATCGGCAAGTTCAATTGGCCCGAGTCGTGAGCATTGTGACGCAAGGACGAATGGGTTTGAAGATGGCAACCTTGACGTTGGCCATTAGCACATTTTGAGGCGGTAAAGACGGGGAAAACGGGAATAACGGGAGTGAAGCTAGTTTCTGGGAGGCTGAGATGCCATCGTCAATGGGCGATTGAGTTCCTCGCGTCGCAGCCATAAAACGTGGGCGGGCTTGGCTCTTTACCGTAAACTCGGCATGTGAAATCCCAACGGTGAACAAACACAGTTGTACTCTTGAAGCTACAATGCATAATTGTCAGGATTTAGAAGCACAATTCTGGTGTTGTAATTTAGTGTTGAGCCTGTATAAAATGACCATCTCCAAAGCCAAGATTTCCCCAGATTGCATCCAGTACCCGCCATAACCCATGCTGCGGCGACGGTGCGGTAAATGGCGGCAAAACGGGTCGGCATTTGCGGCCCGCTGCAAAAAGCCGACGGGACAACGTAAATTGTTTGAACGCGAAACTCGACTTCTTCATCATGGATACCTTTGTTTTTAGATGAATCTTGACATAATGACTATGAATAACTACACTATACCTTTCGTAAGTCTTATTCTAAAGATCTGATGATGCATTGGGGCTTTGTTTTCCATTCTGGGACGACGTGCCCCTGATTACAATTTGTTCAGGCGGCGTTTAAGGCTTGAGCTCCGGAATCCTCCATCTTTACTTCATCGCCCAGAAGACCAAGGGGCTGGAAAGGTTCTCCGGGTTTTTTTTTGTGTTTTACGCTGGATCGTTCTCTGGATGCTAATTTAGGCATCTGACATCTGGTTCCTTGCTTCGTGGGATAAAGTACGCGAGTTGCCTAACTCTTTTTAAAGAATACTATCCTGTGAGGTATGAACTTGGATAAATTATGACGATGATAGGTAGAAATACTCTTAAAATATTAACATTTATATAGAACACTTATTGTATATAATGCCATCCTCAGGAGAGGGTCTTTTTGCGCTCATGGTATTAACGTTATTGGAATTTAACACTGTCTACACTGAGAACAGCGGCGACCATTCGAGGCGGGTAGGCAACCTTGCAAGACGCCTATGTAAGTCCACCTATTCTTCCATGCCCTCTACATTCTAATTATTTCCTAGTCTCTCAAGAACTACTAGAAAAAGTCTGGGAAGAACAAGATCAAAGATGATCCTGATGACGATGATTCGGACGATACTAATCCAGACGACGAGGACTAAGGATACTATAGTATGGGCAAGCAGAGGATTTTCGCAATAATGGGAAGCTAGTTTTATGAGCAATATGGGAAGGAGAATCTATTAATCTTAAATTGGAATTATCTCTTCTGGTATTATAATTGACTGGTACAGAAAGGTAATCTACCTAGCCTATTTGCGCTCCTTTCACAAGTAAATAACAAACACTTCAAGACTCAACTTGTTCCCAAAATGCACCAGTCTCCCACTCAGCCTCGTCTTCGTTCTCTTGAATCCAGATCAATGCACCTGTTGCCGCATGAACTGATCTCTGATATCCCAGTGGATGTGCCCTAGTTTTCCTGCCTTCGTGCTTCCAAACGGGTAGGCCGTTGAAAAATTCACGAGAGTATGGCGCCAATCCCCCAATTGTGAAAGGTTCTGCTAGTTCTCCTTGGCATCGCCTCCAACCTTGCGAAAGGAGCCGATAGAAGGCCAAACGTAGGGGGCAAGCACTCTGCTGCATAGGAAGCACCCAGCAGTCTATGGGGCAACTCTCCTTCTCAAGATCATCGGCCTTCTCGGCGCGGAATTGTAGAAGCAGCAGGATGGCACCATCGAAGCAGAACACCTGAGGGCACTGATATTTGTGCGCGTACCTACACGCAAGTAAACCATCATTAGCCACGAGGGTTGTAAGGGACGGCATCAGTCACACTAGGTTTAATACGTACCCTCGTAGCTCTTGAGAAAGCTTTTTCTGGCTTGCCGAAGACGAAGGAGTTCCCCTCTGCCAGAGGTTAGGCTTGATCAGATTCCTCTTGATCTCACCGATAGCCAGGACACGCTTAGCACCTTCGAACTTGAACGTGAATATCGAGTCGATATTCTCAGGTATGTTTTCCTCCGAAACCGGTTTGTTATGGGAAGACTGCAAAATCGACGGGTATCGATTCCACGCAGACAGCACCACATTCACAATCTCGGTGTTGAACCAATTCTCACAGTCGGCCTCGGTCTCGAATCTCCATTTACGGCTGTTTGGTGACTCGGCAGGTTGGCTAAGCCTTAGGTTATCATCTTCATACAGTGGAAGAAAGGCATCATCGAAGTTGGCGTAGGTGATACCGTCGTTGGCCACCATAGTCCGGCAAGTGAGGTTCACAATGGGCTTATAGTTACGGGCCCATCTTTTGTCTGAGTCGGTCAAGTAGAGGGGGTTGTGGATCGGGTTGGAGGGGTGTTCAAGGATGAGGTCTTGCGCGGTGTAACTTGTCATTGTCTGATGTAGTAGTCCACCACGTATAGTGGCGAAGGGCAGATGAGGGAGGGCGAGAGTGATGAGCAAGTAAAACCATGCTGAAGAGCTGCCATGGCAAGTTTTAAGTAGGTGGGCATGTTGAAACTGGTCTGCTCGACCCCCAGACATGGCGACGGACCACGAGGGCGGATGGGCTCGTACACTTTGACAGTGCTGCCTGGAAGCCAAGACACCCGAGCCAATAAAGAAAGGTTTTTGGCGCCTCAGTTGAGGAACTCCGCAGGTACAAGTGAGGCTGCGAAACCGGGCCTTTTGATTTGTAGCGAGAGGTGCTTGTTGGTTCTAACATGTTGGTCAGTCTCTACATAAAGTTGGGGGCCACGCGATCATTCGAAACAAGGGAAAGTTTTTCATCCTAGGAACTTGACAGAGATAATTTAAAAATTATGAAGTAGCTTTATCACTATTTCCTAGAGATATCCAATGATTTACTCATTATTAGACTGTAAAGTTAATCCGTCTACACGTGCCGTTATCGTCTAAACTGATCACAGATGTGTAACTAACTGTTACAACCGCGTGGGGGCCAAATTAATGCAAGGGTGGTTGTTCTTACTAAGCCTAATTAAGCCACCCGTCACTGTCACCGTGAATTTCTCTCCTTTTCAACAGGCAGCACACAGCATCAACATGCACCAAATTGTTTCCCCTAAACGATTAAATACCTCATGAACCAATATGGACGACGATATTCGATCCATGTCCTCCTGTGATATCCCGGAGGACATGTACATACGCAAGGTCGTGCCCTACCAGAGGACTATCGTATGAAAGCCCTGCAACACGCTCGTTTAGGAAAAGGCTCTCACCAAGATGCATAGTACTTTCGATATGGAACTCGAATCATTGAAGCCACAGGAAGTGCTTCCGACAACTGCCATCCAAATGTTTTGCGCCTTCGGATCCGCAAGACATGTATCGAGCGAATCATCCAGGCCATTATTTCATTCCTTCCCCTTGCATGGACGTGTTGGATCCGGTCCAGATATCCTGAGTGGTGTCTGCCAGCGAAGATCGTCCTCAAGATCGAGAAAGATGGCTGGGACGAAGAGTTTGAAATGGAAAAGGCAGCATACGAACAGCTTGAGCCCGTGCAAGGCATTGTCATCCCCCGATTCTATGGGCAAATAGAATACGACGGAAAACGAGCCTTGATACTTTCCGACATTGGGGGATACTGCGTAGCAACACCAGAAGGTGCAGTGCTGGACGAAGAAGATTTTCGTCCCTTGTTGGAGAACGCTCTGACCTCCATCAGCAAGCTAGGTGTCTCCCATGACGACAACAAGCTTGACAACTTCCATCTCGTCACGGAGGACGGCAAGGACAGGATCATGATAGTAGACTTGGAAATGGTGGATACGGGCCTGTCAGAGGGCGACTTTGCCTTTCTAGCCAAGGCGAGTGGAAATTTTGTGATGCGGCAGTATCGACAGCATTTGGAATGCATGGAGTATGACAAGGTCCTTCTCCCCAAGCGGCCGCTGAAGGCATAGTTATCCTCTCGAGAGCTGCGAGCAACCAACTCGACGGGAATATCGATTTATATTGACCAACAAGGCAAAGTTCAAGGTGGCTCTGAGCTATTAATGTGATTGGTGTGTTTAAGTCGTCATGTGAGGCTGGTCCGAGCATCTTACGTTTCACCCATCGTCATCTTGAAACAATTAACCCTCTCTTGTCACCATTTGCTTAGAAGACGCCTAGATTTAAACCTGAATATAACTCACTACGCCCTATATCCACCTTGAGCAGTAATGTCGCTGTTCCCTCCCTCTCCGCCTGGTATCTACGAGTTCACCGAGGTTCTCACATTTCACTTTTCAGACCCCTCTGTACCCCCAGCGCTTTCTGACGAGAGCACCGCTGTGGGAAAAGTTTGGGCATCTACACTAAAGACATATCTCGAGCTAGAGCAAACTGGCATAGTCTACTGGACCCTCGTGCATGGCTCTTCTCAGAGAGCCAAGTTATTCGTCGGTGCTTGAACTCCACCCTTCCCTCAGACGTTGGATATTCTAACTTGTCAAAGACTGGAAGACGGACCTTGGGAGAGAACAGTTTGAGTCAAGCACTAAGTTTGGAAACCTTCGCCTGGCCTGGGACACTGTTATTTCAGCACCTGTTCACTCAATCATTTACCGTCTTCCGTGGGGCGGCCATAGAGGGCACCCGGGGTTGCACAGCTCATATGACACCGTGTCCACCTTCATCACCTTCAACTTCTCCGTTACCCTCACAGAAGAGGACAAAGGAAAACTGGGAAATCTTCTTTTACAGTTTGCCAGATCTGTGCTGCAGAGTCCCGGTGGTGTGGTGTCCTCATACTGCACCACTGGATGGGAGTTGAACAACACTTCATGTTGCGGAATATTCCGCTACATCGGCATTCAAGAAATGCAGTCTTTTCTTCAACAGAGTCAGATGTTTGAGGAACTGCGATCACTTGCTACCAACGGAACCGAGGTAGAGTTTATGGAGGTGCGATGTTATAATCATGGGTGGCAGGGCTCAGCCGATAAAACTTATCCCGAGAACCCAGGAGCAGATGCTTTCTTTGCGAGCATTAGAGAGCTGTCTCAGCAAATTGGACCACGTGAGCCAGGGCGCCCAATGTTTGGCTAGGTTGGTCTCCCACTGGTCGACAGCCACTGGAGGCCGTTGTCAACATAGTGAGGTGTCACAGAAGGATAAGCTGTTTTTGCGTATGCAAAGAAAGAGATCTCTTTATTCAGTTCATGCTGTCGTCATGGCCTTACTGTCTACAAATCCTGTACAAGGCTTTCATGACATTCAATGCCGTCATTCAAGATGTCATCCTCTATAGTCGGAACTCCGGCCCAGTGGCTGCCAATCTTGATGTATTAAGGAAATCTAGGTAAATGAGCGGAAATTGTCGAATCAAAATATCTTGTCCTAGTCTCATTGACAGTTGATCTATAAGGTACCCAGTCTATAAAAAAGTCATGTTTTCCCTAAATGCTTCACCAAAAAGAAAAAGAAAAAATCCCGTGAGGAATTAACCCGGCCACAGTGTCTACGACTGCTTCTGCTTCTTCCCCTTGGGCATACGGACGAGCCAGTACAGGCCCAGCGACGCCAAAATGTTGACGACAATGTACACCATTCCGATACCCCAGTCTCTCCATCGGTTGTCGTAGCTGGAGCTCAAGGCCTCGAGGAAGACATTGGTGTCCTTCATGGGGCAGTACTGGCAGTCGGAGGTGGCGCTCTCGTTGAGGACGTAGCCGCCAGCTGCAGCGACGTAGTCGGCGAGGTAAGTAGCGCAGTCCTGGCCACTGGGAGCGTCAAAGACGACGTATTCGTTGGCTGCGCATGTGACCTCGGTGTTGGCCAGACCAGTCGCCATGATGGCTGAGACCAAGTACGTGAAGGGGGAGACACGATACATGAAGATCCAGAAACCGGGCATCTGGTCGGGAGAGGCCAAAACACCACAGAAGAACAGGCAAAGCATGAAGAGGACGTTGGCAAGGTTACCACCAGCCTCGGCAGTGTCGGTGATGGCGATACAAGCGTGAGCAAAGGTACAGGTGAAGATGAGGAACTGCCAGAACAGAAGCCACATGAGGGCACCGCGCTCAGCAGTCTGACCGGCCGCCTCAGCGTTCTTGTGGAAGCCAACAGGATAGTAGACGCAGACAAACATCAGGACCGACATGAGAGTGTTCCAGGGTATCTCGACAATGACCTGGGACAACATAAAGACCTTCCAGCTGTAAGCCTTGGATGGGCGCTCGCGAACCTCGTATAGGGACCGTTGGGTGACAAAGTGGGGCATCTGCTGCTGGACGAGCTGGCCAAAGATGGTCAAGATGTTAAAGACGGCGAACATCTGGTTCTGCAAGCCCTGCATGGTCAGGGGGGCGTTGAGGAAGACCAGACCGATGAAGAGAGCAACCAAGATACAGAGAGCAGCCTTGGAGTAAATGTACGAGGGAGTTCGCCAGTACTGCTCAAAGGCTCGCTTGGTGGCAATAACAAGCTGCTCCCAGAAGGGGGCGGCAAACTCGGTGTAGGCACCGTGGTCGTGGTCTTGGTGGGCGGTAGAGTTGGCAGGGCCTTCAGCCTTGAGACGGTGAAGCTCGGTCTGGACGGCCTGGTACTCGGGGCTGTCCTTCCAGGTCTGGTGCCAGTCGATTTCGCTGTGAGAACCAGGGGCGGCGCCAATGACCTCGAGCATCCACTCGGCAGGGTTCTCACCCTTGGGGCAGGCATCGGATCCGTTCTTCTCGAAATAAGAGGTCAGAGTCTCAGAGTTCTCACCGATATCGCCGAAGTAGATGGTGCGTCCACCCTTGGCAAGGAATAGAAGACGATCGAAGCGTTGGAAGAGCATAGCAGAGGGCTGATGGATGGTGCACAGGATAGACTGTCCGGCCTTGGAGAGCTTCTCGAGAAGGTCAAGGATAGCCCAAGAGGTCTGCGAGTCAAGACCAGAAGTAGGTTCATCAACGAACAGCAGCAGAGGAGGCTTAGCAGCGAGCTCAACACCAATGGTAAGACGCTTGCGCTGCTCAACGTTGAGACCCTCACCAAGGATACCGACGACGGCATCAGCATACTCTTCCATGTCCAACAGCTTGATGACTTCATCAACATAGGCAATCTTTTCGGCGCGGGGAGTGGTGGCAGGCTGTCGAAGAAGGGCGCTGAAAGTCAGGGCCTCGCGAACGGTGCTGGTTTCCAAGTGAAGATCCTGTTGCTGGACATAACCGGTTTTACGCTGGAACGAAGAATCGCGGATCTTGCCATCGACAAGCATTTCACCAGTGATGACACCCATGGAGATACGATCAGCGAGACAGTCGAGAAGAGTGGTTTTACCGGCACCAGAAACACCCATCAGAGCAGTCAGAGTACCGGGCTTGACCCAACCGTCAACATGGTCCAGAATGCGTCGAGGTTCTCCCTTGATCTTGATGTCGTAGCAAACGTTGTTCCAGTGGAAGACGCTGGTGGAACCCTGAATGTTGGCGTTGTCGCTCTCGTTCCCGCTCTTCTCGGCAGCCTTGATGGGACCAGAATAAGCAGCCTCGGCATCACCCTTGCCCTGAGAGACAGCAGGCATGTTTCCACGTCGGAAGACGAGAACCTCGCCCTTGGACTTCTTGGCGGCGATGAGTTCAGTGGCAGCGATGTAGGTGAAATGGAAGAAGAGGACGAAAGCGATGATGATTCCGACGTTGCGCCACTTGTGGCTGTGGTAGTACTTGTACTTGGAGTTCATGAAGGCGTCACCGTTGACATAATCCTGACCGGGCAGAGCGCCCACAGCGGAGCAGGCGCGCATGGTGCCTGTGATGTTGGCGTACGTGGGGATAGCCGTGCTGGGGACGAACTGGTTGCAGGTAAAGTTGCGGTTGTGGAATTCGTTAATCATGAGAGCCTCATAAGCGTAAGCGACAGGGTCGAGATAGTTGATCCAGCGGCACCAGCCAAGCATGTAGTCGACGGGAATGACGAAGCCGGCAAAGATGACGAGAGCGAGAATCAGGATCGAAGCCGGAACCATGGCCTGCGAGAGCGTTCGAGAGACGGAGGCACTGAAAGGGTTAGAGATTGATCGGTTTAGAGTAAAGGGGGACTTACATAGTTCGGAAGATACCGGACATGGCCAGGACCATGAGGAAAGAGACCAAGAGGAAAAAGAAGAAACCGCCAGGAGTGCGGTTAAGGTTGGTCATGAAGTACAGCGTGAGATTGTAACAGATACTGTTAAGAATCTTGTACGGCATGTCGACCAAGATAGACGAGAAGGCTTCCGCAGAGGCATGGTAAAAAGCGTAACGAGTGTGTTTCTCAACGATGGGACGTTGAGCGTATTGAGTCAAGATTTCCAGAGCACTAGCAAACGCGTTGGCGAGAACACCGATGAACAGGACGATTCCTCTGTTCTGGAAGGATCCGGTTGTCTCGGGGAGGTTGTACAGCAGTGAAGAGGCGATGAGAGCGGTAGACGTGTTGGCGATGAGAGAAAAGATTGTGACCTCGGGTGAACCCTTGAGACGCTTGAATCCTCGCCACAGGCAGAGCTGGACCTGCTGCACGTAGGAGAGGGTGAAGGGAGACTTGAGGCGCTGACCCTTGGCCTGGGTCTGCTGCTTGTTCTCTCGGAAGGCGTCGGCGCTGGAACCGTTGAGGGGGTACAGGCTCTTGTAGGTGTCGATCTCGTTCTGCAGGAGCTGATACTCTCGGCTCTCCTTCCATCGGGCGGCGAATTCGTCGGGCGTACGGGGGGCTCGGTTCTCCCAGCCGGGACGGACGATGCGCTCAGAGGGCGCAGTCATCGAGGTCAGGAAATCGGGTGTCGTCTGTCGGTCAGGGCACTCGAAGCCGAGGTTGATGAAGTAGGCCTTGGCGTCCTCGGCGCGACCAAAGAAGATCTGTCGGCCTTCGTAGAGGACCAGGGCCTTGTCGAACAGGTCGTAAGCGCTCTGGGGAGCCTGATAGATGGAGACGGCGCAGGTCTGGCCGAACAGCTCGGATTGGAGTCTCAACGTCTTGCAGAATTCGATGGCGTTGGCAGAGTCGAGACCACGGGTAGAGTTATCCCAGCATTGGAAGGGGGCATTAGAAAGAGTGGCCTCGGCGATGGTCACACGCTTCCTCTCTCCGCCAGAAACACCACGGATGTAGTTGTCGCCGACTCGGGTGTTGATGGTGTGGCTGATACCGTACATAGCCATAACGACATCCCTGAAATGGTCGCTGTACTGGTTGTGGGCGACACCTGGGGGCAGGTTCTGAGGGCATCTCGCGCGGGAGGCAAAGGTGAGAGTGTCACCGACTGAGAGCATGGGGAAGTGAACGTCGACCTCGGCGGTGTAAATGGCTTCACCCGAGTGATGGTTGTGCATCTCATCGGCCGGAACACCCTGGTAGTTGAAGTAGGTCTTGTCGTCAACATAGATACCATTGGTCTCTCCAGAAATCGTCTTCAAGAAGGTCGAGCAACCGGAACCAGGAGGACCGAGAACGACAACCATCTCACCAGCCTTGACGACACCGTCAAAGCCTCGAAGAATGTCGATCCTTCGCTTGCCGCGGTTGGGAGAGGCGAGGTTGGTGATGGCACTGGGAATGCCGAGCCAGACGTTACCAACATCCTTCTGATAATCCGTCTCCGCGCCGTAGCCAAACACGTTCATGTCCTGGAAGCAGAGACCGCTCTGTCGGAAACCACTGCCGTGCTCTGCCATGGTCTTGGCGACGGCCTTTGCCCAGGCTCTGGCATTGAACTTTTCACTCTGAGGGTTCAGAGGGGAGTCCTTGTCGTCGGCAGCAAAGAGAGCAGCACCATCACCCTGAAAGTTCTGCATAGAAGTCTGGGTGTACTGCCGGGCGAGGTCGCGAACGATGGAGTGGCGACGCTCCATCTCGTTCAAGTTCTCCTCATCCTCATCGTCGTCGCTGGAGCTGGAGCTGGACTTTTCGTTGGGGGACGCATTCTTGGGCTTCTCGGTGAAGTGAGCGGTAGAGGCGATGCCCTCCATGTCGACGACGGTGTCGTGGCTGCCGTGGACAGAGCCGGGAGCGCCCATGGGTGCCTCGCCCGGGGCAGGGCTTGGGTTGGGGGAGGCAGGCATGTTTTTGATCAAGACAGATGCTGTCCAGTCAAGCGCTTTGGGTCGTGCCGTACCGGTGTCTGTGAGCGTTGTATCTGGAAATTGAGTCAGAGGTGATAAAAAGGGGTAATGAAGGAGAGAAATCTGACTTACAAGTTCTAAGGAATTAAGAAAGCAAACAAATATTAAGTATGTATGTAGTAAAATAAAACAAAAGGATAGATCTGAATTGTCCAAATTGACACTGACCACAACGAGGCTCCTCCCCAGGTCTAATAATGGCCCTCCCGCAAACTTGATCGAGCCCGTATCTTCCGAGATGCTGGATGCCTGTGGGTACCCGATGCGGGCTCCGCAGACGAGACGCACACGGGGACGGTCGACTCCCCGTCCCCGACAAGACCTTCGGGGCCCGTCTAGTGTCCGTTTCCCGACAAACGTCAACAGTGTGGGTGGCAATTATTAATGTGCAAATACGGATACACAGCCCTTGCAAAAAAGGTGTACGAAGAGTACCCAATGCCCCTTGCAACAAGTCCTGCATCTCGTTATCTGCGCGCAGCAAGAAATATCCTAGTTCGCCCGCCGGCTTGACTCTCTTACCGAACTCCAAAGAACGAAAAAAAGAAGTTTCTGCTGCTTGCTTACGTTTTACCTGTTCCTTCCCATATTGCCACATTTGGACATTGTACGACATCATGGCAGCCCTGCCTACAGAACAACCGTCAAGGCCAACAGAGTCCAAGAGAATCTTGGCTTGTGTGCTTTGCCAGCAACGCAAGAAGAAATGTGATCGCAAGAGTCCATGCTCCTTTTGCATCAAGGTATGTTTTTACACATCTTCAACATACCCAAACAAGATATTGACCTTAGTTTGATAGGCCAAAGTCACTTGCATACCGAGTACACCAGCTCCCAAGCGTAAGCGACGGAAGCCCACAAAGGAGCTTCTTGAACGCTTGGAGAGATGCGAGCAGCTCCTCAAGAGATGCACATGCGTGCAAAAGTCTCAGATGTATGACATGCCAGGACATTATAGCGAGTCCAGCAGCAGTCCCACGGATAGCCATTCGAGTCCACCTCCAGAGTACGAAAAGGTGACACCTTCGAGCTATGAGCAGCACCAAACCTTTTCACCACAATAATCATTGCTTTTGTTGAAAGTATACAACTCTTCTCAGTCACTTGACTTCTTTTTGTTTTGGCGTTGATTTGGAGACAACTGCTCATAAAAGATGGGAAAGAAGGGGCGTATACTCTATCTTGATGCCGCAAAAGCATCTGAATGCGTTTTGTTTTGTATACCTGGGGGTGTCTGGCGTCAGGTACAGTACAGAATCTTTGATGGTTAGCGAGCATTGGAGAGATAGAGGGCGGTATATTGGGCAACAACAATATTTGGCCAACACGGTTATGGGGGCGTTGATACGGATACCATAATAAACGAAATTGTAAAGAATCCTGTAGTATATATCATTCATCGTTTCAAGTCACGCCATGCAAGTAACATGATGCTCAAAAGTTGATGGTCTCGTGGTGTGCCTCTGGTGGGTGAGTGAGAGTCGAGAGGAACGGGGAACCATCGAATGTCGTTGAAAAAAACCTGGGGGGTAAGAGGTCTCGGTAAATTCTGAACCCCTGCCCCAAATGCCCTGTGGATCCTCCCCTGCCAGGATCATCCACTAGTCTCCGCCGTGCCAAGACGTGTCGGACCCGACGAGGACCCCGGGAACGCGCTTGTTAGACTTTTGAGCGTTTATTCAGCTCAAGTGTCAGACCTCATGCCTCGGAATCTGACAGCTTGGCTTCAACCTAATGATTGGATCGAAAGCCCCTGTTTGAGAAATCAAGATCTGAAATGACAAGGGCACCAGTGACAGGGTATGACTACAACATTCGTCACTCCTGAATCAACGCATTGAGAACCATAATGACGTCCATTTCTTAACGTGGGGCTTCACGAATAAGATTCTGACTCCCTCCAAGTTACACTTTTCTTACCCCGGGCTCCGTTACGGGGCCGTCTCCGGACACCGTCCGGACGAAAGCTGATAATCTCCATGGAGTTGGGGGCAAAAACGTGGCAATGCGGTCTTTTTTCCCTCTCGAAACTCTATTTTCCCCTCAGGAGGTTATCTTCCCCTCATGAACGTTATCTAATCATCCCGAGAGCGAAAATGTCCGCAATCCCTGCGTGGCGATGCGTAGTCGTGAATGTCGTCATGGTTGAAAATTGTCAATATTTTCATTCATGCCTGTCACACATGAGCCCCCGGTAATGAAACGGGGAGAATCACGCCACGTTTTTCAAGTCTGTGACACCTTTCCTTTCGTGTTCTTTTTCTTTTCTCTAGATGGCGCTTGGACGTACTTGACGTGGCCATGCCCCCCTCCCTCCATGTTGCCGGGTTGCAATTGGAATTTGCATCATTCTTGGCCAACATTACCGGAAACGTAGTCATTCCTAAAGCCGAGGCTTCTATTGGTGAAATACCAGAAGCTTCTCTTACTCGAGATAACATGTTCCCGAACCAACATGTGTGTGTCTCTTGATAATCCCCGGTGGACTGGACGGGAGTTGCTAAATGTCCGTCGTACTCGTATTCTTGTTACACACCAGTATCACAGCACACAATGATAACAGTCTCCTAATCGGTGTAGAACATGGCCGGTGGTCAGCGCAGTGTCTAGAACAGCAAAAGCGAGACCGAAACAAAGAAAAGAAGAAAAGTTGAATAGGGGACTTCGGGGACTTCATGTCCGCGGGACGCGCGGGGTGTACTACGGCATTACGGCCCCGTCACCATCAAGAAGTTAGACGGGTATTGAGTGAGATTATCGATTCAAAGTCCCCGCTTTCGGTGAGGATAACTTGGGGTTGCATCAGGAGCAGTCTAGCCAATCTTCAGCCGAGTTCAGGCGCTCCACCAAAGTGTGTGATACACCTTCATGAAGCGAGTGTGACGATCATTTGTTTTCTAAGGGATGGACTCTTAACAAGTGCCAGACGTCCTACAAACAAGAAGGTAGAAGTCAAATCCAGTAATATGCTCAAGGGTACTGAGTATCACTCCAATATATCAATAGCAAAGAGAACTTCTGCGTAGAAAAGCGCAACTGAGCGTGTTCTGTGTAATACTAAGATGTTTCTATTTCGATCCAGGGTAGCACCGAGGTAGGAGTATCAGTCCTCTCGGCCCTACCCCGATCTGCAGGGGCTCTACCCGTCCGGCCTCTATCTCGGTACCTTCATCGAGGCCGAGTGGCCCCTCACGATCAATATCGCCCCCAGTGGCCCGGGGCTTCCCATTCGTTGAGCTTTGCAGAAGGTAAGCCATTCTTAGCCTAGGCACGGGGGAAAGGGGATGAGGACAGATGGAGCAAGCATAGAACAGCCAAGATCGCCCGGTGAGCCGCCCCAAGGACAGGACTGGTACCCTTGAGTCTGTGTGCTCAGAGGTGCCATTGGCCGAGCGGGAGGGTGCGGACCCCGAACAGGAAGAGCTGGCTGGTATTGGTAATGATATTGATCGTGGTTGACAGCGTAGGTTTGTGGGTCTGCTGTAGCTGCATGATCTTCTCATATATTAATTTAATACACGAAATTTGGTAGTAATCCAGATTGCAGATTGGTGCTACCGAGTAGAAGGGCTTGGATGGAAACTGGATGGGGATGAATACTGGGTGGCTTTGAACGGGTATGGATGGATGTTGCATATAGGGGACTCACGGTATCATAACGATGCCCGATGAAGAGAAAAGGAGAGAAGTCAAGAGAGACAAAACGATCTTCGGGCTCAGTTAACCCATCAAGGGCCGGGCTACCATTGAGATAAAGCACAAATTGTCAACACATCACAGCATCATGACCCGATGCTAAACAGTGGCCCTTTTTAAACCTTCTGCTGCCGGCAGAAGCTTTCTTTACAGCATGTACCCCAGGATGTAGACGGTTAAAGAGTGCTTCGTGATTGGAGGTAGAGAAGATTTAGAGATTTCTCTATGTACAGGGTAGGCACGTGGAGGACGCGTTTGAGATGAAGGGCGGCACGTACTCAGGGGGTCAGGTGATCCGTGACCCCTCTGTTCATCACAGAATAGAGGGGCACTTCGATAGAATACGCCCCCTGGGTATACCAGAGGGGATAACAACACTACCACCGTAATGAACAAGAACATTTTCAACAGCTGCATGGAAGCTTATAGTCAGCTAAGTTTAGAACCTTCCTTTCTTGATTGCTTGTAAGAGCTCCTTATCTCGGGAGGAATTGAGAATTGGCTGCGTTGTTCCATTGCCGCCCCTGGACGGCGTTCTTCTCGCCATCGTCAATGTTAGATACTGTCCGGTGCTTAAGTTGGTATTATGACATGAAAAAGAATATACGACAAATGAAAGGGAAAGCTGGGAGGGGGGGTGTGCCAAGTTGATCAAATGCTTGTGTTTGCAGCTTCAAGGACCTTGGCGGAGATGACAAGGATATGCTGCAAGAGTGTCTAATCGTTTTCTTAAGGTTGAAAGAAAAGCATACTAAATTACGCTTAAAGAGTCTCAGGGTTGGTTTAATAATATTCATAGAAGCAAGCTCCGGTTCTGTCTTGTAGGATGTGGTGTCGAGGAAGACCCCTGATGTCAGCTGCTATAGCAGTGCCTGCATGATCAGAATGGAAGGTTCTCAATAGTTTAAAAAATAAATGGAATCATTGAGGGAAAATCAATGAATTACTGCTATGTCCTGGGGCATGATGTGTTGTGGATAAGTCGCACATGCAACTCATTATTATCTGCATTGATGACAAGAAGCTAAGAGCCCACAACAGCCAAAGACACATGTAACTCATACCTGGAATTTGCTTTCATCGATTATTTAATACTATGGCACTTTATGCAAACGCTTCATCATCATCGCGGTGCCTCTTATTTGATCCTTTGGTTTCATCTTGTTCTATATCTCTCGACATAGGCAGTCCATCAAGAGAGACTATCAACACAATGGCCTCTTACTTTCTTTTCTTTTTCAACCCCAACATTACCCTGGTAATATAAATCAATAGCATCCGTCTGCTTTCGTCCATTCCCATTCATCAACATTGAGATTGACACATGGGAAAAGTGCCTGGCCGCAGTCAACAGGTTGCCAACAATAACAAGAACAACAACAACGGCATTTCCCCATCACGTTAATCCTCAGTAAAAGCCTCTTTTTAAAATCTGCACTTCTCCGTTCGACCAAAGACGCCTCGAGGCTACATGGTGGCTAAGTCTCTTCTTCGCCACACCTCCATCGACCCATTGGGCTGTCCAGGGATTCTGCACTTTCGCCCCTTGTTCATTCCTACACCCGAACTAACAATGTGGTTTCACCTTCAGAGCTCAACGGTGGTGGTCTGACCGCTACGGTTAGGATTGAAGACCTGCCTTGTTCAATTGGTCAACCGCTAGGAAGAAGAACAAGGAGGAGGAGGAGGGAGAGGGGAAAAGAGGCAATAGCAAATAAAAAAGGCGATTGATGTTTCCCCTATTCCTGCTACTAATATTTTATCTACCAAGATCGCCATAGTGCTCGCAACCCTGTACAGCTGTGACTGATGGGAGGACAGCATATTTGAGGCATTGCCAGGAAAAATAACACCTGAGGCCATCTCGGCCCGCTTGTCGGTTAGGAATGTCTTTATTGCCGAGCCTGATTTCAAAAGCTGCCGTGGGCAGTGAACCGCCAGCCTGATATGCATGCTGGTCACAAACAACTCCAATCAGATGCCAGATAGAGTAACACAACAGTTGGCGAATGGCGCGCCAAGATGGCACCTGGACATGAGGCTCAAATTACCCCTCTTTGCTCCCATTGTTCCGCTCATCTCTTGTCCCCACGCTTTCTGGAATCACAGGTCTCGTCTTTTCAGCCCCGTGAAATGCCCAGGTCGCTTGACTGGTGTGCAAGCAGCCAACATCGGAACCAACTACAGGGCTCAGTATCAAAAGAGCACTGTGAATCGTTTCTTCTCTTGTGGGGAGGGCCTCCCTTTTTTATGCTTCGCCCACTAGGCTATCTGGACCCTGACACATCCTCGTGCCGTCGGGCGACACTCAGCCTCCATATCTGAGCTGGGAACTGCGCGACTGCGCCTCAATCACCAGCTATGGACGCTACGGACGACATGGTCATCGACACGTTTAAACGGTACCGGCTGTGGAGAAAAAGCCTCCTCGACTACCTGAAACAACAATTTCCTTCGTACAGCGATAAAATCTTAGTTGAGGTGAGTCTGAATGACAAAACATTTGCCGGGCGCACTGACAACGCCGTAGGAGCACGGAGATGTTTATCGCCTCAAGATCCCTGAAAAGTTGACATCGGTACGGATGTCACCCCAAACTCCTTTCTCATCCTTGTTAACACTAGTGTTTCGTAGGCGCAACGTCATCATATCTTGAAGTACGTGTGCTATCGGCCAGAGAGTGACGACGACTAGTCCGTACTCCCTCGGACCTGTTCTGCTTATGTTTAGCTGGGCTATGGGTACGCGCTTGGATTTCCTATGTAGTCCAATTATGAAATTGTTTACGTCTTCTGTAACGTTACGCCTGTAAACTTTGAACACAACAAATACATTTTGTTTCAGGCATACTTACTCCGTGTTGTTTCTCTTGCCGCCACTGCTGGCCGGATCATGAGCCACCCGATAGACACAGCCACAGGGCGTACCCTGAATGAGTGACTGAGTGGTCGGCCGACCTGGACACATGTGGTGGCAGGACAAGCAAGCCCATCCACCGCCCTAAGCTTGCAGTGAAAATGCAGAGTCTGCCCTGTGCTCATTCGCGTCCAATCCCGAGACACCCCTGGAGAGGGGAAATAGCCTCGGGGTGTTCAAAAGGATCATGAGCCTCTGCCCATGTTGTTCACCCATACTCCACCCTCTCATCCTGAGGCATCCGTCATCATTTAGCGTACCTGACTAAAATGGCCGACATCCATCATGCCCAGTTTGAGGAGTCGCGATCCAAGTTTCGGGACTATCCGCTCAATCTGAGCCGAACGACTGACTTCTCGTATACCCTCGCGGCATACAACTCGAAGTTAGGGAAGACAGTGCAAGGCGAGGAAGTATACTTTGACGACAGCCAACCCCGTATCAGAATCTGGGATCTTGAAAAGCCTCAAGATGGTCCGTATTTGGCAATGGTTATTTTTGGAAGCGATGTGCTAATTAGCCCTGCAGGAAAGCACGTCGCTAGGTCTGCTCAGTGTTGCGAATAATATGGCAATAAAGTAGTATATTATAATACATACCATATAATATGCGTTTTCTAATATTGTGACAATATGATATAAAGACTGCGATATTATGACTATATAATATAAGGATATCCATATTAGCAATATATTATCTATATTAGGTTATCAATTCTTAAGTAAATTGCCTTATAAAAGCTACCGAACGCCGCCTTACCCTATACTAGTGACAGGGATAGCTCGCAATTTATTAGCTCTTATTCACTTTCATACACTTCTTTATTGACAATTAGACCTATTATGCGATCACGCGTGAAAGAAACGCGTGAGGGGGGACAAACCATATTAGGTTAGGCCATCTTCGCTTTTGCTCCCCCCCCCCCTTTTTTTTTTATCACTTCTCGATCTTAACTTTATAGATCTACCCGCTATGCCTCAACAACGCCTCCCTTTTATGCAATCATCGCAACGAAGAGAGTCATTAATTTCCAGCGACTTTCTAGAGTTTTCCGGCAAGTAATTAGATAATCTAGACATAAGCTAAACATCTAAATGCCTATCATCTCGACCTCGCACTGCCTCCACAATATCCTCCACTAAGCCTAGAATATTATAGGTCTTCTCTTATATGCCAGACGAGGAGGTAAAGACGAGATACTATAATCAGCGGACTAGAAAAGAAGAGTAGCGCTACAAATATTATGATAAAACCTATGCCTCTTCAGGGGGTACTACAGCTCCTACAAAATATCTCATAGACCCTCCTCCTAACGGCCACGGTCTACCAAAAGGAGCCCCGCGGATAGCGAAAGTTATAACTATACGAACTATTATCAAACAAGCTCGTACTGCAGTAGAAGAAAATCCCCGAAAACGCCGTCGACTTAACAATTAATCCAGAGACTCTATCGACCCAGACTAGCTCGAAGTGTTATACGTGAGGTTTATTACGGCCTATTCTCTCCCATTTCAGCTCATGGAATGCCCAGAGTTCTAAGCTCTCTTAGCCTATATTAATAACGATATCGAGACTTAGCTTCCGGATACATATAATACCATTAAGATATAGATTATGCGCTAATATAAAGACCAGAAAGAGAGGGTTAAGCAGCGCATATAATCGGCAAAGTTAAGAATTCATATTAGCTATAACCTTTGGACTTCTCCCAACTCTTTAGCTATCTTAGGCATAGTCGCATACTATGTCACGGAAGACGGCCAGCTAGAACACTATATTTTAGCGTTAAAAGATATCGATAATAAGCACGATGGCTCTTATCTCGCTATAGCTATTTTAAAGGCGGTTAACGAATAGGGCTTTATATCTAAGCTTAGATATTTCGTAATAGATAACGCCGGTAATAACGATATAATAATAAGATCCCTTTCTCTTAGTAAGTATAACTTCACTCTTTCTCGCATGCCCTAATATTCACACCATAGGCCTCCTACGCCGATATAACATCTAATACGATCCCAAAGTATACCGACTCCGCTGCTAAGGCCATATTATCAACCTCGCCGCCAAAGCCTTCCTCTTCGTTACTAATAATAAGAAGCTCGAACTCGACGATCCTAGTATATATAATATGACACTAAAACATATTAAAGCGTGGCGGAAGAAGGGGCCTCTTAGCAAGATTTATAACTTCATCGTTTTTATCTAACGAAGTATCCAGCGTAGCTAAAAGTTTCTTACTATTAGCCATAACCATAAGCTCGCACGGGATAACGATATAAGATAGAGTTCGTGGTATAACATACTACGAGTAGCCCTAAACCTCAGAGATATAATTAACGGCTATTTTAATAAATAGATAGAATTAGATTACACTAGAGACGAGCTCTCTTTAGAGGACTAGATTATCTTAGAGAAAATCAAGTCCTTCTTAGAGAAGCTAAAGATAACGACTAAGGCTCTCGAGTCATCGTTTATAACACTCGATAACGTCCTCTTAGCTATAGATTTCGTTTTGGCATAATTCAAAGCAGAGAAGGAGGCATATATTAACGATCCGATAATAGCGCTAATATATAACTCAGGCTGGGCTAAGTTAGATAAATACTACTAGCTCACTAATAAATCGCCTACCTATATTGCCGCTATCGTGCTCCACCCTTCGCATAAATAGCACTATATATAGGAGAACTAGAAAAAGGAGTAAGTTAAGTCATTAAAGAAGTTAATAGAGACGCTATGGAACAACTATAAACCCGTGGAATTACCTCTTCCTCTCTGCGAGGTCCCATCGACGACTATAAATAAGTTCTTAAACTAAAGGAATAAGCACCTATAGCTATCACTCGTCACGGATGAATATAAATATTATTGCAAGTCTGAACGGGTTTATAGGTTCATAAGCGCCCTTGCATAGTAGCTAGAGGAGACACAATAGAAAAACTACCTAAACCTAAGTAAAATAGCGGTAGATATACTATTAATTCCCGCAATATCTGCTGAGCCCGAATGACTCTTCTCTGGGGCTAAGATAACTATTATAGATCGTCGAAATCGGCTTAGGAGTGATATAGTCGAAGCACTAGAGTGCCTAAAGTCATGGTTTAGGATACGAGAGTTTCAAGGTGATATACTTTAGCTGCCGCGGTAGAATAACCTAGATCACGTATAATATATGGGATATATTATCACACTAGCAATATATTAGGTTCTTAGCAATATAATACAATATAGGCCAATATCATATGGCCTAATATAATATGCACCACTTGGCAATATAATAATATTGCGAGGCTTCCATATTGCCAATATACGTATTGTTTATATTATTCGCAACACTGGGTCTGCTGTCGACTTGGTTCAACTCCAAAACGCCCTGAACGAAACCCCAACCGATCCCTGTCGGAGGTTCATGTACGTGCAAAGAGCATAAGCTTGATCTAAAACTGACATGATCTCGCAGCTTCATCAAAGCTGGAAGCAACAAGTCTCCTCTCAACTGCACACGAGAAATGATGGCGTACCTATTCACCTATCATCAGGTCATGGCTCGTTTCCTCGACTTCTGGTGCTCCTTCAAATTCCGGGAGACGTCTCACAGCTTCACCCACTTCCAGAATGAAGATTACCTCGGCTCGCAGCATCACCAGCCTGGATTGATTCCCATGGGTCGATCTGGCATCAGAATTCAGCATTGTTTCAACATTCTTGGCATCGAGAGAAGCAGAGACAACAAAGGGTGGGAGCTTCGACAAACAGCAGCGTATCACTCCTATGATCTCATTGAGGGCCGCGCCTTGTGGGTCGTCCTCAAGGGCGATAACACCATGAGAAGGCGTCTCGAAACTACAACAGAAGAGTCTATCAAGAAAGGGGATGCGCCTCTACAAAGCGTGCATGCATCATTCGCCCAAACACTAACAGACCATCTTCTAATCATGCAGTGGTGCGTCGAAAACTGGGAGTCTTATGCCGAGGGCCTTGAACGCAAGTACGCGAGCCTCTCGGGGGTAGCAGACCATGCTCCCGTGGATGACTTGGCCGATGATATCGCTATCATCAAGCAACACGAAAAGGTCGACATTACACCAGGTTCACCTCTCAAGCAGCAAACAAGTGGTCTTGAAAAGTCTCCTGAGTCACCAGGGTTTGCCCGAAGGCTTTCTATGAAAGTCACTGGTCTCAGCACAGTGACTCAAGTAGAGCCTCCCCCTCGAAAAGTAGAGCACGTCAGAATGGAAGGTCTAGTGCAGTTTGACGAGCTCCAATCGCTGAGCAGTCTTGCCAAGAGCCTCGGAGAAGCAGTATCAGCAATCACTCAAAACCGAAGAGTCTTGGCTCAGATCAGGGAGTATTACCGGGAACTCGTCAACTCGGAGGGATTCAAACGTCACGTCCCCAAATCTACAATGAAGCTTTGCAAGCAGGCCGCCTCGGAGTTTGCAATGAAAATAGGGAGACTGGAGGATGACCTCGCCAACTACGAGGGCAACCTCAAGACTATCCTTCACGGTGTTGAGAGGACAGAGACAATGGTGAGTTCCTTTTCATCTGGGAGCACGAACCACGGCTGACTGGAAATTAGTACAACGGCATCCTCCAATACCAGAGTATGCGAACGGCAAAGTACTTTGCCGAGTCATCGGAAAAGTCAACCGAGATCATGAAGGGCTGGACGCAGGAGATGCATGAAAAGACCATGTCGATGCATGTCATTACAGTCTTCACACTCATATTTCTCCCGGGAACATTTGTAGCTGTAAGCCTGCCCTTTCTATGAGCTACAGCCAATCCTGACAACTTGCTAGACCATCTTCAGCAGTGGCATCATCTCGTTTGGGCAGGATGGTGGTCCCGGCTTCGGCTCTGCAATGGGCGCCTGGAAAGTCCGGCTGGCCGCCTTGAAGCTGTTTGCTTCCGTATGCTTTCCATTGCTAACGTTGACATTGGTGGCATGGTGTTGCGCTTATTGTTCTGCAAGGCGTAAAAGAAACGCGCAGAACCAATCCCTTCACATGGTGTGACACGATAGATTTCCTACTTTTTTTTCTTTCATCTTGTACCTAGGTATTGTACATTTCTCAAGGGCCTGTGACTTATTAGGGTTAGACATAGAGATCCATAGATGGCGTTCGGAACCAAATTATCAAGAAGCTGGCTTCACCTTTCTTTCTGCAAGGGCCTGATGTTTCTTAAAAGTGCGACTTGAGTGGGGGGAGTGTATGGGACCTGCCTCTTTGCAAGGCAGACATGACGTCCATAGAGGACAGTTCCTCATCACAAGTGTTTGCCGACCCAAACGTCAGAGTATTGGTCTGCCCTGCAGATGAGTGATATTGCGAATCGCCAATGATTGGCTGAACTTCAGGAACTTCCATCTGATGGCCTGGGGCCAGCCGCTAACGTTGATGGATGATCGCCTGGCGTTCTAGCAGGCTGACCCCTGCAACCGCAGCGGATTACAGTTCGCCTAGGTAGGTGGCACCAGGCCCTGACTCGCAGCTCCAGGGCTGACGGGACATTGGGGCTGGAGCTTAGCAAGGGCTGCAAGGTTTACTAGGCTGATGCGTGCGCTAACAGCGCGATTGGCCGCCCGAGCCTAAATCAGCGTGGATATGTTTCGGTAGGTTGTTATCTGAGAGGAAAGCGACAAAAGACATCAACATCATGATCTGGCTTTGCTGCGTTGCATCTCCAAGTCGCATTAGACAGCCAGAGCTGAAAACCAAGACAGGGGTTACTCCAATGACCTCAGTGATTACCAACACCTGTCGGCTAAGCGCTGAACGTTGTGTGGCTGAACAGCAGAGGAACGATTGGGTGACCCAAAATGGATGGGATACAGCTGTCTCAGCCGAGTTCAAAATGTGCGACCTATGCAACCCACCTTCACCCCCAAAGAAGGCGTTCAGGCGCGTTCTCAGCCTCGATAAGGCATTCGATTGCCTTGCCGAGGATGCCTTGTAGCCTGAAAGCTTCCGTTCGCAGAGCGCGCCCACGATGTGGTGCTGTGCGTTCCGTCGCAAGTGTGCTGTTGACCCCTCCTTCCATCCTCCTTCCATCCATCCCGCCCTGATGCTCTTCCATCTCACAAACGTTTGAACCTACAACAACGCCTCGTTTGCTGCAGAATTACCAGGCGCATCTGCTATCGCATGCATTTCTACGTCCAAATTCCTGTCGCGATTCCTACCCCGCCATCTTGTTTTATGCCTCGCGCGCACTCTATCTCTGTCTCTCGTTGAACATTCCCGTCCAGGCTTCAGCCCACCCCGCGAGTTTGCTCAACATCATCCTCTCACGAGCCGTTACATACAGCATCGACCCTCTCCGTAACTCGCGACCGACGTTACAAACTCTTGTCCAACGATTGCCAACCCGGCACAGCCACTCGCCGCCCCGGATCTCCGTCGCAGCGCATCGCGCCCTTCGATCCATGTCGAGCAACGATGTCCCAATACTTGGGGAGCAGCTTGGTCGTATGAAGTTGCAATTCCATGGCCAAGATGGGACTGGAAGTGAGAGACCGCATTATATACCTCGGTACCGTCTAGAGGCATTTTGGGAGGCCCGCAACATCGACGCGATATTGAGGGCTTATTCCGTCAACAAACCTAAAGGTGTCATATTCCAGAGCTTCTTGTGCACTTTTTCCCTTCTCGTGTACATCAACAAGGTCGACTTCCTTAGGTGGCTCGTCGAGCGCAATATAAAGGACGCTACGTTTCCCCTAGAAACCCATCCCCCATCCTGGCCCGATACGCCACCGTATCTCGAGCTTTTCGAAGCCATCACCAAATCGCAGTGGATATTCTTTCCCGTCACCTTTGAACAACACGAGCTTTACAATCAAGTCTTCAGCCCTCAACACATCTTTCCCATTTGCACAGAGGAGCTCATCAAGGCTGGTGACATCATCCAAGTCCACAAGATTGAAACGAATCCGTCTTGCGCAGGATCCTTCCCGGTACGAAGCAACCCTGTAGCATACCTATCTTAAGTTCACTGCTTACCCATGCCAATGACAGGCTACTTACGTCCGCAAGACTTACAATGAATTCGGCAAAGCGCAGTACAAAAGAGAAGTAAAAACTTTCACCAGTCTGCAAAGCCGTTCCTCCCCCAACATCATCAGCTTTCATGGTTGCTACCAACAAGAACGCCCAAACAACGCCATTACATACAATCTGATATTGGGTTTCGTCGAGGGCGAAAACTTGGAAGAGTTTTATACTACCATGAGCCCACCGCCCTCACCGTCCGAAGCCAACATGATCTGGAATGCCTTTTCTGGTGTTTTGGAGGGATTGCATCATCTTCATTTGGCTGCCATCGACACTGGCTTCCAGACGTAAGACAGACTTGATGTCTCAGAATATCAGAGCTAACGGTGCACTACAGCATTCATCAGGACATCAAACCTGAGAACCTTCTCGTGTCCAAACCCGCATCAAGCCAGTCCTACGATATTGGGCTCGTCATCATAGACTTCGGATATAGCCACACCAAAGTCCTGACTACTGGCCAAGACGCGTGGGGTATCGACTTGCACGGAGGCCAGGTCTACGGTAAGCACCCTTCCCAAACATAAGTTGTCCCATCGCTAAATCGACAAGGTGCCCCGGAGGCTAGCCACCATGCCGACTACACGCGTCTCGGGCGAACTCCCATCACTCCCAAAGTCGACATTTGGTCCCTCGGATGCGTCATGAGCGAGGCTGCAATATGGATCAAGTGTGGCTGGCAAGGCCTGGAAAAGTATCGAAAAAACCGCGTCGCCGAAACGAGAACACTACCAAGGTTTAATGAAGCTGGTCACGGTGGATGTTTCCATGACGGCGCTGAGACTCTCAGCACCGTGCGAATCGCCCATGACTGGATTCGCAGAACTTTCCCAGACGACTTTGTTACACTCCAGGTGCTTGATATGATCGAGAAGTTCATGCTAGTCCCGCAAAGAGATCGACAAGACGCCCAAATGCTCTGCGAACGACTCGTCAAGATCATACAAGCCCCTTCCTCCACTGATGCCTACAGCCCACCACCACCTAGCTCACCACCAGCCAGATCGTCATCAGTCAGGTCACCATCAGTCAGGTCGTCATCGGTCAGGTCGCCATCAGTCAGATCACCACCAGCCAGCTCACCACCTCGCATTGAGACTCGTCCAACTTCTTTTGGTTATCCCTGGACACCACCGACGGGGCATCAATCCCAGAATACAACCACAAATACAACCCCCGCCACACCCCAATCCCCTATCCCTACTTCGGCAACAGGATACTTGACGCCCTTTTCGCCTATGGTTGAATTGCCTGGAAGTCAACCCAACGGAGTGCATCATCCTGAGTCCTTCCAAACCCCTACTCCTGCTCCACGCCCTGACTCACCACGACTCTTACCGTCGTCCCCTATCCTGACCTTTGATCAACTCAGGGATTGGTACAACCATGCCAAGAACAGACGCAGTCACGTCGACCCGAGGGTTGAAGATGTCGTGCGCAAACTCGGGAACAACGTTAAGGGTCGTGACCACATTTTTTTCGTGGATGTTTCCCAATCAATGTACCAATATTTGCCCGAGATCACGGAAACGTTCAAGCTTATGGCCTATCTGGCTAAAAGGTTCGATCCCGACGGTGTCGAAGTTTGCTTCTCTTCTGAAGTGCCATCGATACACAAGGAAACCACTTCAAAACTTCTACCCAGGTTCAACGAACAAAATTGGGACCAGATCTCCTTCGAGGACAGAATCAGCACATTCATAGATCAAATAGTGATCCCACGACTATCGTCCTGGCACCAGAAGCTTGGGCTGACGAAACCGAAAAACCTGACTATCTTCGTCCTGACCGATGGCCGATGGGGCCAAGGCAGGGAGCGTGCCGCGGGCATCGAGAATCCTATTCTGAAACTTATCAAAGTGATTCTCAAAAAGGGATTGAGTCGTACACAGGTGGCGATTCAGTTCTTGCGGTTTGGAGATGATCCAGATGGCAAACGCTACTTGTCATTTCTTGACCACTGTGGCACGAAAGACAACTGGTAAGACACAAGCCACTATCGATCTAGCGAAGGGTGCAGGACTGACTAGTGAACTCAGTGACTGTGTCGATACAAAGCCTATTGATGGAAACATTTTTGACATGTTTATCGGGCCCATCAACCCTGATATTGATAACGATGGTGAAGGTGTACCCTAGATATGTCTTTTGAGATCTTTGGTAGTAAGGTTTTCCTACCATTTATATAATTAAACTACTTAATTTTATTGTAGATTCTTTAGGGAGTTATTCATAAAAGCTAGTGTTTTATATAGATATCTCTCTCATCACATGGACAGCGCTACTCAGGGTCATGAGCGAGAGAGGAAACAGTGCTGGTTAAGATTTGTTATATTATTATACGGGCTATAGTGGCCTGGGGTTAAAATTAGTCTAGACGGTCTTCTCCCCTTGCTTATCCTTTCACTTTAGAGTTTTAGATCGGTGAATTGCCATCAAGAAGGCCAGGAAGCCAAGAGCGACCCTGTGTCCCGTAGGCAACCACAGGTTAACTCACCTTCTGACGCGTGGCTTCGTGAGACAGACTTCCCCTCTTATCTTCATGTTGACAGCGAGACTTTTATTGTCATGGTCTTTAGTGCTGATATTATCGTCAGTTAATCATGGCTGTCTGTAGATACAGTTGTGCGTTAGACCGGCAAGCTGACAGCCATCCCTTTCATCCTACCCCTCAAGGCATCACACCTGGACCTTGGACTCGTTATGTATCGTCTAATGAGCCTGAGTATATAACGTTCGTGATATCTTTTCTTCCCAGGTTCCCCTTGGTGGCCGCGACTGAAATCGTCGACTCATCTGAAGAATGGACTCTTCACACGTTTTCTAGACTTTCTTCCAGCTCCCTCATCAGTATCTACCCATGTAGTGTCCGAGACAACTTTAGCACATCGTATGAAGATGACAAGCCCTTCAATCCGCGATACATCCTGTCAACATCCAGTCAGCATGTCAGCGGGGTCTTCCGATATCGAGTATCCCGAGGATCCTTGAGCTTTTTTGGTACCCTTGCACCCGAGTTGTGAGATGGAAATTGCGGCAATGTAGTTGCCAACATACGAAGCAGGGGGTTTGGTCAAGTCCAGATAGCGAGAAGCTCCCTAATGTTCACATGGGTGTACGAAGATCATGGCCACAGGCACTAGCTGCCATCAACAAGTTAAGGAGTGTAAAGGCACATTTAAAGCCGCAATTTAATCACATGATCCATTTTCTATGACCTTGGAGGGAACCTTCGAACCGCTTGCTTGGCGATGGATCAGCTGGGCCCAAATCCCCCAAAGCACTCGCATACATGCTGCAAGGCATGCCTCACAGCCGGTCAGCTCACTTGAGCATGCAGTATACAGAATTCTAGGCTCAACGAGCGGCGCCAAAGAATGGTCCTGAATAGACACAGCCACGCGAAATTGGGTTCAGCCTTTCCAGGATTCACTTCGGAACTTTACGACTTCTTAAAATAGAAGAGGCTGCATGAGCTGAAGAGTCAAGCTTGAAAATGGGAAGCGCTGTTTACCCACCACATGAGCTGAAGGTTTTTGGCCATGCTTGCGGTAGGGAACGCATCGACGGAAGTTGGTGTCTTTTCGTCAAGATTGGCAACGTCAACAACAAATTTGCGGACTAGCTCATCAGTACCCCAGATCAAAAATGGAATGATGAGGGCTGGTCAAGGATCCCTTCGATTGCTTCAAGACTACCCTAGACCTACATTGCATTTCCTGTTAATCTCGCCCAATGATTGGCAGTACTCGACGCCGGCAAAACACTCACCCACATTCCGGTGACTTGCATAAGCGTTGAAGCACATTTCTACGGCTTAGCTGGGATTGCGTTCAAGCCCTGAAGTCCGCTTATGAATCTGAAGTCAGTTGTCCACCTATACAGGGCTTGGCAGCGACAAGATAGAGTCGAGATCCTCAGCCTCGAATTGCCTCGGAGCCAACAAGGTCCGGGGTAACAACGTAAGACACATCAACCAATAAACAGACACGAACCAAAGTCCCTTTCTTTGGGGGTGGCCTCCAGCAGCGGCCGCGATGAGTCTAACTCCCACCTCGGGACAGCCCGTCTCCAATAATCTGGGTGATTCCTCATACTGTGGAGGATGGACCCGTTGTCAAAGTCAGCTCGACGTTGCATCGCGCCCTCGTCCAATTGATGGACGACATGGGGTCAGTCAGCCACATCTGAACGCCACGACGTTTAGCTCTGAGTAAATGAAGGCGCCTCTGGGCTTTTTACAAGATGTTTATCGAGCTTATGGCGTTGAAGGAGGACAGCTGAATGTTGGCGGGGATGAGAGTCAAGTCGCTCCTTCTCCGTCCTTTCTCGCGCTTACTACGCATCCACCAACCTCCACCACCAACTCTGCTTCTTCATCTCCAACCCAAATTGCACACGTCAAATTGATCTTCAGCTTCGTCAGCGGCGGCCTATGGCAGTGTCCCGGCAGTGCAACTCTACGCTTACCGGCACCGGTAGACGCAGCCTCTAGTCAGCGCCAAGTCAGCACTAACAGGCTAAGAATCCTACCTAGCGCTGACCAATTCAAAGGTTTATCAAAGCTATAAACAACACTGTCGATCCCCTTTCTGCTTGTTTGTCTCTCGTTCACCTCTTTTTTTCTCCATCGCAAAATGTTTCCTCGTCCTGCGCTGTACGTGGCTCTCGGCCTCTTGATGGTCGTATCCATCATTGAGTTGTCGTTTATTTCGGCCATGGTTGGATGGCTACACGGTACTGCGAGCGGAACTTTCACTTTCAGATACAACGGCGCGGATCATGAGCTCAAGGGCGAGCCAAAGAATCTTATCGTCGACCAGGGCCATACCAGCAATGGCGCAGCAGGCACGGCGTTCGTCCTCATCGGCTGCGGAGGATCCCTGATTCTTTGGCTGCGCTCACGACCGAACCCCAACAAATTCAGCATCGCTCTGTACTACGGATGGCTTGTCACCAACGTCCTCAGTCTTCTTCTCGTCCTGAGCGCTCTCATCTACGTCTTCGTTGTGACAAACGACCACAACGGCCAGAGAATCAACCCCCGTGTCGCTGCCGGACTCGACGCCGGAGAGAAATACCCCCTCCAATCCTGGACACCTCAAAATTGGTATTCGGCAATGCTCAAGCTTGACCTACCCGATTCAAGCCAAAGAGACGACATCGAGAGCCACTTGCGCATCATGCGAGGATGGCAATACAACCTCATTCCCTTCTTCGTCGTCCACCTGATCGAGACCTGCCTTGCACTCTGGGACGGTGCGAAGCGACGGAAAGAGCACGCCTACAGCCCTCCCACTCACAAGAGCTCTGTTTAAACCAGCGCAAGATTCAAAATTTCGTGGAGATCATCATGAGGAGTTTGGCACATATATTAGTGGTTCCGGCAAAAATGGCAATCATTAGATGAAATTCTGCACATATACATCATGTAATAACTACGTAGGACATTTAATTCAATAACCTTTTGTCCTACTCCAAGATTGTGGCACCCCAAACCTTTTTTGATTACCAACGCAACAGACCGCCTGTCGAATAAAGGGCGTGTCGTGACTCACCAGCTCAGCGGGGTCATCCATCGACGCTATAAAAACCATCCTCAACCTTCAACTCTGCCAAGACATTATCTCCTTACAAATCAACGACAAATCAACATGACTTACACACTCTTCATCGGAAACAAACGCTACTCGTCCTGGTCCATGCGACCATGGGTCCTCCTCAAGGTCCTCGACATTCCCTTTGAGGAGAAGCTCCATCTCTTCAAGCCTGGTCCTCGCCAACCTCACTTCATCGCCTTTTCTCCAACGGGCAAAGTGCCCTGTCTGCAGGACGAAGACACGTCAATTCTTGTCTGGGATTCTCTCGCCATCTGCGAATACATCGCTGAAAAGTACCCCGCCGCATGGCCTGCTGATGCCGCGGCTCGTGCGTTTGCGAGATCTGCTGCCGCGGAGATGCATTCTGGATTCAACGCCATACGAGACGAGTGTAGTATGAATGTTGGCCTGAGGATTGAGTTGGGAACGCCGAGCGAGGCTCTACAGAGGGATATCAGCCGATTCAACGCCCTGTTCAAGGAAGGAACTGAAAAGTTTGGAGGCCCGTGGTTGGCCGGGGACCAGTTTACCATCGTGGACGCCATGTATGCGCCCATTGCATCGCGCTGCAAGACATATGGCGTCGAACTCGAGGGCGAGGCTCAGGAATACGTGGATCGGTTATTTAATCACCCTGTTGTGCAAGAGTGGGTTCAGGATGGTATCTATGAGACGGAAAGGGAACCAGACCACGAGGATGATTGTGTAAGAGGACGAAAGATTCTGCAGGATCTATCCCAGTAAGGACAGGCGAACTTGGAGAATAATATACGATTGATATCTCGATAATAGAGGGCTCTCATTGTGTACTTTGTGACGCTTCCAAAGGGCTATCAGCCACAATGACAATGAAAATAACATGGCTATTGACATACGCCGAAAAACACAATCATCTCGAAGTAGACGGCGGTCGTGTTCTCAAATAACGAATTATAATCAGCGCAAAGATTGGTGTTGTGACAAGCTACTGGTTGAAAATATGCTGTTCTAGTCTCGGGACTGGGTATTGTAAAAAGAAATATTCCATGCCATCGAACCAGTTATGTTTTGACCAATGAAAACCCCATCCGTCGTCCATATGTCGAAACTGCCGCTTATTGTCATGTTGAATGTTTGAGGATATAGTGATATACCAAATCCCTTCCTCATCCCGCCTTGTCCCCCCTCTGAAGTGCTGCATCCCGGTCTTTCTTTTCAGTCATTAACTTCTTTGTATACTCGACCTGCAGGTCCTTCCTCTCGTTGAACCTCCTCCTAAGCACATCCCAACGCCGCTCCTCTTCCGGCGTCGTGAAAGCAGGTGACGAGCCCGGATTTACCCAGTCCAGAGGCACAGCCTGACTCTCTATCGGTTGATAGAGCGGCTCAAACTTCATCTGCCTATCCTCCGGCGCCTTTTCCATCTCTTCTGGTGTCCAGGGCAGCGCCTCCCACACGGCGTGTGAGCCGATTTCAGCGTATGTCACCGTCCTAGCCTGGACCGGCTCGGGGGGGTTCTTCTTGAGGTACGACACTTTTCTGTCCCTGTTGGTCCGCCATAGTCTGTAATGGAGCTCTGCCTCGGTGGCCTGCTCGAGCGTCAGGGTGAGTTGGTAGTTTCTTTGCATCAGAGGCGGGCTGTGAGCGGTGGCGTAGCCGCGTGACAAGGGCGTAGGATTGGCGTTGAGAAGTTTCCAGTGGTTATTCAGAGATACGACACGACGTTGCAGGTCAGGCAACTCATGTGTAGCCGGCTTTCGTAATCGAGAAATACTAAAGATGGTGTCGAGGATGGAGGTCTCTCTTAGTACCAGGGACGTCAAGTCGCGCCGTGTCTCCAGACTCCGCAGCATTTTCTTACACAGGTCCAAGTCGTCGTCGGGAAGTGATGTGGGGAGTAGGTAGTATCTGAGAGTGTGATGTATGTAGTGGACCTCGCATAGCGTGTTTTCGAGGTCCGGACCGTTGGGGAGATCGGTGAAATTGTTACATGTCTCACGAAAGGCCTTTGTCGTTGGAAACCACGGTAGGGGGGTTCCCAGAGCGCTAGCGAGGCCTCGAGGGGCGCTCTTTGTTGTAAAGACATCTGCGATGCCTTTAAGGACGTTCATGATTTCAACATGAGAGTGAAAGAAGCCAGAAGGGGGCTGAGTAATTTGAAGAATCTGAGTGAGTGATGCTGTCTTCAATAACCAATCGTTGATTGCGACCCCTGGTATTCGTCGTACAAAGTGGGGCCCCTTGTCCGGATAAATGGGTGCTTCCTCGTCCCAGCCTTGGCATGTGCCAGCGAGATCCTGATCATGAGTTCTGTGTATTTGAATTTCATCAGAAAAACATTGCCCGGAGAAATATTGCCTGATGAATAGGCCGTGATCAGACAAATGGGACAGAAGAAGATGTGTGGCTGGAACATAAACAAAGTACCCCAATTGCTCCAGCCTTTGTCGGCAAGCGACATCATGTACAAAGAACTCTTAACAAAATCAACCCAAACGCGAAACCAACACCCTCCCTGGTATTACAAGATTTGTATCCAGTCTGTAGAGGCAGGCGCCTCCAGATCTTGTGCAACTCCAAAAAAAAACTGAATAACAAAACCCCGTCAACCCCAAAACTCACCAGCGAGCCCGGTTCTCGCGGTCATACTCATCCTCAGAGTACCCATCAAACTCATTCTTCATGCTGCGCGCATCAATACTACTCCTCGTTGGCTGATCCGGGAATCGACGGCCTTGGAAAGAAAGGGACTGCATGTCTAGGAACCCCTCGATCCGGCCATCACCCAGGAACTTGATCCAGCCGTTGTTTCTGTCACCATATATGATGGGTCCCTGGTCTTCACGTCCGCGCCACTTGAACCAGACCTTTTCGTGAGATGATCTCATCGGGCGATCTTCAATGAAGAAAACACCTTCGTACACTCCCAGGTTGAAGCGGCCCCACAAAGAGGAACCGGAAAGCGTGAGGGTCAGGCCAAGGTCGTCAGGCGGGTAGTCCCACTGGCTAGTGACATATTCTGAATCAATCTCATAGTCACCGTTGAGAAGGCCAAGAGGCGCAAGGCTGACCTCATCATCGTAACCGTCGTCATAGCCGTCGTTATCATAGTTATCGCTGTGAGATTGATACCCGCCATGAGAAGGGTAGTCATCCGAACGGTAGCCGCCATCATCTGGGTACTCTGAGTAGGGAGGAGGAGCGGCAAAGTCGTAGCCAGTAGGTCGGGGCGAGGGTGCTTCGATGCGTCCCCTTGCCATGAAGGCATTGCTGCGTCGGGCCGTCTGCTTTTTCCGAGGAGGGCTCTCTGGCGAATCTTGTCTTGATGCGCGGGTTGGTCCTTGGGAGATGCCACCTCGGCGGGCTGTCTGCTTCTTTGCAGGCGTGGCAGAAGGAGCCTTGGCAGCAGATGCCTTGGAGGTTGAGGCCTTGGAAGCGGACGCCTTGGAAGCAGAAGCTTTGGTAGTAGTCGCCTTGGTTGTAGTTGTGACCTTGGTGGTAGTCGTCTTTGCCTTCTTCGAGGGACCCGCATCGTCATCAGCCTTTCTCTTGGCGCCCGCAACCTTTGCCGGTGTTGAAGTCGAAGCCTTGGAAACCTTCTTGGCCTCCCGATCATTCTTTGTCCACTCCTTCTTTAGCTTGCCCTCAATCTTTGTCACATCCGCCGGCACCTTGAGATTGCCCGCATTCACAGCATCAAACAATCGCATGCGAGCTACCGACTTTGTCTTTGACGGTTGAAGGCCATAGTGAATGAGCTGTGCTTCAAACCAATGCGCAGGATGATCCTTGTCGTTGCCGGATGTGAAATGCGTCTTGAGCTCCTGTGGCGTCGCGCGACGATGCCTGTTCTGGCCTGAGGCTTCGGCAAAGAAGTCGCCGTGGGCAAAGGCAAAGGCGCCTTCGGAGACGGGAGGCGCGCCGACCCATGCGTTGGCGGGAGATGTCTTGGGCATTGTTTCGTCGATATTGAAGATTGCAGTGTCGGAAAGATCAAGATTGACGAGGGGGATTGAGGGGAAATTGGATGCAGCGTATTTTGCTTTTTTTTGATGCATCATCAAACAAGCCACCTCCCGGTGTGGTTGAGTTGTGGCAGTGCCATGTTGTCTAGGCAGCCTTGACAATGCACCAAATTATGAACGTGGATAGCTTGTGTTTATGCACAGATAATGCAATGCAGGCTGGACTTGTTTTGAAGTCCTGTTTCTCCTGTAGATAGGCAATCGACACAAAATTGCATACAAACTGTCAAGGAACTGTATGTTGAATGCTGATTCGCTATCCTCTACACTTGTTCTGAGAGGGCCCTCAAAAAGAAAGCGGATCTAGGAGAGGCGATGACCATCGATAAACTGCCTCGTGTATGAATGAGGGGATCTTTCACACCCACCACCAGTTTCTAAGCTCTGGGTCTTTTCTTTAATACCTGCTTCCTCAAGTGATGACGGGTTCAGACTTCAGCTGGTGCCAACCCGGACACGGTTCGTTCCACCGCAACTGGACTCAACTACGAGACAGACTGTGCCTCTTACCCTAGACCAATTCCGTCGTCAACGGGTGGATTGCAAAACCAACACTCAATCACGCGATTGGTAGTTAACCGCGCCATTTAGCCATGACCCCTTACATGGGGTTCCCCGCCCCGAGCTCAAACACCTCTCACGATCCATCCTTCATCCTTTGCTCCATCGCCATCATCTTAGCCTCACTCTAGACTGTCTCACTCACCATGTGCGGGTCCAATTCGCCGGCCGGGGTTCCGACTTCCGCTTCTCCACCGAGATCGACTCCGTCTCCGATCGATTTAGTTCCGGCTGATCAAGGCGAAGTAAGGCTTGAAAATGCCTCTGTTTGGTTTAAAATTGTAGCTGATGTTTGATCCCTAGGACGCTGATTCATCTATCGGCTCTGACGCGTGAGTGGATGGCTTGGCCATGTGGTGCGACACACGATGCTAAACGCGTTCCAGAGAAAGTTCCACGGCTTCTGTCTCGGCCAGCATTCTCGAATATCGTCGTGTACAGGGTCGCACGTACCATGCCGACAAGTTTGTCAATGAATATGCGTTTCCCAATGACGACCAGCAGTTAGAGTCCATCGACATCTCGTACGACCGTGTTTCTAGAGATTGACTGCACTACGCTAATTTGACCCCTAGCCACCACTCTCTCACTCTTCTCTTGGATGGCCAGCTGTTTCTTGCACCTATCAAAGATAATGTTCAGGTGCGAAATTGGTCCAAGAATTGAACGGCAAGATTCCTTAGGCTGATAGTCATGATTTTATTAGAAAGTACTGGATGTTGGCACAGGAAGCGGTACGTCTTGAAACCCTTCACGCACAGACGTCGCTAACCATTTCCAAGGCATCTGGGCAATGTACTGCCGTGCTGTTCAGATATGAGTGACCAGCTTATGCTTACACATTCTAGTGACTTTGCCGATCAGTACACAGGTGCCGAAGTCACTGGCACCGACCTCTCACCCTGCCAGCCAGAGTGGGTTCCTCCGAACGTACAATTCGAGGTGGACGATGCTACCGAGAGATGGACCTGGGGAGACAATCATTTCGATTTCATTCATATCCGTTACCTCTTCGGCGCGATTACTAACTGGCATGCTCTTTTCAAGGAGGCCTACCGTTGTTGTGCCCCTGGCGGCTGGGTAGAGTCGTGCGAGGCTGACGTGCGTCTACTCAGCGATGATGGGACTGACGAACTGGAGCCTGTTCTGAAAGTCTGCGACAAGATGTACGAAGAAGGCGGCAAGGCACTGGGCCGTCCGTTTTTTGTCGGCGAGCTACAGGTGGAAGGCCTTAAGGAGGCTGGCTTTGTCGACATTAAGACGGTGGATTACAAGGTGAGATTTACACGACACGCAAACCCCTACCAACATATATCTGAGATGTCGATTATAGATGCCTATCGGCAGCTGGCCAAAAGACCCTAAAATGGCACAGGTGGGCCGCTTCGTCCAGCTAACATTGGAGAATGATCTCGAGGGTGAGCAAGCTCACTACCTAATCCAACACTGATACCGCTGACATGTTGCTACAGGATACTCCCTCCTTCTGTGGAACCAGGTCCTGAAGTGGCCAGAAGATGAGTTCCAGGTGTTTCTCATGCAGACGCGCAAGGCAATCCGCAACCGCAAGGTTCACAGTTACTTCAAGGTGCGGTACGTCTACGGTCGTAAGCCTGAGTAGGTTGGAAAGGCACGGGATTAGCACTAGTCTTAGGTATCTGAACCTAGATAAGATTCTCCTTTACACTCTCCAAGGCCTGCTTAAAGTTCCTAACCTTGCCCCGGACGCCCAGTCCCTCAAGAGTAATGACCCGTTCGGGCTCCAACTTGTGCCAATCAGGAAACTCTTCACTCCACCGCAGCTGAGAGGCGATCTCAAGGCCTCCGACACCCCAAATCTTCTCAGTCGTCTTATCCGAGACCTCGATGTACACGCCTCGCTTTCCCGTGACACTCTCCCAGACCTTCACGACTTCCGACAACTTGAGATAGTCGGTGATGATAATGGCGATCCTGCCAAACGACCTTGGCCCGTCTTCCAGGATACCTTCTACGACCACGCCGACGTTGTGTTGGACGTCTCCTGCGATGGGGAGGACTGCGTCTTCTCTACTGGGTTGAATCCAAGCATATGCATCGGGGCCGGGCTATGTCGAAGCAAAACAATTAGCAACGCCCTACCTACCACTCAGACCATAGGGCAGTTCCCAACTTGGCCGGACGTCTGCGATAAACTTACCAGATGGACAAACTTCATCATGGCGTTGAATGCCATGTTTGATGGATACCAACCAAGCCAGACCCGGGTCGTCTTGGCCGCCAGTTCAGGCGCATGCTCCTCGATCCACTGAAAGGCCGCGTGCTTGTAGTCAAAGTGCGGAACCGGCAGCTTGCCATTCGATGAGAGACTGGCGGCGGGCAGAGAGCTCATGATATAATGCTTGAGGCCTGGAGTTTGAGCTGCCGCCTTGGCAATGTTGATCTGTTGCTGCTTTTCCTCCTCGCCGGCTGCCTCGCGACCCTTCTTCATTACCACTCCCCTAAAATGGACTGTCAGCAACTGGACATGTATGAAGCCAGACTGAGTATGCACCTACCAATCATAGTTTGTAAGAGCAAAAACAGCCGTGGTGCCCTACGTAAATATGATTAGTCTAGGCTCAGTAGTTGAGTCTTTGTTCATCTTGTACCCTGAATGCCTCATGGAGAGAGGCTTCGTCATTGGCATCAGCGGCAACGACCTCGATGCCCTAGATGAATATACCGTCAGCAAAAATCTTGGAATGTTTCCCGTATTTGGACCGAGTCACCTTCTCGAGGAGCTTCTTGGAAGCGTTGCTAGCGGGGTTTCTGGTGACGGCGCGAACTTTCCAGTGCGGATTGCCCTGGAGAGCAGTGCACACGGAGCCACCTTGAGATCCGGTGGCACCGAGAACCGTGATGACTGGCATGTTGGATATAGAGCTGGGCTGAAGAGCGAGCGTCAATTGAGATGTTGGCTTGGTTGGAATGCGACAAGGATGCCATCTCCGTGGGAATGGCTCAATGTTTTATAGATCATGGATGGTATATGCACTATGAAAGAACAATGATGAGTAATGTCGTCATGATGTTTTATCCAGCAACCATTACCCTCATACAACGGCCGCAAAGCCCATGATCGCTCCTCGGGATTTCGTCTTTCACTCAGGCGCGCCGATGTTGTCCGAGATAGACGCAAAGAACTGGCTTCATCGGTACTAACTACTAAGGTAGCGCGGACACGCGATAGAATGGCTTGGATTGGAAATGTTAACCGCTTTACTGGGTATTTCATGCAGAAATAAATTGATGAGCGACCAAGCACGAGCCGAGCCAAGACTTCTCGGTATTCGCGTCTCATTCTCAATCGCCATTATCATCACCATGCCAGGCTTTTTCAAAGGGCCACCAAGGGGGACTGCAGCTACATTGATCTCGAGCGGGTAGCTCAAGCATAGATATCTGATGGTGGCATGATGTCAAACCAGGGAGCGTCTCTTCACTTCGTCACTTCCCAATTCCCACCATCGCCCTTGCGATCGGGCGCCAATTGCAGAAGCTTACAATTGACCTGTGCCAACCAAGCAGTCGATAGGAAAAGCCACGGGTAAAGTGACCGGGGTGAACAGACTCTTGAAGTAATGGGTTCTATCTATTGGGTAAGTGAAGCTTAATGATGGCCCCGAGAAGAAATGCGAATGGTAGAGAAACTTTAGGCTGTTGGCAGCAGCATTGCGTTACACAGGACTCGGTACGGGCCGAAGGCGCCTTGGAACGTGTAACAGCTAAAAAAGACATTGCACGTCAAGTTAAGCGCCAGCGAGTACAAAACATTAAATCTCCATATGAAGTATAAGTAAGCCTTCGAAAACCAATAGCTTGGTCGTGATGTTCGACAAAGTACCTTCACACCCATCCTATGACCTAATTATGGTTCCGCTTCATCAAAAGTGTACTACCTGCGCTCAGTACGCCCTTTCATCTCCTCCAAAAGCTACATACATGAGAGCAAAGCCAAATACAGGCTTGTGGAGTCTTGCTGTGTATTAGAAGTCTTCATCCTACCTTTGCAGCCGTGGTTGGCCTGGATGTGTTTCGGCGTTTGGTCCCCTGCTGGATTGTTACCATTCGTCCAGATGTCTCACAGAATTTTGCTCTGTTACTAACACAATGGCAACCAATCTTGTAATACGCTTTCGAATCCCATCTAATCTCACGAGGTGATCCTTTTCTGTTGCGTGAGCAACAGAAACTCGCTCAGGCAGGGTTGGCTCATCATGAAGAAAAGCCAATAGCACCGATGGGGGAGCAGTGGCTGGTTGGTGTGACTTTTATGTGATGTTTGTATTGGGATAGGAAAGGGTATACCTGAGATTTGGCTATTCTGAAACATCTTCTCGTCTTTGCTGAATGTGTTTAAAAATCTTGTTCTTGTATTATGGCGGATAAACCTGGCGTGGGGCTGTTAAAAACTGTGGCGCTTGAACTGTGATCTTGAGTTCCCTTCCATAGTGAACCATTTGTCTGGCTTTATTTATACATGTACATGGTCACATTTGTGTTAGTGAGGTTGCTGCCGTCACATTCGTGACCTGAGCGAACATTGCTTTTTCCATAGGTAGGAAGGTGCTGTACCTTCAGGTTTGACCGCCCCTTGCTAGGAATTTAGCACAATGGTGATCATCAAACGTGCTGAATCGCTTTGAGCCATTGTTACTGGCTGATAGACGCTGGAGAAATTTGCCTCAGTACAGGCCACGATTGGTCAATAATGCGCGGCGGGTTTGATTGGCTGCGAAGTTTGTCACATCGGTGATGGCGGCTATTTGACCAACAATATCTACGGGCCATCAGAATTTCTTGGTGATTGAAAGCTTTTCCAGTTCATAACAACTTGAAACGTGAGAAAACTCAAACTTGACGATTCGAAACAATCCCGACGCCCATCGCTTGTGCCAATTCCTCGGTCCACTCGCTCCGACTCGCAAGCGCTCATTTGAGCTCCACTTGCGGTGATGCACTAAATTGAGGCCGGAGGGAGCCGAGAATGTGCCAGACGTACATTGAGCAGGGCTACAATGAAACTCGACGGATACGATGGCTATGCGTGAGTGGTAATTGCAAGGCGAAACAGAATTATCGATGGCTGACGACAGAGAACCCAAGTGCAACTGCGGTTTTGGACCGTGGAACTTTAGGCTTGATGCCGGCTGCCACAACTGCGGCCACTGGCGATGTAGCAAAAGTGGGTGTGTGCTTGATCCGCCATCGGGGCACGCAACTTCATTGGCCAAGAGAATATCGCCTCAATCTTTACCAGACGGCCCCCCACAGCATTCTCGGGACTCGGAAACCAAGCAAGGAGACATCCTTGACCAGAGCACTGTGCCTTTTCCTTCGTCGAATCGGGGTGAAATACAGTTTGTCCACTACACTGACTCGGGAAGCAACACTGTGTATCTTGACAGCCCACGCTCTTCTGTTAACAAAGCATCCAACACAGAGGAGAAGCTCGATCTAGGGTTTGATTCTCGAGGGATTGCCCCAGGCCAAGGTGTCGAGTCGTTGCCGGAAGACGAGCCCCATCAAGCCCACCCAGCACTGTCGCCTCTCAGCGCAACCTTTCAAACAAACGCCGGCGACACCCGCGAGGTTCTGGAATGGAGAGAGGAGAATGACGCTTCTGAGCATGAATCCACAGATTCTGATGTCTATACTCCAACAGACTCGGAGGCCTCATCGTCGACATTAAGCTACCGGGAGAGGGATGCCGAGACCCCCGGAATGGCTGGAGGCTTGGAGAGATTGGATTTCGAAGACACTAGAGGGATAAACTCAAGTGAAGATCTCTCGTCGTTCGTCGAAACTCCCGGGGAGGATCTGCTCGAGCTGCCTTGGTTCCATCGGAATGTTCGACGCATCTTGCGGGACCTGCTGCAGCAATGGCGCGATATCCGAAACGCAACTCATCATCGTCAGCCCAAGACACACTCCGCGAGATCTATCCAGCAAGGCATAGTACCACAGCAGCAACAAGGCCCCGGCGGCGGAAAAAGAAGAAGAGAGCGAGCCGACTCAACTGATGAAGCCGAGCGCGGGGACACATCAGCAGGTCCATCGAAACGTGCCAGGCGACCCAAAGGATCAGAAACCTCCCGGCCATTCTCGTGTCCATTCTGCAAAAAGGATCTCCGGCGGTATCAAGCGTGTGTTAGATTCGAGCTGACTAGGGTTCGACATGTCAAGCAGCACCTTCACCGGAAACACGAGGACGAAATTGACGACTCGGTGAGGAATCGACTCAGGCAGAGATCTGCACCCGGCACTGAAGAGGAACAATGGTATAGAATATTTGATCTTTTGTTTCCTGGACACACTCCCCGACCTACCTCACCGTACAACAACTTCACGATTTCCGAACAACCGCCCCAGGCATCACCCGGGGGTGTTCCGATCGACGAAGCACTGTATGTTCCTGGAGAACTTTTGACAAGAGTGTCCATCGAAGCTCTTCAACAGTCTCTGATCGAAGACCCGGTGTTCGCTGATGTCAGGCCGGAGGATATCCGGAGCGCTTTGGACCGTGGCTTGGACCGAGTGTCTAGGGGCCAAATATCTCGACAAAGCATGCTCACCGAGACTATGCACGCCAGAACCGAACAGAGCTACCTAGCGGATAACCGGGGTTCTGCACAGATTTCGTACAATCCCGACCATGCAGTGGCGCAAGATCTCCCAGATGCCTATCCCAGCGACGATCAGGAGGCCCTAAACGAACGTCGAAGGTCGATTACTATTCCGTTAGATTCCATTCAAAGTCTAGACACACCACATGATGAAGTCGGTGAGGCTGTCGTATGGGAGGAGCTCCTGCAAGATTCGAACCTGAATATTGAGGGAGTGGCCCAAGACCAGCAACTAAGCCTTGGCAGCCAATTAGAACTATCTTCCACAGAAGACGAGATGCAGCTGGGTCCGGAGTGGGACCATCTGTGTGATGCGGACTGGTGTCTGGATGCCCCAATTGAAGATGGAAGGTCCCCCGGCCACGACTAGTCGCTTGGGGAGAGCCCAGGATCATAGTAACAGACATGTCGAACCATGCCTAAGCCTTCGTTAGGGGGCAGCATAGAGGTCAAAAGAGGTTGTATTATCCAGCTCTGTACGATACCTGTTAGACGCAAACCCAGATCACAGACACAACTAGGCAAACAAGGGTACTAGTATTATTTGACGCGGGTCCTCTGGCAACACAACTACGGTTCACTAAAGGCTTTAGTGCTACACGGTATGAATTTTGATGCCTTCATGTGTAGATAATTGTCACTTTAGCTCTTGTGAGCCATAGCCTCTTTTGGAGGCTTCATTGACGTCAACAACGTGCGGTTGGTTATAAGATTTCCTTTTGCCTTAAATGACTTCTCTGTGAGAGTGACAGAGAAGGAGGCCAACAGCCACAATAAGTAGGGAAACGATTGTCAATAGTCCACTGTATTAAAACCCGATATCAAGACTAGGTATTATGATACTTCGATAACTGCCGTCATAGGAACGTCTAAATATACAACGGAGTCAGACAGTATTGATCTTTTATTGAGACGTAGATGAGTTTGTGTATAATATGCTGGAATTCCCTCTTCTAAATGGTATTAGAGGCTCTGAGTCGTTACTGTAGCTTTCGATTAACATCATCACCTTCATCCTCAAGATCAAAGATGAGGAAATTAGTCTAGTGTCGGCAGTAGAGATCTGGGTTGACGGAGACAAACAAGGCGACATAGTCAGAAGCTTTTAGGCCAAAACTGGTTATTGCCTACGCGGATTCAGAACACAGCGATGGGCCTTTTTACTTTCTACTCTGATGGTTCGTGTACGTTGTTACTCGATACTCCTGTGTAAAAGAGAAGATAACTTTGTTCCTCAGATCTCTATCATACTTAACTATTTTAACTTCCCATTGAATCACAAAGGTGACTGCTTTCTAATTTCATTCCTCTCCGGAACTTATGGGAGAGAACGCAATACAATGGGAACCAGCGAAGTTATTGCCTCAAGAGTTTCACAGCCAGCAATAGAAGTTGCACTGCATTGAGTTCAATATCTATTAGTTGGTAAGTGAGGAACAGCCCACTTTGGTCAGTCTCTCGGCCTCATCAATGTCTCTCTGCGCTGGCTTGCGGAATGTCAAGTCTATCATGGTTCAAAACCTGACCACTTAAACATAGCGGGTTTATCTCCTATATCTGGCTGTCCATCAATTACAGTGTTGCAAAGATTCCGTGAATCAACTGCTGGCCTTTACAAATCCTCTTATCATCTAGTTGCTTATGTAGTGAAGCAGAGCTCTATTTCTAGTTGGCTTGACTAGAACCAGAAAGAGGAGTACCATGTAGGTTCGGAACACTAGGCATGGAGGAGATTTGAGAGATAGATGAAAGAGACGGAGCGGCCGCAAGGGGGGGAGACCTCCCGGAAACCTCAAAATCATCCAGATCAAAGAGCAAACGCAAACCCGTGTTGTCTTGCGGATTGAGGACAACTCTATTTTTGTCTGGTGATCGTGATTGCTCATTGACAACAACTTCCTTCTCGTCCGAATAGGGGTATAGCTCCTTTTGATTGTCGACGAAGAACTTTTCGTGAACCTCGACGATCGGCATGGACTTCTTATGCCTTTCAGTATCTGGAGGCGCCGGAGAAGAAAGATCATGTACATCGCTTGCGTCGGAAGAGGGCGTAGTGTTAATGGAGGGCGAGGGGAGCTGAGGAGACGAGGCAGGGTCATAGGTAGTCGCTATGTACAAATTCACCATCAGCAAATCGTTCTTGGTTCCAGAGAAAAGAATCGGAGGGCCACATTACACGGAATGCTGTCAAACACATCTCCCAGGAGAGCAATATTGGAAAAGGTTGAGGATATCACAGCCGGTTCTGGACTCGTCTCTTGCACCTTTTGGTCCTCGATCGCCGGGGTCGCAAGGACTACTTGACGCACAAAATTCAACTCAGCCAGCACTGCAGCGTGGTGGCAGTGGAGAAGCGGCTGCTGGCTCTCAAAGTCGAGAGAATCGGCCAAAATCCACCTCATCTTGCTGCGAAGTGGTGTCTTTCCCCCATGCGCCTCCGGTCGGCACTTCTCCACGAGTCTGTCAACGCGTTCATGGCACTGCTGCGCAGCCTCGATGATCCCATCGATGCGCTCAACTGCTGCGGGTAGCAGCAAGGTGGCGTGCTGGTTTCGAAGTTGAACGAGGTGCTGGAGATCGTAGTGGCACGTACGGACGAGCTCAATGCATGAGCTGACCTGGGTTGACAGTGGATCTTGATCGGTCGCTAGAGTGACTATCTGGCGAAAACGAGTATTCAGACCAGGCATCTTGGAGACACTGATGGTGAAAGGCAGGTGGAAGGAGAGCCAATTTTACGAGGCCGAGGTGCATTGGCATCCCACAAATGGGAACGAGGATCGATTGGAAATGCCATCAACCTTTTAATGAGCGGGTGGAGCGGGGAACCAACTTGCAGCTGCGCCAGGCCTTTCTTGGATGTCTCATGTCTCATGTCTTGGTGTTGTTGGTTGTTGGTCGCTCACACAGCAGGGACCAGCCCCCAAGCAACTCCTTCGGCCGGTCCGGCCCGGAAATACCTCCGCGATCGAATTAAGAAGGAGACTAGAAAGTTAAATGAACTTGTTGGCTCTTGGGTGGTCCTTTGTCAAGCCACTTGTAACAACTTGTTGGTTGATCCCCTGCACTCTCGTCGGATACAACCAACAGACACAATCGACTACGATAATAGGTCCATGACAGGGCATTCTACTCCACTACAAAACCTAGTTATGCACCAATGGCTCCGACCTCGGGTTCCACTACCCGTCTTCCCCCCTTGTCCAGCCCAGGGCACACCACCACCGAGTTGCCCTTTTCAAACACGAAACGCCAATCCTGGGGCTGTGATAAGATTGCATAGCCGAGCTTGGTGCACTCGACGATGACTGCCTGCAGGTGATCTGTCTGCGCGTTGTGGCTGGTCCCGACGAAGTGGTGGAGGAAGCCGTTGAGGCGGGTCGTCAGGGCCTGGGCTTGGGAGCTGAGAGTAGCTTCTGAAATGGGCAGAGACGTTCGCTCATAAGGGTTTGGATGAAGGAGGAAAGCAGAGAGACGACGCCATTCGGACAAGGCAGCTGATTGAGCTGGAAAATGGGTGTCAGCCGTGAAAAGGAAAAACACACAACGATTCGGACTTACCTGTCGCATTGCGAGAGGGGATGGAGTCTACAAAAGTGCTAACAGGCGTCGGGAGCAAGGAAAAGGCGCTTTGGGAGTAGATGTCAAGGCTCCTGAAAATGACTTGCGAGATGACGTGCCGAAGACCAGTCTGGCGAGACATTGGCTTTGCGCATACTCCTGCAATCGCTTCTGTGCCATGAGGGAAGTCCCCGAGCGGAGAGAGATGCTCTGACAAGATCGATACGTCGGAGATCGGGTCGAGATGATAGTATTTCTCGACATGTTGATCGATGAGATGCCCCAAAGCCTGTAGTTCGGCCTCAATCTCTCTATCGGGAGTCGCGTCGAGGAGTAGATGGTTCAACGGGGTCGCATCGTCGCTCACGGTGGGGGACGGTTTCTCAACAGCGGCGAATGCCCGAGGATCGTCGCGAGGAACAGTATTTCTGTCGTCTTGTCCTCTACGTCGTCGGCGGAAGAGGAGCCAAGCGGCCACCAGACCGATCAGGATGCCACCAATGGCACATCCTACGGCTGCCCCGGCGAGTGCTCCTGTCGAGTGGCCCGACGAGCCATTGTCGCTAGAAGGAGATAAGACAGCCGTTGATGAATGATTGGGACTGCTGGAGCTGGAGCTGGAGCTGGTGCCAGTGGCGGCACTGGTGTCGGTGTTGGTGTCGGTGCTGGTGCTCGAGATGGTCGTGGTCGAGGGATTTGTACTGGCCGAGGGGCTCGCAGGATCGCTAGTAGAGGAGACGGGAGAATTGAGAGATGACTGGATAGCTGTTGGAATCTCTTCGGGGCCTAGAGGCTGGGTGTCCGTAAAGCCTGAGCCGTACAATATACGAAATCCCGATGTCCACGTTGTAGGGGTTGGTTGGTTATCTACCCCAAATGTGCTACTTGTCCCTATAGTGACGGAGATCGTAGTGGACGTAGCCATCGGGGAGCTTATCTCACGGGTCTGCTCCTGAAATACCAAAGAGATGAGTGTTTTCTGTGAATGCAGCTTTCGCAAATGGGGGATGGGCCGTCATTTATCATCGGACTGCATCATCCCGTCAACACAGAGGGCCGAGGGCCAACGGCCTTTGCAGGGAGGAAAGCTCCATCAACTGTCTGCAGGCCTGGCTGGACAATCCCTGGCCAAGGTTAGCCCATGAACAAGGGCCCATCACCCTGGACATGGGTAGCTGCAGGTCATGCAGATTGGAAACGCCATCCCTGTCCGCCGATCGGAGAGAAGAGACGAGATGAGTGCATCCAAACTCAAGTGTCCATGTGCCACCCTCTTTGCGAGACTCTGGCCTCTTCTCTCACCCATCCACAACACAAAAATGAATAAACAATCCGACTTGTTAGTGTCTGTCGACTTGGGCACCACTTATACAGGTACATTCACACCCTCTGCAGCGGAAACAAAGTGCTGACAGATCCCGCAGGGGTCGCATGGATGACCCCAAGGACGCCGATCCAGGTGGTCAACGATTGGCCCGGCAGCGGTGACCGAGGAGAGCGCAAGGTGCCCACAAAGCTCGTGTACAATGACGACGGCACACTCAGTTCTTGGGGCTTTATATGCGAAGATGACGATGACGGACCTGGATCTGGCAAGATCAGGCGTGAGTTTTTTAAGATCTTCATTGATCAAGATACACTAGAGGCAGCGCGGCAACAAGGTCTTTCGAGTGCACCGCAGGACACGGCGGAGGCGCGCAAGTACTTGACCGATTATCTGCGCCAGATCTACGCTCATGTGGAGGAGACGGTTGAAACGCAGCTGGGGAGACGCCACACGGGTGGTTGGACAGATATGGCTGTGACGTTCCTCTTCAGCGTGCCAACAACCTGGACCAACATCGCCATGGTCAACACGTTCAAAGGCGTCGTACGGGATACTGGCTTTGGCACTGGGGGACCGTCGCATGTAGCCCTCGTGGACCTCACCGAGGCCGAGGCCGCCTCTGTCGCGACGCTTAAGACAAGTGCTGTCAGTTTCCAAAAGGGCCATGTCTTCTTAACCGTCGACGCTGGTGGCGGCACGACGGACCTGGCTCTCATGCGCATCACCTCGACCGATGCCGTCTCTCCCCAAATGGCGCAGGTCTCAGGTGTACGAGGCATCGGGATCGGGTCTACGCTCATCGACCGCGCCTTTATCCGCCTCGTTGCGCAGAGACTGGCGTTGAACCCTGACGCTCTCGAGAGGCTACCTGATGATTTGGCGATGTCCATGCCGAGGAGTCACCACTTCAGAACTGTCAAGCATAAGTTCGGAGAGAAGGTGTATATGCAGCAGATATTTAAGATACCGATGGAGGGGGTGGCTTTCGACTTTAATCACCCGGGCTTGCGAGTCGAGAGGGGTCGAATGCTGTTTACAAAGTGCGTGACACAGTACCCCATTACGACTGAAAGTTTGCTGACATCTAACAGAGAAGAGATCCAAGCACTGTTTGATGTTCAGATTGAAGGCGTCATGAGCCGGATAAAGGAGCAGCTTGAGTGGATGAGGGAAAAGGGCATGAAAGACCAAGTGGTAAGATGTCTTTCGTCTAGCTTCCGCACATATATTGTCTAACACAAACGGCCAAAAAACAGGAGTATATGGTTCTAGCTGGAGGCCTGGGAAGTTCAGCATACGTGCGTGATGCAATACAGCAGCAACTTGTTGGGTACCCGCACCCAAACGCGCGGCATGTCATTGTCGTCCCATGTCAAGAGCCTCAACTCTGTGTCGTCCGCGGCCTCCTCCTCGACCAGCAGCAGAGGTTCCAGACGGGAAGCCTACCGGTCTTGGCGACACGGGTCGCGCGCTCGAGCTACGGTATGGTCGTTATGGAGCCGTATGATCCGGCCGTTCACTTTGACGAGGATGTCAAGACGGATAAGTACGATCCGAAGATCAAATGGGCCAGAAGCCAGATAGAGTGGCTAATACGCAAGGTACGAGTTGCAAATCTTGTTAGGGTTTTCTTCTGACAATTTAGGGCGATGTCATTGATCCAAACTCATCTCTCATCAAATCATTCAAGATCAAGTTGGATCCCGGAAGCACCACGAGGTCTTGGGACGCCATCATTGTCATTTCCAACAACGAGCCGCACCTTCTCCCCAGAAGCATGAAGCACGGTACGTGCTATGACCCAATGTTAATACCATATAGTCACTAACAATTACAGCAGCGGGCGCAAAGAAGCTATGCGTAGTTAAAAGCAACCTCACAGGGGTCCAGCAAGATCAGATGGTACTTAACAAGAATAGACGGTCATGGTATCGCAAAGGGGTGCCCTTCTATCACCTGCAGTTTGACGTGCACGTCATTGTTGCACCCGCGGACCTTCGCTTCGAACTGTGGTTTAACGGGTATAGGTTCTCGGGCAACCACGAGCCGATTACTGTGACCTGGGACTAAGTTGCTAGGTCAAGGTTGGGCGTTTTGATTTGGTATTCGAGCTGCATGACGTTTGTCAGGATGGGCTCCTCTAGATAGCTTTTCTATCAGAGACTCTAATTCCACATAAATATAATCATGTAGCTGGAGCATTTACTTCGCGTGAGTCCTTTGATACGAAAGACTTGGTTGAAAACTTTTATTGTCGAGGGCGACTCAATCGCGATAGCCGACTACTGCTTGATCTCCTCTACCTTAGCCTGGACAGCAGCCTCGGCGTCGACCCTCATCTGCATCTCGACATTCCAAAGCCTAGCACTACTAAATTCGATACTCTTGAGCGTGACGAATATTGTCTTGTGCGTAATCTTCCAACCCACAGCCAAGATGATGAACACGAGGAGGATGACATAGTTCATCAAGAAGCCCTCAACGTCCCACGGCGCAAAAGAAGTCCAACCCTGGAAGAAGCGAAGAAGAGGCCTAACGTAGGATCGGAGTTTCCTAGTATGTCAAAACCAGACCCAAGTTGTCTATCGTTCGTCAGCATACGTCGAAGTGCGTCATGCATAGTGCGTACTGTATTCGGCAATGATGATACCAGCCCAGAGAAGCCAATAGTTCCATCCAAGAGCGAATCCAAGGGCGGGATCGAGAAACGTGGACGTGTAATGGGTGAAAGAACCTGTTTAAGCCATTGTTAGAAACGTCTAGCAAAGAGATTTCAAACATGAAACTTACCAGACATTGGGATAAACGCTCCTAACTCTCCCAAAGACTGCATCACCGCCCACAACAGAACCCCCACGATGGCAAAGCACAACAGCAAGCCCGCAGGTCCGGCAGTTGAAAGACCAGTGCCCATGCCGACAAAGTAGCCAGGGCCAATAACGCCTCCGGTTGCTAACATCATCTAGAAGGAGAGCTGTGTCAGCTGAAGAGATAAGGGAGATGCTTGGCCGAGTTAACCTATAAGATGGCGGCCAGCCAATCCGCGCTGAAGGCCTGCATCCTCAGCGTTTGAGGTTTCGACCTCGCTAATTTCGTTCGAGGCCGTGCGCTGCAAGCCCTCGTCCTTCAGAGAGTCCGCCTTCATGATGATGTTGTCACTATTGTTGCTGAGTTAATGTTTCTGATGTGAAGCCGTCTTTCGTCTTCTTAGACAGGATCAACACTATCTACGCAAGGACCACCAACCCAACCGAGTCATGGTTGTGTGTTGATATCTCATGACCCCATCCAAATGGGCCCAGCTCGTAGAGTTTTGGGCCGGGTCAGATTACACTCACTGGGGGTTTCCTTGGTCACCCTTCGGATCAACTTGCGGGGGAGGGTCGTCCTTGGAATAAAACAGCTAGGGGGGAAATAGTCCATTGCCAGGACCTCCTTGTCATTTGCCATGGTCTTCATTCGTCTTGATTAGCATCAACGTGACGACCCGGTCCTTGATCAGGTTGCCACATCATTATCGCATCTTCGGCTGGGCCGTGTAACATGCCGCGCGCTCCGCGGGAGACATATCGATTTGAACACGGCTCAGTCTGGCGAGTCAGGACTGTGAGGACAGATTCTTGAAAGGTAAACATGGTATCTCGTGAATTTGAAACTCCTATCCTGAATTTGGTTGTCTGGTAGTATTATTTTGCGTTTGCGACTGCATTGCCTCGGCCTCTGATTGCCGCTCGAGCTGCCGCCACGAGTCTTCGCCCGAATGATGATGATAATGATGGAAGTGATGATGTATGTGGTGATGATGGTGATGGTGAACTGTTTGTTGTGTCGTAGTTGGTAATTGAAATGATTCGGCGTAAGATTGAAGCATTGCATCGTCCCCTGGGATCCCCCAATTTTTGGGCGCAGACGAAGCACCCGTCGATCCGAGCCACAAGCTTTGGTCAGCCGGCGGTGATGTGCCCGTGGCAACCATTGAGCTCATGGAGGACCAACTTGATGGCGAAGGCATGAATGCTCCTGTGGTGCTATCCTGACGGTGTCTTGTGTGTAATGGCCTGGGCTGGGTCCACGCCTTTGCGGTCTGTGTCTGATCCGAGAAGCTTGATGGGAGATCCCCAAGAAGAACAGAATCGGACGACACGCCAGTCCCGTTGGCTTTTTCGGCATTCTCGCCGTCAGCATCATTGAGCGATGGCGGCGAGGGACCAGAAAAGGTTTCGTAAAAGGCCGAGTCGAGGAAACTGGGCCCTGTCTGATCACCAGCCTCGGCCTCCAAGGCGGAGAATGGCATAATCTGCTCGCCTGCGTTCCCGCTTCCAGATTCCATGTCGATAGTGAGATTCTGGGGTGCAGGTGATACTCCGCTATCCATGGGGGACATTTGCGACGTCGATGACGATGGTGTGTTGCCTTGGGATTTGGCGATGCGGGAATGGGATTGACGAGAGAGAGTGCGCCAGCGGTTGCGGCAGGTGAGAGGTGGACGGCCAGGTATCCGCGATGATATAGCTGCCCAGCGATGACCTAATGTAGCGACACCTTGGCGGAGTAGGTTGTCCTCCTGAGCTGTCCAATCGCTCAGGCGGTTTTGGGCAGATGGATTGAGAATGTCGTTGTACCTCTTTGAACATTGGTCGTCTTTCCTGCCAGGAATGAGAAGGGCTAGGAGGTTGATGTTAGATTACAAGGCTATGTGTGCTAGAGAGATAGGATATGTACCAATATCATGCCAGGCCGGCCCAAGACGTGCATACGCTGAAAGGAGAAGCTCGTCCTCTTGGGCTGTCCATCTACCCTTGCGCAGCGACGGGTCAAGGGAGTGAAACCAGCGTTTGCGACAGTCCTGCAGGGTCTTGTCAGCCTCGGTGCTTGCGTGCTGCACGTCTCGGGATGTCGACCCGGGCCGTATATCAATCAAGACGGCGGCGTGGGGTCTGCGGTGTGCGTGCAGAGAGGCCGACGTACCTTGGCTGTCCGACCTTGGAGACCGGCAGCAATGTCCTTCCACCTGCCTTCGGGTCCTCTGCTGTCTCCAAAGTGAGCTACCAGCGTCCTCAAGGCCGAGTCCTCGGTGGATGTCCAAGGCCTTCGATGCTTGCCGGTGTTGGCGGGGGGAGACTGCGGGGAAGTCTCCTGGCCGGACATGGGTAAGCAGGCAGTCGAACGAGGGCAGGGACGCAGTAATATGGTGATGGATGAATTGCCGAGGTCAAAGATGCGTCATTAATTGATGCGACGACAGAGCAGAGCTGGCTGGCTGGCTGTGAGACAGGGCGAGGCAGGTCAATTGTCGAGATGATCCGCAGGCCGAGATAGTCATTTTTCCGTGGTTGACCTCCGGAACTCGGAAGGCTGCAGCCGTTTCCCCTATCACAGAGAAATGACCCCACTATCCTTATCTGAACTGACCAAGTCTCGCGACGCCACTCTTCCCCGCATTCTCATCCTTGCTCTTTTGCACATTAGCTTGACTCGGCCCTGTAGAGATTACCCTGCACCTCAGCCAGTTTCTCGTACGAAATCTCTGTCTTATCCGACGACGATGCATTCTATCTCGCAATGTGATCATTGTGGGGTAAAGCAAGGGCCCTGCCAGCCTTTGCGGGGAAGGACGGTGTTGATTTGACTCAGCCTCTGCCAATCTCGGTCCTGACATCAACAATCTGCGGCTTCAGCTGGACGCGGGTTTCACTCGGCTGCAGGCCTGGACGAGCCCCCCAAGAGGGAGTTGGTCCGATACCTCGATGCGGAGCACAAGGGCCTTCCCCTTCCCGTGCTTCCCCGATGCATCTTTGCCATTTGGTACATCAAGCGCACTCCTCGTCTGTTCGAGGCTGTGATTGATGTCACCAATGGCAAGATTGTCCAGCATCAGGAACTCCTTCGAGACTTCCATGGTCCCGTCGACCGCACTGAGCTCAGCGAGGCGGCTAACGTGGTTATGGCCCACCCCGACGTCGACAAGGAGTTGGCCCGTCTCGGCCTTGACAAGTCTCGGATTGTCCTTGACCCTTGGGACTATGGTGTGGATGGTACTGATACCCAGGCTCGCATGACCCAGGTAAGCACTTTAGCACTTTAGCACTTTAGCACTCCGACTCTTGTGAGCATGTTCTAACACACGTCAAGGTCTTCCTTTACAAGAAGAATCCCAAGAACAATGATGTCGACTCCTCTCACTACTCTTTCCCCCTGGACTTCATGGTCACCGTCGACCTTTGTGCCATGAAGGCCAGGAAGATCATTCGCCTTCCTCTCGGTTCAGATGAGAGTGTCACTCAAGGAAACGTTGGCCAGCCGGACTCTGATCCCGCTGAGCCCGAGTATGACATCCTCTTCAGAAGAACCCTCCTCGTACCACTATGAAGCCTTACAATGTCGTCCAGCCCGAGGGTGCCTCATTCACCATGAAGTGAAGGGCCATCTGCTTGAGTGGGAGAAGTGGCGATTCCGAGTTGGCTTCAACTGGCGAGAGGGTATCACCATCCATGATGTCCACTTCATGGATCGCAGCGCCTTCTACCGCCTATCTCTCTCCGAGATGTTTGTTGCTTATGGCGACCCTCGAAGCCCCATTTACCGAAAGGGTGCCTTTGACCTGGGTAACGTCGGTGCTGGTGTCACCGCCAACAACCTTCAGCGTAAGTTTTCCGACCACTCTACAGAATACCACTTGTATCTAACAGTTTTCTAGTTGGCTGCGACTGCCTTGGTGTCATCAAGTATGTCGACGGCTGCGTTGTCGCTGCTGACGGAACCCCTGCTCCCCGTCCCAACGCCATCTGCATTCATGAGGTCGACCAAGGCATCCAGTGGAAGCACACCAACCACCGAACCGGCAAGGCCGTCGTCGTCCGTAAGCGACAGCTCGTCATCCAGCAGATCATCACTGTTGCCAACTACGAGTACATCTTTGCCTGGATCTTCGACCAGAACGGAGAGATCTCTTTCGAGACCCGCGCCACTGGTATCCTCTCCACCAAGCCCATTGACAAGGAGTCCAAGGTTCCTTGGGGAACCCGCGTCGCCGATGGTGTCATGGCTCCTTACCACCAGCACCTGTTCAACGTCCGTATCGACCCCGCTGTCGATGGCCACCAGAACTCTTTCGTCTACTCCGACTCTGTTCAGATGCCTTGGGACGAGAAGTTGAACCCTCTGGGTACAGGCTACGTCAGCAAGGAGGCCACTGTCACCCGCGCTGGTGCTGTTGAGGACAGCCTTGCCGACGGTCGTGTCTTCAAGATTGTCAACCCTAACGTGGAGAACAGGGTCTCCTTGACCCCCACTGGCTACAAGCTTGTGCCCATCCGCTCTCAGATGCTTCTCGCCCAGCCTGGTTCCTGGCACTGGCGACGATCTGAGTTCTGCGAGTCCCCCATCTGGGTCAACAAGTACAAGGATCGCCAGCTGTTCCCTGCCGGTGACTAGACCAACCAGTCCATCGGTCGACAGGGCATCAAGACCTGGGTCAAGGACCGAGACTACGTTGTCAACGACGACATTGTCATCTGGCACACATTCAGATTCACCCACAACCCCCGAGTTGAGGACTTCCCTGTCATGCCCGCTGAGATTGCCGCTTTCCACCTAAAGCCATACAACTTCTGCGAGTACAACCCCACCAACGATGTGCCACCCTCGAACCAGGAGTTCAATAAGAGCACCAGCTACGAGGATGCGAACAAGGGCTCTTGCTGCACCACCAAGGGCCGATTGTAAAAGCAGGAGAACATAGAAGGTAGAAGCATTAGAAAGATAACATAGCATTCGAGTTTCTGTTTGAAAAATTGCCATTGTCATTTTCGTTCATTACAGTTGATCGCATAGAAGCTGGGACATGATTCTCTTACATACTCGTTCTGCGATAATATAAGATAACCCACAACAAGAGTTGTTCTTACCACCTATTCCTGACCATTTTACAATTTTGATGTTGACTCATTGCAACCCTCTCTGCCCTTGCTATGCATCTGGGCTAGTCATGGCAAACTGTTCCACTAAGCTGCTCAGACTATTGGCCTCGATCTCATCCGACTTACTCGTTATGTCCACAGGCCATACACTGTGAACAGCCTGCATGGGCGCTCTCGCTCCCGTGTCATGCACATCTTCAATGCTGGCTATACCCCTCATCAAATTTAACTCTTCTGGTCGCATCCGACCCTTGACGACCTGGAAGAGACTCTCGGCCACGTAGTGACTGCGTGCTTGATCCCGCAACCCTTTGGCAGCGAGGAAAAGGGTGGAACGGGTAGCCTCGAGGTCAAAATCAGGTGTCTGCCTGTCAATGGCGTCGAGACACATGAATGCCGCTAGGGCGAGGGGCTGGCAGATGAAGACGACCGTTTCGTTGAACCCGTGCCGGAGATAGTAGATGCGGATCAGTGTCAGGAGATGCTTTGTAGCCAGGGACACCATCTCTTGGGGACTAGGGCTTTGGGATACTGGCTGGAGGACAAATCGCTCGTAGATCGTCATGATGAGGTTTTGGTGGTAGAAGCTAGGATAGGTTAGGCCACGGGAGATATCGGGGCGGCTCACACACTCACTGAAGGTTAAAATGTCCTGGATGCACAATGAATCTGGGCTTGAGGCAGTCCGGGAGACCGTATGACCAGTTCCTAAACTGAGTGTAGAAGGTGTTGGCTTGTTCCAAAGTGACAGGTTCGCCGTCTTCCGCAAAGTATACCTCACAGACTGCGTTCATGATCTGAAGAAACTGACACCTTGCCTTGAAGAACTGGCCGAAGTGGGCTGGGAAGAGCGTCGTTTCGAGAGGGTACTTGAGCCACACCTCACCATACCATCGTGCATTTTTCAGCGGGTCTGGAAGAGCCACTTTGGGGGGTTGTTTGAGAGCTGGGGGGTGCATGAAATGGTACGCAGTGAACCTGTCGTTGAAGACTTAGCAGCGGCCAAGACCACCTCTACAGTCAGTCAAACTTACGTCTCATAGGTGTAGAGCACCCACGCTGTGAAACATCTCCCGTCCCTCGTACGCTGGTCCTGAATCTCTTCATTATCGTCAAACAACTTCAGCTTGTGAGCAAGGTTCAAAGCTTGTATGCAATAGGGCCTCCCAAACTTGTCAAGACCGCAGATATTGTGGACTGTGTTGAGTATGACACCTGCCTGGACCGTCGTGAGACGAGGAATGTCCGCCTCAAGCTCCCACAGACGCTTCGCCTCAGCCAAAAACCGATACAAGAGCGTCTGTGGGTTCCAGTACTCAGCCCGGTCGCGGAACCTGGAGTAGCAGATCTGTGGCCAATCAGTTCTGCAACGCCCCAGCAAAGAGACCAAGGAGCTCACATACGCATGTGTAGGCTAGCAGGGCATTGACTAGGAGCGATGAGCAAAACGTGCCCCTCCCGGAGGCCATATCCTCTAGAAAATAGTCCTTTTGAAAGACCACGTGGGGAAGGTATTCGCAGCGCAGGTAGACGTTGAGAAGCTCCCTCATCAGAGTGTCGTTGGCGCAAACGGCGGTCCATGTTGAAGGTTTGGCTGCCAAAAGAAGGGGATCGATTACTTCTGCAGAGTGAAGTGGTTTGAGATACGGGCTTTTATAGGTGTAAAGGGTGAGACTTTGAGGCCTTGGGGCGTTGCTTTGGTTGCCAGGACCCGGGTAGAGAGATGCGGCTTCGTAGACGAGCGAATCGAGATACGGATTGTTAGAGAGGAGCCCTTCGGGCATGTCAGAGATATAAGGAAACTCGTATCGAAACCTCGCCTCGGGCGTAAGCGCCATCTGAAGCAGCAGGCCACCAGCCCTGATGTGGCTGAGAATACTATCAACGCCAGCTCCAGACCTGATCCTCCGCAAAACGTCCTCCGCTTCGTCTTCTGACAGCGTCGCGAGAAGTTCGTATAGCTCTGCATACTGCGATTCATTCTGCTGCACCTGAGTAAACTTTCTCTTGAGGGCTTGCGAGTGCGTCTCTGTTGACGCTGTCTTGTACACGCACTCGATGCTCTTCTCTTCACATCGACTGCAAACTGGCCGAAGGCCAGAACACTGCAAATTTATCTTAGAGACGTTTCATAAAAAGCTTGGTTTGGTATTTAGAAACCCTTGACTTCCGCTTACGGCAGGCTTCACAGGCCGCGTTGATTTTTGACCTCGCGGGGGCACTCAACGAGGGCTGGCTTGGCGGTGGGGGTTCGGGCCCGAACTGCCGCGGCTGGAGAGGTCGCAAGGTGGACATGACTAGAAGCTAAAGCGACACGCGGCCAACAGAGGCGACGATGCCTTGGAAGCGACCCGAACGCGTGGGGAGATGGAGACGGTTGTTGGGAGCGAGCCTGATCGGAGAGCTCGCGGTTCTTTTCTGATCGGTGCGGAGCTTGTTCCGATACCAGCCAGGCCAATCAGTAGCTGCATGTGTCTCTCCCTTGCATTTTCGTCCTACCTGAGCTCAGTTGCTATTCCCTCAGCCTCGATCAGCAGGCGTAGTGCCAATTTGGCCGTAGCTTACACTCTTAGCGTAGAAATCTAGTCCATATTTCCTCAGTATGAATAATTACAAGATACCGGCTACCAAGCCATCCATACAAGACAGCATTAGTATGAATGAAAGAGGTTATACCATCAAGGTATTCAATCATCTTGGAGCATTAAGAAGGCAAGCATACTATTTCTATCCTTGTACTGTGCGATTCTTTCGAGGAGTGCTGATAACCTTTCCCTGTGTTTCAACTTTTCATCTTCAGATATGTCATTAAAGTAGTATGTAATCATGCTTCCATCGTATAACTTTCAGGAGACCTCGCTTGATAAACAGATGAAATTTCGTTTCTTGGCACAGTTTCATCGATCTAACCTCCTCCACTGGAATTACGCTCCAAGCAGAGAAACAGCTCAGTGTTTCTTGGCAAGCGAGGGTCTGAAACTGACGTTGAAACAAACTTTGGAAACCCAATATTGCACCAATGAACGACTCAGCAGCAGGCCTAGAATCCCGGATTTGGCATTTCTCGAGTTAAATACGATAATTGTTTCAAGCTGCATGGCCTCATAGCCAGTCCCTGAAACTCGGATAGGTTCCCCATGAGAAACCACCTCGCCAAGTCAACATGATCAGATGAAGCCCATTTATATCTCGCCCATGGCCACACTGAAACTTTGCCACACTCGTCCAGCATCATTCGTTTCATTCTTTACCTTCTTTTTCTTTCCATTCGTTTATCATGCCTTCTTTTAACCAACTCTTTGCCGCTCTTTTGCTTTGTGCTGTCCGGAACAGCACCGCGGCTCCTGCTTGCAAGCCGCGTCCCAAGGATGTCACATCAGAGTCTGCTGGTTTCGGACCTGGCGAGTTCTTTGAATGGCCTGTTGCCACCGCCGACCCCAACACGTTTATTCGAGAGCCAGTGCCTACTGCCACTTCTGATCAAGAGCCTGTGACTACTGCTGATGTCAGCACCTTTGCTCCCGTTCCCGTGGTCTCCATCGATCCAAGCACCTTGGCCCCGGAGCCTGTAGCCTCTGAGGCGCCAACCACGCCGGCTTCAAAGCCTGAGGCCACCGCAAATCCGAGTGTTTCTAGCACCAAGCCAGCTGCTACTGGAGGTTTGGGGGATAACAACAACAGTTCGGAGCCAGCCACCTTCGAGGCAAACCCTAACGTTGGCAACGGAGGAAGTAACTTCAAGGACTCTGCTCGCTTCCGTGTCTATGGGGCAAGCTCCGCTGAAGCCGATGAGGCTCTGGAAATGCTCGAGGGTGCTTACGACTGCTTCATTGGAAAACTCGGCTGGAGATCATCTGGTCTGACCTTTTACGACAACGACGACACTTACTACAAGACCAATTTCTACACTGTCAGCTCCCTTGATGGAGGTGCCGCGGGACTTCAGCACTCCGACATGGAATCTGGATTTGGATACGTCGAGGTTCTCCAAGAATATCTCACGAACCCCCAAATTACAGTCCATGAATATGGTCACGTCGTTCACTTCCATCAACGAACCTGGGTGAACCAGGCTAACACGGGAGCTTGGTGGGAGACCGTCGCAAACTGGTTCTCGGATACGTACAAAACATCTGATATCTGCGCTGAGGCCCGAGAGAAGCACGGTCAATCCACGTCGCCTACGGAAATAGATCTTCAAAAGGTCATTGGGGATTCGTTCCAGGTTATTGTTGATGGGTCTACTGATAGTGGGAACTATTACCAGGCCTGGCCGTTTCTGACGTACTTGACTTCTAACCCTGACAACTTTGCTGGTCTTGGACAAGATGTCATTCGTCAACTCATGGTTCAATATCCCGAGGACAGCAACGAAACTCCGCTTCACACTCTTTCTCGCGTATCCGAAAATGCAACTGTTACCGAGATTGTTGGTCGCTACTGGGCACACATGGCTTACCTCGATATCGGCCATCCATCCGCGAAGGAAGCCTTTCTCAGCCAGCGCGATACCCTCAACTTTGATAACCTCGAATCGCAAGGCAGTGACTCTTACAAGGTCAAGACAGACCGTCAGCCGCGCTATATGGGATCCAATATCATCCCCCTCACGTCATCCGGGGATGGAAAGGTGGAAGTCAAGGTCGAGTGCGACGCTGCCTTTACCGCAACCCTGGCCATTCATGAGACTTCCTCTGGCAAGATCCGCTACGTTTCGCTTGTAGATGGCGCGGCCTCGGCGTCGGTTGCTTCAGGTGAAGAGGCCAGTCTCGTGGTCGCCAATACTCCCGCTGAGCTCATTAACTACGATGCATTCAACCTCTCTGAGGACGTGCAAAAGGGATTGGATTACACCGTGACAATTACCGGTGCTACTACTGGCGGAGTCTAAGCAAAAGAGAGGACAGATCCTTCAGACTCTGCACAGCTTTGCCATTTTACAATAGGAAGATGTTGACAACATGGAAGATGATGAATAACATAAGGTTCAAATATGTACTATAGAAGAATATAGAGTTATTGTATCTCAACTAAATGAGGATTCCTCCCACTAAACATTATGGTCTAAAAAGTCAACATGAAAGCAAGTGAGAAGGCTCCAAGAGCGATCTTCCATCCATCAATGCCTAGACGAAGGCCTCTTCCCTCCACAACTACCATGGTCGGAGCGGATGTGGGAGGCTCAGTCGCTGCCTCAGAAAGCGCCGTAGCCTCCGAAAGCGTCGTAGTGCTGCTTGTCGCTGCTGGCGCTTGGTTACCTGCTTGGCCACTGCCCTGGGCATCACCGGAACCACCATGCTCTCCGTTTCCAGCAGCGTGGTCGCCCTCTGAATCTGGTGTAGTGGTTGGAACTTCGCGAACCTGGGTGGAAAACTGGGCGGAAACCACGGGGGCGTCGACGTTCGAGGGAGCTGTAGATCCAGAGTGTCCCTTTCCATCGGCTCCAGCAGCTGGCTGGGACTGTCTGGGGCCAGGGATGGTGACGGAGGATCCCTGATACTGGATCTGAGAGGCAGAGTGCAGCGCAGCGCTCTTGGTAAAAGGACCATCCGAAGTTGGGTGAACATCCAAGGTCGAGTGAGCGTACAAGGTCGAGTGTGTGACTTGGACCGGTTGTGTATACGTGATCGTAACCGGATGTTCCGCGCACTTCTTGCACACTGATGTGACAGTCGTGACGCTTTCGACGCCGCTGGTCACGCATGGCACAGTGTATGTCACCGTTACCGGCGCTGTCCAACTAGGATCGGAGCAGACAGATGTAATCACCGTCACAGCGTGTGTCTCAGTCACGACACCGGGCCTGGATGATGTTGCATGGGAGGGAAGAGAGGTGTACCCTGGGGCTTCACCGTGTGTGCTGGAAGTCGAAGAGGAGTCTGGTGTGCCTTCTGAACTCTGGCTCGGCGAGGAGGGCACAGGATAGGTGTGCTCTGACTCGGTGGAAATGCCAGCCTGAGAGCTCTCGAGACTTGACGCAGAGCTACTAACATCGGAAACAGATGGAGTAGTGGTGGTGTAGGCGTTTGTTGATTCGGAGGTGGGAACCTCAGATTGGGAGGTCTCAAGAGTTGACACAGAGTCGGTAGTGGTACTGGCCGGGTCTGACTCGGTAGTCGTGGGATAAGTGTATGTTGACTCAGAGACAGAGGTGGAAATGTCGGTTTCAGAGCTCTCGAGACTCGACACAGAACTAGTGTAATCTATAGTTGACGTGGTAGTTGTCTCGTTGGAAGGAGGAACAGTAGAAGAGCCAGTAGAAGAGCCAGTAGTCAAGGCAAAGGTGGTGTCTGAGGATGTAACAGAGGATTCCTCAGTGGTAGTCGGCAGAACGAAACTAGAAGTCTCCGAAGTTGTCTCGGACGACGTCGAAAAGGTAGTGTTTGCAGGTCGAGTAGGTGTCTCAGTGGTTTCAAAGCTGGTAGTCGTGGCATCCGTCGTTGCCTCTGTCGACACATATGTGGTCGTGCTTAGGGTCGGGGTCAGAGTCGTGAGTGAAGCGCTCTCCGTGGTGCTCACACCAGGCACCGGCCGGTCAACCTCTGCGGAGAAGAAGTTGTCTGGCCTGCTTCTTGCAAAAATGGCATGCTGCAGCGTACGAACGTCGAAACCGACCGTGGTCCCGTTGGTGAGTTCTATAGCCAGGCTATAGGACATGTCGATCGTCCAAGAGCCCTTGATGCCGAGCATGTTGGCGATCCTAAAGGCCAGGACTTCATCCTTGGCGACTTCGCCGGTGTACTTGGACCGGAACGTCTTGACTTGACAGCGCTGAACTGCCTCTGCTGTAATGTCCCGAGACTTGGTAATCTTGTTCTCGTGGTCAAACTCAGTGCCAATGACAACAGAAGTGCCATCGCAGAGGAATCCATCATCTGTTGAAGCCTGGCTGGCAACAAAAGTGACAGAGTTCCAGGGTCCAAGCTGACCAGGGACCTCGATGTCGAACTGATAGATAGGCCGGTCATCGATAGTCTTTTCCGACTGGAACTCATAAACCTTTGTCCTATCGATGGCGCTGTAGTAAATAGGAGGGTAGAACTTCTCGCCCACAGTCGCAATCTCAATAAAGTACGTTCCCGCCTGGAGGTCCGCCTGGAGCTCTTCACTGAACCGACAGTAGAGATAAAAGTCGCCGACCATGTTTTTGTGCCACTCCGTCCAGTCATTCAAGGTGACCGAGAAAACGGAAGTCTCTTCGTCAAAGCTAGAGGTTCCCACTAGGTTCGACCCCTGATCCATCACGTAGGCCTTCTCAGCGACGTCCACAATCTCAGCTGGGAGGGCAAAGCTGACGACGGTATCGGCAGGGACACGGTTGGGTATCAGGATCTGGACGTGCAGCTCCATCCAGTCACCGGGGGCGTTCATGGTGCGGGACTGGGTGCCTTGACGGGCAAGAGAGACGTCGACAAAGGCATTCGACAATCCGGTCGGGGTGGACTTTGCCGTCAGAGTTGTAGTGATTCCGGGGATTGAGGAAGTAGTCTCTACCGCAACATCAGATGTCGTGGTGACTTCAGATGTTGTGGTGCTGGGGGTAATTGTTTCCGACAAGCTGGCGACGGTTGAAGTGGGAAGACTCTCTGTCGTCGCGCTGGTGCTGGTCTGCCCGGGAATTGGATCATCGCCAAGCTGAATACTGAAGGCGTCCGAGAGGAAGAGCTGCCAGTCCTCGGCCTTGTTGGGGTTTCCAAACATGCGAAGAGCCCTGCTGAGAATCTTGTACTTTCCTGATGGAATAGCCGTACCGTTGGAGAAGCTCTGGAATCTCGTGAAGCCAACGTTGCTGAACCGCACGGGGAACGTGATAGGAAAGTTCACATAGTTTCCAAACACATCTGGCTGGCCCCTCAGTGATCCCGACCATGCCTTTGACGATGCGCCAGCGATAAAAGGATACTCAAAGTCATCGACGGTCCAGTCTTCGCCAACGAGGTCAAGGGAGAACTCATATGTGCCGTAGCGCAGGGCGTAGTAAATCTCGGGCGATTCGAGTTCATCAGGCCTGTACGGCAGGTTCTTCCAGTTGATGGGGTAGAGGTAGCCGTCATTTGAGTCATAGCGGAAGGGCAAGGGGGCACCTTCGAGGGGTGTCCAGTTGTATGTTGACACTTCAACACCCATATACGGCACGGTGACAAACTCGTCGTTGGATCCCTGGAAGACGATCTTGCCGCTCCACAAAGCACCGCTATCGGACTCAACATCTGGGGGGTTGATGGTAACTTGAACGTCACGCGTTGCGCCCGCTGCGATGGTGATGCTGTCGGGTGCCTCAATGGATCCTTGGCCTTGAAGAACAGGAGGGTAATACACCAGCGGGTACCAGTACTCATCCCTCGACTGCACCGTAGCAGCCGCCACGTGAGAAACTTGGTACGTGACTGCCTCCGAACCAGTATTCCGCAGGGTGATGGTATGTGTCTTGACGCGATTGTCCGTGTCGTTCAGTGCGATGAGTGGCTCGGACACAAGAACAGTCTCATAGTCCATCAGCTTGACCGCATCGACCAGGCCAGCGCCCTGCTGCGCCAGAGACGCAATCTCACTGACAACTTCTCCCATGGCCGCATCATAGGATGGAAGAAGAGCAGCAGTGGAGGCAATTCTACGGAAGAACTCCTCTCCATCCTTCTTCTTGCTGCTAAAGAACAGCGCCGCCAGACCAGACATGTAAGGCGTCGAGAAAGATGTTCCCGAAGCAATAGCGTAGTCATTGTTGGGAAACGCGCCATAGACAGCTCCTCCAGGCGCCGCAATGCTGGGGGAAAAGTCGTTCTCAAAGGTCAAACCCCAGGAAGAGAAAGCAGAGACTTGTCCTGCACTAGGATAGTCCTGCTCTGAAACTTCAGCGTCTGCGTCTGCCTCGACTTCAAGAGTAATATTCCGACCCGAAGCAACCTGCTTCTTCACCCATTCACCAACAGAAGCATCTATCGTGGCCCAGAGGTGCACCTCGGGGCTGACCGTGATCTCTGAGTCGTAGAACACGCCTTGGTTGTACGAGTCAAAGATAAGGAAGTAGCCGAAGCCCGTGCTGGACAGGTAGTTGTACGCCTTTCCTGAGAAACAAATGCCTCTCTTAATCAAAACGGCTTCATCTTCGCTGCCGTAGAGAGTGGGGTCGCAGGAATCGCTCTCGTCGAACTGAAGCGGCACGCTCGTCGACTCGTTGAGCTTCTGCCCATCTGGAGTCACGTACCGCAGCTCGAGGGTCTCGCCAGATGAGGAGGCCAGTGTGGCAGGCCATCCGAGCACCTTCTTGGAGTTGACAGATGCAACAGAGACGACACCTCGGCCGGAAGCAGGGGAGCTGGCGTAAAAGACACCTTGTTCTCCAGAGTTGCCAGCCGCAATGATCACTAGCCTCCTCTCAGCAATCTCGCTGGCGACGCGAGACATGACCGAGCCAGAGTATCCGTTGTCCAAGCCGAGGGACAGCGAAACGATATCGCAGTCATCAGCATCGGCTGCGAGCATGCCCTTGAGGACAATGTCGTTGGGCGTGCTCCCATCGCAGCCAAAGACCTTGTACATGTACACCTCTGCCTCAGGTGCGACACCGACAAAGTCCTTACTCTGGCCGACAATGACGGACGAGACAAAGGTACCATGGCCGTTGCAGTCTTGGATGTCGGTGCTATCGTCAAGCATGTTCTTGCCGCCGGCAATTCTGCCAGAGAGGACAGGGTGAGAAGCATCTGCACCGCTGTCGACAACACAAACACGCTGACCCTTGCCCTTGATACCTCTCCTGTGAAGCTCATCAACTCGGGTGACTTCATGGGGGTTCCATTGCGGGCTGGCATTGTTGGTGTCAAACTCGACGTCAAGAGTGATGGCGTAGACGGGCCAAGCATCGACAACACCCGGGACATCCTTCAGCTCGCCGAGGGTCATGTTTCCATCGTTGTTGATCTTGACAGAAACAGCCTGGAAACCACCAGACGCCGAGGTCAAGTCCTCAGCCACGCTTGCATCGTAACCAAGAGACTCGATCTCGCCGATGAGAGCAGAACCCCTGCGGCCAATGTCTCGGCTTTGAAGGGAAGTGCCAGGTTCAAGCTCGACAATGAATTTTCCTGGGATGATCGCCGGGCCGGATGCTTCAATGGGCTTTCGTGAAGCTCTAATGCTATCGGCATCCCAGGCAAGGGTCCCAGTGATAAGAGTCACCAAGGCGGCTCCCCTCAACCAGAGTGAAACCATCCTGTCGGCTCAAGAGTGATCGACTTGGCCCACTTGTTCAAAAGAGTGAAAAAGGGTAGGAGAGCAAACGAACGGCTAGGATGCTATATCACCCAAACTAAGACTGTCAAATTGTCTCGGCATTGAGCCGCCTTTATGAATCCCGGAACCTCTGGGATCCTGCAGGTCAAGAAAAACGCTCAACCTCGTATTATCAATGCCGACTTCGGAATCACATCACGTCTTGTCTCCGCTTCGTTTATGATAGCGGCTGAATTGGTCATTGCCAAGAAACCTTTTCTTCGAGCCACCTGCCCTTCGTGATTGCTTGGTCAAGGGCTCGAAGAAGGGGGGGTGGGGGTAGACCTCTGAGCAACCCAACGGAAATCCCTTCGTGATTGCAGTCACGGACATTACTAGCCGTACCTGGCTGCAGCCGTTCCTTGTTTGATGGGGCATCCACGTGTTGGTCCCAAGGCTATCCTGGATTGGTGGAACTATTGACTTTTCGAGCTATCGAAGGCCGGCTCGACAGGGGCTCAGGAACGATTGCGAGAGCCAAGTTGTACTAGAGATGGGCCAGGCTGTGGACCACCCTTGTTTGATAGGCCTGGATATCAGACTAGTCACATCTAATCTTATCTGATCATCTGATAAAAAGCCCCTGGTCCGTGCCGGCACCGGCGCCGAAACAGCCGGCACCGAACGAGTGTCAATATGCACTCTGCATGTTGTTCCTCACTGCTGGGAGAGGAATGAGACGAGCGAAGTAGAACAGGTTTGAGCTCACGCCGGTGATTCGTTGATGGTACAATGGTATGTATATTATATCTCCCTTGCATCCATCACTCTTTTTGCCGTTGGGTAAGTGAAGCATGTTTAGTCATTTGAGATACGCTTTAATACCTTTCGTAAACCCTGCCATGCCTTGCTGCATCTATAAATTTCTTCGCATTTTCCAAGCGCACAGAAATCGCTGTCGTATCTCCCAGGCACCTTGGCAGCCCAACCCCCCTTGATAGATAATCGCTGAGCCTGGCGAGGACCGCGGAGTACTGAGGTTGGAGCCCGACTCCATGTTGAAGAAGCTTAGTCACGACTGAAATCAGGTCGCAACAGAATCCAAGTCCAGAATGAGAACCGAAGGCCATGGGCCGACGATCCTGCCCCCATAGGTTTCCTAGCTCCTCCTCCAGTCTCCAAGAGCATAGATGAAAGGCCGTCCCCCCAGATCCGTATGCACCATCCACCTTAGGTTGCCAGTCGAGGAGCTTGACTTCCTCTGCCGTTAAGTGTGCATCGAGACAAAGATGAGGATCAGCACCCGCGTTGAGAAGAGCATCCACAGCTTCTACTCGGCCTCGATGTGCCGCCACCATTAGAGGTGTAACGTGGCCTCTGTTTGTTGCTACACTGGGATAAGCCCCTCGTTGCAACATATATTTTATGGTATCTGCGTCTTCAGCATAGTGTAACGGCCGAGCCCCACTGCTGTCCCCGATGTTTGGGTCTGCCCCGTGTTGAAATAGCACATTTACTAGCTCCCAACGTCTCGCTTTGAGAGCTAATATCAAGGGGGTTTCGTCAGCCCCATTCCTCAAGTTTATATCGGCGCCGCGCTGGATAAGGGCTAGCATGGCTGCTACTGCAAATTCGAAATGAAGCGGCTTTTTGCAGATGTAATGAGAAACCGTCTCGAAGCTGGAGCCGTATCTCTGATTACTTGAGAACGTCACCCGGAGCACCAAAGCATGGAATAATTCCCAATTTGAAGTGTTGATGGCATAGTGTAGGATCGTTGCTGGACCATCCGCAAACATGTTGGAGTCTTCCAAGTAGTTGGTGAGAAAAAGAATATACAGGTCCATTTCTGGAGTCTCGGAACGTGATTTGAGTGCAGCCACAATGTGAGATTCAGCTATTCTCCAGAGCGAAATTCCTGATAAGTTCGGACTGGGGGGCTTTGCGCGGCTTGTAGTGAATGGTTCGCAACCCAGCTCGATGAACGCTTGAAGAATGTGTGCCATGAAGGATGGATGCACAATGTAGAGAGGTGCTAACCATCCTAAGCCTTCCCCCCTGATTTGAATCTTGGGTGGGTTGGTAGAAGCGGCGCCCACTGCTGCCGAAATGGCGTCACGCAGGTTGTCTTTGTCGTCTGAGTGAAGGTAGTTCTGGAAGAGAGTCGCATGGCCGTTGTGGAGGGCCCAAGTCATCGCTTCGAAACCAGATGTCCACGGCAGCGATGCCGAAACAGTTGGGTTCGTCATCAAGTTCCCCCAGAGCTGGAGTAGCCCATGTTGATCATCTTTCCAAATATTCCGACTTGACAAAAGCCATTGGTTCTTGGCGTAGTCAAGGAAGAGGTGGACGTCATCATGCACCCTCCACCTTGCGTTCTGCAATTCGTAGGACAGTCTTTCCAGGTCAACCTTGGTATCACGCTGACGCTTGCATTTCGCCAGTAGGGTGAACGCTTTGCGCGAAACTTCCGACTGCATGACCGAACTAGCTGTTGTTTGAGGCACCTGTCCAAAAGAGACTTTCTGCGCTGTTGAGATCCGGTTCTCAAAAACACTGTAGTTCAGATATGTTACACACACGGCACCCAGCATCATTTCTGCCTCCGAGAGGTCGAAGTGGAAGATACCAGTCTTGGGATCTGAAGAAGGGGCAGTAAGGTGCAGGGGCACACTGTAGTGAATAAATCGAACGCGGAGATCCTCCTCATCGATATCCAGCAGGCTTCCCCCGTAAGCCGAAATAAGTGCTTTCCCTGACCTGGAAAGTGTTGAATTGACCCATTTGATGTTTCCTGGTTCAACATTGCAGGCCACGCGTAGTTCATCCATGTTTAGAGGTGGCTCTGCGGACGCAACCAACTTGAAGAGCTTGCTGCCATATCTGTCGTCACGCATCCGCGACAACGCCTTGTCAAACGCTTCTGGTAGGTCCTTGGGGAGGTTTCCCAGTATATCTAAGATTTCCGCGTCCGACCGAAGCTCTTGCGTGTATCTGGGGCAGATGTCCTCGATCTGAAGCGAGAGCCAGAGAAACATGCCCTGGCATCCTGCAAGGAGCTGTTCCCCCACCAGTTTTTCCAGTGCTGTTGGCAAGGTTCTGATTCTATTCCATCTAGATATTTCCGCAGCGATGTAGGCGCGAATCTCGTCAGATCTGTCGGCAGTCTCCATGGACAGGGTCCACTTCAGAAGCATGTATGACTTGGCAATGGAGTAGCATGGTGATGTGGGCCGCGATGAGCACAGAAGATGAATCCATCGGTGGTCTGCAAGACGTTCAAATTGACCAAAAACGTCATCGATCTCGGCTTTAGGAATCTCATCGAGCCCATCAAGGACAAAGATGCCCCGCCAATTGGAGGGTGTAGCCTTGAGAAGAATCGCAATATAATCTTCAAGCTTTGTGCAAGCTTGCTGTTTGGTTTCTGTTTTTTCGAGGAATGACATGAGAGAACGCTCTAGGGCTGGATTTTGCAATGCCTGTCGTGTAATGCTACCCAGCAAAGCAGTGGCGGACAGGGTCTTGGAGTTGCTGCTCTGGCAAAAGAAATATGACACGGTAACGGCACCTGAAATTCATGTCAGCACTTGGGAGATGATGGGAAGAGCCTGGGCCAACCTTGAGGCTCCATGGTCGCCGCAGCCGAAATGAGGTGCGCCGCGGCGGAAGCCATTGCAACCGTCTTCCCTGATCCTAGATTTCCTTTGAGCCAAAGAGTAGAACTGGTGAGACAAGATAACCAGCTCTTGTAGATATCTTGTTCATACATCCAGCTTGACGTCCCTCTCCTCCTCTCCCGTCGCCAGATAAGGTTGAAATCGCCCTGGTCCGGACACAGGGAGGTAAGCAACACATGCTTGCGTTCCTTCTTTTCGCGGCTTGCAGACTCTCGGGACATAGTGACCTGTAGACGGTTAAATCGATCCAGGACTGACTCCTGGCTTTGAAGGTCAGATTTGGCAAGGAGGAATGTGACGCGTTTCTCCATCAACTGTGCCCACGTTGCGAGGTCTGACTCCAGGGGCTTAAAAGTCACGTCAAATGTGGACGTGAGCGAAGCTGCAAGTTGGGATAAGGCGGACTTGGTACAATTGTGCACAATTTTGGCACAAATCTGGACCATGACGATAGTGTACTCGCACATGTAAGATTGAAGGGTCGAGCACGTGGGAAACAGCATGGCGAAATCTTTGTGAAGGGACAGGGAACGCCCCAGTCTTAGCATCATGCTTGTGACGTTTTCAAAGTATGACAGAAAGGAAAGAGATGCCTGACTTCATTAGCAGATGGAACATCTTGGTGATTCAGTCATACCAACCTCCAGAGACAAGCGAACTACAGCCCAGACACCACACGCAATCAGGTTTTGGGACCCTCCCACCATGACATCTCCAATGGGGGCAAATTGACGCATGCGCTCCAGGATGGCCACAAGTCGAGTGCCGTACGGCCTCCATGACCGGTGGGCCCTGGCACCATCCCGGTTGATCTCCTCAGTGAGCCTGATGATGTCGTCTGAACTTGGAGGGCTCTGTGACTGCAAGTTCTTGAATCTGGCGCGCTGGTTCTTGTTGCTGAGAGAAGCATTGAATTCCGAAATGGCCTGGGCGAGCCTGAGCTCTGGCTTCAGCTTTGCCGCGAAGCCGACGGCCGAGGATAAATCCACCATTGATCTGATAGGACAAAGCTCGTTCTGTTGTTCGTCATGCTAGCCTCATATCCGATGCCTGGTGCACCACTTCTTGTGGAGTTGGATGTCCCCAAGGAGAAAGGAGCTAGCGAAGGGAGAGTTGAGAGAAGGAAGACGGGATGGGGTGGTCGAGTTGAAATGTCAGCTCGGCTGTGCGGGGTCTGGCCTTGACTGTGACCAGCCCAACGGCTGAATATTGTAGAGACTTCATTGGTTTTGATTGCGGGGGGGTAAAAATGAGGCAGACGGCATTTTCTTGGCTGGGGAGGAAGCGAAGGGAGGGGGGGGTCTGAGGCTGTGTGTGGGCGATGCAGGGCTGATACCATGCAACTTTGAGTTTAAGGTTGAACAGTTGAAACGGTGGATGGCGTTCCTGCCTGGGCATGAATATCAATGGTCAGGGTTGAAATTGATTTCAACTTACTCCTTGCAACCACCCAACATGAGAATCGCGGACAGGTTGCGCGTTCCCTCGCCAGGCTCAGTCTCCCGGAATCCAACATGAAGACCATGTAGTCCGTACTATCTTAACAACCCAACTAAAGGCAGAGCAGCGCTGGATCTACTCTTTTCGGGAACTGGTGCCCTATGTCTAGAGTTCCGTACTTGTTCCGAGACTTGCCTGTCATCTAGCGCTGGAAACTCAAGCTCCAAACCAAATACTTAATCTAATCCAACTCCTGTGCTAGCTCTTATACAGGAGAAAATTACCATCTTTGAAAGAGCCCCGTACCTTCTGATAACTGGCGACATTTCTAGCATGCAAATGATACCCCGCATCCCTGCTCAACTTCACTCGGCCCATCCAGCCGAGAACGCTTGTCGCCTCCCTATTGGTCCATAAATGAATCAGGCTCGGCACAAGGCGTTTCTTTCTCCGACGCAATCATGTCATCTGCCTTGACCCTCAGGACAAGAATGCCCCGCGGACCTGCAAGGCCGCCCACCATGGCAAACATGTCCTCTCTCCAATCTGCCATACAGGCTTCAGGCCTCCTTCAGGCTGTTGCTGAAGATTTGTGCATTGACACGTCTTGCGTCCAATTCTGCGCCACCCTCCAGGTTGTGCTGACAGATATCGTCAAGTGGCTGCGGACATTGCCGGACGATCGAGACTCGGAGCGGGAGGCGACCGCACTCCTCGATCAATTGGATGGCCTCTGCCAGGTGATCAAAGACCGCCAGCCTGTTTCAAATCTGGGACACGACTGACTTTGGAAAGCATGTAGCGGCAAGATGCAGGAAAGGCCGCAATCTTACCCGAGGGTGCTTACTCAGGCCTCGACCTGCTCATGGTTGACGCTGATGCTGTGATACCGACGATTCGCAACTTGGCCAGCTCCAAGGCATGTCAACGGCAGCGGCGGACTGTTTTAGCTTGTCTCGAATCGTTTCTGCCTCAAATTTCCGAAGAAAAATTCGCCGCCTCGCCCTCTGATGCCGACCTCCGCGCAGCAAGCGATGATCCACCAGAGTATGGCAGAGAGATAGCGTCTCTTCACCGGGCTCTCTTCACGCACTGTTGCTGTGCAAAGTCTGAAAAAGTTGTTGCTCATATAAGACTGCATAATAGCGTTCAAGACGATGCCAAGGTAACATTTGGGGTCATATTTAAGGCGCACCCCCATCATGATGGGTGTGCTTCTGATTGCCCACCCTGGTGGCAAGACACGCAGATATCTGTGCAGCGAACAGTGTGAGTTCTAAAAGGCCTTACCACTCACTAGATGGGCATGTTCTGACCTAGCGATAGAACTTTTGAAGACCACTCCGCATGTGAATTTGAACAAGTTGGACTTGATTCAGATCCTTCTTTCTGTACATACATCTCAACACAAGAGGAGCAAGGTCTGGTGCTGTTATACTTTTCAGTCTTAGGTCAGAGCCTCTACTTTGAGACTCACGATGACCCCCCAAGATTATGGGAACTCGACAGACCTAGTATATCCCTCGGACGGCTTCTGGGGGAGATTTGTGAGTCGGGCAGCGATCTGACTGAAAAGATGAAAGAGGTCCTCTCGTGGCTCTTGGTCAAGGCTGTTTGGCAGTACTACAGCTCCCCGTGGATGCGTGAGCCATGGAACAAGGAGAGCGTTCATTTCCTTTTCGAAAAACGAAGAACAGAGGAAGGTGAAGAGCTCACGGGCATCTTTGTCAACGAGCCTCTTCTTTCCGTCTCCATCGTTTCCAGCCCACGCGATACTGAGACCAACAACCCAGGATATCAGATTGCTCCAGGCGCTAAGAAACCAGGTCGCCCGCTACTCTTTGGGAGACCGCTTCACCTAGTACCCAAGATCCTTGCTCTTGGCGTCATGCTGATCGAGATCCAACTTGAGCGGCCGATAGAAAGCCTTTACGGTGAGGCCGAATGGTCTCAGTATTGTCCCAAAGGAAGAGCAAACCCAAACACCAACTTCAAGATCTGCAGGGATCTCATCGCAAAGCCGCATTTCTTTGCAGACATTTCAGATCCTCTGGAAAATCTCATCAAGAACTGCATTCTGCCAAATAATCTTTTTGTGCCACCGCATGTTAGGGATGAAGATGGTATCCGAGAAGCATTGTACGGGTTGGTCAATCGGCTGGAGGTTTATCTTTCCAAGAGGAAGCCGAATAACGTGAAACCGTTGAGCCTGCCACGGATTTCCACATCAGGCAAAGTGTCAATGTCCAAATTGACTTCTCCGCCAATGTCTGCACCGGCCAGATCGTCAGTGTCTCGAGTGCTTACTGGCAGCCAATATCGAGTAGGCCCTCCAAAGACAGAGCCGCATCCATTCATTCAGGCCTGATTAGCCCAGGACTTGTCATGTAAATAGACTTTGCACCAAATGTTATCATTTCCATTCTCTGCCTGCGGTCGTTCACGACATCTCGATGTTATTTTCGCTCCTCCTCTGTTAGGTCATGCACCCACGCCCGGGCAGGGAAGGCGCATAGGATCCTGTCATTGGCAGCCCGGCGATTTTCGGGATGAGGTTTACTCCGATGCAGGCGCATGCACCTACAACCCCGCTCACCAACAGCACGATAGCCTCGTTCCAAACATCCATTCTCAATGGCTTCTTTCACGTCCGAGTTTACGTCTTTTTTGTCATGTTAGCCGCTCAGCGTCCGGCTGCTATAGGCCACTCCGTCGCTACAGAGTCCCAACATGATCACTCTGTAGATTCTCAAGCCCACAAGGAAAAGGCCGAGGCGCAGATCGACGCTTACGTATCTGGCTCAGACAGTCGAGCGACGGATACTGCGGGCATCCAGCGTCGGACCCTGGAGTGCCAGGCCCTTTTCGAGTCATGTCAGAGAAACCCCCATCTTTCTGGAGATGACTGGATCGACAAAATGTCAGCAGAGTTCAACTGGTGGTCTCTGGGTATTGGGGCAGCAAAGGGAGGTCATTCTTCATTGGATTATCGCGTCCAAACGCGAGATGACGTGCGCAACGTACTGGTCAATCTTCTTGATAGTCTGGCCACATCCATAGCGAAGTATATTGATGCAGGTATGCCCATTTTCCCGCTTCTCTCATTCTTCTCTCAACTGACGCCACTAGCATCCGAATCCTGCTCCCCCTCTACCTCGACTGCCACTCCAGCACAAGACAAAGATCTGCAGGGATCAGCAGCACATGGCTCAGAGTCACAAGCCTCCGAGGACGGCTCAATGATATATGAGCAGAGATACTATATCGAAACGACAATTCGATTCCTGTCGCAGATTTCTATGGCCATCCGCAAGTCAGGGACCAAATTTAGACACCAGCGGGTGGATAAACTCTTGGCCGCCAGGGAACCAGAACTGAAGGAATTCGGGGATTATATGCGGCACTTCATTTTGATGAGCCCTACAAAGGTTCACACCTTGCACGGAATCTTGCATCAGCACTCCCTGACAGGCGACCCAACCTGGAAGATCCTGTGGATCACTCTCAAGGCCTACTTCACGGATATTCGACGACTGACTCCAGTGCAAAGTCGGCTCATGCAGGCGAACTTGGTTAGACGCAATCGATTTGATTTATACCTTGCGCGATACTATCGAAAGATGCGAGTCCAGAAAGGCCAACAGTTGCCCCGGGTCCAAGCCGCGACAATAACTACAATGCCGCCCAAAGAACCACAAGCTCTAGCTCCGAGCCAGAGCCGCGTCTTACAGCCTTCATCAAAGCGAGGCGATACCATCCCCATTCAGCCTTTAAGGACCGAGGGCTCTCAGCGATCTTCACAGTCGGCGACCAAGATCGGCAGTTTTGTCATGCCTCAGCGCCCTCAACAGCAGAAAGCCAGATCTGTCAGCACCAAGTTGTCTCAAGGAGTCCTCAAGCAGGACTACCCAAAGTGTCCAGGAACTGAGGGTGAAAGCTTCTGGTGTCCATACTGCGCCCAACTACTGGATCCTTCATACTCTGATTCGAAAAAGAACAAGCGTTGGCGGTAGGTGCATCACACCCTCGTCAGAACTATCTAACTCCTTTAGTGGTCATGTAGTCGAGGATTTGAGCCCCTATGTGTGCGTGTATGAGGACTGTGATAGCCCTGACGCCATGTATGTCACAACGCTCGAATGGAAGAAGCACATCCGGGAAAGCCATTCCAGAGCTCAATGGATTTGCGATCCATGCTGGCTAGATTCAGAATGCCCTGAAGAATTTGAGTTCGACAGTGAAGAGAAATGGCTCAGGCATACTCAAACAGCACACGAAGATGAGGTGGAAGAGGACGATTTGCCAGACCTGGCTGAACTCAGTCAGCGCACAGGGGTCCCCCCTATCGCGTGTCCATTATGCTACGAAGACGTGTCTCTTCGAAATCCTGAAACTGACAAACATTTGACTCAGCATCTCCACTCTTTCGCGCTCCAAGCTCTACCATGGGAGGCGACAGGATGTGATGACGAAACACAAGTCTCCATGGGATCAAAGATCGGCAAGTCTAATCATTCGGGCGACAGCGAGCAGTCGACGGCCGAGAAACATCAAGAAGATAACGACGAGCTAAAAGCTTGCCAAGCTCTCATAGCCACCATCAGGGATAGTTCCTTAAACGGCCTTAGTCGGCCTAGGAGCAGTCTTGTGGACTTGATGACAGAGATGAGCATCTACCTTGAGAGCCTATCCGCACGTTTGAACGAGTCCAACCCCTCCATCGAATCCGAGATCTCGTCTTGTCTAGCACGCCTCAGAAGTACTATACAAAGAGGGGAAGACGAATCTTTTGATTTACTAGAGCCAACCTCCATTGACATCATGGAGCAAGACCTCACCGAGGGGCTCAGGTCCCTGCAACACTTGGCGAGGCTTTCACTGGTCAACTCGCTGCTGCCATTTAGCTTTCACGAGTCGAAAGCACTTGACCACGTTGGAATTTCCCAGCCACTTGACGGCCTCAGGTCTGAGAAATCCCGAGATCCCGAGAATTGGGACATAGAAACCAGCGACGGGGGTAATGCTGATGCTCCGACTGTTAAGCGCATTCTCCCATACGAGCGCAACAGTGAATTCATCGCTCGGCCAGGACTCTCCGACAAGATCTTTGACATGATTCCTACCTCTTCACAGGGATCCCGGAGCGGAGCACTATGGGGAGTGGGTGGGAGCGGGTTAGTCTCCATATTTGTTGTCTTGAACGCCAACTAACTTGACTACAGCAAAACTCAACTTGCCTTGGAATACGCATACACTCGTTGCGACGACCCCAACTGCTCTGTCTTTTGGGTGCGTGCTGACAGCGCGGCAACGTTTACGGAAGATTACCACCTAATCGCAAAAGAGGTCAAGATAGAACAACACCCCAAAGGTGATGACCTGCTCGCCGCGGTCTGCACCAGTATCGAGGCCCACCAACCATGGGTACTCATTCTCGACGGTGCAGATGATCTGTCGCTGTTCAGCAGGAAAGAGGATTCCGAGTACTTTAACAGCCTGCTTGATTTCGTCCCGAAGGGACCGAGGGGAACTGTGCTCTGGACGACCCGCGATGAGAGCCTTGGGCGGTCGGTCTCCAAGCCCCGCTTCTGTTTCAATGTCGGTGGTATGAAATATGTCGAAGCCTGGCAGCTCTTCAAGTCAACAAGAGGCCAGATGGCCGAGCACCAAGATACCGCGGACATGAGATACGAAAGGGATCATTTATTGGACGAGTTGCAGTATCTTCCACTCGCTCTTATGCAAGCCGGATCATACATGCGCCACACCGATACATCTATCCACGACTATATGACTCTATTTGTTGAGAACAAACAGCATTCGAGATTTGTCGTCTCTAAATGGAGCTATGGCGTCGTTCTTTTTACCTCAGCCATCTCGCTTGATTGGATGCGCCAGCGGAACAGGGCTGCATATGAGATGCTTCATGTCCTTGCCTACCTACACAACCGCAACATTACGTTCGCCTTGTTGTCCGACCTCGTCAGAGATACGGAGGACGCTACGAATATGGAAGACTCCCAGAGGCTTTCAAGGGCCACAGAGGAATTGACAACATTACATCTCATTTCACCTGCAGAAAGCGGACGTCAAAGTTTCGAAATGCATCAGCTTGTGCAGGATGCTGTGCGAGACTGTCAGGATGATACAGGACCGGCTTCCTGGTCCGTCTTCCTCGCAAAGGCCCTGAGCCTGGTAATAAGCAATTTCTCCGTGAGCCACGCCGTGAGTGTGTGTAAGCGGGCAGAAACAGGCGCAAGAGAAGGTGAAGCTACTGCTCTCCTTCGTGAAGTGTCGAGGCTTCTTGATGACGAAGAGCGGTGGCTCGAGAAAGAGTCCGTGGATAAACGAGTGCTGGCGCTCCAAGAGAGGGTACTTGGTGAATCGCACCCCGAAACCACCAGCAGCACCATGTCACTTGCGGCAACATTCTTTCAACAGGGCCGTTCCGACAAGGCCATGGAGCTAGCCATCAGAGCCCTGGAGATGCGACAAAAGATTTGGGGGGAAAAGAACTCATACACCATGAAGAGCAAGGTGGCGGTCGGGATGATCTTCCACCAACAGGGTCTGTACCATGAAGCCGAGGCCATCTACAGTGAGGTGTTGAATCTTCAGATCCAAGGATCCTGGCTGGAAATGGAGACCCGGCCTTATGTTATCGACTGCCTCGCCTGGACCTACTACGTTCAGGGCCGTTACGAAGAAGCCGAGGCCCACTTGGATAGTGCATGGTCCTTGCATCAGGAATTCGACGGCGGCCAACATCCAGATACGCTACAGGCCCTTCACCAGCTTGCTGTCATTGTCCATATGAATGGCCGTCCTGAGAAGGGCATCGAGTTAATGCAGACCTGCGTGGAATCAAGACGCGAGGTCTTGGGGTATGCTCACCCATTGACAAATGTATCTACGTTGCTTCTTGAAGGGTGGAAGGCAGGGGAGAAAGGTTCGTAAGTTGTTGGATAGCTTTTACAGTACGGATGTGGTCAGGTTTATGCGAAACGGGGGAGGGTTCTTGGAAATCTGAAGATTTTCAGTTACTGTACTATATACACCTATCAACTACCAACCCATTACCACGCAATCTTGGCGACAATCGACCCAGGGAACTTTCTCACAATGAGCTTCCTAATCTCATCCACAAACAGAATACCAAGACCAAGGGGAATAGGAATCAGCCAAAACTCAATCGGCACCGAAGCAGTGTCAAACAGATTTTGAATGCCTGGCACTTCAGTGACAAAGATGGCAATGACCAAACTGATGAGCATGCTGAGGATCAGCCAGGGATTTCGGTGGGGCTTGGTGATGGGATCCGCCTGGAAGATGCTGAGACGACGGTTTCGCACGGCGAGAATGTTACCCCATTGGAGGAAGACAAGGGTCACGAAGTAGACGCACTGGCCTGTGTTGTTGAAGTTGATGAGCTCTTCCTGGGTGTAGCCGCGGTATCCAGCAGAGTAACCCTCAAAGAGGAAGAAGAGCTCCGAAACAGGCATCTTGGCGTGACGGTACATGTAGAGGAAGAACATGGAGTGTGCAGTGATGGTCTCCATGAAACCAGTGAAGAGGTAAGCTTGGGTGTAGATCTTGGCATTGATAAGGTGATCGTGCTTATGGTTGCGAGGCGGCAGGGACAAGAGGTCAAACTCTTCCTTTTCCATGATAAGGGAGAGACTCAGGAAAAGATCGGTAAAGACGCAAATGATGATCATAAGGAATGCGCTCAGAGGGAGGGGAACACCGAAGAAGACGTTGAGGATGACGGGCCAAATCTCGGACCAACTTCCAGCAGGCAGCAGGTAAGAGATGACTTTTTGGAGGTTCTGGAAGACAAGACGACCGAGACGCATAGCGTCGATGATGGAGTCGAAGCGATCGAGAAGAACGAGGTCGGCTGCCTCAATAGCGACGTCGCTGCCACTAACGATAGCAACACCGACATCAGCGGCCCGAAGTGCAGGAGCATCGTTGACACCATCACCAGTAACAGCGACAACGTTATCGCGTGCACGAAGCTCGGTGACGATACGAAGCTTCTGCTCAGGAGTAGTTCGTGCAAAGACGACTTCCTCGTAAGCGCAGACAACATCCCAATCCTCTTCATTCAACCGGCTGAGATTGGAACCCTCGAGAAGCAAGCTTCGGTTAAGAGTAGGCACACGTTCCTTTTTCTTAGACTTGCTCTTCTCCGAGATAGGTTCTCCAGTAGAGTGGAGCGAGTCAATAGTATCAGGATCGCTGGTGCCAGTGAAGATGCCAGTGTTGCGAGCAATTGCCGCAGCAGTCAAGGCGTAGTCGCCAGTAACCATGAAGAAACGAGTTCCAGCGCGACGGCATTGCTCCACGGTTGCGGGGATTTCAGGACGGTGAGGGTCGATGATGCCAAGCATGCCAACAACAGTGAGGTCGTGGATCGCAGAGTGGGTAATCTCATCGCTGAAGGCGTTTGTTCCGGAAACAGCGCGAGGAGTAATGAGCTTCTCACACAAGACAATGACTCGCTCAGCCCGACGCGAAGCTTCATCTTGGATCTCCTGGAACTTTTGACGAGCCTCGCGGTTGAGAGTCTCAACAGAGTTGGTTTCCGAAGACCAGTACTTGGTGCAGCCAGTAAGAAGAATATCAGGAGCACCCTTGATGATAGCGCGGTATTTTCCACGCTTGTCATCAGATTGGAAGAGGGCAAGCATCCACTTATTCTTCGAGTTGAAGGGAACCTCAAAGACTCGTTGAGCTGTCTTCTTCAAGCTGTCACCAGCGGAACCGGATGCAGCAAACCGAAAGACGGCAGTATCAGTGGCATTGCCTTGTATTTTTCGCTCGTGGACCGGGAGATGGATCGTAGTTGGGTCGAAGGATGCGTCGTTGCAGAGAAGGGCAGCGCGATGCAAGGCCACAGCAGCTTGGCTTGGCTCAGTGGATTCGTGCAAGAGGTGAAAGTCGTCGGCAGAGTCAAGCTTCTGGTCAACAAAGGCCACAGAGTTGACATACATTTGGTTTTGTGTCAAAGTACCAGTCTTGTCTGAGCAAATGACATTGACACAACCAAGAGTCTCAACAGTCGACAGACCCTTTGGCAAGACATTAACAGCCTTCATACGACGAGCGACCATCATCAGTGTCAAAGCGACAGCGACAGGCATACCCTCGGGGATAAAGGCGACGACACATGCCATGACGTTGACCAACATGGCTGGGACGCTGAGGAAGTCGGGATGGTCGACACGGAGCCAGCCAGCCCAGGTGAAAAGGATGAGGAGAGCCAGGAAGATGGTCATACAGACGATGATCTTGACAAAGCGAGTAATCTCTCGTTGGATCAGGGCAGCAGAATCCTTGACGCCAGCGGTTGAACTCGCGATGCGACCCATGACTGATCGCGGACCAGTGAGGACGACAACACCGACACCGTTGCCGTTCATGACTGTCGTACCCATGAAGGCAATGTTGCGACTCTCGAGGAAGTTTCGGTCGGTTTGATCAACAGCACCTTCAATCTCATCAGACTCTCCAGTAAGGACAGATCGATCAAAGCGAATGTCACCAGAGTGGCTGATGAGACGAAGATCAGCCGGGACCTTGTCGCCAACCTGAAGGTGAACAACATCACCAGCCACAAGACCAACAGTAGGCAAGCTCTTGAGATCACCATCTCTCTTGACCAGTGCAAAAGAAGGCAACAGGTCCAAGATGGCATTCATGGTCTTGGCAGTAGACCAATCCTGAAAGGCGGAGAAGCCAGCCTGGAGGAAGATGACGATGATGATGAGAACGGCAAGGGATAGGTTCTGGACGGAAGGAGGGTTGCTCAGGGGTTGCCAGCAGAGAAAGAAGATGATGGCACCGATCCAAAGAACCGAACAGAAGCCTCCAAAGATGTACTTCAAGGTTCTCTTGATGTAGTTGGTCTTTGGATGAGGCAAGGAATTGTTTCCATCTCGCTCCAGACGGACTCCAGCAGCATGCTCAGAGAGTCCAACACCAGGGCTAACATTGAGTTGCTGACACAGCTGCTCAACCTGCAACTCGTGGTACTGAAGATTCGCAAAGTAATCTTCATCCTCTTTGTTCTTGAGTGCCTTGGGATCCTTGGCATCCTCAAGGTCAGGCTCTTGTTGTTTCGCTTCGGTGACTTGGATAGACAAGGTACGGTATTCAATCTGGACGCCCGAGTACGGCGAGGCGGCAGGTCGGGTGCTGGATCGCGAGCGGGAACGACGACGAGAAAGGGTACGTGTCAGACTGAGCGGTGTATCCTGCTCATCAGGTGCACCATCTCGGCCACGACCGTGACGATTACCATCCTGGAAGGTGATTCTCGGGTTCTGTGCGGCCTCGAGATCGACCTCCTTTGTGGTCTGGATGTCTGGATCTGGCATCTTGACGGGCGCAGTATCTGCAGGGGAGAGAAAAGAGGAGGGTAACAGAGACAACAAGGGGGAGATGCACAGTCGGTAATGGTAGAGTGAGAAGGATTGCAGTATGGATTGACAGCGAGATATAGGTACACTCTTTCAAAAATTCCTCCCTTTGACGAGGAGGCCTCCCTGCCTCAAATACACAATACGATGCAGCGCATAGCGAAAATCCCTCATACATATTGTATAATGGGTGAGTGGAAACCCGTTATGAAATGGTGAGTAGAGGTCGGTGATGCTATACACGAGCGGTACTCGCACCAACAGCAAGATGATCGTGTGGGTGATGTCCCGAGCAGTCTCACAGGACTAGCCACTACAAGGGACCTAATAATGTAACAAAAACACTCGTCTCCTCTTCTAGACCCTGCTGACGGGCGCTGGGTGTGGGAAATGACGACTCGGTCACGTCTAACCAAATGTGGGCGTCCGCGTTTCTGATATCTCTTTGACTTGTGTGAGCGCTCGGTTTGCCGAATCTGGACCTTGTACTGTATACTCCACGTGCTCTTGCTCGGCTAACGTGTAATTATCTCATAATATCACCCTGAGAAAAAAAATTTCTTATGGGGGGAGAGGGTTTGACGCCTCTTACGAGGTTTGGGTCAAGCTCATCCGTTGGTGCGACCTGAGCGGGGGGGACTTTTGCATGACATGTGAAGACGACCAACAGTAGGCTCTTGATCACATAGAATAAGATCATTGGGAATAAAAGACCGTTTAGAAAAGAAACATAATCTTTGAGCTCTGTCCTTGTCTTCAAGACCCTGCCCCTGATCAAGGTGACATCTTCTCAGAATAAGGTATTCAAACGTGGGTGCAGCCGTCTTGGCATCATCATAGCGTGTGTAACCGAAGCTGCCAAATTCGGCAGTGGCAGTGCTCGGCGTAATTGGGCTCCGTCATTGGCTGCTCCGCGTGTCTAGCTCGAAACGACAACACCCTCCGGGGGGAGAGCCTCTAGATCTGAAATGCCTCATAGTGAGAGGAAGAGGCGGTCGAGAAATCAGGTTTTCGGGAAGAGGGGGTGGCTATGGTTGACTTGTCTGCTGGACAGCTGTGAGCTTGAGCACGCACCCAAGCACAGCTGCATGAGAAAACAAACTCGTCACATCGTAAGCGGGGTGAGACAAGAGTCACTGCGGCGGGTTTCCCAATCTTGCGTCTCCGCAGATGTCCATCTCTTGGCGCTGCCAAGGATCACCACGATCCTTGTCCTCACCTCCTTCATCTCCAAGCCGCGACAGCCCTCAAGAGTCAACCCCCCAGGTAGGTGAAGGAAAACAGCACCAACCCTCTCGCATGCCCCCTTTCCTCACCGCCACCGTGTCTTCGCGACTTTCGGGTAGCTGACCACTCCCTCTGCTCCCTCACCATCCATGCCCAAACTCAACCGGTTGTGCTCGTGATTCTTGGCCCGTCAAGAGCCGCTTACCCGGATGACGACACACAAGAAAGTTGCCGATTGCCACAAACTTTTTCGAGGCTGTATCATGTAAGACGGCCAATCAAAGGTTAGAACCGCCAGTCAGAACTACGAGCGCCATGCGTTCACGGCAGCTCCAGAACGAAGGCGACGCGACGCGCGTACAGGGTGAGAATTGACATGACATATAAATAGGGGGTAATCGCGAAAAAGATGACTTTCCCGTATCCGCTCCGAAATGGAGATTTATTTTTGATGCAGTAAGACTCCAAGGCTATGCAACTGGTGACGATTGACTTCTTGGCCATCCCCGTGTCAGGTCTCCTTGTTGCCCCCTCTACAGATCAACGCGTCTCGCGTTTGGGTCTGGCATCCTCTTAAAATTAATGCTTTCCAGACAGTGCAACCAATCACTTTTTCTTTTCTCTTTTCTTCGCCAATTTATGTATTTTCAACATCTGCTTGTGCTAGGGACACTGTGCGCAATGCTGCCGAAATGAGCACCGGCTCCATTAATGTCAGCCGCAGAAAACGACGCATCACCACGATAAAACATGGCAGAAAAAACCGGCAGAAAAATCATAATAGTAAAAGAGACAGAGAAAGAGACAACATTCCAGCCCCATATCCCCGGTAACTTAGTGATTCCATTCCCATTTTTCCAAGTCGCCCACAGGCAAGTCTTTTGCCTTGTCTTGGCCGACTCACGTCCATTTTCCATGTGATCATCTACAACGGTGCTTTATGTCACCACTGTGTTGAAAATTGAGTTCTTCACTACGATGACCGTTGCTTTCTTTGAGTGTGAGAAGTGAACTGTCGTACTCATCAAATCCCATTGTTTGGGAGTCATGAGGTGAGAGGTCGGTTCTCAAAGATGCCTACCGCTGTGAGACACAGGCAGCAACTTGCCCAGTTCGACACCTCGCCATGCCATGGCGTTGAGAGTGCGGCTAATGGCCTATTCTTTGGTGCAATGATACTCATAAAGCAAGTAAGTTAACTCAATCTGCACAGCAAACTGATCGACTCTTTTGCTTGATAATGTCCCGTCTTTACAGCATCGCCACCACCAGGCAGTCACCACTCGACGACGTCACCCAACATGACTTTTATGGTGTTTCCACGCCTTTGAGACAGACAAGGCTGAAAGTCGAAGGTAAAAGACTTCGAGAGACTATTGGCTTGGCCTACATCATCTTAATGCAGGGTCTATTCAGCTGTGTTAAAATCGACCAGTCATGTCTTGAATAGCCCGCCACAATTGGGATAGCACCTCCTGCCAAGACATCGAGGCATTCGTTTTCCTTTGTTTTCAACCTGGACTTTTGAACCCTTCAACTACTTAAAACCTCGATAATCCCCTCCTGAGCGAGTCGAGCGTCTCCGTACTGATCCGTCTTTCCCTCTTGTTCACCACTACACGATATACCACGATGCGCAGCCTCTCTTTCTTCGCCGCCCAGCTGCTGGCGCTCACTGCCACCGCCCGCGCGAATCCAGGCCCAACCGCGACTCTGCCACCCGCGAATCTGGTTGAACGGGACGAGACTTCGACACGAGTCAGCACATCATACTACGCTCTCGCTACAACTCAGGTTCCAAGAGATGAATACTACGTCGGGATGGGCAAGAATGGAACCAGGGGAAACTACTGTTAGTCGCAATGCTTCCTCCTGCATTTGCAGTTACTAAGATTTCTTAGATTGGGTGTCTTGCATCAATGAACCTTTTACGACGATCAGCAGCTATGGCGGATGTGGACAAGACGACGTGTATACTCGATGCTCAGGCAGAACAGCGTTGGGAATCGACGGTGGTGAGGTCCTATGGTAAGGCATCTTGGAACTATGACCACTCTGCTTGAGTACTGATGATGTTGCAGCGATGTGGAATGCGTTACGCATAGGATCTACCAGGACCTCGATGTGACAACGTGGACCCCATTCCTCGGCTGCGGGAGAGGGACTAGCACAATGAACCTCCTAAGGACATCAACTAGTTCGGACGATCAAGGTTGGTTATCAGCGATATTACGAACGAAGCCATACTCACACATGTTTATAGATGCAACCACCACAACAGGATCCCTCACAACGACTACGACAACTGATGAGCCCAATCTTGGTGCTGAACTACAACCTTACTTTGGGATGGCCCGTCTGATAGCCCTCGTTTGTGTGGTTGCACTAGCTCAGCTGTCATGGATCACGATGGCGTAAATTCTTCTTCTTGGTGAGGTGGAGCGGCCTTCCTAAGAGAGGTGGTTGCAATGGGAGAAAGCTAGCGCTCGCGGTTTGGTTATGAACTCATGCAGACATTCTTATCAAGTTGTGTATAGATCTAGATTGATCATTGGGATAAGGAATATTTCCAATAGAAAACCTAGGAAACCTCCCATGTCCACTATATCCTTGAAGGATGAAATTCTACTGTTGACAGTTTCGCCTTTCAGCATCGCCGGAATCTGGCCTGAACCACCTCGCTCATCCTTCCCAGCATAGGTTTTACTGAACAAACTCAAAGGCGTAAGCCGTCGTGACTTCCTCGGGGAGAACCCAAAATGTCACCTGAAGCAAGTATTAGTACCTTGGCTTCCACTGTTCTAGGTCTTGTACATACCTGATCATCAGTTACCTCGTGCTGAACAACGCCGAGGTCTACGGGGTCCCCAATCTCTGTGGAAATATCCGGCCCGTCGAATCTCAGTGTCCTAACATTGACGCGGGTGCCGCGGAAACCTAAATGGGCCAAGCCCGTGACGGTCAGGTCATAGGTCCTCCTCCCGGCAACGGGACGCACGGCGGCAAGGATCTTGACCGATCCGACCGTGCCCCCGTGAGTCGCATATACTTCAAACAGCTCATCCTCCGAGGGGCTTGTCGCGACTCGGTCACCCGTCATCTTCTCCTTGTAGTAGTTGTAGACGTGCCACTCGCCGACGGGGTAATACTCGCCATCCCGTTTCCCGAGGAGGTTGGCCAGCAGATCATGCAGCTTGGACGCACTTCCCCAGTTGGCGCGTAGACCGTGCGTGTTGTGCCGCTCAAGCTGGGAGATGTAAAATACGCCACCGGCAGGGCTCTGCTCGTGGTTGTCCCAAGCTGCATACTCGTTAATGACAACCGGTCGCTCCGGGAGACTGTTGCGGCGTCGCAGCTTGTCAAACTGGGATGAGGATTCACGGAGATTTCTGTTAGGGATTAGAAGGTGCCAGGTATAGATATCAGGCACGGCGTCGTTCTCCGCAATAAATCTCATGTAGTTCTGCCACCATGAGCTGCTCTCCGTTGCAGGCTGGCTGGCAGAGGGCCCGCTGATGAGGACCTCGGGCAATTCATCTCTGTGGAAAATTTGTTAGCAATTCTGGGACCGAAACGAAACTGCTAGTTTGTACTTTATCTTGCGAAACGTCCGAAGCCAAGTTGCTAGATACTGCTCCTGGGAGGCGCCCCAGAAGATACCAATGTCGGGCTCGTTCCAGATATCAATGTCAAGACCAGGACTGGCATCGTGCAACTTGATATCAGAGAATACCTGGTCGAGGAAGGCATCGTAGCTCGTCCAGTTTCCATTGTCCCCTGGCCAGTGGAACTCGTTGCCCTGAATACCATCTGCGCCCCATAGGTCATGCATGAGGAGGGTGAACCGGCCTCCGTACTTTCTCGTGGTGTGATAGTTGGACAATGCCGATATCCACCGACCCTGTGCATCATTTTAGCTTTGCTCCTCATCACCAATCGGGTTACTTACCTCGTACTGTCCAGCCACCCAGCCGAGGGCTGGGTCAGGCAGTTGGGCACCGCCAGCTCGACAGTAGTTCAGGCCCATGCCAGTGATAAGGTTTTCGGGTATATTAGTGTTTGCGGACCCATCCTCACTGTCAGGAAGCCCGTAGATGATGCCGGATGCCAGATGAGAAGGTGTTCCAGACGGTTCGGCAAGACTGACAGTGGCCGTGCCAGATCTTGCCTCCTGGCGTTTTTGAGGAGACAAGGCAGCTCCGGACACGAAGGTTGCTAGCAAACCTGAGACGAGAATGTTGGAAAGAGTCATGATATATGATGACGATAAAGATTTCGTGGTAGCTGTTATCGACTCTGGCTGTTGTCTGTCTAGGCAAAGACATGAAAATACAATAGACGTGCGATGCCAACTTTATAAGGCACGTTGGCATTACGAAAGCCCACTACCTTCATGTCCCTGCTAACACAAGACTCTCTCTCGATGCTAAGAACATTCATTGCATGATACCCCAGGAAAGTCACCTTCCCCAGGTTTCATCAAGTCTGCCCCTCTCTAGCGCATCGGCTTCTTTTCATGCCTCCGGTGGAGAGCGGGGAAGCGGTGGCACAAGATATTAGCCGGCAGACAACTAACCAGCCGGACGAGGAATTCCCGAGAGCAGGTGGAATTTCGCTTCTGAATGATTTTGAACCTTGCTACGCTGTAATTCTTCAAGATTACATCTGCTAGATGCTCAAGGTGTTGGTTATTGGATAGGGTCTTGTGCAAATAGTGGGAGACACACGAGGATATTGAAATACTATAGAAGACTTTGTCCAGCATGTAAATATTAGTGGAGAGATAGTCGCGACATCATGAGCTTGCCAGGTCTTGTAGCCATCCTCCTTTCCACCAAGATCGAGACGACAAAGGCTCAAGTCATACTACGCACGATGTTGGATTAATCCCGAGCCACCCTTGCTGCTATAATACGGCCCCGACTAGAGCTCTCCAATGGATGACAAGGTTCAAGGAGAGTCAGATGAGCCCACCCCCCTGTTAGATCCGGGCCTCTGGCTACGGGGTTGAGACGCAAAACTCCGGTGGGGGTGGGTATCACATCCTCCTCCGGTGGACGGTCAAGACATGAATGACGACAACTCCCCCGGTGGCGGAGATAAGGAAATAATGAAACTTCTTGAGCATATGTTTTGTGGCTAAAAGCAGGCATTGTCACGGGCAGTTTGAGAGAAGCTGTTGCATAGAAGCGCCCTTGAGTCGTTCCTCAGAGTAACCGTCAAAAGAAAAGAAGAATCATGCTCTTTCGTCAAGAAAACATCCTCGTCTTCAAATATGACGCGGAAGAGCTCTGGGTTCAGCCTTGGGGCCCCAACGCCTTCCGCGTGCGGTCCACAAAGTCGAGCATGATGCCAACCGAGGACTGGGCCCTTCTCCCAGCCCAACCGATCGAACCCGAGATACACATCTCGAACGACAGCGCCGTCATCACCAACGGAAAGGCCAAGGTGCAAATCTCAAGCCTAGGCAAACTCATCCTCGGCAACACCAGCGGCACAGTGTCTATCGAGGAGTATGTCCGCAACAGGCGCGATCTGCTGGATCCCAAAAGCAGCGCCATTGAGGTTGAGGCGCGCGAGTTCAAGGGCATCCCCGGCACCGACAACTTCCGTCTCGCCATGCGATGGGAGAGCCCCGACCCGGACGAAAAGATCTTTGGCATGGGTCAGTATCAGCAGCCCTGGCTCGACCTCAAAGGCCAGGACATCGAGCTGGCCCATCGCAACTCGCAGGCCAGCGTCCCGTTCGCTCTCTCGTCGCTCGGATACGGCATCCTTTGGAATAATCCTTCCATCGGGCGTGCCGTGTTTGGAAAGAACATTACCACCTTTGAGGCTTTCTCAACAAAGGTCTTAGACTACTGGATTGTGTTTGGGGACTCGCCGGCCGAGATAGTCGAGAGTTATGCCGGTGTGACGGGCAAGGTTCCAATGATGCCTGAGTACGGGTTGGGATTCTGGCAATGCAAACTTCGTTATCAATCCCAGGAAGAACTGCTCGAAGTTGCACGGCAGTATAAGTCGCGCAATATACCCCTCGATCTCATCGTGGTCGACTTCTTTCACTGGCCCAAGCAAGGAGAGTGGAAATTTGACCCTACGTACTGGCCTGATCCCGGTAAGTTGTATTCTTTGCCCGTGAGGGACCTTTTCGGAGTGTTACGGTCGAGGAGAGGAAACAATCTGATCTTGAATAGACGCCATGGTTAGAGAGCTCAAGGACATGGGCGTTGAGTTAATGGTGTCAATATGGCCAACGGTCGACAAAAAGTCAGAGAACTACCACCACATGCTTGAACACGGGTATCTCATCCGTACTGACCGCGGTGTGCGCACCGGCCTCGATTTCGAGGGCGAGACGATTCATATCGACATGACAAATCCCAAGGCACGGGAGTGGCTTTGGTCGGTCATCAAGAGGAACTACTTCTCAAAGGGCATCAAGACCTTTTGGCTAGACGAGGCCGAGCCTGAGTACACGGTCTACGACTTTGATAACTACCGGTACTTCCTTGGATCCAACTCGACTATCGGCAATGTCTATCCCGTAGAGTATGCTAAAGGCTTTTACGAGGGACAACAGAGCGAAGGGCAAACCAACATCGTCAACCTGGTCCGCTGCGCTTGGGCCGGCAGTCAGAGATACGGCGCCCTAGTGTGGAGCGGTGACATAGCCTCGTCATGGTCCAGCTTCCGAAACCAGCTGGCAGCCGGTCTCAGCATGGCCATCGCCGGCATACCCTGGTGGACGACCGACATTGGGGGCTTTCACGGGGGTGACCCCAACGACCCCAAGTTCCGCGAGCTCTTTGTGCGATGGTTCCAATGGGGTGCTTTCTGTCCCGTCATGAGGCTCCACGGCGACCGGGAGCCGAGACAACTCCAGCAAGGTACTACAGGCGGTGCTACCTGCTGTAGCGGCGCAGCCAACGAGGTGTGGTCGTATGGACCTGAGGTCTATGATATTTGCCGCAAGTATATCCAGGTTCGCGAGAGCCTGCGGGACTATACACGACGGCTGATGATGGAGGCCCATGAGAAAGGAAGCCCAATCATGAGGCCACTGTTTTACGAGTTTCCGGGGGATAAGAGGTCGTGGGAGACCTCAACCCAGTACATGTACGGGGACAGGTACCTCGTCTGCCCAGTGTTGGACCCTGGCGCCCGCACTCTCGACGTTTACCTCCCGCCCTTGGAAGATGGATCAGAGTGGACTCACTTGAACGGCGGTGAGACCTACTCTGGAAGCCAAGTTGTCAAAGTTGCTTGCCCACTAGATGAGATGCCAGTATTTATGAGGTAGTGGCCATTGATTGGACAATAACAGGACAACACGAGATAGTACACCGTTACGCTATCAAAGTAGCTTCAAGGTTTCTTGGACTTTGGATAAACAGGCGAGTTTTCTCATCCATATATAGACTCATCCAAATCATGTCCTACATCCCTCCTTCTCTCTCCCGATGAGGCGCATTCTACTGGTGTGGCCTGAATTAGAGATTCCAGAATCGCGCCGAACGAGTTGCTTATACCCCATCGGTTTGCTGGACTTTGTGCTAGCCTTGACATTCGTCTGCCTTTGCCAGACAATAACCGCGATCCCTCCTGTAGAATCTTTCGAGGGGCTCCAATATTGCAGATGTTTCCTACTCGAAGCAAGTTTGCTGACATCTTGTGCCCTAGTCTTACATACGTCTGCACCATTTCGTCGTCACAAGGCCGATCGAGGTAAATAAAGTATAGTTCCGGCTCCTCATCCGACTCGACACCGGCTGTTGACATGCTGTCCTCTCTTTCGCCTGAGTCCGGGACTCCACTTGATGACCGAGCCCTGGGCTCTTGCTGGTCTTGTTGGTGCACTGCGGACACCGTGGACACGCTGTACACCCAGAGACACAGGGTGGCCACATAAACTGCGAAAGGTTCTAGAATGTCGTTGACGCTATATCGACGGACATACCATAGAACGGCCCCGGCGTGGACGAGTGAGAGCCTCGCCTTGAACTGATCGGCAACAGCCCATTTGCGTAAATGACCACATGCCTCCTTATACTTGATCTTATCAAAGCTTCCACCTGAGCTTCTTACATCAGACAACGCAGCCACGTATTGCATGTGCTTGATTGGGGTCAGAAGCAGCAGCCGCGAGAGATGGAGGTGCAAAATAGTTGGATGTTCCAGTCCACCCGCCCTTGCCACAGTTCCATTTGCGTACCAATGCAGTATATCGAGGCAGTCGCAGGCGCTGTTTCTCCATTTCGACATGATGGGCAGCGCTGGTGGCCATGTTTCGGCAACAGACTGAAGAGTTGAGCGGGATTCGATTCTGGCATTGGGTACCCAGTTCGACAGTCGAGTCTGGTACTGAGTCATGGCCTCCCTCGTCCTTGCGAGTATCGCGTAGATGAGTAACAGGTAGCCGAACTCGCCGAGGTGTGGCGGTAATCGCTTCTCCATGTATAGGATTTCGATTGCTTCGGGCATTGGACCTTGGGTGAATGGTATCAGCATACTTGGTCGTATAGTGACTTGAATGATCCTAACCAGGTTTGTTCTTACTGTTGATCTCCTCCAAAGTCGGGGGTTCCCAGAGTTGTTCAGTGCATGGCAAAGGTGAGGAGACATCCGCAAGGTGTATGAGGGGCTGGCAGTTGAATTCGAAGACAAAAATGCAGTCCAGGAGCTACGCATCCGTCAGCAGAGTTGATAATCACCACCGTCTGTCACTCCAATTACTAACCCATGTCATCATTCCTGTGCGGATCTTAGCTTGGAAGTCTGACCATCGCTCTGCCTGAAGTTCCGGTGGAGAAGTGTCTTTGAAGCCGGACTCTCGCATGGATAAAAGGTTTAAAGCCTTGCACTGCTCCACGATGTGATGTCGATCAGCCATAGCCCGGTGTACCAGATTTTCCCTACCACTTTGGACCATCCAAATGAGATTGAGGATGCTAGCTTGAAGAGTTGGTAGACCAAAGCGAACACAGGTAAAGGTCTGTCCTGATGGCCGCCAGAAAAGCTCGTGGTCATCTTGAGGGGGTGAGGAAATGCAGAACACCATGTGTGCGTTAACCATTTCGAACATTACGTCCCGCCACCCAAGACTCTGAGCCTCCGGGCAGTACCAGGCACCGACGGCTGAGACGGCGAGAAGCAGAACCCAGTCATCTGACTGCAGTATCGGGCGTCTGGTACTTGTAGAAAACCTGCTCTTCTGAACAAATGGGTAGGAGGGATGGAATTTCTCAAAGTAAAGCTTGACGAAACGCTGAATGTGCGGCAACGGAGGCATTGTACTCAGCGCAAGGCCGAGCGCTTTAATGTGAGGGATTGACTGCACTTGTAGTATCAAGTCATCGTAGACAGATTCAATAATGAAATCTTCCCCAGCTGATAGCATAGTTCCAGTCGTGAAGCCCGTAGAAAGAGGACTGGCTGGATGGTTGGGGGCGCCTGTACTTCTATCAGAAGGAGACACGCCCGCTGCTGACTGTGTCTCGGTCAAGCAGCCACTGAATGGGGCCCTCGCGGCCGCGCCATCGACATAAAGTCTTCCCTCGGTCACCCTCGAAGCTCTTGAAGAGGTCGAGCTTTTAGTAGACACTGAGCGGGATTGTTCCATGTCCACGGGTTCCCCGTCCTGTTGCTCAGGCAAGATCCAAGAGCCGTGTTCGACGAGAGGTCTCTGTATTTGACTTGAGTAGTCCTGCGGTGGAGTGTCTGGAGAAAGAGCGGTTTGAGAGAAACCCAGGGCAAACTCGAAGTTGCCCAATGCCATGCCGTTGCCGGATGTTGCGATAAGCTGACTATCCCACTCTGGCACTTCTTGATACTGAGGTGATAGCCAATTCAGCGCGGACATACTTAGCACGGGTTCGTGAAAACCTGAGCCAAGCGCAACGTTGTTACTGTCGACTGAACGAAAGGCCGCACCAGTTGGCCCCAGTGGAAAGCCCGTGTTGCTCGCCAGGTTGATGGTTGGTGCCCAGATAGCTTGGTCAGATGTCGAAGGCACACTCAGATCCATGGTTGAGTTCTCAGCGTCTTGTTCATTACTGGGCCTGGGCGCTCTCGACTGCGGTGCTGGGTGCCCAAGGTCAATGGGGTCGGGGTTTTGGGCATCACGGCGGTCTGCGGAAGCTTTGCGCTTCCTTTGCACGGGATAGGCGCATTCGAGATTTTTCGCGTGGCATCGCCTGCAGGGTGACCCTTTAGAGCACCGGACCCGGCTGGCAGCACACTCACGACAGGCTCTGGTGGAAACGCCAGCCAGGTCGGAGGCGCTCTGCTCATGGGATGAGATGTGTCGTTGGAGGACGTCCAGACGTGAGAAGGACTTGCTGCATTGAAGGCACTGGTATGGCTTCTCACGGGTGTGACTGCGACTATGACGCGTCAAGTGTTCCTGGCGCGCAAAGGTGCAATTGCAGATGTCGCACTTGATCTGAGTCTCGACCATGGCGTTGCGCGACCGAGATGCACGTCATACCTGGGCATTTGAGTTAACTCATGAGTTTCGACCCTTTTAACTTACTCATATGAGTTACGGCCTAGCCATAACTCACTCATGAGTTTAACTCAGACTTATGAGTTAACTCACGAATAATAATCATGTGACGTCGCTAGCTTCCCAAATAGGAGTTAGTGATAAAAATCTATGGTATTGAAGTATAGAAAATCGTCGCGCTATTTAATATCACTAATTTCTATATTAATATCCTTATTAGCAATATCTAGGTCGCATATTAGCCCTAGTCTACCGTGCTAAGTCCCGATAATATGCCTATTTCGCATCTAGTTACCGAGATACTTAACTTCCTGCAGCCGCTCGCACGTCATCGAGAGCCGGTCCTATGATGCGGTCCTACGAGCGCCTAAGAAGGTCCTTTCTGGCTCTGCCGACTAAGGGCTTATCGAGAGTATATCGATGGCCATATGGCTAAGGCGTGGAAGCTGCCGTCGTTGTTTAATGCGATACTATTACTCTAGAGGTTTGTAATCGATCTTAATAGCCGGAGAATTAATAAATGCATCTAGGTTATTGCCATCGGTTAAAAGAGCCATCTCGACCTCTATCTCCTATAGTAATAGCTGTAGCTACGAAGGCGGCTTTCCTAGCGCAGCTAGGATATCCTCCGGAGTAGTTTCTATATCTCTATCGATATTGATATTATATTCCTCCTCCTATATTTACCGGACTCTCATAATCGCTAGATTAATCCATATACTCTTCTAGTTTTTATCTAAGTATGCTTTTCGATAGCGTAAATCGAGGAGCAGAGCGGCGACATAAACGGGAGCCTTATTAGATAGTATATAGTATTTATTAAGTATAAACTATCCTATCTCGATAGAGTGGAGCATATAGCTATTATGGAACTCTGGGGTCGAGTAGTATATCTAATAAATTAGCCAAAGGCTATCTCTTTAATGGAGCTAGACCTTACCTTTACTTTCTCAAAGTGGGCGAGAAGACTATCTATCAGCCGCAGCGTACTACAGAGGCTCGCTTTATTGCCTTTTGTTATTAAAGTTGCCTCGGTAAAGGGCTAGAGGAAAGTATGCGTTTTCGATAGTATATCCTAGTCGGCGCCTATTAAAAGATAAGCATAGCCGATGTCCTTATTATAGTCTACCATAAACTAGACGATCTGTGCCTTCTTATCGAGGGCGATACTAATAACTTTATACTATAAAGACCACTGTGTTGCGTTATTAATCCCGAGACTGCGACCCATAGCTTCGCGCTAGTTATCACTATGGATTAAAGCGCTTCGGAGCCAGACTGCGAGATAGTGGAGCTTCTAGAGAGTATTAATACCTTCCCATCCGCTAAATTCTACTCGCTAAGTAGTTCTCTCTCTCGTCGGAGGTCTCTGCTGTCTTCCCTGGTTCTCCTCATGTGTCTGATCTACTATAGTATCGGATCCCGAAGGCGTATTCTCATTTAGAGCAGTAAAGAAGGTTTCGATAGACTACGCATTAGCGATGTTACCGGCGGTATTAAGGGCAGCGCATAGGGCTTCTTTCGAGCACGCGAGAAGGAACGCTTAAAGGGAAAGGTTAATAATATGGCCGAAATAGCGGACACGGCGGCGGATAGGATCGAAGATAATCTACATGAAACTTAGCTAGTATAGCCATAGAAAATTTATCTTTACTTACTCCTTGCTCGTAAAGTAGCTTCTTTAATAAAGCTTCTAGGCAGGTCTTGTTCGAGGATGCGTTATCCCCAGTATAATAACCAACGCGTCGAATTTCGAATCGCCCCAAGATATCAGCAATCAGGCCGGCCTAGGACTCGCCAGAGTAGTCTTTTCGACACTCTAGCAGCCCTAGAAGCGCCTTTCGAAGTTTATAGCCCTTATCGACCTACTATCCGCATACTGCAAGCATACCGTGTCGGTGTGGTGATATCTAGAGATTAGATGAGATGTGAATCATCGAAATGGCAGATTAAAGGGACTCGGCCAACTGAGTAGCATAGAACTCATAGCTAGCTGAGATATAGCGCATCACTATACGTCGGGAGGTAATCAGACTATCCTCGATGGCAGGATTATATGCTAGAGCTAGATCCTTTAGCTTATCCCACTCAACTATCGAAAAGGCCACCCTGCGATGTATGAGAAGGCTGATGAGAGCTTCGATGTAAGCCTGTCGATTAAAGGCATTCCGCAATGCCGCTTCGGATAGCGTAATCGATGATGTGATATATAAGTCGAGCGATTACTGAGATTGATTCTGCCGGCTAGAGAGCCCGATTAGATATGGATAATTAGTCCTTATGTGGCGCCTCGCATTGCCCTTATAGCTATCCTTCCATGGCTTCGTCGTATAGTATAAGCAGATATATAAAGTGCGAGGCTTCGCCTTCTCTCTAGTGAAAAATCTCTTAATATTGATGAAGTCGGGGGCGGAAGAGGGTATACTCGGTACGGACGATGCTTCGGATGCTATGGCGATGGTTTGATAGTATAGATAATGGATCGAGGCGATGAAAGTATCTACCGATAAATCGTACTAGTAACTGCAGTAGTTACTCGGAAGACTTTTTTAAAGATTCTGAATATAGAGGTGTCATGATTTCTGATGGATCTGGATCATAGGGATAGAAGCTCTTGATTTCTCTATCTAATGAGTAAAAAGTAGATCGGTTTCTTATACCCAAGATGAATTAGGCATCCGGGGCCGTTGTATTGAAGAACTTGCTTTTTGGGAGACATAGGTGATACCAAACTCTGACGGGAAGTCCGGACTTCCGGGCTGCCGGTCTGAATAGCCTGTCTGAACAGATGGAAGACCTTCCTTCCGGTTGATCAAATGTATGACCCTTTGGTCTGTTGGATGTGATAAGAGGGGTTGCGATAGATTAGGTTAGATTATATAAAGCGGGCCAATTAGACGCTAGGAACGCCGTTATGAGTTTATGAGTTAACTCATGAGTTTTCAGCGATAACTTAGACTCAACTCATATGAGTTTTATGAGTTAGAGTTATGAGTTAACTCATGAGTTAGGTTTGAGTTAACTAAAATGCCCAGGTATGATGCACGTCGACCCGCGAGGTTGCATAGCAATCAGAAGGCATGAGACATGGAATCGTGATAATCGAAGGCGAAGAGGTACGAGGGCAGCCTCGCCATGAGAGAGACGTATGTGTGTGCTAGTCAGTGTGATGAGACTACGTTGGTGGTTGTCGAGATGAAGTTGGCTAGAATCGCGTGAGCGGCGGACCTGCACCATGACCGCGGGGAAGCCAACCCGGCAGTCATTGGCGGGGTCGCAGTTTCCCCAGATGGAACTGAACTGGTTGCTAGGCCATTGGGAACATCCAGCCAATCCGGGGAAACTCAAGACATCAGCCACCATGAGGGAATAGCTCTTTAACAAGTTAATAGTTTTAATAAACTTTCGTATTACGTAGGCATAAAGAAATCAGACTTGGTATCAACCTAATGCTCTTTTCTTTCTTCACGGTGGGTAATCATCACTGTCCAGCAAGGGTACCTGCCATGCCGTGTGGGGCCCCCGCCGGAGATCGCCCATCAACCTCCGGTGGAGAGAGGCCGCTCCGGCGGGGGACCATACGACCGGCCTCGACATGGAGCTCAGCTGAGCCGGGTAAACAGGCCAAATGAGAGCATGGCATGGTATGAACCGTTGACCCATCCATTTGACTCTCATCCCCGCAATGCCTAATGCGCGGAGAACCGGGGTTGTGGGGTGGTCCGACTGGATGGTTAGTGTGCCTTTCCCAGAGGAGGGTAAACGCTGAGAACCAATTGCACGAGATACTTCACCCCTGACATTCATGCCCACCGCTTAAATAGAATCCTTTCTTCCCTCATGTGGATTGCTTCTATCACCACAATCACAGCATTCTGCGGACACATTGACACTGCTATCCACTTCACCATGGCTCTCACCGACGACAAGGTGACCAGGGTCAGCCAAGATGATCACCCTCACGACTATCACGACACCAAGGACCTGGCCATCGCCAAGCAGGCAGCCGAGGAAGAGCATCGACTCACCTTTGTCGAAGCTATCCGGCGATACCCTATGGCCGTCATGTGGTCCGTCCTACTGTCGACCTCCATCATCATGGAAGGATACGACATCGTCCTGATCTCCTCCTTCTTCGCCCAGCCCTCCTTCAGAGAGCACTACGGAGAGTACATTTCCGAGTCCAACACGTATCAGATCACCGCCTCCTGGCAAAACGGCCTCAGCAATGCCGTCAGCGTGGGGACCATCATTGGCGCCTTTGCCAACGGTTTCTTCACCCACAAGTTTGGTTACCGCAAGGTCCTCCTCGCCTCGCTCGTCGCTATCTGCGGTTGCGTCTTCATCTCCTTCTTTTCTCCCAACCTCCCCGTTCTATTGGTCGGACAATTCCTCTGCGGCATTCCCTGGGGAGTTTTTGCCACCATGGCCCCGGCCTACGCATCCGAGGTCTGCCCCATGGTCCTACGTGGCTATCTCACTGTCTATGTGAACCTCTGCTGGGCCCTTGGTCAGCTCGTATCCGCCGGGGTGCAGGCTGGGTTCTCTGATAGGCAAGGCCAATGGTCTTACCGTGTTCCGTTCGCTATCCAGTGGGCTTGGCCAGTTCCCCTTTTCATCGTGCTCTGGTTCGCCCCTGAATCTCCTTGGTACTTTGTCCGCACTGGAAACTATGACGAAGCCGAAAAGTCTGTCACTCGCCTTGGCTCTACGTCCAAAGGCGTCAACGCCAAGCAAACCGTCGCCATGATGATTCACACCAACGAGATTGAGAAGTCTATCGACCAAGGCACTTCGTATATCGATTGCTTCCGCGGGGTCGACCTCCACCGAACTGAGATCGCCTGCATGGCATTTGCCGCTCAGCCCTTTTGCGGTTCGGCCATGGGCGGCACTCCTACATACTTCTTCGTTCAAGCCGGCCTTCCCGAGTCAATCTCTTTCCGCATGTCCGTGGGTGGACTCGGAATTGCTTCTGTTGGCACCGTTATCTCCTGGTGGTTGATTCACCCCTTTGGCTGCCGGACCCTGTACCTCTGGGGTCTCGGTCTCCTAACTGCCATTCTTCTAGCCGTCGGCTTCATTAGCGTCGGGGCTAGTAACTCGGAAGGTGGTAACTACGCGCAGGCCAGCATGATGCTTCTGTGGCTTGGCGTTTACTACTTAACTGTCGGTCCTGTCTGCTACGCCATCATCTCTGAAGTTTCCTCGACCCGCCTCCGGAACAAGAGCATTTGCCTCAGCCGTATTGTCTATTATGTGGCTCAGATCATTTGCAACGTCATCAACCCGTACATGCTGAACCCCACCGCCGGTAACTGGCGTGGCAAAACTGGTTTCTTCTGGGCGGGGTGTGCCTTTGTCTTCTTTGTATGGACCTTTTTCCGTCTTCCAGAGACTAAGGATAAGACCTTCGAAGAACTTGATATTTTGTTTGCTCACGGCGTCAAGGCTCGTGAATTCGCCCAGTACCGCGTCGACGCCTACGCTGAAAGCGGCGATGTTTTGACCAAGGAGGGCTGAACACCCGGCTGTTGTACCCGACGATTAGTCAAAGTGAAGGGCAACCATTTGCCTGCGGCGAACAAATGTGATGTGCGGGCCATTGACTATCGATCATTCGTCATTATCCCTTCTGTACTCCAACTCTATAGCTTCGCGTTTTTGAACTTGTTCTTCATCTCTATTCTATTGCTTAAAGACCTCTCCTGTCTGAGACGGATCATCGTGACTGTGAATCCGTATGCCCTTGACATGATTTGATAGCCCTGCATGCACCTTGGTTTTGCCCGTGGCTCTCGGATGGAACTAAAAGGAGATCAAAGATAAAAGTGGGAAATGGTAGATATCTCTATCCGTATTCGTGGGCTTAACACAACTTTCTACATTAATTGATGATGGAAATCATCCCAATCCTAGACGCACTCCAGATCTGATTTGTAATTTCAGGAGCAACGAAGAGGAATCCATATAAACGCCCGACAACCTCAAGACAAACCCCAAGGAAACCCCCACGTCAACAATGTTTAAGACCGACCTGCCGTAGCATTTTATCCGGGGAAAATATAAAAGAAGCCAATAAACAACCCCTGCATCTGATCCCGAGCAACGCGAGAAGACCGAAAAGACCGAGCAAGCTTTGACACTCCCACAAAAACCTCGACAAATCAGATTGGGAACCGAGGCTAAACGATCAGCCCACACCACCCTTGATCCTCTTGGCGTTTCGTCTCGCCTTGACGATCCGAGATTTGAGGTGACGCGGATTGCGATGCTTGTTTTTCTTTTGGACACGTTTGAATCCTTTCAAAGACTGCTTTGTCTTGTTTGAAGTTGTTCAAAAAGATAAGAGCAAGCTTCCTCAATACTAGCAAGTCTCCCTCTCTCGTCTAGAGCATACCAAACACAACACACCCTTTGCTCGTCTAGAAGCCAAGACATCGTCCGTGGATCTGATTTGCGCTCGTATATCAATAATCCTTGGCTCATCATCATTAATCCCTACCTCGCCTTACTGCGCCTCATCTCGCTACCCACAACCTTACTTGACCCATACCATCCTTTCCTCCTCGTCACCCCACAAGTCGCTCTTGGCGAGGTTTTAAGCCCGCTATCTCCTGGGACACGTCTTTTTTAAAGCTGAGCCTCCCCCAGAGGGTTTGACATTGAGCTTACGTCGTCATCGTTCCAACTGTTGTCTTTTACAGACCGGCCATGTCGACAAACACCACGTTACCGCCCGGCTATGAGCCCCCGAGCTACGCGACATGCGACAAAGTGACCGATCGCTGCCCTGTTGAGGCCTCCCTCTATGGCGACTACTTTAGCCTCGGAGGCTGCGTCTTCTTCGTTGTCGCATATGGAATCGCTCTCGTCGCTCAGGTCTGGCTTGGGTTCAAGGGCCGTACCTGGTCGTACTCCATCTGGCTCGCTATCGGCACACTCTTTGAGCTCATAGGCTACGCCGGCCGCGCCGTCATGAGCCAAAACCCCTGGGTGTATAATGCCTTCGTCATCCAGCTGGTCTTGCTTATCCTCGGTCCTACGCTCGTCGCAGCCGCCATCTCGGTTACCTTCAAGCACCTCGTTCTCTGGTACGGACGGCAATACAGTTTCATCAAGCCGGTCTTGTATCCCTGGGTTTTCGTCGGCAGCGATCTCTTCTCGATCGTCATCCAGGCTGCCGGTGGTGGTGTCTCGTCTGTTGCTACTGGAGGAGAAGAGACAAACCAGAGCTTGCTTGATGCAGGCTCGTCCATGCTCATCGCCGGTGTTGTCTTTCAGATGGCCAACATGATCTTTTGTGGTGGCCTCATGCTCTTGTACATCTGGAGAAGACATCGCGCCATCAAGAATGGTTCTGCAAGGCTACAATCATCCGCCGGTGAACTTGGATCTACCGACGATTCGACTGGTGCCATCCATACGAGGGCAAGCGACAAGAAGACAAAGACCTTCGTTTATGTCATCACTGTGGCGTACGTTGCCATTATCATTCGTTGCATCTACCGGTAGGCCCTCCTCTGCCTCTCGTATTGACATTTAACTGACATGGCTATAGTATCCCTGAAATGGAGATGGGATGGGGAAGCGACCTCATGCAAAACGAAACCACCTTTATGATCCTCGACGGTGCCATGATTCTCACCTCTGTGTGGCTTCTCACAATATTCCACCCACACTTCTACTTCCCATTCTTGAGCAAAAAGTCCAAAAAAGAAATGCCTGTGGACAAGCCTCAGGAGGGGGTGGGAACACCAGAATCGCATGAAATGGGGGCGGTACTGAACAGAGAGGACGACACAAAGAAGTGAGCAGCCCATACTGCGGGGGACTTAGGGGTTAAGAGTCAATGTTGAGTTGTGGAAAACTGGTCAAATTCGTGAAGAGAATCTTGTTTCGGATCGGATCGGGTCGCTTAATAGGCAGACAGCACATACGTAGAACCTTTCATGTTAGAGCTTTCCAGATGAACCTTGTAGAATAAAACTCAGCGTAACTTGTTCGATTTCAATTCAATTTACATTTCCTCAAGTTTCATAGCTCCCAACTCCCATAAAGATTAGTTCCACGCTGGTGGCCAATTTGTTCTGAAATCATACTCATTCGGCTGGGACACAGCCTTGGTGTCCACGCCATGCATTTCAGGGGGAAACCGACAGTCTGGGCGAACACAAACCGGATAACGGCAGGAGTGCCCGGCAATGCAATGCGGGTCGTCGCACTTCAACCCATTACGGCACGGTAACCCTCGGCAGATGGAGCGAAGGGCATCCTTCTGGTCGCTGGTCAGCACCTTTTCGTGATCGTGAATGCATGTTCCTGGGGCGGCGCATTTCCCAAGTAGATAAAAGTTGTTGCAGAGCTTCCAGCCTCTGACTTGTTGATAGGCTTCGTTTGAAAAGACTGGTAGGGGTGGATCGACTCGATCACCGTTTTTGTTCCGAAGGATGGGTGAGGCCTCGATGGGAGATGTCGAACGGCGTCGTTTCTGAGGCCTGAAGCCATTATCAGGGATAGGCTGGATAGTTGGTAGCGAGATGCGGGGGAAGGACGGCTTGTGAAGTGTTTGACTTGCAAACACGTTGACAAAAGAGCAGGTCTCAAATTGGTCGGCAATTTCCTTAAGTTCTCGGGCAAAGCTGGGCCCTTCGATGAGGGCAATCCTTTCTTGAGAGTCCTTGTCTCCAGCGTACTTACCGAGGAGACGAGCGTATCCGTTGTCGGCTGAAGCTCCTAAAATGATTCTCCTGCAGTGAACATTGTCAAAGTGATGTTGGAAGACAGCTAGGGAAAGTTAGCACTTCGTCGTCGCCGCCATGGGTACGGAACATACTTTTAATTTTATAATCTGCGCATTCCTTGCCGCTGCCAGCATCGAGGTAGTCGAACATTGGGTCGACAATGTTGAACCCAGAGACAAACGCGTACCAGTCTAGAAGACTCGATACAACGCCGTTGCCCTCGTAAGTGGCTCCTAGACCGCGCATGTTGGCATAGATATGGGTGATGATTGCTCGGCGAGAGTAGGCAGGCCACTGGGCCTTGATGGCTTCCTTGAGCGCCTGTGCAGCTCTTTTGCCGCCGGCCGTGCCTTGTCGGACGAACTCATCTAGAAACTGCGTCTTGTTAATTGGGCGTCCTTGAAATGGAACGCTCAACTTGCCGGCATGCAATCTCCATCAATAAGGACAAGGATATAACTGTTCACATCCTGCAACTGTCAGCCTCATGACAGACTCGCCTATCAAGACTTGACGTACTTGTTTATGAATGAGCTCCCACTTCTCCTTCTGAGCCTGGTCAAGAAGTGAGTTGCTGATCTCAAGCCGACGAGACTGATTTTCAATGGTTTTAAATAATTCCTGGAAAAGGTCAGCAAGACGACGCCAATCTGAAGAAAGGAGCACGCGGCCTTACTTCAATAAGTGCTGCCTTCTGATCATCCTGAGCCTTGCAAGACTCCCACACGTCCTTGAGTCGGCCAAGACTCTCAGGGGTCGCCATCGCTTCAGTTTTTGCATGTACCGACAAGCTTGTCAAGACACGCCCACTGCGCGACAAGCCGGATGCTGGTCTGTTCAAGGGCGGCTGGCGGGTGCTAAGCTGTGACGCTTCGCGAAAAGTGCTCTTTGTTGTCTTTCTAAGCGGTTGCGTTGATGAACAGAAGGAGAGAGAAGGTGGTGGGTCATTATGTGGTGCACGGGCGGCCTATCATTAGTCAGCCCCCTGGGTATTTTTTTCGGGGTGATAGAATCATAGAACCCGCTGGCTAAGGTGATGAAAGCTGAGGCTTACACCAAGTGCACAAAGAAAAACACTAGTGCCAGAGAAATTTATTAAGTAAAAAAGCAATTTCTAAGCTAGGAACCCTTTTATTTAAAATGAGAGAGGCTGATTTTAAAATGAGGTAATTTTAAAGTCACGCAACGTAATTTAACAGCTGTAAACCGAGTCACATGCCTTTGACACTAAGCTACTCTCAGAAACTTATAATAATATCCCCTCCGTGTCCTGGACAGCAAGCATTTCCCAAACTCTTCACAATCAGGTTCTGAATTACCTCTTGGTCATACAACTTGAATGCATCAACTCACAGTCAGTAGAGAATAAGCATCTCAAGACTGATTACTGTTGCTGAATCACCACGACAGGAAGCAGGCTGAACAAGCTGCATATCACTGGACAACTTGTGTCAGTGATTGTCTGCCTTGAAAGCATCATTCTAACATCATTCTGCCTAAGGGACGTCAAAGAGCAGCCACAAACAGATCCTGTAATTTGCCAAAGTGCACAAAGCGCACATGTCTCTCTTTGGCTTGAGACTAGGCAGCTAAGCATAGCTGGTGACTACATGGTCCAGCCTGGCGTGCCTTTCCAGAGATACTACCAACACATAAGCACTAGCGAATTCGACTGCGACCGCCATGGCCGCCTCTACATAAGGAAAGCAAATAAACTGACTTCAGACGCCAGGCAAGGCTCACCCCAGCTCGGCTCACACCGAGGCCGATTGACCGACGGGGAGAGCCGTAAATTGTACGGGAAGTACGTGCGGGAAAAACAAAGAAGTTATCCTTTGCCGTGACGCTAAGTTGTTGTAACTAGCCGCTCAATTCTTGACAGCCTCATGAACAACGTATGTTCGACACTCAACACTCTCTCGGTCGAAATAATCCACAGTTGAAGAGTTCACGGTCTTCTGGCTCAGTTAGCCCATCAAGGGCCGGGCTACAACTATAATAAAGAACAGATGGTTGAAGAGTTCACAAAAGCCGAGCGAGGGATCCGGGAGGCAACTACTTCCTTTGAGTCAAAGCTATAAACAAAGTATTCATATCCGACGTCTAGGCAAATATGCAATAAAACTTATGCCCCGGGTCAGCTGTCACGTCAAAGTCGACTCCTCTTAGTTTAAGAAGCCGACCTTTGTATGAACAAGGCCCTCTTACGGGATGGCGGGGACATCAGCTACCACGAAAAGGTCTTTGTAGATCGACTTTAGAGGTCGCCAGGCGTGAATGACTCGGAAGCGCCCCTTCATCAGCTCGTTGGCTTGGGGGCCAAGGTCAAAGCGTACGCCCTCGACAGCCTTTCCCAGGGCTAGGTCGACGTGGACCAGTAGGAGAGGACCCTGGGCGGTCTTTCCTGGCATGAGGAAAGGTTTTCGCGCAATGGGGTCGAAGACGCGAACATAACTAGCGCCGGTTCTTTTGAGCCAAAGTGTCAACGTGGGCTTGCGCGTATCCCGCTATCAATACTTTGTCTCTTTCAGAGAGTTACTCTTGCTTGATGGCCTCTGGGTTAGAAACTCTGTCTCCTTGGTCTAATAATAGAAAAAGGAGAATACATGCTCATCGAGGTTGTACTCATGTTTATCACCCACAAGGTCATGAACCGTGACGGACAACGCCTCTGCCCACCTCATACTGCTCGGGTCTATCACTGCGATTCAAGGATATAGTAGTCTATGCCCGCATGTCCCGTTTTCTCAAGACTCGCCTTTTCGCCGCGTGCATGATTCTTTGAGACAGGTTATGCTTGGTGCCCCAAACTTACTTTGGGAACGAAAGCCATCGTAACCTGTTTTATCACCCGAAAACGCAGGCGTAACGCATCCTCCATTCACATTCCATTTGTATTTGATCTATATACTTAGCATGACAAGCTGTGAGTCACTATAGAGACGGTTCTATCGCTCCATCACACCCCTTTGAACTAATCACATTAGGCCACAGCGCTCAATGATGAACGGTCGAAGACGCCATGCGTCAGACACGGCGATGGTTTGCAATGGTCTGATTCAAACGCATAACAGACCTCCTGCAATGACTTGGACAGGCCAAGTGAGCAGTTATTCCCGAGCTAAAGTTGTTCAGGCAGGATCCTTCAGCCGCAAACACTTATAAGAATACCCTCCTTCCAGGTTCTTCTTTCTCTCCTGAATAATCACCACTTACCAAGGCCAGTATACCTAGACATCTCACCTTGAGAACACTGCAAGAATGTGCCGTACTCTTTCCTACGTCTTGGAATGCACTGAATGTGGCCACCGTCAAACTATCGGTACATCCTTCCGTCAGGTGTGCAGAGATGCCGCTGAGGGAAAGGCCTGCATTCACCAGGTCTTGGAGCGCCCAGACAGACACATTTGCGGTCCATGTTTACTAGAGAAGGAAGAAGAGAAGGCAAAATTGGAAGCAACAAAGACAGAAGAAGAGAAGAATCGGGGCAATCAGAAGGAAGAGCCGAGATAGGCTCTTAGGGGTACCATCAATTTTATAGCAGCCAAGAGCATTAGTTGCTGATAATTTTACATCGATCTTTTGGTTCTTTTAACACAGCCTTCACCGCATTCGCCGGCGTTTCGTCAGCTGTTACTCCAAGTGGTTCGAACTAAAATGCTTCTGGGTTTGTCACTTTCATGTTCATGAGCTGTCAGTTATTGTTATATGGCATAACAAGCCAGGAGAACGCTTAATCTTCCCTACTTGATTGAGCAGGTTTCAGGTTTCCAAATTCTAAGATGATATGTTCTTGTACATGACTCCGGTGACGCTCTGTCTCCTGCGTTGGTTGTCAAAGCACCAAACATATTAGGGTTGTTGTATGATCTCAACAGTGTGTGATTGCAATACTTAACATGCTAGGTCGCAGCGCTTGATCGGTGATAGCCTTAGACATTGCTATCAGATACACTGGCATTTACTCAAGAGTTACTTGTGCATTCTTTGTGATTCAGGGGACACTTTATTTGTGAACCAGCGTTGCTCAAACTCATCTCTCGCCGTATTACAACCCGTAGCTCCATAGCATAATCAGGTGCACAAGCTCGCCAGCTTAGATTGTATCTAAATTGCGCGACTTGTTTTCGCAGTAATGATCAACACTCTTCTGAAGATTTTCCCACACCAAGTCTGAGTTTAACAGGTCAGTTCAGTATTCAGCAGCAAATTTGACACTTGCTCAGTCACAACGCAAACATGTATAATAGCAAACCTTTGATGGGTGCCAGGTACCATCTTAAATACTCAACACCAGCACGCATATTTTCCAGAATCCAAGTACGTTTATCCTCTCAGAAGAAGACTGCCAAGATGTGCTACACTGTTCACAACATCGTGGACTGTACCGAGTGCGGATACCGTCAGTGTCTCAGCAGGCCTATCCGTGTACCCTGCCCCCTTGCCATGCAGAATACGTACTGCGGTTTGCACGCACACTATCAAAGCCGAGATGAACACGTCTGTGGGTCGTGTCTGCAAGAGAAAAAGGAGAGGGAGGAGAAGGAAAAGAAGGAGGCGGAGAGGAAGAGAATAGAGGAGGAAGCGGCGGCAGCGAAGGAGGGGGAGGATGAAATCCAAGTACAGAATATCATGACACAGCTCGCTCGTTTCCGGCAGTGAAGGTATAACGCACAAGACAAGGTTGGTACGAGAGGACTTTGGATAATGCCATATATGATACTAGGTAAATAATTCGATCTCCCCAGAGATAGCTTTTTCCTTATCAAAAAGAGTGTATTTCTTGTAATGCTATTTGAGAGTTTACAGCCTGGTCCTCGCTCCAACACAGCACCTTCACTGATCGCAAAGCCACTGAGTTGGGGCAAATACCATCACTGGGATCTGTTTAAGCCAATCTGAGGCAGTTATACTGAACTAATCGGCCTGAACTTCCCAATGGCAAATTACGCCGCAATCGTCCCATGATTTTTCGCCAGGGAGCTCGAAAGATGTTGGCCGAGCGATATTGGGCTTCTTTCAAGCAATGTTCGGGTTCCGCAAAGAGGCACCCCTACAGGCGGCGAAACCCGTCCGACTGGACGAGCACCAGGAACAGGGCGAACAGGCTTGGCTTTTGATCTGTACATATAGCAATCAATGTTTTACTGCTCCTTGCGCAAGGAATATGTCTGACTTCAGTCATAGCCAACATTGCGGTTCATACTCTTGAGGAGTTGCCATAATGTCTATGAAAGCTCCTACAGCCAGGACACTAATTGAGATACACGCATCCCATCAACCGCATTCAACAACGATCAGAAAAGCGTACAGGCATTGTCCGTATCGGGGGCATCGGTTAATTGAGTTTCGGCGGATAGGAAGACCTCCGTCTTGGCTGCACAGTTTCCCTGAATCCGTGAAAGCTAGTTTCAGAGCGTTCCGCATTCTCCACTTCCTTTACAGCGAAAGAACGGCTAAATATTTGGCTTTGCTGCCGCTGAGAACGGCGTGAACGGTAAGCCCTCCCCGAAATTAGCTAACGGCCCGATTCCGCGCCCATAGCAACCTGGAAGCGGATCACGAACGATTGAATTCCTTCCCGTGCGGGTCCAGCTGAAGTAAAACCTTGGTTTCCTTATTCGGTTATCTTCAGAGCATTTGGACCCTCCTTGGTAGGATTCAAGACCGTCTCCCCGCGACTAAGAGCTCGGCCATTTAGACTCGAAGCCATCACCTCTTCTGAGTATCCTCTCCGCTCCTAATAACACCTCGATTCCAAGAATTCGTCCAGTGCCTTCAATAACGTTCTATGAATTGACTCGCTGTGTCACTTTCGAAACCACAAATATCCAAGCTCGACTTGCCTTGTTATACTACCAGAACAGCCAAGCCCGCGTTACAGCCATGACTTCGGTACGCACTTGACCCTCTTAGATTCACACTCCCGACGCAGCGCTGACAAGACTTGCAGTCGAAGCGATCTCGTGACGATTACCGAGAACGAGCATATGTAGCAGCTTCCCGCCGTACCGACCGAAACGTTAAGGCCCGCATGGAGTCCGCTCTAATGGCAAGCGAGATTCATAGGAAGCGCACCGGGAAACCCTTGCATATCACCGAGGATATCGTCATGGGCGATGCGCCATATGAGGAGGAGCAAGAGACTTGGCCGCGACCACAAACATATCCAGTTGTTCCCAAATCGAACACGAACATGGGTGTAGGAGTGGTATCAAAGGAGTCACTCGCTTCTGCCGTCTTTGCCAAGACAGAAGAGGAGTGGCGGGAAAGCGAGATTAACAGGTTATTCGCAGAGGCATTTCCGAATTTTGGCAAGCAATCTAAACTGCTCGTTCCTACAATCGTTCCTACAATACCGAAAGAAGACAAGCCACCCCGGGAACCTACGTCTCAGAACGCAGAGGGAGTAGACAAGCAGCACCAACATGAGCACCTGCAGAATGTCATCCCACCATATCAACCCGATGAGCAAACTGGCGACACACCATCAAGGCCCAGAGAAGACTCGCTCCTCGGGGAAACTCCGTCGCTACTCGGTAGTGATTCAGCAACCCTGACATCTTGCTCGCCATCATTCATACCGGATCTCTCAAATTTAGCTGCGATGCCTTCCGAGTTCTTCGATCCAAACATGACCGAAGGTTTATTCGCCAATGACTACAGCGCTATCGGAGAGGGATTCAACTTCAAGACAGATGATTTTGCCCATGACGGCGATGTCAACGAATGGTTGCAACACGTTTGCGACAGCGGCGACATGCTGGAGATGGCAGGTTGGGATTCTCAGCCTTTTGACGGGACGATGGATGACTGGTGGCCGATGCTCATAGATGACAGCGCTCAGCTAGTGACATCTACCCTTTAGAGGGTTAGGCGAAGTCATGGACAGCGCCGACATGATCGGTAATGGCGTTTCTGGGGCGGACATTGAAAAGCGATAGGGTTCAGGCTTAGTATACTTAATCATAATCACATTCTTTCCCATTTGCAAGTCTCTGAGAGGCTACATGCTTGGAGACCAATGGGGATGATCAAACATTTCGAGGAAGTGGTAGACTAGTTCGACTATCATGAGTATGAGTGGTCAAGGAGAGTTGAAATTGAGACCACCTCGGACTATGGGCCAATTGCGACTCACAAACCTGCCACACTAAAACTAGCAAATCAACGATGCTCAACCTCGATGCAACATCAATCTGTAAGTGCAGGGGGCATCGTGGGTCCCCAGCGATCAATTGCCGGTTTCACAATGTCCGTTCCCCGTGTCCGTGTCCGTGTCCGTCTCTCTCTACACCCATCTCACCCGAAAACACGACATTTTCGTTTCTTCCACATACCTCACATGTGCCTCTTCTGCCTCGCTTAGAGATAACAAATCATGGGGACTCCTGCAGTTTACTCGTCTCTCGAAAAAGAGGACCGGCCCGAGAATGCTGCTCGCCAAGACGCCAACCACCGTCCTCCTGCACCTACGGTCGAGAACGACGCCACAAAGGGCTTGTACAAGCTTGACAACTACTTGAAGGCCTACATCATCATCTTGGGCGTGTACCTCTCTGCCGCTCTGTTTTCTGTGGCGTGGTCCTACACGGGTGCCCTCCTGGACAATGACGCTTCCAAGAGACGCGTGTTCCGCACGAGCGAGAGACTCCCCGTCGACCAACTATACTCCGGTTTGGCTCTATCGGCACTCTTGGCCCCTGCTGGTGTTGTTGTTCAATGGGTTGTGCACGACTTTCGTCGTCTTCATCTTTTTGCGTTGACGACGCAGATGCCTGTTAGGATCAGAGACTTGGATGAGATTGGCGACAACTTTAGTGTCTGGACGTTGAGAACCGTGGCGAGGTACTCTTGGTGGTATGGCTTGATGCAGACCGTCTTGATCTTGACGCGAACCCTCCTTGTACCTGTTGGTACCCTCAGCCTTACAGTTGGACCATACACCCACTACGAAGAGGGGACTGGTGTCATTGGACTTCCCCTTGCACCAGCTGACGCGGCCATGAACAACATCACATCCCTTTCAACCGCCATGGGTGCAAGCAACGGAACCGAGTTTCGACCTTCGCTTGCCAAGAATGACACCTTCCTTACTCAGGCAGTGTACACATTTGTCGGTAACCTCGTTAGCCAAAGTGCCCTCGTCAATGTCGATTCGGGAATACTCGGCCCTGTACCCACACACAACCTGACCTTCCAAGCCAACACTACATATGACGGACTTGTGTACTTTCACTGGGACGCTCACTGTGAGGCCGCTGATGAGGTGACGTATAAAACCTACCAGAGCGGCAGCAACACCACCTACAACTTTACTCTTCCCGATGGAAGTGTCGAGAGCATCGAACTTCGGGGCAAGTCGCATGGTTCTCAGAGGCTGAGGCTATGGAATAACGCCTCAACCGAGAGCACCAACAAGATCCCAACTGGCGGCTCGACTTACTTCCTCTCGGCCACTCGAACGATCCCAACTATCAATGCCACCGCGCTGCGGGCCAAGGGCTCCGACAACAGTCTTGTTCAGACCGACGATGGAGACTGGATATCTCGAACCAAGTGCACGCCTTCCCTCGAATGGTCAATTGGATCCTGCAATTTCAACGGCACCATGATGACAGACTGCATGCCATCGCCGAGATCCAACACCTCTGCACTCGACACCGAGGCGCTGGATGCGCTGGTTGTGTACATGACAGCTATCCCGTGGTTTATCTTTGAGAACCAACTCGCCATCGTCGACGACACCTTAGACGCCCTCTACTCGATCCCAACATCAGAAGATCTAGGCCACTTCTTTGGAAACATGGCACACGCAATCGTCTCCATCAGCACCGCCGGCTACTTTGGCACTTCAGAAGTCCCCACCCTCTCTCGCGTCATCGAACAAGTCTACATCGTCCGCTGCAGCGTCCTCATAGCGGTGACAATCATGATCGGCCTCTGTGTCACAGTTTCCGTCCTCGACATCATCCGCAACCAGACGCGAGGCCTACCCTACCTACCCGCCGACTTCTTAGCGATTGCACATGCTGTACGTGGACAGTGGTGGGACTACGAGCTGGGAGGTTACAAGCCATGGGGCATCACAAAGTCACGGGATCCCAATTCCACTGTTATGTTTGGCATTGATAACTCAGATCCGAGGTACATAAGACTGGCACCATCCGTCGTGCCTATTCATCGATAAAATCCCTGATCCATTAGATCCACCATTTGTATTTCATCCTTTCCTTGCAAATTGTACCTCGATCAATGCCAAACCATCTTTGTCCGCGGGTCGGACATGTTCAGAACCAAATCGATTTAGTCCTTGTTGGGGATCCACTGCTCGGTGCAGACGACCTTGTCGTTCTCGTCCTTCATGTAAGGGAGATCCTTGCCGGCGTGCTTGATGACGCGGTACGTGTTGGGCTGCCAGATGGCGCGGCAGACGGGCGAGATCTTGACGATGACGGAGAGGTAACCCCACTCGTCGCGGACCATGTCAGAAGCAAAGTTCTGGTCGATCATGGTGTCGAAACCGCGGCCGCTGACTGCCTGGCGTCCGATGTACTCGACGTTCTCGACCTCCTGGTGGGTGTAGTGCCAACCAACCATACCGGCGAGGTTGAGGCGGATCATCCACTGGGTACTGACCACATTGTGAGCTTGTGTTTTCAGCAAAGGGAGACGGAGGAAAACTTACACGGCATCACGGCAACCAAGGAGGCGGCCCTTGTGAAGGCGGAAGGTGAACTGAGTCAGAGTCTTGCGGTGAATGGCAGGCAATTCGCCAATGAGGCCCTGAAGAACGTTGATGACATCGATGGTGGTGACGTGCTCAGAAACAGGCTTGGTAGCGTTGACGAGAGGAAACTGGAAACGAGCAAGGGGCTCGACAAAGTGACGACCCTCAACGACGTAGCGAACATGAAGCTCGCCGTCAAACTCGTCGCCAACGTTCTTCATCCACATGGCAAGACCCTTGATGTCAGCGACGTTACCCTCAGAGTCACGGAAGCGAATCTTCTCATCAAGCTCGACCAGGACGTGGGATCGGCTGCGACGCTCACCGGGGAGCAGGAAAAACTCGAGGCTGAAGCGGTTGATGGTGCCTCGAACAGCAATGTTCATGATGGGGTTACGAGCGCGACGGATCTGCTCCATGCTGAAAGTCTCGGCCTTGGCGAGCTCCGAATCGACGGGGGGAGCAGGGGCGGGAGGAGACTCCGCGTTGGCGATGGGGGTGGTCTCGTCCTTGGTAGGGGTCTCCATCTTGTCGGGGGTCGAGAAGAGTCGTCGCAGGGAGGGTTTCTTCGGGGTGGAGGGTCGAGGCTTCTTGGGAGAAGAGGATCGGGGAGACTTGCGAAACATCTTGAAGACTTCAGAGATCTTGTAGTCGCTGCCGTTGGCGTTGTCGTTTGCTTCTTCGCTGGTCGGTTTGTTTCGAAGTTGTCGAGGAGACAAACTGTTCGTTGAGGGGATTTCATCTTCGCGTTTGGGTTCTTATGTATAAGTAGGACGTACAGAAAAGGAAAATAGACTTGAATGGGGATTCTGTATTGTTGACAATTCTCTTTTTGCAGAGGAGGAATGAATCTGAGGCACAGTTGTAAACATCCCGTTCTGGCACTGCCCGCAACAGTCAACTCGGATCGGTCAATTTGGGTGAATTTGCGCACATACGATTGACCGAATGTTCCTAATTGAGCTCTCTTCACCTTTTACATGGGCGGCAGATGGGCGAAAATCCTTATTTCTTCAAGAGAGAAAATGAAAGTGGTAATTGAGATGAACATGCTGAATACAGCACACGGTAATAACGCTCGCAACGGCATCCATGGGGAACCTCTATCCATATGACTCAATAAGAGAGATGACCTCATTATTACCTATTCTGCGCTTCTGACGCTGGATATAGTTAAACACCTAGTAGAGCTGGTTATACGTCGAACTCAAGACTCATAAACACAGGGCTGGTGACGAGAACATGAGTCTTTGCATTTGAGGCAAAGGGGTGGAAATCCGGCGCAGCGAACAAGCAGAAACGTATAAAAGAGAAGAATACCCAAGCCTATAGCAACTTTCTGAGTAGTTCATCAACTCTCATCTTTTCAACGGCGTCAACTACCCGCTTGACGTCTGAATCCCGCGACTTTTTATCCTGAGTGACCATAAGCCACGTACTGCACACCAGCGCCGCTATATCGCACCATCTACGCCCCCCCAATTCCTCTCGAGCTCCTAGAAATTCTGGGTCATCGAGCTCCCTATAGAGATCACCCATCGCCGAACGGAGCTCGGCTCACATTGTAATCCAGGTCTCATGCAGTGCAACTTTGTCTTGCGCCCAATCCCTTGGTGACTTGCCGCCGTGATCTTTCTTGTCGATATCCGCGCCGCGCAACATTAGCAAATAGCATGCAGACAGTTCTCCTGTTTCAGCCGCGTATGAAAGAGCTGTCCTGCCTTCGAAATCATGGTCATCGCGTGGGACAAAGCCATGAGAATCCTCTGTAGCCAAAATCTGCAGCGTCGATATGCAGCCATTCATGGCGGCCCGCATCATTGGCGTCCGTCCATACCTATCCCTACTATTGTAGTGAACGCCGCGGCTGATCAGAGCCTTCAAGCCGGCTTTGTTGTTGTCTCGTGCCATGATTGCCAGCAAAGCGCGGTTGATTTGAACCAGCCTTTTCCCTCGCAAAACTTCCTCAACCATGCATCGATTTCCAGTGTTCAGAGCCAGTGTCATATCCGAATTTTGTTGAAGATAGGGCAGTGAAATAGGAGTAGTTCCAAGAACCCCCCCTCCGGCAACATCGACTTGCCTCTGAGCCAATAATAATTCCACTACAGAAAAGTGTCCGTGGATTATTGCGATCGCCAGCGGGGTCAGATTGTCGTTATCTCTGTGGTTTAGCTGGGTATTGGGGCGCCCGAGGAGGAAGCGAACTACCTCCACGTCTCCCATTCTTGCAGCAATGTTTAGTATACGCTCTCCTGATCTGTTTGTTGAGGCTTCGTCAACAAGATTATTGGAAAAGAGGTGCATGATCAACGTGAGATGACCCCCGTGTTCTATCAAGTTGCCCACGGTCAAGAATGGTGCTGTATATCCACCGACTTCCAACAGGTAGATCGACGTCAAGTCATGTCTCTCATGAACTGCCCACTTAAAAGTCCAATGAGACAAACGGGGTATGTCATCTAGGTAATCGACCAACTCGGAGATGGATGGATTCGGAAGCGTAATAACCGATGATGGGAGAACCCTGCCGAAAAGTAGGAAGCAGAGGGTATCGCGGCACACTCCTTGTAGGGTCTTCTGGCAATCGGGACGAAACACTTCGGGGCTGGAGGCATCTGATGAGATGCCCAAAAGAGCAAGAACCTTGTCTCGAGCCTCAGTAGCTTGGCAAGCGGCAAACTTCTTCAGCAGGAAATGAAGGTCGCGCCTGTCAGACCACCAAGACTGACTTCGCTGTTTCCCAGGCATAATGTCCAAAATAGCTTGCGTGTGATCATCAATCTCAAGCCCAAGGATTGAGGGCATTAGCGCAAAAATGTACCCTGGAACAGATTTTGATCCACACACAATTGTTGCGGCACGGGCGCTGGCGATTTCCTGGAGGATCCAGATGCGTTGAAACCAGGGTCTTTTGAACAGCTCTTGAAGCGCCTCGAGCTGTTTGCAATACTCATTTGTTGGTGTCAGCTCTAGTCGCTGTCGAAAGATTGGCCCGCAGATGGTAAGCAGCTTTTTTGGGTCCTTCCAGTTGTCATGTCTGGCAGATGCTTCCTCGTGCAGGTCATGGATTGAGCCCAAGATCTTGTCAGTCATCTCATCTCCTTGGCCAAGCCAGACAAGGACTTGCTCGGCGTTTTCGTAGATATATCTCATCTGCCCAATCTGATCCCCCTTTTCGACGGCGTCGAGCTGGTTGATGCAGATCGCATCAGCCCAAAGAATCCTATCTTGATTCTCTCCCCTCAAGTACCGCAGAGCGGAATGTAGATTCGGTTTAATCTTCATTGTGGATGGCCCACTTCGATTCTGGATGGTAATCTCTTCAAGCGTGATATCTTCCGCAGGTTCTGAATCTTTCGAAGAGGTATCCTTTGACATGGATTGTCGAGATGTATCATCTTCAGGTGTTGTAGTAGCGGGTGGTGTTCCCCAAGTGTAGGACAGTGCTTCATATGTAATGTCGCCCGGTTTCCAGGCCGCAACCTCGAAGAGTTCGCAATGAACTCTTTCACATGTGAAACCTTTCAAGAGTCGAAGAAGTCGGATTACCCCCTTGCCATGAGGGATGGGGCTATACTGATACTCAGTCATTTGAACTCTCAGCAAAGACCAAGTGGGCGGGGTAGCTTGCAGAAGAACCAGGGCAGACCAAAAGGCACAAGGTGTCAATTGAGGGGGCGGAATTTGAGTGGTGAGGAGTTTGATTTTTTCTGTCTAGACGAGCGAGAAAAGGATTTCTTATACCACTATCGAGGGGGCCATGGAGGTCGTGAATGAGGCCATCTTCAAGGCTTTCACGAAGGCTTTTGATAAGGCTTTGTAGAGGGCTGTGCGAGAGGCTGAGCCAGGGGCTGTGTACTCCATTCCGTTCAGGCTTTGAATCAGGCTGCCTGCAAGGTGCAGGCCAACAGTTACAATATGGATGTCATAGATGTGTAGGTAGTTGGTGTGATGGACGGCCACGGACAACAGGCCGCCACAAGTGGGGGCCATAAGTATACTCTAACAGGAGGGCTGACGCACCACTCCACTAAAAATCCTGAGTGTCACTATAAGTTAGTGACTGGGACCTATACACCAGTGTACGATTCCGCTATATCTTAGCGCTTTTTAAATGCTCCTGTTAGGTCTTTTCGGTGCGGATACCTGTCATTTTCAGGGTCGTGGTGAGCAATGGACAGCCCGCCCGCCCTCAGGAGTAGGTAGGTAGCGACGTTCAATCTCGCCAACGTTGGCTGAGATGAATGTGATTACACCTTTTCTTGGCAAACCTCACGCATGGCATGAGTCCCCGAAGCAATAGAGAGAAACCAACTCAGGCTCATCGGTTATCGAAGCGTATAACCCCTCAAGTAATGAAGTTAAGTCCAGATTAAATTTAATGATCTTGTACAAAGCAAATAAAGTCCCGAGGCCCTCTCGTCTGCCTGTTCGGGTGGGTGTTCATTGGAACGGGCCGTTGCCGCTGTTCGTGAGCCCACCCAACCTAGTGGCGCCACGTTGACTTGACATGAAGCTAATTTAGACGCCGCGGGGAGCATCCGGATCGCAACAAGACCCGGATTCATGAGCGTTTACGACCTAGCGGATCTTCATCCCGCAGCAGAAGCGAAAATTATTGCAACCAAGTAATCTTGCAGGTTATTAGACATTGCTTCACGCACAAATGAAAAGAAGAAACAGGCCTCAAACTCTAATGTGCTACTTAATAAATGTATACAAATTTCTTGCATGACTTGCCGCGCAAGGGGTTTCCCTGTGGCCGCGTGGTGTTGAAGAAATAGCCAATGACCAACGTTACCAACAACAGCACGTCACATATCAGAAAACACTAGACTTTTTTGCTCGATCAATTAAAAAGGAGAGGAAACGAGGGATTTTTGTACTAACTCGCTTGTGCGAGACACCTGACTTATAGGCCCTGTCCCCTACCCTGTCACTATTCTGAGCTTTGAAGAGGGCTGTCGCGTCGTGTACCCCTCTTTCAATCTTCTGATTTCTCCTTCACCAGCCACCCACCGTATCACCATCGTAACAGCAACAACTAATCCAACATGGCAGGCAGCAGTCCCCCAAAGAGCAGCAGCCCAAAGAGCCGATCTCCCGCATCGCCGAGGTCGCCTCAATCCCCAGAGGCTGCTGCCCAATCACTCGAGCAGGCCCAAGCGGGCGTGATCGAGGTTGATGAGGAGGCTGGCGAGGAGGATCCAACCCTTGGATCCGACGCCGAGAGCTCTACCGCTTCCCTCTCGTCGAGTATTCTTGATTACCGCACCATCAACGGCAGGACATACCACAGCGACAGGGGAAACGCTCAATACTGGTAATTTCTCATCGCGTCTTGAAGTTGAGACGGTTATCTGATCTTCCCGCCAGGGGCGCCAACGATGAACGACAAAGCGAAGCTATGGATATTGGGTAAGGACTCTTGTTTTTTTAGTTTGAATATCAAAGTGTGCCGAGTCCTGACGATTTCCTAGCCACCACATGTGGACCTTGTCCCAGGATGGAGCACTTCACTTGGCTCCTTTGAAAGATGATATCCAAGTACGTCGACGTATCTTCAGTTACCCCTAGGTCCGTTTCTGACCTTGTTGTCATCTATTAGAAAGCACTTGATATTGGAACAGGAACTGGTAAGTCCAGACATCTCATGACGTGCCAGGTCGCTATTCTAACCCAACCACTTTGTAGGTATATGGGCCATGTGAGTTTGGTTGCTGCTCAACGACTAATTCCGCCCTAACGACTTGCGAATTAGCGACTTTGCCGACGAGTACCCCCAGTGCGAAGTCATCGGCACCGACGTCTCCCCTATCCAGCCTGGCTGGGTCCCGCCAAACTGCAAGTTGTAAGATACAAACCCCCTCCCCTTAAAATGCTTCATGTCTCATCTTGTTCATTAGCGAGATCGAAGATTGCAACCAAGAGTGGACATTCGACTCGGATTCTTTCGACTACGTTCACTTCCGCTACCTGATCGGATGCATCCCCGACTGGCCAGCGCTGTTCAAGCAGGCATATCGGGTCCTCAAGCCAGGTGGTTGGATCGAGAGTTTCGAAGTCTCGCCAACCGTCACGAGTGACGACAACACGGTTGGGCCGGATTCTGCCCTGGCCCAATGGGATAAGCTGTTTATCGATGCTTCAAAGAAGATTGGAAACAGCTTCACCGTGGTTGCTGATAATATCCAAAAGCCTGCTATCGAAGAGGCTGGATTTGTCAACATCAAGGAGTGGAACGGCAAAGTAAGCTAGTCATCCTATGACCCTATGATATTTAGCTGACAGTATCCCAAGTGTCCCCTGAGTCCTTGGCCCAAGGACCCCAAGCTAAAGGAGATAGGCCGTTTCGGTCAAGTCTTTGGCACTCAAGACCCTGAAGGCTTCGTAAACTTTGTCACCACCCTCCTGGGCTGGTCGTCGGACGAGGTCCACGTCTACCTCGCCCGTTTCAGAAGCGAGCTGCGAAACCTAAAGCATCACCCGTACGTCCTTCTCAAGACGGTTTGGGCACAGAAGCCGCTGGACGCTGAGCCGCCCACGACCGAGCAGGCCTAGATGGGGTGAGAAATTCACTGGGGAGTGGGGGTGTTTTCTGAGCATGTGCCGAAATTTGGCATCCTGGAGAGGCAAAGTTGACTTTCATGTTTCGTTATTCTCCTAGAGATCGATCTTGTAGCGAGGCTTTTGAGAATTTCCTGCGTTTTTACCACCATATACTTGTCTACCTGTTTTATGTCCCGCATAGGTTGCTCTACATTGTCTTGTTTCCTCTGTTCCAGATAATTTACACTTTTTCATCGGTTAGTGAAGATATTGTCACCTATACTGTTACAAATCCGAGCTACAGCTCCCATGTTTCAGTCTAGACTCGTCCTTGTCTCCTTGGTCCATCATCTCGGCTCCGGGTCATGGAGCGAGGCAGAGCTCTTATGTAGTGACGGCATCAAATGCATAGTTTCTCATAAATAGGTTCATGCAAGTCAGATTCTCCCGTGTAAGAAAGTCCAATCGGGGCCAAAGACAGGGATCAAATCTCAGAAAATAGCGTCGGCGGCATGCTCGGGTACCTCAGCCCGACTCCACGTAATCGTCGGGTTCCCCAACCCGATGCTGGTACTAACTCAGTTTGGAGCAGGAGGAGCTCAGCTCTTGGAACGTCAATATGTCTTGATGTACTTGATCTTCGTCTCTACGCTTACTGGTCATCAAACCATGCTCTGGCCGTTCCATCCCGTACAGAGGCAAACTCTTTCAATCCCCAGGCGGCAAATCGTCGCTCAAAGTGGCGAGTAGTACTCCGTAATAACTAAAAAATCTCACTAGATGCGTCACAATATCGACACCTCATTTCTCACTACAGATAACCACCCCTGGCTCCTGTCCTCGGTTGCACCAAGTCTTCCTCCCAGAACCTCGGACATCCACCGGCCTGTTCAATCAAGGCCCATTTGTTCATTACCCCAGATTCTTATCCATAAACGAGCAATGCATTACACCGCGAAGCGATCCGATTCGACACGTTCCGCCGTTATCGGCCCACCATGTCCCTCCTAACCTCGACGTCACAACCCAGTACCGTGACGAACACCCTGGACCCAAGCCGGTGCATTCAACGTGTGTGCAATCTATTGTATATTTCGGGCTTAGTGTCGAGGCAGCGCTACCCCGCATCCGATATCCGGGAATGTGCGCTATCCGGGGATGTGCGCCGCCCAAGAGCAGCTGGGATGCCCCTAGACAAGGATGGGGTGATGGTTATCTCGACGCTGATACGACTAGACCTAGATTGACAAGAGTAGCCGCGGGTAAGTTGATAAACAAAGAGGGTGTGGTTGGTGTTGCATTTAAACCCTCGGTCTTCCAACGACGATGTCCATGGCCATGGGCATCTCTTGACAAGTCTTTCTTCTTGGACAACTGCTCAGTTCAACTTGCATCATGGTCAATACATTGCATGGCGACGTGCTGCCTCCGGGCACGCAGCGCATCAATGATGCACAGGCGACGCACATTCTGCTTGCGCCTCAGCCGAGTTCCGATCCGAATCAACCCCTGGTTCGTATACTCCAAGACGTTCGGATCACCATCTAACAATTATAGAACTGGAGTCCGAGACGCAAAATCATTCACATGACGCTTCTGTCTCTCTACGCCATGATGGTGTTCGCCATGTAAGGCCCCCATTTCATCTCCAAACTACACACAATTAACCCCGTATCCAGTCTTTGCATCAGCGTCCCAATGTGGCAAGACTTTAACGAACAGCTCGGCATGAGTTACGACGCCCTCAACAATGGATATGCAACCAACATGGCAGGCCTGTCCGTCGGCTGCATCATCTTCATCCCCCTCGCTCTTCGCATTGGTCGTCGACCTGTTTACATCGTTACGGCTCTTGTCATGTTTGCTGCTGCCGTTTGGCAGGCTGAGATGCAGACTGTGGGGGATATGATTGGAGCTAACCTCGTTGCTGGAGTTGCTGGAGCCGTCAATGAGGCACTATTCCAGGTTACAGTAGGTCATGATCCGGAAAAGCAGTGATAGCTGATTACTAACCAAGCTCATAGGTGTCAGATCTCTTCTTTGTTCATCAGCGAGGTACCATGAACGGTATCTATCTCATCATGGTCATGATTGGAGTCAGTACCCCGAGTCAATACCACACATACCCAGCTAACACAACTCCAGAACTACCTCGGACCTGTCGTTGGTGGCCACATCGCCGTCTCCATGGGATGGCGCTGGGGCTTCTGGCTCTGCGCCATCTTCATGGGAGTCCTCTCCATCATCATGTTCTTCTTCCTCGAAGAGTCCAAGTACACTCCTCCTCCGTTGACCGGCCACGACATCACACCAAACACACCCGACGACCAACTCAACAAAGTCAGCAGCATTGCTAAACCCCCGGTTCCTGCCTCTCTCGACAAAGACCAGGAGGCCATCTTGAGTCAACGAAAGAGACTTGTCGAGATCGATACCAATATCCCGATGAAGACATACTGGGAGCGACACGCACTCTGGTCCGTGGACAAGGAAGCCGCTGCGGGTAAATCATTCTGGCAGCAGTTTTACGAGCCTTTCCACATCCTCGCCGTCTTCCCTGCAGTCATGTTTGCCGCCCTTCAATACGGATGGAGCATCGCCATGCTCGCTATTCTCGCAGTCACGCAGAGCGCTCTGTACGCGGCTCCTCCATTCAGCCTCTCGCCTGCTGGTATTGGAAACATGAATCTGCCTCCCTTCATCGGCGCCATCCTGGGATCACTGTTCGGCGGACCACTGGTAGATTACATGATTGTGCAGATTGCAAAGCGCCGTGGAGGTATCTACGAACCAGAGACTCGTCTTTGGCTGTTCCTGGTGCCGGGCATGTCAATGGTCATTGGTTGTCTGATGTACGGCTTGACGATTGCAAAGGTTCGTGCTTTCCTCCCTTACACTTGATAAAGTCTAACAAGGTATATAGGGAATGCCCTGGATCATCAACGCAGTCGGTGCCGCATTCATCGGCTTCTCCATCGGAGGCTGTGGTGACATCGCCCTCACCTACGTCCAAGACTCGTACCAACTTGTAAGAGCCCTTGCTCCAAGACACATAACTCTTCCTCTGTACTGATACCTTTTCTTTTTCAGATTCTCGGTCCCGCTCTGACGGCTGTTGTCTTCGTCCGCAACATCATCGCAACAGGCCTCGTCTTTGCCGTCTCACCTTGGATGGCTGGCATGGGTGTATATGACATGTTTGTGCTCCTGGGCTGTATCGCGGCTGCAATCGCTCTGACATGCGTCCCCTTGATGATCTGGGGCCGCAAGTTCAGAGCTCAGTTGGCGCCCAAGTATGACTACTTTATCGACCAACAGTTCTAAATCCAGTACGCTTAGGATAGGGAGGGGCTAGAAAGTTCAGTAGAAACAGCAGCGATTTTACCTCGCATTATCATCGACTTTGCCAAATACTCCTGTACATGTGCCACTCCTAGCAACCATGATTAAGAGCCCCATGGGAGATCTCTTCACTGGTGGGCTCTTGCAAGGAGCAGTAAGGCGTCGGCGTCATATTTTCATGGCTGAAAATCATTTCCAGTAGAAACTTTTTACTTGATGCAATCAAATAGTGCCATTTAAAAGGAAATTTAGAGATTAATTCTATATCCCACGATCCGGGTCCGCGGTAGTACATCCATCCCTGGCCCTTCCTCTAGTAATTCTCCCTCTGCTCCAGGCATTACCCTCACTTAGCATACTTCTCTAGAAACTTGGTATATCTCTCGTAGAAAGTAGCAACTTGGGGAATCTGTGCAAAAATAACAGGGAAACAGTGAGGCACACCAGCGTATGCATGCAGCTCAACTTCAACTCCATCGGTCTCCAGGGCTTCGGCGTAGGCAAAGGCATCATCGCGGAGAATGTCTCCACCAGCACACTGAATCACTGGAGCTGGTCAGTCAATATTCTAAAATTGTGCATCCAAGTCGAGACTCACGGGCTGGGGGAAGGCCTGCATGTGACTTGGCGAGAAGAGGCGAATGCGTCCAGTCATGCTCAGCATTAGGAGTGTGCGCGTCGAGGGTCAACTCGTAAATGACGGAGCTAAGAACAGGGTTTTCAGAATTCTGGATATAACTTCCAAACTCATACTTTTCCCTGGGGAAGAACTTGGGATGGCAGGTCAGAGGAAAATGCAAGACTTGAGCAACAATTCCAGTCAGTCCATCGTCCCTAGCCTGAACGGCAACAGTTGCGGCCTGGAAGAGGATATTAATACTCATTCCAGGAAACACTTGATGTGTACTCACGAGACTGCCTCCTGCGCTGCTTCCGCTCAGGATAATCTTTTCAGGGTTTACACCAAGGGTCTTTGCATTCTCCTTGCACTGAAGAGCAATTAGTAACGTGTGCCATCTTGGTTGTTGTATAGGAGCCACTCACCCACAGAAGGCCGTCGTAGCTATCTTGGAATGGGATTGGAAATGGGTGTTCCGGAGCCCTGTCAATGTCAACAAACAACTCATGGGTTCTGATGCGGATGAACTCACAATCGGTAATCTACGCTGACAACAACAATGTCGGGGTTGGTAGCAGCATAGACATTCTCGACGCCATCAACTTCATGGCTTCCAACAACCATGCCTGCAGAGATTAGCAAATTACCTGTGACACTCAGAGTTCGAACATACCACCGCCGTGCATGCGATACGTCAAAGTAGCATTCTCGATAACATTTGGTGATTTGTAAACCTTGAGCTCAACCAAAGTCCCATCACGAACCGGAAACTGAACCAACTCGGTCACCACATCACGGTAGCGATCCGGTCCTCCAGGCGGCATGGGAGCATCGGCATTGCCTGCAACTGCGCGCATGGAAGGAAAGTCGGGGGCGCCCCAAAAAGGCTCATAACCAGCCCTGATCTGATCTTCGGCGGCTGCATACTCTGGGATCTTCTCTGAGAGGTGGCCGTGTTTTGGGAGGGGTTTGAAGTCGGCCGTGACTTCGGCGTACTCGGGTGTGGATTTCGTCTTCATAGTTACTGGGCACTGGTTGGTATTGTTGAATTGGAAACTAAACAATATCCTTCTCTTCGAGTTGCAGACATTCTCTTATATGTTCTTTCCTCACAACCATCAGCATCAAATGATGCGCATCCGAAACTGTGTGTTCATCATGAATCATTCTCGACTAGACCCTATGCAGTAATCTGTAATAAACCTTGTAACTTGTCGGACTATCGTGATTGGGGAGAGGCGAGTGAGAAGGTGGGCCTTGTTCTACTTTGGGTCAATGAATCATACCTTGTCACGCTTGACTATTTACTATCCACCACCTGCATACTGTCTGCGCTTGGCGCATAACACGGTACAGAATATGTTGACGTTGTTTGTTTGCACTGGCTACCTCGACGACTCTTGAAAGTGGTATAGGACCTCGCTCTCACACATCACCATATAATCTAGCAAAGATAATGAATTACGGCACCGCCAATGAAGACGGCAAGATTCGATTACCTACTACCTCGCTGGGACTCTGTCAGAGGCCCGACTTTTGATCCAATTAACAACAGAATTGCCATGGACTTGGAGAAGCCACTTCCTATCAACCAGTGTATCTATCATCCGTAGACGGTCGACACATGTCGCGACAGGGTATGACAGGATGTTGTCAGGTCGGTGAGCCTAGAGCCTCTTTGAAGTATGTATTCCCACCTTGGTATGAGTCTTTAACTGTAGGCAGCTAAAAGACTAAACAAAAGGCCACTGTTTAAGCATTGGGATATGATGCTATGATGTGTCGATATTGTGTTCTTTATTCTAGTTGAAGCCTGGCCCTTGATGGGATAACTGAGCCAGAAGACCGAAGGCTTTGTTCCTATGCTCCAATGACAGGTTTCACAGTTAAATGGGTAATTGAAAGACCCAAGCGGCCAGACGTTCCATCGAAACCCACATTTTATATACTATCTGTCTAAATATGTACACACAAGAACTATCACTCCTATGCTCTTTTTCCCTCTCTAGCTCCCGATCCAGCTAGATCCCATAGAAGTGACAACTTTAAGATAACACACACAATCATCAATCAGTGACTGGTCTCTCCCTCGTGAAGAAGCCTCCCCTGAAGGCGAGATTCATCACCGCCTGGCAAAGCTAGGCGAAGCCATCTAGCAGTTGGTGCGGAGGCTCTTGACGAGGCAAGACTTGCCGTTGTCGCCAGCGGGGCCGAACTTGGGGGGCTCCTTCTTCTGGTCGTTACCAGTGTAGGCCTGGCAGCTCTTGCCCTTGTTCTGGCAAGAGTCGGTGATGGTGCAGACATCGCCGTAGTTGTGGTTGACGCCGCAGAGCTCGCCACCGTTCTTGGCGACAACGCCCTTGATGTTGATGTTCCGGGGGCCGCCGTTGCCCTCGCAGTTGCCGCAGTTGCGGACCAGCTTGCCGTAATCCTGGACGTAGAAGTCGTTGACGTTCAGAGTGCCGCGGCCGTTGAACTGGAGGACCTTGTCCTGGGCGCTGAAGGCACCACCACCGTTGATGGTGGAGGTACCAGACTTCTGTTTGAAGGTGGCGGCGTCCTCGCAGACATCGGCCCACCAGACGTTGTTCAGGGTGCTGATGGATGTGTTAGTTGTGGTGTAGAGGCTAGTGAGATAGTGACTTACCAAGTGCCCTTGCAGTGAACACCCTCACCGGAAGAGCGGTCGATGATGACGTTGGAGAGAGTGGCACCGTCCTCGAGAATGAAGGAGGCGTCCTTCTCACCAGTCTCATACTGGTCCTTGCAAGTGGTGGCTAAAGGCGGAAATGGATGTTAGCAGCCGAGGTTGTTATGACAGTCAGACTGTTGTTTCCGGGTTGACTTACGGTTGCGCACGAATCGCTTCATGCCACCATTGTACTTGTCTCCCTTGCGAACGGGGATGGCAGTGGGTTCGCTCTGGACACCGGCGGAAGCGGGAAGAACGGTAGTGACGGCAGCAGAGGCGCCAGTGACGGCGGCGATGATGAGAGCGGAGGCCTTCATGGTGATTGAGTTGAGCTTGAGAGTTGAGCTGAGTGGTGTTTGATTGAGTGCGTGATGGTGATGGAATGAAGGAGTTGTTTAGGGGAGGACTTGGCTACCCTTTTATACCTGGTGTTCCTCGAGGTTGGGATGATAGATTGGACCGCTTCTCGGTGTTTCACTACTCGACAAACGCCGAGGAGCCGGATGCTTCCAGGCCCTTGGCGGTGTAGTGCCGGAGTGACATGCAATCCCCGGAGAATCACTACGTCGCCGAACTGTCAAGGTGTGTGTACCTATTCGGGGCGATTCTGACACCTTGCCACCCAAAATACTGTTACATGGTCCTATTCCAGAAGGCCACCTCCCCAATGGAGGAATTATTCCGCCGTTGCAAGGATGAGCTGGAGCGAAACAGAGTCGGTCAAGCCGTGAGGCATGTAGAACAACTGTCACTGCTGCAGCAGGGCTATTCATGTCCACAGAGCTCCATTGGCCGGCACTGCCTGGCAAGGACAGGCGAGATGGAGCCGGGCGATGGGTTCAGCCTTATGAATGTTTGCCGAGTTTTTAGAACCAACAGCAGTATAGATCACGGAGACGGGGAGTAAAATCCGTCTGGTACCTTGATCGACGTATTACTCGATCTACCGGATTTGCTTGGCATACTCCCGTTCAACAAGCGCAGCCTTCAACATCTACTACTGACTGCCTGCCCCTTTTCATTCTTACATCTTATTCTAGGATAGTCCTAGAAACATACTGGGGCTTTACAACCTCGTATTAACCTTAAGTCAGATGCTTCAAAATACGGTTAACAAGCAGACACGCCCCATGGGAATGGCTCGGGACCCTTACTTTCGGTAGTTCGCCCAGTCCAGCGTAGCAACATCACGGAACCGACCCCTGGATTTCTTCCGAGTGCTGCACCTTGCCGTTCATGGATCATGTCCCGAGATCCACGCCTTACAGTCCCTTTGTTATGGGGTCGGCCCGTCCGAGATGGTCCCATGTCCGGTGGCGACAACCCACCCCGGGTCGCCGGATCATGGTTACCGTTATGGTTATTCCTAGACGAGGTGCTAGAGAGTAAGCTAAAAATCACGGTTGTTTGAGGTAGCTGATCATATAATAACATGGCCGTCTCAAGTGATAAAGGAGAGAGGCTAGTGTTACAGGTAGAGTCCATGCAAATGATGAGTACGGCAGGATCTCGTAAGGGAGAATACGTGAGCAAGCTGTTATCTAATGTCTTTACGGATAATGAGTCTAGACGGGGTTCAAAGTCTTCAGGGATCGAACCACGTGCCGGGGGATGTGCGAGCACGGATACGGTTGAGCGTGGGCGATTGGAGGAAAAATGATCAACGTGTTTGAGATATTTTGGAGACAGAAAGCTTATTTATCCACGTCTACCGATGACAGTCTGTGGATTGGTATGATAGGTTACCCAGGCTTCCTGTCTGTTCTGATTTGCGGACCCCGTAGCCTCCGACTTTTGTTGAGATGTTAGTAGAGAAGCACGAAATGCCAAGGCACCATAGGAAATTATAGAAATGAAACTAGGCAGCTAAACCATTCTCCTAGGTATACGCAATCACTCAATGCTCCCGCCCTGAGTCTTTTCTCTTCTACTGCAAAGGTAGTGTCTCTAATCTCAGTTATCCGTCAGTTCTGTAAACTCCGGTATGCATACACACACGTAATCGTCAACTGAAAACCCACTCTTACCCTGTAACCTCACCCACCGTATACGCCCACCGTTTACGTTTGGCGAGTCTGCAAGACAACGTTACGAGGATCTGCCGCTAACACGGGAGGATCGCGTTCCCGAGCTCGGCTGCAAGTGGGTTCCTCGAACCGCCGTGCTCACCGCTATCACGAGCTATTTCCGTGTTAGCCCAAAGTCAAAAACCGCCATTTGTCAACTACCCGGGTTACCCTGGGTTTATGAAAGTTTGAACTGTGCCTCTTTTTTCAAGAGAGGACTTTTGCTCGGTGAGGCCGAGACAAACCGAGACAAAGAAGGGAAGGAGGATAAATGAAATCGTATCATGCAAAAGGTCAACCCGACGTTCCGAAATATTGTTGCTGACGACTACCGCTTTGTAATAGAGGGCGTGGTCTTAACATGGCTTGAGTCTAGAAGTAGCTGAGTATATTCCTAGAACTCTCTGTAGAACAAGTAGCAAGTTTCTGGCGTCATGTTTCTCGCCACCGTCAACAAAGTTCAGGTGGAATCAGTTGACACTCGGATACGACCGACGTACATTTTGCTCATGAATTTTGAAAACCACTTTCCGAGACATCATTATTGACAGAGTTCTGAAAAGGCGGACCGCCGTCCCAAGACAACTAGAAAGAGGCCTCATGTCGGTGTAAAGGCTCCGCTTCATGTTGTGATTGTGCTGGAGGAGGTGTTATTGGCTTGCTAGTGGGACTCGGCGCTTAGAAACAACCCGTCAAGGTTACTTGTCAAGTAATGAAATCCTGCAGGTTGCCAAAATAGGCCGCTTTGACGAAAGGGCCTAGGTATAAAACTGAATCTTTCTCTCGGGCCTGATGCTTCGATGTGCCCACCCAAGGTCATGCTTTCTTGTCTTTGTCTTGCTACCTACTCGATGCAAAATTCAACTCAACTTCCCAAAAAGATCATCCGCAGAAAACACTCGGGAGACGACTCTCCGTGATTCATCCTCACTCAAACAACGCTTGCGTACAATCAAGTTGAGAAGCTCTCCTTCTGTGTCACGGTCTAGAAGCATTGTGCTCTTGCGGTCTGTGTGCTCAGAAAACAACTTAATAAGACGCAGGATATTTCGTGAGAACCTCGTTGAATTTTCCGCAGGATCCGAGACTCCCACCACACACCCTCGAGTTTGGCGGATCGATTCCGTCCTTTTCTCGGCATTAGGTATCTTCGTCCCCGTTACCCTGTTGGTCTAGGTGAAAACCTGTGCGAAATTTCCTTTGGCACTCTCCCCATCCAGGTCGTGGCGTCTTGAAAACCCCATGCTGTGCTCCAGGCCCTCCATCACCTCGGAAAATTCACCCAGGTCTGCTTCAGATGGCTAAGTCTATGGTATGACCTTAGTCGCAACCTAGTCTTCAGCCGGCTCATCGGATTCTTAACCTCTGGCTAATCCACACTCCATCTTAAGACTCTATCGTAGCAGAACCTTTCTGGCAGTGACTTGATAGCCAGCCGCGAGCGGCCTCACAGACTGTTTAAACACCCTGCTCGAGGCCACAGTGGACGCTCGACGGCCGACAGAGCCACGAAGGTGTACTGCCCGTGATCAGCCAACAGCGGCAAGAACGAGAACAGGGGTACCTCTTGGGACCTATCGACTCCAGTTGAAATAACTGAAGCCGTCAAGGCTGAAACCCTGACTTGTAATCTCCATTGTCGTAGCATTGGAAGGCAACTTGTCCAGCCACCGGATGAAATCGTCTCCTTTGAGCTTAGTGTTTCAGGGCCCAACTCTTCGCAGCATATTCAAGGAAAGGATACTGCTCGAGCCGCTAGCTTATGTCCTTTTCTGCTCAGCAGATACCACCAGAAAGGTTTAGAAAAGTCGGATACTTCAACACAATCCTCACAATGCCCATCCTGCTTTGCATGTGCTTTTGGCCATGAGACCCCCGGCGCCGTCTAGGCGCACAGGTCCTGTGTGCTCGGGGCACAGCCCCCCCTGTCGGCAGGCTAGGGGCACAGTCCCTTGACTAAGCATCCGTCTTGACGCAATTCCAAGGGAGCAATTTTCAGGGGTTAAGCATCTTTATCCTGACCTCTGCATCATGTCATCAATCAACCTCAATGGATCAATTTCCGGAAGACTGCTTACCTCCTGAGCATACATATGCATCCAGAGATGATCTATTCCAAGCGATCAATGACTGGGCATCGCCACGAGGCTATGCCTTTGTTACTGGAAGGTCCAACAAAAGCAAGTCTGGGAGGCTTACAGTATACTTCACTTGCGATCGTGCCCGTCGGCCTCCAAGCGCCTCAAGAAGCCGTGTTCGGGCAACCTGCACTCGAAGTACTCTCTGCCCATTCTCTGTCATCGCAAAGGAACTACCGGACGCATCTGGCTGGGTTGTACGACATCGATCGGATAGTCAATATGCTGTACATAACCATACGCCAAGCACCCACCCGACTGCCCATCCTGTTCTACGAAGGCTCTCAAAAGACGACAAATCAACAATTAGCAATCTTACAAAGGCTGGAATCAGCTCAAAGGAGATCAGGACCTATATGCGGCAACATTCAAATTCCATTGCAACCCAGAAGGATATCTCGAACAGTATCGCAGAAGCTCGACGATCATCTCGCTTTGGCGAAAATACAATGCATGCTCTCATTAACCAACTAGACCAAGAGGGTTTTTGGAATCGTATGCAGGTGGATAGTGAAGGCAGGGTTACGGCGGTTTTATTTGCTCATCCTGACTCACTTGCGTATCTGCAAGCGTACTCCGACCTTCTTCTTTTAGACTGCACATATAAGACGAACCGATATGGCATGCCGCTTCTGGACATCATCGGCGTTGATGCCTGTCAACGATCATTCTGCGTTGCCTTTGCATTCCTCAGCGGCGAAGAGGAACAAGACTACCTATGGGCTCTCGAACGACTGAAGTCGTTATATGAGATCTGCAATACAAGCTTTCCATCTGTCATTATTACAGACTGCGCTTTAGCTTGTATAAATGCAGTTGCTATCTGCTTTCCTTCTGCAGTCCTTCTGCTGTGCCTTTGGCATGCCAATAAGGCAGTCCTTGCTTATTGTCGACCAGCCTTTATTCAATACCGGACGGACCCAAAGATAATGGAGGCAGGGCTTCTTAGGTGGCAGGAGTTCTATAACCAGTGGCATTCGATCATTCAATCAGCTGATCAGATAACCTTCGATCAGCGGGTTCAGCAGCTTGAGCAGCGGTATCTACCCGCCTACGCCAATGAGATTGCATATTTGCATGCAACGTGGCTAAACCCCCACAAGGAGAAGCTTGTAAAAGCTTGGGTTGATCAACATCTCCACTTTGGTACTGTTGTTACCTCCCGTGTGGAAGGTATTCATAGCCTGCTTAAAAGCTATTTGAATACGTCTACACTAGATTTATTTGAGGCTTGGGGTGCCATTACACGAGCTGTTACCAACCAAGTCCATCAGCTACAGTCAAACCAAGCCCAGCAGCAACTTCGACAACCAATTGAGCTTCGTATAGCTCTATATAGCGCTGTTCAAGGCTGGGTATCTTTTGAGGCGTTGAGGAAGGTTGAAGAGCAACGAAAGCGGCTTTTGGATAAAAACTTCCCCCTGCCCCGCTGCACTGGCGTTTTTATGCGAACACTGGGATTGCCTTGCGCTCACTTACTTCAGACCCTGCAAGAACAAGGCAAAGTTCTTCTTCTTGAGCACTTCCACAAGCATTGGCACCTCAAGCGCTCAGGGCAGCAACAATTGCTTCTTGAGCCTCGCGCTCGAATAGATGCAAGGCCCGCCGTATCGAACTTGCCAAAATCAAGCACAAGAAGACTACCGAGCTCCTTTGAGGCCGCTGAGGCTATAGGAAAGGCAAGAGCGAAGGCCCCGTCAAAATGTAGTAGATGCCATGAAGTTGGTCACCAAATGAATTCGAAGGCATGTCCCTTGCGGCATCAAGAGCTTTTGGAAAGGGTAGCAGCAGAGGCAAAGGCACTGGCAGTAACAGAAGCATCGGCAATGACAACGGCACCGACAGCCCTCGCTGATCAGCCAGGGACTATGACCGGGATCCTGCAAGACTCGACCGGCGGCGCCTCTCGGCGGCCAGGATCCCCTGTTCATGAACCATCTCCTTTGCCTGGCCCGCCATCGCCATCGCCACCGAGGTACGATTCGCCACAGGCCATATATGGACGATATGTCGCCGCAAGGAGCGCGTGGTACGCAGCGCAGCCGGCTGGCAGCATCAAGACGAACCAACAATATCGCAGGGCAATGGGACTCCCACTAAGGTATGACAAGCCGAGCTACGAGTGGTGCTTGGACTACAAGCAGATGTCCAAGCGCTGTGTCACGTCAACAGGATCAAGAGATTGGACGAAAGAAGAGATGATGGCGTATTTGGACTGGAGTAAAGCGGAGGATGAGCGAGTTGAAGCACAGGTTGCCGAGGAGATGGGAGACGATCCTTTAGCGAATAGAAGAAGGGGAGTCAAAGATATTTGGGGGAGAATCGAAGCGGACAGTAGGGAACAAGATGCTTTGCACTTAGCTCGTGGGCGCACAGAAGACTGTATCATTGTTGGAAGTAATGGGTATTAGACGATCACTTGGTACAAAAGCTGTCGAGTATCCTCTAGTTGCCGTAGCTGTGTAAATTTGGATTGGATAACTCTCCCCACCCCCATTTCAGCAATCATATTTGAAAGGTAGTAATCGACTCTGTTAAATGCGTTGGTGTATTCAGTCAGTTCCTGATTCAACGGAAGGAAATGCTTAGTCAGGGGACTGTGCCCCTAGCCTGCCGACAGGGGGGGCTGTGCCCCGAGCACACAGGACCTGTGCGCCTAGACGGCGCCTGAGACCCCCCAACGTATTACTAAGCCTTATAATAAACCATTCAAACAGTCTAAAAACTCCATTGATGATGTTTAAATTCTCAAAAGACAACAGTTGGGATGCCGCCGCTCGGAAGATCGTCATCTTCAAGGACCACACCCTGAGTGGTGTGCATTTGCTGCAACTCCAAAGCCGTAGGGGGCGCTTCGCACACATCACTCAGAATAGCACAGCCTCAGCTAAATCTACAGTGTCAAGAGTTTTTTTAGGCTGTATATTAGTTCGGGCGCATTCGAATAGGTGGCATCCAAGGTACTGGGGATAATCAAGCAGATTAACCAAGTTGGGTAACAGACGATGAAATCCACCAAGATCAAGGGCCCATTGACGCAAGATTTGTTTTGACAGCCCTGGCTAAACCATCATGGTTAAAACAACTCCAGACACAGATACCTGTACAATACAGGGTGTCGATGTCCCCTTTAACCCATCTTCAGAACGTCTTGTGCTGCAAGTAGCTGAGTGCCAGCCCCGGACTGGACACTCTCCAGGACGTCGGCATGCTTAGCACGAAAAGATATCGGGCTTATCAAGGGAATGGTCTTTCGCGCTTCCCAGTCTCAATCTTTGGGCTCGAATCTACCAGAGTTGTCAAACAGATCGTCAACGTTAGCTTAGCCAGCTCGCTACGGAGCGTTTCGTAAGCCAACAAGACTCATTTTGATCCTGAACCCTCGATGACCCATACAAGAGATCATTTTGCATGATCAATTTAAACTATGCCTTGTGTCGTTCCAAGGAAGCAAAGATTTCAGAAACGTTCTTCTCACCAAATAGCCAGGCGAAAGGTTTGACCAGCTGACGCAAGCTGTATGGAAGCGCAAGCTTGGCAACGATATCCTGGAGGATCTTATTTAGAGGCTGATAGTGCTGCCGGGACTGGCTAGCACTCTTATAGACGCTGGCTTCAGAGTCTCGGAAGCCTCAATCGCGTCTTCTGAGTCCTCGATACGGCCCTTGAGCATCTCGAGTAGACAGGCCTTGCTCCTCAGTTCTTCGCGCAATTATAGCCGGTCGATAGAGCCTTGCTTGGTGTCTTTGAGACACTGGATGGCCGTGGCAGCAGGTTAAAGTACTGCCACTATGCTTGCAGTAATACTTAATGAGCTGCTCATAGCAGTTATCTCAAGAACCTCACCCGAAAGCGTATAGTCAAGTTGAATGTTTGTGTTTTCCCGGCGCCTAAATAAAGGCGGGGTTGAGAAACAGCCATGTGAGTTCCTTGGTCAAAGACGGCTGTTTGTGATGCCTTGCCCCAAAATACTATGCCGCTATTACCTAGCTTTCCCTTATGAGAAGCTTAGAGTTTAACTCTATAGACAAATAGAACGTAGATCTACTTTCTCCTACCAAAACAAAGTTCAGCACATTCCTCTGCATGCAGATTGCAATGAACCATGGCGTAACTTTTTGTCCACGGCTGACCCTAGAGCCTATCTCGGAATGACGCAGGGGGGATGCAAGCCACTGCGGCACGTGGACCCACCCCCATGACCACCCGCCGAAGCTCATGGGAGCTGCTGAACGAACCTCCAACCCTCAACACCACACCGCGATAGCTACTCTATAGCTTCCTTAGCAATTCACGGCAATCGACGGCAAAATGGCAGGCGGCCCCATCAGGCTCCGCGATATCAGCGGCTATCTGATCCTGCTCATCGTAATCACGACGCTGGGATCATTACAGTTCGGCTTCCATCTGGTACCTCCCCCTCATGCACAGCATGACCTCTGACAATGACCTCTTGCTGACAATCACCCACAGGCCGAGCTCAACGCGCCCCAAGATGTCATCACCTGCCGTAAAAAATCCATCTCGACATTCGAACGTATTAAGGGATTCGTCACCTCTGCGAAACCGAACGAGCCATCGGGCGGCCTCTTCTCCAACTGTATCCCCATGAACGAAGCCGCTTTCGCAACCATATCGTCGATATTCACGCTGGGAGGCCTGCTGGGAGCTCTAGTGTCTGGTCCCTTCTCGTCTCGACGCGGTCGTCTTCCTGCGATGCGCTTCACCGCCCTGCTCTACCTGTTGGGGGCCGCCATTGAGACAATCGCCGGAAGTGTCTTTGTTATGGCGCTCGGCCGCCTCATTTCCGGAATTGGCGCTGGTGCCTCTACTGTTGTGGTACCTCTGTACATCAGTGAGATTGCGCCACCCAAGGAGCGCGGTCTCTTTGGTTTCATGACCCAGATCTCCATCAACGTGGGCATTCTAGGCGTTCAAACCCTCGGATACTTCCTGAGCTATGGGAACGCTTGGAGGTGGGTCCTTGGCTCCGGGTTCTTTATTGCTGCAGCACAGACTCTAGGTCTGGTGGTTGTGCCAGAGAGCCCATCATGGCTGGCTGCACAGGGTGACTCGACAGACGCCAAGAGGACGTTGCAGAGGATCCGTGGCATGGGCTACGACATCCATGAGGAAACCGAGACATGGAGCTCCGATGAACGGGAAGCGACTGAAGAGGAGGGGCTTCTTCAGGCTGATGGAGCAGCTGAAACAGCCCCTGCTGTCAAGGGCCCTGTTGAGCACCTCGGCTTCCTTCAGGTGCTCAAGGACCCCCTCTACAGGCCCGCCATTGTTGCCGTTGTTGGCATCATGTTTGTGCAACAATTATGCGGCATCAACTCGATCATCATGTACTCTGTCTCGCTCCTCGCGGATCTCCTCCCCATTTCCTCGGCCCTGCTTACCATCCTCATCTCTGTGGTCAACCTGATCACGACGGTTGCCTGCGCTCCTCTACCTGACCGACTCGGCCGCAAGACCTGTTTGCTTGCGTCGATCATCGGACAAGGATCAAGTGCCTTTGTTCTTGCTCTTTCGATTGTCTTTGGCGTCAAGATTCTGTCGGCCTTTGCTGTCGTCATCTTCGTGGGTTTCTACGCTGTTGGACTCGGTCCCGTGCCTTTTATCCTGGCCTCTGAGCTGGTCGGACAGGAAGCTGTCGGAGCTACACAGAGCTGGTGCCTTGCGGCCAACTATGTGGCTACATTCATCGTGGCCCAATTCTTCCCCATCGTCAACACAGCCCTGAACAACCTTCTTGGCGGCCATGGATGGGTCTACTTCATCTTCGCTGCCCTGGCCAGTGGATCAGCCATCTTTGTCGCCTGGAACGTGCCAGAGACAAAGGGTAAGAAGGATGCCGACGAGGTCTGGGGCAGAACGCGACGGGTTGATTAGGGGCAACACGGCGTAAAGGCCAACGCACCACGCATACTTGGTTCAGCTCTGGATCAGTGACAATTGCACATTCACAAAGCGAGTTGCAACTGTAGTCATTTTATGAGTGCTTCATGATTTTGACAGATCCTCAAGGGTCTGAGCGAGTGTTACTAGCCAGTTCCTCTTCACAATGCTTGATGGATATGAGCGGTTTAGGCGTTTGCAGGTATGACTTGACAGAAATAATGAGATATCACTGACATGACTTTTCACCGAAAGGCCCTTTTGCTGCGAACCATCTGCTCCAACTGCATGACACCAGCCTTGACACCGTCGATGATGTAGACAAGATTGCCGTCAGCCTTGCCGTACATCTCAATGGCTGTTGAGCGAATTATTTCTTCCAGACCCGCCATTCCTGCACAGCCCATCAAGACGCATGACACCTGCCCCGAAGAGAGAAGCTCTCGAGTTGCTCCCTTGAGCTTCTCCTTGACCTGCTCTGGTGATACCGTGTGAAAGTCCCCTGCAGTGAGGCCAGACGAGAAAACACCGGCGAACTTGTTGTTGACGCCATCCCTTTCCTGGCCAAGGAATTTCTTGACGCCGTTCGACAGGTGGTCTTCCCACCATTTCCCAGTCGTTACAATTCCCCATTTGCTGGCATCGTCTGGCGCAGGAATGAGAGAAAGAGCCGTGAGGATGCTGGCTTCAAAGATGCCCGTGACAGCGAGGTGACGGTATCTCGTCAACTTGGAGACGAGACAGTGCACACTGAAGCAAGCCACAAGAACGGCGTCGTACTTGTCGGAGTCAAGCTCCTCCTGAATGTTGGGGTCATCAAGGACAGCCTTTGCACTGGCGTCAATGCCCTCCTGGTTGTCGATGCTACCAGGAGAAGTGCCCGGAGGGGCCGTGTAGGTGTAAATCTCCACCGACTTTGACAAGATCAGCGTGTGTAGAAATTCAATCTCTGTTCGTCTTGAGATATCATACTTCTGGAAGAGACATTTGCCGAATGGCATTGGCCACCCCTGCCGTCATGGTGGTGGATGAGTTGGGATTGAGGACGAGTATGCGGAGACTCCGCCGAAGGAAGCGAATTTCAGACATGACGTAAAGAAATCTATGAAGAATTGATCCTGGAATATGTGATTGAAACGCGGCGTGAGCCAGAGCTATGTTGTTGTGAACCAGAAATCATCTATGAGTCTTCTCTGAGCGGGGCCCCAGAATTATATGACGGCACCGACATTGTTGAAGCCATCAAGTTTATCGCGGGGCGCCACGTGATCCGCCTCAGCCACCTCTGACGACAACCCCACCACTGACGAACACCTCAACCTCCCCCAAGCTCCTGGCGACAGCAACACCGCACCTTCAACCTCAGCCTCACCACGTTCAAATAATTATATCCCGACCCGGGCTGTCGCAAAGATGGCCAACCCCCCACCCATTGGTAAGCTTGAATCACATTTCCAGAGCTCCCGAGCTCCACCTATATACCCCCTGAGCTGGGGAAAGCTGACCTCACTCCTACCGCCTAGTCCTCGACGGCGGTACCGGTTTCCTCAAGGTCGGATATGCCGCGCAGAACTTCCCCGAGCACCAGTACCCGTCCATCGTCGGCCGGCCGATCCTCCGGTCCGAGGAGCAGACGGACAGCGACCTGGTGATCAAGGACATCATGTGCGGTGACGAGGCCGCCGCGGCCCGAACGATGCTTCAGATCAGCTATCCCATGGAGAACGGTATCGTCAAGAAGTGGGATGACATGGAGCATCTCTGGGATTATACCTTTTTTGAGAAGCTCAAGGTGGATCCTCAGGGCCAGAAGATCCTCTTGACAGAGCCGCCGATGAACCCGCTCAAGAATCGGGAGAAGATGTGCGAGGTCATGTTTGATCGATATGGATTCGGAGGTGTTTATGTTGCCATCCAGGCTGTCCTAGCCCTGTACGCGCAAGGTGAGTTGCGCCCGAAGCTTGATGGAAGCTGTGGACGCGACTGAAGCTAATGGCTTGATGCGGTGTAGGTCTGAGCTCTGGTGTTGTCGTCGACTCGGGTGATGGTGTCACACACATTGTCCCCGTTTACGAATCCGTGGTCCTCAACCACCTCACAAAGCGATTAGATGTTGCCGGCCGAGACGTGACGCGCAACCTGATCAAGCTGCTCCTGCGCCGCGGCTACGCCCTCAACCGAACCGCCGATTTCGAGACTGTCCGCCAGATCAAGGAGAAGCTATGCTACGTGTCATACGACCTGGAGCTGGACAAGCGCCTGAGCGAGGACACCACGGTGCTTGTGGAGGATTACACCCTGCCGGACGGACGTGTGATCCGCGTGGGTAGCGAGCGATTCGAGGCGCCCGAATGTCTGTTCCAGCCTCACCTTGTTGATAGCGAGTCGCCCGGCCTGGGAGAGTTCCTGTTCAACACGATCCAGTCTGCCGACGTGGATATCCGCTCGTCCCTGTTCAAGGCCATTGTCTTGTCTGGCGGTAGCAGCATGTACCCTGGACTCCCGTCGCGACTGGAGAAGGAGCTGAAGCAGCTGTGGCTCACGCGGGCACTTCAGGGCAACCCGGAGCGGCTGAGCAAGTTCAAGGTGCGGATAGAGGATCCCCCGCGACGGCGACACATGGTGTTCCTGGGTGGTGCGGTGCTGGCCAACATCATGGCGGACAAGGAGAGCATGTGGGTTACCAAGGCGGAGTGGGAGGAGCAGGGACCGCGGGTGCTGGAGAAGCTAGGACCGCGATAGATGTGCTGGCGAGCGTATGTTGATTAGAGGAGAGAATGGATTGGTATTTGAAGTGAAGTTAGCTAGACAGCAAGAAAATATGTTATAAGGATGATGTCAGGGGTGACTGGTGAATTGAAGCTGATCGAATGTCGTTTGGGTGTGAATAAACTGTAACGCGTTCTCTTGTCCCAGACAGGAGCGAGGACATGCTCTTAGTTAACAGTGAAGCTCTGAACCTTGAAGGCATCACCAACTGGAATTCTAAGCAACGAATGCTGGCTTAGTCATCACCCGTCCTTCACGAGTCGTCGCAGACTTGACACAACCTCGATGGCCATGTCAACCGACCGGGTCAGGAATGATTCTACATCACGCATTCTTTGACCATTTTCATCGTTTTCTCACTCCCATCGATCCCAGCAGACTAGCATCATCTCACTACAAGCTCGGATAGGATTTATCCCCCAGCAAGTAAAAAACTCCACATCGCCCCCTTGGACTCCGCACGCCCCATATCGCTCATTGCACCTCACCTTGTCTTGTCTCGTCTCGGCAGAGGAGTAGAGAGATCCGCGCCGCGCTGGTAGCTGATTACAGCTTCTGCTCGCCAGCTACAGAAGGGGTTACTGCTTCAAAAGGCCAAGCAAAGAATTTACGGCGTTTACTGCGGACTTCCTATTTCCTGTTACGGTACAGTACGCGGCGCGTGAGGGACAAACCACGTTTCGGTTCGCCGGGCCCGTTGATCCTGAAGCTGTCTATGGTTCGCTATCCCGTCCTGCATTAGATCGTTCGGTTTTTTTACACTCTTTCCGTGCGGGGAAAAAGAAGAACAGGAGAGTGTGAGCAAGAGAAACCCAAAGGAGAAGAGACGCACGCGCCGCACACCACATCATCACGATCCGCATCCCACACCGCGTTTCGCCGTCGCCGGTCACCGGGAGGGGGCGGGAAAGAGAAACGACTGTGGAGAGAGAGAGCCACACACAGAGACAAACTCCCTGCCACGTACAAGTTCACGAACTACTGTACGGGCTGCTGACAAGACAGAGACACGGAGGGGCCGGGTTTTTCGCTAAATGAGCAGAACGAATCCGCCCTCGGGGGCGTCGGGCCCGGGATCCGTGGGCTTGGGCGGCGCCAGGGGGACGTTGAAGCGGAGTGTCCAGGCGACATTTGAAGGTGCGTGTTGACGGCGAATTGTTTCTTTTCTCTTCGTCATTCTACTCCTTGCTCCATTACACACTTGAAATACCCTGCAACCTATCAAGTGGCTGGCTGTGTTTCTTATCCTGCATTCGCATCTGCGTCTGTTTGTCTCGCGTATCTTGCTTTCTCCTCCCCTATTCCGGTCAAGGATCAGGCTATATCTGCTTCCCCAGACCGCGTTTTTTTTTTCTCACTCTACCTTTTGATCCTTTTCCCATTCGGCCTGCTCTCCGTGTATTTACTCTTTCATTTATCCGCTGAGGGGTTCTTGGCCGTGCTGCTTATTCGCCTCCTCACTCTCGGGGTCGCCTCGCGTACTTGCCCTTCTCGGAAAAAGAGCAACCTGAGGTGTCAAGATTGTCGGCTAGTGTGGCGTGGCATTGGCCTCTGGCGTGGTCTCTAACGACTTGCCTGACTCGGCCTTCATCGACAACCTTTGAGATTCAAACATTCATCCTCTTTTTTTTTTTTTGTTGGGCATCTTGTCATCATCATTTGCTCATCGTTTTTGCTACTTCTTTTTCTTCTTGTCCTTTTCCCATGAACCTTGGCATTGCATAACTCTTGTGTTTTCTCTCGCCCTTTTGCCTCGCATCTGTCCTCTACTGTCCATACGCTCTTACCTCTTGAACCCCTCAGCTGTGCCAATGCCAAGTGGTTAAAAGCACCTCATCCATCTCAAGCAAGATACCGAGGCAAAGAGAGGGCACTTGACACCTCGGCCATGCCTCTCCGCCCTCATCACCTTGGCGTCGGTTTCCCAGCACACGCTTACCAAAAACGCCGTGTAGAACCTCACGACCGCTCCACTGGATATCAGCCCAAGGTCCGCATCACAGATCGCTACCGTATCGTCGGCTTCATCAGCTCTGGTACCTATGGACGCGTCTACAAGGCTGTCGGCCGCAACGGCAAGCCCGTCGGCGAGTTTGCCATCAAAAAGTTCAAGCCCGATAAAGAGGGGGAGCAGATCAGCTACACGGGCATCTCGCAGAGTGCTATTCGTGAGATGAGTCTTTGCAGTGAGCTCAACCATGGAAATGTTATCCGCCTGTGTGAGATTATGCTTGAAGACAAGTGCATTTTTATGGTCTTTGAGTATGCCGAACATGATCTGCTACAGATTATCCATCACCACACTCAGCAGCCTCGACACCCGATACCTCCGGCTACAGTCAAGAGCATCATGTTCCAGCTCCTCAACGGCTGTCAGTACCTCCACACCAACTGGGTACTCCACCGTGATCTCAAGCCCGCCAACATCATGGTGACCTCGTCCGGCGAGGTAAAGATTGGCGATCTTGGACTCGCCCGTCGCTTCGACAAGCCTCTGCACTCCCTCTTCAGCGGTGATAAGGTGGTCGTGACAATATGGTATCGCGCCCCCGAGCTCATCCTCGGCTCCTATCATTACACACCGGCCATCGACATGTGGGCTGTTGGCTGCATCTTTGCCGAGCTGCTATCTCTACGGCCTATCTTCAAGGGTGAGGAAGCCAAGATGGATAGCAAGAAGACGGTTCCCTTCCAGCGGAACCAGATGCAGAAGATTATCGAGATCATGGGCGTGCCGACAAAGGATAAATGGCCACTTCTCCCGACTATGCCTGAGTATAATCAACTCAACACGCTCGCCAACTCGATGACGTCTCACCATGGCCATCACGGTCATCATCATCACCCTCATCACCATGGTCACTACGGCTCTCGTAATCCACCTCCACCTCCCCCTGGCGGTTCAAACCTCGAGAAGTGGTACTACAGCACCATCTCCCATGCAGGCCCTCCCGGGTCCAACGCCAACCCCCCGCTCGCCTCTCTGGGTGCGGAGGGCTACAAGTTGCTCGCCGGTCTTCTCGAGTACGATCCAGCCAAGCGTCTCACAGCCGCGCAGGCCTTGCAGTCGCCATTCTTTAGCACAGGCGATCGCGTTAGTGCAAACTGCTTCGAGGGGTTAAAGAACGAATATCCGCATCGACGTGTCAGCCAGGACGACAACGACATCCGAACTAGTAGTCTACCGGGAACGAAGCGAAGCGGACTGCCAGATGACTCGCTCGTCCGGCCAGCCAAGCGATTAAAGGAGTGATGGCATTAATCGGGTAGATGGGTATTGGTATAGGGGTGAGCACGGCGTTTGGGAATTGCTTTGAGGATATATATTACGAGGATTGTTAAACACCGCGGTTCAATGCTTTTTAGGTGGATTGATGGATTAGATGTGAGTTCAAGGATCAGATACCCGACATCTAGGCAGAAGCACAGATGTCAAAAAAACAAGGTTTCATCCCATCACCTGCCCGCCAGTGCCATTCCCCTTGGACCCTTATATACCAGTAAATCCCTCCCCTCATCGTCGAAAGACATACGGAACACACGGTCAAACGGTCAAGATGAATCAATTTAAGAAACGTCAACAACCGCATGCGAAAGCTCAAGGCCGGCAACCGATGACGACCGGTTCGATTTCCGCCACGGCGAGGCCCGACCGGCTTAAGTATCTAAATCCTCTAACAGGGGGGTTCTCGTAAAGAGTTCCTAATATTATACGTGCTTGTAGAAATGCTTGCGCGTTATAGATACAATTGTATCACCCCAGACATTTAATGTCAAACCACTTTTTTGTGCACCTCTTTTTTTTTTTGTAATTATCGCGAGCTACACTTCCCACCTGTGCACCCCGCATCATGGTTGTTTATCACCAAACTCCACCAGGACCCCCCTTTCGCCGTCGCATTGCAACACCAGTTCCACAAGGATGCAAGTCTAAGAAAATGAGAGAGAGATTCATCAAGAGAAATAAAAAAGAGCGCATCATTAATTAAGACAAGTAATACATAGAAAAAGGGGAGAGAGGACATCATAAAATGACAAAAATTATCTTTACCAATAACAACAACAGCGATTGCATGCAAATACGCAAAAACAGACTGACAACAAAGATTGACAACAAAAAATAAATAAGAAAAGAGGACGCCGTGCCTCTCATTAGCTGCCTGCTTTCTGTCTTGTTCCCTTTGTCCAGTCCTTTCGATTCATCTAACCCCCTTTCATCCTGCCATCATCCTTCCTCTCATCCTCAATTCCAACCTCCACGGATCTCTAGCGGGTAAAAAACAGGCAGTTAGAAAAAGAAAAAAGACAAAAAAAGCAAGATAAAAACGTCGGGTATTTCGGCAAATTTCGGCGGCGGCGGGCGGCGAGTTTGAGTTGTTGAGAAAAGGTTTGGGTTGAGGCGCGTTGGGGAAGGATTTGTATTTCTCTCTCGAGGCGGGAGGTGCGGGTGTCCACCGAGCGTATGGGATGAAGACCAACATCTTCCTTTCCAAAACGCGCATAGATCTATTACAGCTCGTGTCGGAATGAACGAATCGGTCCCCCATACGCTCGAAGGGAAGAAGGTAGAGAGAGAATCGCATGTCGGAGATATAGAAGCCTCGGAGGTATCGCGCCGGAAAAGGGGGGAAAAGTCGTCGAGATATAGAGTTACCGCCAAAGGAAAATAAAAGAGAGATCGAGTATCAATCGTCCTCTACTTCTTGGCAGGGGCAGGAGGAGCCTTGACATTGTTGGAAAGCCAAGCAAGACCCTCGAGGAGACCCTCTCCCGTGGTGGCGCAACTGGGCACCACGTACCAGACCTTGTCCTTGAGCTTGGTGAGCTGGAGAGCGTCGGTGACTTCTTGAGGTTTCATGGCTGAAGTAGTTAGCATGATGCTCCAGACGGGGGGGGGGGGGCTGGGGGACCTACCTTCTGCCAGATCTTGCTTGTTGGCAAAGACGAGTAGTAGACTGTCCTTCATCTCGCGATCATTGATGATGCGATGCAGTTCTTGTCTCGCCTCGTCCATACGGTTCCGATCAGAAGAGTCGATAACAAAGATCAAACCCTGAGTGCCTATCACGTCCATCAGCATCCCATACACCTCCATATGTATGTCCCAACTCACCGCTAAAGTAGTGCCTCCACAGAGGTCGAATCTTGTCCTGACCACCGACATCCCAGACGTTAAACTTGACATTCTTGTACGTAACCGTCTCGACGTTGAAGCCAACAGTAGGAATGGTAGTGACATCCTGTCCGAGCTTGAGCTTGTACAGGATGGTAGTCTTTCCTGCGGCGTCGAGACCCAGCATCAGGAGTCGCATCTCCTTGGATCCAAAGATCTTGCCCATCATCTTGGAGAGTTGGCCGCCCATGGTTGCGGCTGTAGAATCGCGTTCGAAGTATGTATTCGGTCGGGTAGGTGTCAAAGGGAGGAACAATGTCGGTGCGCCTTTTCTTTTCGGTACTCGTCGCGGTTTAGTTGTGGTGTGATGATCCGATACTCGGGGTGTGGGAAGAAGGGGGTGGACTCTTTGGTGTTTCGTTTCAAGTGGAACGGAGCTGCGGCGCAAGCAAGATCAGTCAGTAAACAAACAATCATACAATACAACAATGCGTCCAAGGTATAAAAAAAAAAACGGCAAAACTCACATGTTTGAATAGTCGTTGTCAAGAGTCAAGGGTCTGGGAAACGTGGCTGTTGACTTTTTGGTGTTTTTCTTTTCCCCCCTCCTTGTTTGAACTTTGGGAGAAATTCCCACTTCTGTTGCTGCCTTGTCACTCTCTCCACTCGGATTCGCTGATAAGAGAAAGAAGTAATCCTTCTGATCGAAAAGGTCGCTGTAATTTGTTTCGTTCAAAAAGGGCGATTCAACTTTTGTTCGTTCGTTCGTCGTCCCCCGTCAGGGGAAAAAAGAAAAAAAAAGGGAAAATCAGATCCATCCTATGCCCCCATGAGCCAAGCGAAGCACTTCCCTCTCTCTCCTCTTCCTCTCCCCCTGGTCTGAGCCTCTCTTGGACTAGCGCTGCACGGGGCAACGGCCGCCTGCAGGGCCACCACTGACGGGGCATCTCCAGTGAGTGTCCACGACCTTTAGGGGATTGGCACATTGGGTCCCCCCGCCCCTGAGGCCCCTAAGGCCCCCCCCAGTCGTGGTCCCTGAAATGAGCTGCCCCGTGTGCCTGTAAGGTACCCGCGCATCCGTTGCCCTTCTACCCCCGGCTGAAATTCAAGTTCAGTCCCATCATGAGCGGCGGCTGTCCCACTGGTACCTAACGCTCCACCGTCTCTAAGCGCGACGAGCAGGTCACTCCACGACGGACACTCTTCATAACCGACGCCGGGGACACTTCTCCTGGTCCTCCGTCGTCATAGTATAAGAGACCGACATTTGATAACGGACATTGCATTGCACGCCAATGGGCATACCATTCATGCGCCTAACTTATTATATCAGATCTGCTATGGATGCCATATCGCTTGCGCTGGCTATCCTTATTATCGCGTACTGCCTCAATCGTCATGGGGCTCTAAGCGAATCCATCCAATTCTTTTCCCATGACTCTCCATCACAGATAACTGCCTCTCATTTCCCTCGCCGGCTATGCAAAACCAACCTCAAGCTCTATACTCAATCACAAATCTTCGCTCAACCTGCTGCAGCGTCGTCGAATCATTCTCCCCCTCGAACTTGAGGTTCACCTTGTTGCCGTTGTCCATGCTGTGCACCTCGGCCTTGTAAAACGTAGTAGTGTTGGGGTACAGCGCAAGAACCACCTTGCCTGACTCCCAGTCCTTCAGCGATGCCGCCTGGCTCTCGGGCGTGATCGGGATCATGCTGCTGGCGCTCGATCGGTACTCCTTCTGCTTACTCTGGTCGTCCGGTTCGATATCGAGCACCTTGTACCGCCGGCTCTTACCTTCACCCATCACTTGAGCCACCTCGCCTAGGATCCAGTCCGTCGTCTGGTCGCCGTTGACCGCCTTGGGTTTGAAGGCTACCGCATCGCCTTTGGAAAAGACAACCTTGAATTTGCTGTTGGATCCCGATCCGACCCCGCTCCCAACTGACCCCTGAGGCTCGACACTATCGGCCTTGGGCGGCATGCTGTCGCGGTCCCGATCCCGGTCTCGGTCTCTTGCCCGGTCACCGTACTTGCGCGAGGACCCTCCGATGGGGCTCGGCACCGGTGAGTCGCCGGCGCCGTCAAAATCGTAGAGCGAGGCCGTGTTGTCCCTGGCTTGTCTCTTGCCGGGTCCTGCGGTTGCGGCCTCGGACTGCTCCTTGGCTTGCACTACAGCGCGAAGGACTTTCAGCTGCTCAATCGTGTTCTTGATGTTGGCCATGTTCGCCTCGGAGTGCTTCACCCCTGTCCGGCAGTGCTGCTCCATCTGTTGCAGCAGGTCACCCGGGACCTTGTCAGTTTCCATGGTGCCCGCCTGCTTATCCAGGTTGACAAGCTCTCCGAGACTATCGTTCTCCGCATTTATCCCGGACACAATATCTCCAATCTGACTCTTGCAGAGCTCCCATATCTGCACCTCTTCACCATGGTTATTGCCATTGTTCCTGTTGGTCGCCCGCCCACTACGGTTTCGTTGCGACATCTCGCGACTGTGACGCTCCGGCTTGGCGGAGTCGGCCCTCGGTATGGTATGCGCGGGGGGTTCGCTCCTGGGCGACCGCTTGGGGGTGGATGCGTCCGAGGTAATGTCCCGACTATGGTTCTTGGTCCTCGACTTGCTCGGTCGGCTCGGGGTCGAATCTCTGCTAGACGGGTCCTGCCGCTTCGTGCCAGATCGTCTCGGCTCCGGGGTGCCCGAGGACTGTCGCAGCGACTCCTGGAAGCTGTTCTCCCTCGAGTGGGTGCCACTGCGTCGCGGTTTGAGCGGGATCTGGTAGTAGGGGCCCAGGTCCTCCTGGAGGTTCTTCAATTCGTCCCGCGCAGGCTTCTTCCCGTTAGCCATCCTGCCCCGATACCAACCCGCCTAAACAAAATGTCGCAATAAGAATCAGGCCAAGAAAGGAGGGGCACAGACGGTATGATATAGATGCCGGATAAAGAGTATCCATGTTGACATAGAAGACCGCAGAGGAGAGGAAGGAAAATGCTTCAAGTCGACTAACCTTGAGAGAGTAGGCCCAGTTATTGAGCGGCCGAGGCGGGATGGTATGGGGAAGGAAAGGCGGCTAAGACAGAAAGCGCGTCGCAGACAAGAAAGAAGTGATCGGCAGAGAAGGAAGGAAGGAAGGGAAGGGAAGGAAAAGAAGCTTTCATAAACAGCGTGACCAGGCCAGGTGGGTATCAACTCATTGTATGCGCCAAAGCAAACCTCTAAATATTTCCCAGAGTTTGCTTACAGAGAGGGTATCATGTCGTCGTTGTCTGTCTTGACTGTCGTAATATGCTCTCCGCCCGAAAGTGAGGCCGATGATGCGGTGGGAAAGGTAAAAGCCGGCAGAAATCAAGGCGGTGAGGGGTCGAAGCTTGCCTGATTTAGTAAGTGCGGCAAGTTATCGGAGCGCCGATAAGCCACGTGCGAATTGAGATCGCGGCGGTGTCCGCACTGTCTAAGCATCGTCGTATTCCGTATACCGACGGGCCTGTGCTCTCCACAGTTGAGGCAGCAATAGACAGGTCAAGTCTTTGCCTTGACAAGCTTACTCGGGAACAGGGAGTCATATATAAATGTTGTTCTCTTATAAATTGCCTCATTATGAAATGTTCGCTGCATGATACTTACAATGACCTCAAGTCGGCATCAACCGTGTTAACTTGTGATACCTTCACTTACACGCTAGCACCGGTCATTTCTTGATAATTCAGTTCAAAACACCCTCTCATTACCAATTGACTCTTCTTTCAATGTCCTCCCCAAGAACAATCGCCATCATCGGTTCCGCAATTGCCGGCCCAACCCTCGCCCTCCAAATCCTCTCCCACCCCATCCTCCGCCGCACCTTTACCCCAATCCTCTTCGACTCATCCCCTTCTCCGTCAGACTCTGGTTCTCGCGCCGGCGCAACAGTCGGTTTATTTGCCAACGGTCTCTACCCACTACATCGTCTTGGTCTCGAGTCTTCAATCAAGACACAAGGCTTTGAGTGTGGTGCACTTTCGACATGGAGCTGTGATTACGATGGTGAGGTTGAGAGGTTGAATTCGCTGGGTGATGCTATGTGGAGTAGTGATCTTCAAACGGGTGTTGTCTACTTTGAGAGGTGGGCTTTGCAAAAACTGCTGGTCGAAAAGGTGAAAGAACTTGGTGGTGAAGTGAATTGGGAGAAAAAGGCCGTTAAGTTCACATCCCTCGACGATGGAACCATGAAGGTCGCGTTTGAGGACGGGACAAATATCACGACAGATCTCCTCATCGGTGCTGACGGAGGGTACTCTGGTGTCAGAAGATTCATCCTCAATCAGAGAAATAAGGCCACCGCCGAGGAGAGATGGCTGCCCGACTCTATGGGTCTAACCGGCATCTACGGCGTATCTACCAGCGAGCAAGCATCATCTTCAACAGCCAAGTTCAGCGAATCCCATCTCATGTTACTCAACAACGGCTTTCTCGCCACGGGTCCTTGTCCCCAAGGCAGAACACGTTGGGATCTCATCCTCCCCGAGGTTTCACCCCCTTCATCCTCTTCGCCAATCGAACCCAACCTCAAACCTGACGCAGAGCCATGGCAATCTTCAATACTCCCAAGTCAATACCCCCTCGCCTCAACAGTCGACATTCTCCGACAGCACCGCAACGTCTTCCACCCCTACGCAGGCAGCCTCGAAGCCCTTTTCTCATCCGCAGATCGCATAATCCGCACACCCCTCCGTCAACGCATATGGAAACAGGACGAAATCCAATGGGGAAACGTAGCTCTTATAGGAGACGCAGCACGTCTAATGCTACCGACAAGTGGTCAGGGAACAGGCTTCGCCATCGAAGATGCCACAGTGTTAGCCAGATCACTACTCAAGCACGCAACTACAGATACAAAGACCGGTATTAGAGTCGCGTTGGAGGAGTATGCAAGAGTTAGGGAGCCGAGATCCAAGAAGATGGGTAGTCTTGCGGAGGTGGCGGCGACGTGGAGTACCAGCAAGTCGTGGTTCTGGAGGGGATTAAGATATTACGGGTCAAGGTGGCAGCGCGACAGACCAGAGTCAAGGTAAGAAAAGTCGGTTATCTGAAAGGTGTGATGCTAACTGTTCATCAGCAGGGGAACGGGCAAAGATACCTGGCCGTTCAACGAGAGAATTGATGTCGACGATTCACCCAAGTGATATCTATCGCCATGAAGCGAAGTCAACCCCTGAGGAACCTGACAACGTATACTCTCGAATCCACCACGTATTTCATATCGTATAGATATACAGGGCATGCTGTGTAAAGGATCAAGTACAACCCTAGTTAGCACAAGGCCTGTCAGTCAAGGTTGGCTTATCAGAGGGAAGACAGGGTATGAGACGAATCTCCCATCATGAATAATAAACACCCTACTCCAAGTACTTGAGAAAAAGACACCAAAATGGCATGTAGATGAACGTGATATTAAATAGTATATGCAGCCACATCATTTAATGGCTTAAAGCTAAAAGCATTGTTTTTCACGCTCTTATTCACACGCCAAACCCCCTGACTCAAACTCATAGCTTCTCCTTGGAGTCATCAATCTCGCAAAACGCCTTATAAGTCGTAAACTCATCATCCTCTCCCCCCTCGGACTCGAGCACGCACTCGGCCGTAGCGCCGACAAAGTAAACCCATCCCTCGCGAATCTCGGCGCTCGTGGGGCCGACAGAGATCTTGCCTTTGCCGCTGGTGCAGATGACGATGCTGGGCCCGTCGAGGGGCTCAAAGGTGGCCTTTGCGCCGTCACCGCGGAGCAGGGTGCGCACAACGCTGAACTCGTCGATAGGAGGGTCGTAGAGGACAACGGCTGAGCCTGAACTGTAGCCGCTGCGGTTGAGTGTGGCGTAGGGGTACTCTGTAGGTGACATCTTTTGCTCCTCGATGGGTGCGTAGTTGTAGGTTAACATGTCGACAAGGGTAGAAACATCCTTGAACTTGGGAGTGAAGCCAGCGCGGACAACATTGTCCGAGGCAGCCATGCACTCCATGATATCTCCAGAGATGTAGGCGTGAATATCATCAGCAACGAGGAACAAGGCCTCACCAGGCTCAAGAGTGACAAAGTTGAGGAAGAAGAGCACAAACAGGCCAATGTCATCACCAAACTCGCCGTGACATCGCTGGACGAGCTCAGAAAGCTTCTCGCCAGATGTAGCAGCCACGCCGCCAGCAGCGAAACTAGCACCCTCGCTGCTCGCTTGCTCAACCAGCTTAGCAGTCTGCTCAGCAATCGCCTCAGCAGGCGAGTTCATGAGTGCGCCAAAAACCTTCTTCAGCAGCAACTTCTTGTCCTCACTAACACCCTCCTCCTCATCCTTGGCAACCTTTGCAAACTCTGCAGCCGCCTCGTCTCCCACCAGAGCTCTCAGCGCAGGCACAGACTCGAGAAAGTGCGCAATCTCAGCCAGAGGGCGGAATCCGCAGAGACCCTCGAAGGGGGTGATGGCGATGGCCATCTCGGGCTTGTGGTTGTCATCGGGGTAGTTCTTGGGGTCGCGGGCGTGGAGCTGCTCGGCGAGCTTCTTGTTGGGGTGGGCCTGGATCGAGAGGGCCTTGTTTATCGAGAGCACCTTGAAGAGGAAGGGGAGCTTCTCTCCGTAGCGAGAGATGATGGTGGACGAGAGGAGGGCTTTGTTGTCCTGGACGAGCTCGAGGAGGGATCGGCCGGTGTTGACGTCTCGCGAGGGGTTTGAGGGGTGTGTACCCATCCAGAGCTATAAAAATGTCAGTCATTGACAAAGATCATGAAGTATTCGAGGTATACCTCAGCGTAAGGAGTGTCAGACTCGATCTTGAGGTCGTCAGATGGCGTAGCAGCAGCAAAGCGAGCAGCGGCAGACTCGTTGCCCTTCTTGCCCCAGGCGTACGAGTTGACGCCGCATTGCAGTCTTAGTAGAGGAACCTGCATCTTGGAAGCTTGTCGGTGGTAGTGCGACTCTGAATGCGATTGCGACGCTGGGTATAGCTTCAGATGGCGGGGAAGTAGATGCCAGGTGTGCGTGTTGGAGGTGGTCGTTTAAAGAACAGCGCGCAAAAAGAGCAAAGGAGCAACTTGGCAAGAGCTGCAGAAGAAAAGAGAAAAACAGGTGACGCCTCAAGACTTTATCCGCTCCAGAAGAAAATATCTGGTCAAACGTGGGATGACGAGGTGGAAGTGGAGGCAGGAGGGGGAGCTCGAAATAGATCAGCAAGGTGCAGATTGGTGAAGATGCCAGCCCTGGCCGCCTGCAAACCACTGTAAACTATAGCGCCTGCATCTTCTACGGACACCAGCCCGGTCATTGTCCCGCAGCGGAGCTTCCCCCTGAAGCCATACCGGAGTAGCGCCGCCGACCTAACCCCGCTGTGGACCTGGGGTTTACCTGTTTGGGACCATGTCTCGATGCCATGTGATGACGGGCTTTCATTAGATTCATCTCGTTCAATGTGATTGTCCAGGGGGTGATGAATCTCGAGAGATTGAAACGTGGCTAAGCTGGGGTGGGCCATTGGATAAACTATTAAACAATGGCTCATTACACAATGGTTCCAATAGATATTAAAACAGCTTCATATTAATCACCACCGTACCAACAAACAAACCACCAACACTCCAACCAGACCCAAACTATTAACTCGAGATGGATCATTAGCTATCTACTTGCTTTCAAGTAGTTAATTTCATGTACAACTGTCTCCCATCAGGAGTGCAGAATCTCATCTCGTCAAAATCCCATCAAAACAGACTACCAGCCAACCAAACCAGAACCTATTAACGCGCCCATATCCATCTTCCATCCCAATGTCATTTTCCCAATTCACTCCAATTTTCGCCCGATCAAAAAGTACAAACCCAATCCATTTTCGCCTTCTCATATCCCGTATGCGTTTGGCTGTGTCTAATAACGCCCAAAATGCAACGAGTCAATAAACTCAACCCAGTCTCAACAAAGACATTGGGGAGTAAACAATTCAAGATGCAATGCACCATGATGATGACCAACAATGTGATTAAAACAAGAGTAAGAACAAACAGAGACTGAAAGAAAAAGGACCAAGCAAAACGACCCGACTCGGTGTCGTTCAAAGACGAGAAGAAGAGTTCAACGCCAAGGGTGGCACAACACCAACGCTCGCTCTCGTCTTGCCTCCCCGTCAGACGCTGTGCCTCACAACCTCAACCCATCAAAACCCCTCACTCATGTGAGAAAAAAGGGTCCCCCCAGCAAGTCTATGAGCAGTTCATCCGTCCTGCTCCGCGCGGGGGAAGGGTCAGAGAGGTTTCTCACCCCTGCATGCGCGAGTCGCTCGACGACGATGGTCATCCATCGCAAACAGAGAACCATGGCAGTTGGCTCATTCACATCTCGATGCTCAGGTCCAAAAACATAAAAAACACTGCAACTCCTCTGCTGAGAGCAGGCCAGAAAAAAAAAACACACTTTCAAACACCGAGAGCCAGCAGGGAGGGAGGGAGTCCATGATCTCAATAAGAGAAACAGCATCATCAACCGACGGCTCAGACGTCTCCCCTCATCCTCGAAGTGTCCCCGCAGTCTTATGGTAGCTATCCGCCGCGGCTTCTGTACTCGTGCCTCCGACGTCTCCAGGAGGGAGCATGTACGACGCGGGCTGCGCCATGTACGTCGTGGCGCCGTGTGCCATCGAGAACGACGACCCAACGCTACCGCTGCCGCTACTCATCATGGGCAGCTCACGGCGCGCCGACGTCGTAGCAGCCGCCGTAGTCGCTGCCGTTGTAGTGTCCGTGTAGCGGTACGTGAGGTCGGGTGCTGGACCTCCTCCTCCGACGCGCATCGAGTCGGCTGGAGTATAGAGAGAAGCTTCGGAAGAGCTGGCATGTGTGTAGAGATCATTACTCGTGCGGGTGAGCTGCGAGGCTAGTGTCATTGGAGGATACGAGGACAGTCCCGCGGCCGAAGCCATGCTCGAGGGCTCGTAACTCGTGTAACTTGAAGGCGTTTCGGAATCTGGGCTCGCAGGCGATGTGCCCGCCGTGGTCGACGTCTGCGCCGAGGAGCCCCTGCTGCCGCTACCGAACCCTGAGCTACAGCCCGAATCGTTCCGGTACGACGACGACGATGACCCTATTGAACTAGGCACTGATGACCGTCCCACGGGCATGGGCAGCACCCTGTCGCCCATGTTGACGCCCGCCGCCATGTTCTGGAACGTCATGCTCGTTGAGTCGGCCGCCACCGGAGCCGGTCGGTGTACCAGGCTCGTGGTCGGTGCCCCGCTGCTATAGGCGTAGTTGGGCTCCGTATCGACGCAGATGCTCTCAGACTTGCCCACCGTGCCGGAGCCGATGCGGTAGTTGATGCCATAGTCCGAGTCATGCATCGAAGGGTACGCTGGCGGATACATGCTGTAGTTGATGCCTTGATCTTCAGTGTATCCATGATTCCAGGTAGAGACTGGGTAGTAGGACTTTGCGGTATACGCAAAGGTCGTGGGAGCTCGATAGATGAAGGGGTCGCTAGCATGCATCGGGAGGCCGTCGGGGTAGTGAGAGGTAGTCGACGGGAGAGGGGGTACGACGGAACTTCCTCGCGCCTGATATTGCCGAGAAGCTTCAAGACTATAGTTAAACGACTCCTGCTTCATGGGCGTCTCTTGGGAAGCAACCTAGACGGCAATGTAAGTCCTGGAACATCACAAAGCACCTCCCCCCTGAAAGACATACCCTTAGGAACTGGCAGGGCTCGTAGCCTGCGTTCTTACAGTTTGTGCATGGTCCCCCGTTTCCAGAATCGCCGCTACACCGGATTTTCCTCTTTCGACACCGCCCACACTGGATCTGTTAGCCCGCTACACAACTATGTAAGTCTCGCGCACACCACACACACCAGGGGGGAGAAGACGTAAAGTGTAAGGAAGACAGGGGTATATACTTACAGCTACTGCGATACGCTTCCTCTGAGGCGTCACATCATCAATCATGTCTCTCTCAGTCATGATGGTGGTTCGCGTATCTGGGTGGATGGGGTAGGCCAAGCTCCGACGCTCCGGGTAGGATGAATAGGCATTCATCCTGCTATACCGTCGGACGTCGGCGGGCGAGTAACAAGTTGGAGTTACCATGGTATAACTCCCAAATGTGTCGAGGTTCAAAGAGTGAAAGGTGAGTGGGGAGATGTTCAACGGGTGACTGGCAGAGGTTGCAACTCGGGCTTCCTCATCAGTGCCAACAACCGTCTTGTCGAGTCAACCTGGATCGATTGAAAGACAAACTCTGATGAGTCTTGGTCCTAGTGACAAGGTGTGTGATGTACGAGCTGTTGCCGGTTTGCCAGCACTCGTCCGTCGGGGCTCGGGAAGTGTAAGTGGTTTGTCCAGTCAAGGATGGGGAGTGTCTATCGCCAGCTGTGTCAAGCAGCTGAGTCGAGATTGGAAGTAAAAGACAAATATCATCACCTCCCAACTTGATAGCTCAGAAAGGTTGCGTTTCAACAAAGTCGAGAGATTGAAAGAAGGAGAGAATCAGAGGCAGCAAGATCTGCAGCCGTGCCATGCTGTTATACTCTCCCCGTACCACTCTCCCACTAGTCCTGGTACAGGACGTTATATCTTTGTTTGCCTCACCCAGCCTGCTCACTACTATCTCGCCGTCCAATAAACGGCCCCCTCGCCCCGGAAAGACCACCGTGCCCACTCAGAGAGGCGGCCAAGAGGAAATGGTCGAGGCATCCTCCGGTAGCTTTGCAAACACACACACCTACCACAGCAGACGTCAACGTCTCTCTCTCACCTTGCAAGGATGTGGAGCAAGCCGCGGACGCTGTGTGGCTGCCGGCTGCTCAGTTACGCGAGGGCCGCCGGTCTTCGGGTGCCCACAGGTAGCTTGCAGAATGATGGGGATGCCATGCGGCACCAGCTTCCATGGCTATCTGAGTGAGGCGACTGCAAACATGCCAGGGATGGACCCCAGCAGGAGAAGACGGGGCACCTAGATCTGGATCCCCGATCAGATTGAGGTCTTCCCCGGATCGTACAGCGGGCCCTGCTGGTCTGAGACTTTTGACAGAATCAAGATGAGCCCTCAGGACGCCGCTGGGACCAAGACACGCCTGAGACATGTTCATCTCTGTCTCCAACTCAGCCGCATGTCTAGAGTCTGTTGATTTGGCGTAATTCATGACTCTGGCACAGCATCTGAGGCGAGACTGATGCTCTTCTTCCCCACGTTGCGCCGCCTATTCAACCCTTTATCGGATCTCCGTGCAGCAGCAATCTCGAAGCAGTCCACCGTCATGTCCAGGGACTTGTTTGCCAAACGGTCTCCATTTCTTTCTCGGCCCCGTGTCTATATGGAGAAAGGGGGTCATAAAGAAACGGGCGGCGACGAGATGACTGCGGGGGCAAACAGACATGTCTTTTGCCAAAACCTCGCCCATGTCTTGGCTCCGGCTGAGTGAGCAAACTCGCAGCCAGTAAGACAATGTCACAAGACATGATGGTTCCAAGATGATGAGAAGGCCGTCCCCATGGCAAGTCCAGGAGAGAAGAGCTTTGGGGGGTGGGCAGAGTCCCCTCTCGGCTGTGACGCAGCGCATGGTCACTCGTCAACAGATGCTGTAAACACTTTCTTGTCGTCGTGTAACACCAGTGCACTGCGACCAGAGAAGCCAACACAACACAGTGAGGGCCAGAACCTGGGGGTCCAAGTTTGCCTTGGCTCTCCTGATTCAACGAAGCCCCCGAGACCCATGTCGACAGCTCCATGCGGCTCAGATCAAGCGGCGGCACTCTTCGGGGAGAGTTCCTCAAACCCGGTAGCTGGTATGAGACCCTGGGCCCCTAGTTGACCCTTGCTAGGATAAACGGCACATATCGAAGCGAAAGCGATGATCTTGATGCACAAGGCCCGTGATTCGATAGCAGAACAAACGCAGCGTCTAACTCGATTGAGCAAACACCCATACTGTGGTCATCTGCAACATGGCCAGGACGCCTGGACACCCCAAGCCTCCGTCAAGCAAGACAAGGAGACGAGACGGGCGACAAGAGCAAGCCATGGCCGAGAAGCTGAGCCGTTGTCCCCTTCGGGCCTTTTTCATCCTCTTCCTCGTCTCTCTCGAGTTTCTATTCTCAGTCCCCAAACCTGAGGTGCCAATGTGCAATGTTTCCCCGCGACGTCCCACTTCAATATGCAGGCTGTGGGCCCCTCCGTTGGTTGTTTGCTTAGACGAACAAGATCCGTTGTAGATTGATCCGAGCATTTCTCTAGTACGGCAAAAACCAATAGGGACAGACGTCGACTGAAGAGGGATACCGCCGTGTCGGCCGTTGCACAAAGGTACAGTGTTGGGTTGAGAGCTTCATCCTCCTTGATCCCGTTGCTGGGTCCAAGCTGTACCCTCATCCTTGGGCGCCAATGCTCAAAGGCGAGACGCAGGACACGAGTTTCTCCGCCATGGATACAGACAGCCAAACGGTCGCGTTGGTGTGGGTGTAAATATAGAATCAAGGTCAGAGCCCGTATTGAAAACGGCCGCGCAGAGGCAGAACAAGAAACATGTCGCCCGGGGGACAAACTGATAGGAGCAAGACTCCGATGGAAGCTGCAGATTGATGGAGAGGAATTAGACCCCTGGTTTGTTCGAGTAAAACGAGCGAGGAAGCGCCACATGCCATGTTCAAGGGGCTCATGCAAGAGATCGCTGACGAGGCTGTCTGATTTGCTTGATTCCCCGTGTGGCGCCTCCATCAAATTCAGGGGGCTGTCTCTCTTAGGGCTGGTATCTCCAAGTCAACTTCAGCGCCACTTCCGTTGCGCAGTGTGTCCCTCGAGCAAAAACGGCTGCTCACGACATCTCGAGAGTAAGGACAGATGCTGCAAACAACATGGCAGAGACCAAAAGAGAGGTTGGGGTATTCCTAAGCCCCCAATTCGTCAAAGAGTAGGGGCATGGGGTATCAGTTGTCAGACCCTACAACCAAGGACGGACACCATCTCAAGTTCAACTTGTCTGTCTCAACATCTCTGAGAGACTGAGCACGGTGAACAAACGAACAGCATCATAGGAGTGCCGTCTCTTTGAGCCCGGCTTGTTTCAATTGGTTCCAGAGTGGAACCTCGCATCGATGAACAACCAGATTCCTCGTATCGAGCCTCCGTCTTTCCCCTGGCATGGAGCCGACATACACATCGCCAACGGACTTTCCTAGTCAAGAATAGGCTCGCTTCTGTCCTTCTTCTTTTCTCTTTCCATGCCCTGTTGTTGTCGCCGCCCCGCAGGTCCTCTGCCCGAAACCTCAACCTCCGCCGCCGTGTCAAGGACAGCAAAACGTCCGCAACTGCACATGACACGGGCGAGCGCTGGGCCCAGGGCGGAAAATTTTGGCCCAGCAGCGTCCCGAGGGGAGATGTGGCCTACCGCGCTGTCATTAAAGGGTGTGGCACATGAAGATGTATCTACCCGTCTTGCGTATCCTGTGGCACTGGTGATTGGCCCATCGTGTCCAGGGGTTGACTCTGAACCTCACTGTGACGCCCATCAAGCAAGGTGAGGGGGAGGACTGAACGGTGGCTGACGGCGAGATCATCCACGCCATGATTGCTATGCCCTTGATGGTCAGAAGCATCTGTAGCGATCCGAAAAGCACGCGGGGATGATCTCCATCTCTCGAATCCAGAGCCAAGGGCACTTGCAGAGAAGAATCTGAAACTCACCCTTCTCAAGAGATAATATCACAAGGCCTCGTGGAATTCTCTTGGCGCATGTTGCTTCCCGTCAAAGACTCAAATCGCAGTCCAGGCCGCGCCCCAGCCCTCGAGCACCCTGCGACAGGCTCTTTGACCTCCCCAAGGTTGCACATCTCGACAAAGTCTCGCCTGAAAGGTCTCATGCCCGAGATACCTATGTGTCGGTGTTACAGTATGCACCAAGGTGCCCACGCTGACCGAGCAGGATCCCAAGGTCTTGCTTAGTCGTAGACACGGACGATATGGGACCCCAGAGCCAGGTATCACCGCCAGGTATGATGATGCAATTCTTCAGAAACAGCGCTATTCCCAGGCTCGGACGTCGGTCCTCGAAGCCCGGAGCTCGTGTTGAGAGGGTCGGGATGTGGCACCGCCAATCGTCACCATCCATCAACGTCAATGCCGACCGAACCCAATGATCGATCTGAAACGATGTCTTTGATCTCTCTTCTGCACATACAGCCAGCCACTGTTGCCTCAGCCCAAGATTCAGCTCTGGAAAACACGATCCCTGCCAGGCGAGATGGCTTGGGCGGCTCGGTGGCTGATACTTCCAGAGTGACCTCAAGGCTGGACGCCATGCACTTGACCGTACAGTAGCCTCTCAACGTGGTGAGGAGATGGCCGTCTCACCCCCGGGTGTCTTGCAGGTTTCGATCGAGCGCCGTGCCCAGTCTTGTCGACGGCGAAGCAGGCACAGCAAGCATAGCCGAGAGGCTGCTTATTGATCCATCCAGAGGGTTCACCTACAGGTCATGGTTCATTCAGTTTCTTGTCTACATGTCCGCTCGCACAGAATACAGTACCCGTACGTGAAGCCAAACATGCAGTGGCGTGCTCCTCTGCCATGCCTGGTCGCCCGTTGGCGAGACTGGGTTAATAATGCTGGCGCTGTGATCTGCTGAACGTCCACAAAGAGACTTGTCATGTGTCACAGGCCTCCAGATGCTGAGAAATGCGTGGGGGATGCTGCTGGCAAGCGACGCTTTGGCAGAAAGAAGATGGAGTGGCCCGGGGATCTTGTCCAGAATGACAGCTGGGGTCGCTCAGCAGCGGGAGGGAGATCCCCGGTTCACCCACGTCCGCCAGTATGTGCTCACGTTGACTACCAACGTTGCTCGTGCGTAGACGGTATGAATTCGATACATTTTGCGTACTCAGACTGTTGCGCGATGCTCGTGGGAGCTCCGAAGGACCGCATGTATGCCGGGGAGCTGACTTGTACATGATGAACGGAGGCAGCAGAATCGGGCAAGCACCCGTTCACAACAAGATAACCACGCTGCCAAACTCGTAGGCCAGGACGAGTTGGTGCCCCATGCTCGTGTAGCCACATATATGCACATGTCGGTTGGTGTTAGTTGAGGATCCACATCAAGGAGTCGAAACGCTTGCTTTCGATTGAATTAGAGACCATCAACGGTTGCAGGGTTTTGCGCCGTTTGTATTCCGTGTCGCCCATTCGCCACTTTTTACCTCCTCGACCTGCGGTCATAATCGTCCCGTCCGTATCGATCCCTATCTCTATCTCGGTCTCTGCGATCGCGGTCTCGGCCTCGGTTTCTATCTCGATCTCTCCGGTCCCAATCTCGTCTGTCCCCTCGGCGGTCATCCCTGGGTTTGCGATACCGGTCTCGACTTCTGTCTCGCGGTCGAGGGCTCCGGCTTCGACTCCGTCGTCCTGGACCTTCAGCATCGCGAGGCTTCGGTGGAGGGCCGTCATCCTTCTGTCGACCAGGCCCATTTCGCTCCAGCTTTCCCTTCATCTCCTCCTCTCCATAGACCATTCCGTAGTCGCCTTCAGTGCTTCTCTCCCTCTCTTCACGGTACTGTCGGCGCTTCTCCAGCTCCCTAACACCTCCCCAGCCGCCGCGACCAGCATTGGCTCGACGCTTCTTGTTGGTGTCGTTTCTCCAACTATCGCTGAGCTTGCTGACGCTCTGGGAAAAGTCAACGTGAATTCGTCGGTCGTCAATCAAAACATCCTGCATCTTGAAATATGCTGCCTCGCAGGATGCCTTGTCCTCGTATTCAATAAATGCATACTGCAGACTGTCGCCCGTCTTTTGATCCCTGATGACTTCGCAGCTCAAGATCTTGCCAAACCGGCCAAAAATGAGTTCCAAGTCTTCATCTCCAGTGACGGGGTTCAGCTTGCAGACGAACAAGACGTTCTCGGGAGGTTTCACTTCGGCAAACGGCAGATCACCCATCATCTCCAAAGTCAAGGCCTGCGCCTGAGCCTCCCGGTTACGTCGTCGTTTCTCCAGCTCCTCCTCGTCAACATTGTCATCCGCATGAAGTGCCGCCTCATCGGCAATCCGAACGGTTTTGAGTTGCTGGTCGGTGGGAGGAGGACTCGAGCTCGGTTCCCGTAGTCCAGGCGGGTCAGGGTAGGGATCATCCAGAATGACTGTGTGCTTTATCCGGATATCGATGAGGGGATAGCCCTTGTCGTCGACAATCGCTTCGTTGATCTTTTCCAAAGCATCAAATCCTTCCACAACTTTGCCAAAGATGGCAGCTTTCCCGTCCAAGAAATCTGTATCCTCGCCCAGTGTGATGATGAATTGGGAGGCTGCCACGCGTGTGTCTGGGTCGGATTGCAGTGGTGCTGTAGCCATGCTGACCGTCCCTCGCTCAAGGTGTTTCAGCTTTGGGTGAAAGAAGGCGGGAAACGTTCGCTTGGAAGAGTCGCCGGATAAATGACCCCATATTGACGAGCCGCCATCGGAGTCTTTGGAGAGAGGGCCGAGAGGGTCGCCGGTCTGGAAGGAGAAGTTCTTTTGGACGGAGTGAACGGGTGAGAAGTTGTAGTACTTGAGTTTGCAAAGCTTGAGGAAACTAGATGACTATTAGCTCGATCCATCATGTAGAGAAGCCAAATGTCAAGCACTTACTTTTCGCAGAGCTTCGGCGCATGGTCAACCAAGAGGTCGATGACGATATCGCCCACGCTGGTCTCGAGGAGGACAGACATGGCGTGTCGTCGATAAAGTGTACACAGAGCAGTCCTCTTATTAATGCGACAACAAGGAATAGAAAAGGGGGCAACAGGGGATTGTTGATGGCCAAAGTCGCGTCGTCCCAAGTCTTGGAAGGTTCAGGTTGTTTGAGTTCACAGCACCAGCCACTGTCGCGAAGCTCAACCTGGAAAGAATCTCCATGCAGGTGGCGCTAGCGTGCCGCGCCACGATCTGTGTGGCTGGTACAGCAAGCTCGCAGTGTCACATGACACCCCTCTCCTCCCTCCAACGTTCTTGACGCGCATATTCTAGAAGCAAGAGGATCTCGACAACAGGGGTCTTCCGAGTCTTGGCTTTTATTTTCGCTCATTATCCCATCGCAGCTAATGGCTTGGGGGGATGTGAAACTACTGGAAAATATCTGGACTTCCCCATCTTGCCGGAAGACGCTCTCGGAACTAGACAAGCTTCTGCACTGCATTCAAACATAAACCTCCAAGACCAACCTCGGGAGATACCTTGAAAGATCATATCCCTATTAACATCGCGAATTCCTCGGGTGTGAGATGAGATCAAAGATAGGGAGTTCAGGCCCCGATCTTATATCAACGAACACCTCTTTTTCTACATAGTCACTTTATTCACTTGCTAACGGGCTACAGTAAGGCATCCAGAGGTTCAAAACTTCAAACCCAAGTCTATACTGTGTCCATCCAAGTGGATGCGATAGACCAGGGTCCATCTTGGCAACTCAGACAAGGAAGTCCTTGTCTCCCTGCAGTCCTCCTCCCTCAGATCCATCCAAAAGCCGTTGAAGTCATGGCAGTTATGACGTTACCAACCCCTCTACAACAAAGAAAGTTCCCAAAACCAGCAATCAAGCTGCCATCATATCATGGCTTCACAACAAGGAGGAAAGCATCCGGACTTGTGTCCACCTTGCCACTCACCAACATGTGCGAAACAAGTCAAGTGCACAAAGACCGAATCCGAACAAGCTCATTACTCAAAGGGGAAAACCCACTGAAGCCATCGACGAAACAAGACGAGAGATCTCGATCAAAGAAAACTACGTCATATCAGATCAAAGACACCCAGATGTCATCATGATGTTTTACACTTGGCCAGGATCCAGATTACCGGGGCTTTTCTCCAGACGAGATCGACGACCGTTGAAGTCATACCGGAGAAAAAAAAGATGGCACCCCAAGGTTGGTTGCGCATGACCCGTTGTGAGGGTGTGTATCTCTGAGCTGTTCATCTTGGTGAGACGGTCATGAGCTCATCCCGCGGGAACGCTAGGGTAGTAGACTTCCCGTTGCCGGGGAATCTTTTGAGGCTCAAACTAGGTAGCATTCTACTCCCAGTAGTCAAGGCTGGATATCGAAAAAACAGGGCCCTGATGTAAGAGGGCATGATATTGTCAGGTGAAGAAGTGGTTGTCAATGATGTAACTGTTACTCAACGATGTATCCAAATTTCCACACATTTACCCCAAACATGACAACAGCAAAGTTGTGCAATCCCCAGGAAACCAGATTTCTCACCTCTCTCAACGTCACAACTTCCAATGTTCAAAGTGTCAGCCTCGTCGCAAGGTGAATCACACCATTGCTCGGTGTGCAGAAATCCAACCATTCTAGACTATGTGATGTGCAGCGCCGATCCCCGGGCCGGGAGCACCGTTTTGGAAGTTCAGCGGTGTGGAAAAGGTGGTGGTGCTTGGACCTCTCAGGTGGCAATCAAACGATCACGATCGATAGAAGCCAATATTTTGACTAGCACGTATCAAAGCTCATGCCTAGCTATCAAACAACTTCCAACCGTCCAAAATACTCCCTGTTCTATCCCCCCGACGGTTGTTGGTGGAGCTCCGGCGCCAGGGGACGAAGACCATGCTGCGAAATTGATCTTCATTTCCCCCCAACCGCCGAGCAAGGGGGGGTTCGGGGGCCGATCAAACTGCAAGATTGTGGGTTCGACGCGTGTTGTCTCGCTATCTTTCTGGTTATGGACGTGGGGCACGGCGGCTTTCCAACCTCGGGTCTGATAGTCATTTTGCTATGTTTCACATCACATCATTCCATTCTTCAGCGGTTTAGGTAGGTAGTCCGGGTGATGAATCCCGACATTTTTCTCACGATGGCTTCATGAACAAGTGAAGTAGTTTGTGCGCCGCAATAGCAGGTGCATTGATAGTGAATTCATTCATCCATCACTAAAAAAAAAAAAGGATGTTGAAAAAAAGCCTCCTCTCGGGAGATCTTCATGATAAACGTAGACTCTGTCCATCTCCCGTGTGATTTTCCATCGACCAGCGCAGCTCAAGAATGTAAACGAAAAGGTAAAAAAGCAGCCACGCGATGCCACCACAGAGTCCAGAACTTCTTTTTGGCAAGAAACAGAAAATAGTTGCCTCCCAATGCCCCCCAGTTTGCCGCGCGCTATGCAGGCTTTGTGTTCCCATCCTTTCCACTCCGGCTGAACCCAAAAAAAGAATAAACAAGATGGAGATGATCAAGGTTTGTAGCGTTATGGGGTATTTCTCTTCCCAGAACCAACGCTTTTCCCCGTTTGATCAGGAAAAAAAAAAAGACCCCGGCTTTCGTCCCTAGAAAGCCCAATTTCCAGAATGTAGTGGTTTGTTTCCCTTTCCCTTTCCAGAGGCCATATGCCGTTCGAGGCCTTGTCGATCCAACCGTAAACGCCAGCCAATGCAAGACAAATAAAAATGCAGCGACAAAGAGGAATTAGAGATTATGCCAAGTGGTTGGTTTTTTTTTTGGTGTCGTCGTAAACCATTGTATGTGGAGGCAAAATATGTCGGTTGTTTTGCCACCACCGGCAACGGTAAATGTCGTTGTGTGGTGATATGATGATGGCGGAGGCGGAGGCGGCGTCGGGGAGTTGCCGGCTTACGCCTACTCGTTGCCCGAGCTTCGTCGCCTTCGTCCAATCCGGAGTTCCTTCTCCGTCTCCATGAGCCTTGTCTGAACCCAGGTCCTGAATGCCCGGTCGGCACGCACGCTGCTGCAGTTGAGAAGCTCTGTCAAGGTGCGCTTGATGCTCTCGTTGACCTCGGATAGGCGATGCTCCTCGGCTGAGATCTCAAAGAGAGTCTCCTCGTCAAGGATGGTGGTGAGTTCGTTGCGATCCTCCCAGCCACTGCATCGTGCGTGGGTACGCGAGTGATGTCGTCCGCTGCTTCGGGAATGGCGTTTCGGTGACGAGGGGACCGAGAGTGATGATGAGGAAGATCGTGTAGGTGATGTAGATGGCGACGAGTTGAGGGAACGGGTTGTAATGGTGAGCTCGGGACGGATCTGGTCGAGACGATCGCAGAGCTCTTGGTGCTGCTCCTGGAGAAGCATGTACTTTTGCAGAGCAAAGCTGTAGTTGTGTGCTCCGGAAGCCATCTTTGGTAGTGAGAATGTGGTGGAATTGATGGGTGTGGAAATTGCGTTGAGAGAGCTACTCGTGCTTGATACTGATGTCGATGATACTGGTCGGCTCTGCCCGGCGAAGAAATGGGGTCTCACGTCTAATGACGAGACCATCGAGGCGACTGATGTGGTATTTGGAAAAGGTAAAAAGATGAATCCTCATTCAAGAGGATATCGAGAGCGTGTATCGTTGAAGAAGTCGGGTTTGTCCGCAATGCTATTGTAACGTGGGAATTGACGGTGTAGCCCAATGGTGTGTGTGTGCGTGTGTGTCGCAATATGTGAGATGCAGGCACTGGAGCGCCGATCGCCGGATAATATGTGCGTGGGTTGATTGATGTTACGGTTGTTCAGGTCGAGGTATCGCAGGAAAGAGAACCGGTTATGTACGGCAGTTGTTTTGTTAAGCTCGAGGGGAGGGCCAATCTGCGACCGTGTACGGAGAACGTGTGTGGGTAGGAAGCTGTAAGATGCGGTCCGCGATAGGAGGTGGGCGGTAAAGTGAACAATTAAGTGACGGTGAGAATGATTATGGAGAAGAAGAACTCGACGAGAGTTGACCGTGTAGATATTCCAAGACACACAAAATAGGTGAGGTCGAGACGGGAGTGAGGTAGTATGATGCTTCGGATTCTGGGGGGGATGGGAGAGAGCAGGGTGGTTCATTAATAAAGATATCCATCTCAGGATTGAGTCAGTCCAGACGGGAGGGAGTGAAAAGATGAGGGGAGGGGTCAGCAATTGATTAAAACCACCTCGTAAGGTTATGTACCAAGTACGAGATCCAGGTACGAAAAGGATGGGAGCCAGGAATTGGGAAATGAAGGGGAAAGTTGAGGTCTCAAGCAGCGAGTCAGAACCAAGGAGAGCACCATGTCTTGCCGTAACCAGAAGTACACGGGTACATTTTCCCTCACTCAATGCCATCACATCGTAGACCCCCCCTTATCCTGGCACGCCCGTCAAGAAGAAGAGCTGGGCTTGGAGCTAGCTTCCAAAAGCCCAACCCATGGGGAGGGGATCCCACCTCTTCGATTGGGGCGTCGCAGGACCACCATGACCACTTCCGACGGCATGGGATGGCCAAGGACAAGGGGGGGGAGAGGAAGAAGCCTGGGCTCTGTCGCCATGGCACAAGCTTTTGGTGGATCATTCGTTGTGGGTGTGGATGTGCGATGAGTGTGTGTGTGTGTGTGTGTGTGTGTCCGCCGCCCTTTTTTTAGGCCGGAGAACATCAGCTAAGCTCGATACGGGCTTCATTGCACAGTGTTGCAATCGAGGTTCGCAAAGGTTCTCACAGGGTCGTTGGGTTGGGTTACTTTGCTTGCTGCGCTGCTTGGTTTGCTGGCGATGGTAACAAAATGGCGCCGTGTGGCTCGTTCCGCACGCCATCCTCCACAGCGATGAGCATGATTTTGCTTCTTCTTTTCCAAGACAAGGTGTGTCTCTGAACAAAAGTGTCTGACCAAGAACGATTCTCTGCTTATACCAGGATACGAGGTGTCTCGTTCCTTGTGATATTCCAACGTTCCAGAACATTTTGTTGTCAAACACGAAGTAAGAGTCTGACAAAGAAACCTGTCGCTGCAACACAGAAATAACTTGACTCTGCATCTCTCGTCAAGGTCCCCCGATCTGGGAATGGACTCGATCCCAAGGCCTTCCTTCTTCCTTGGTGGCGGGCGGTCCCATACATAGTGGATAAAGCGGGCATTCTGGAGAACCGAACCCATCCGTGCCTTGGCTATTGTGTTGCGTATTTTTTCACGATGCCTTCCCGGAGTGGCCCGGTCGGTGTTGAGCGATAAAGAAAGCCTGTCAAGCTCCATTTTCTTCCTTGGCATCAGAGACTCCAGTGTGGATAACAAGAATCTAATCTGTCAGTTTTTTCTCTTACCAACAAACAACCATTCAGTAGTTCGAGTCCGTGGCGCCGCCCGCTCCAGGGGGGGCTCGTGCTGTGGCGATTGGTGTTGAACTGGCATTTGGATGGGTCCCCTTTTCTCTGCCGTGCTGCTACTGCAAATGGTTTACGCGAGCGAAATGCAAGAGATCTCACGCATACATAAACTGGATCAAGAGGGGAAACCCAAGTGTAATGCTGGGGGACGCCTGACCACGTGCAGATATGCAGCTGGTTCAAAAAAGAATTGCCTGATCTAATGGCAGTTGGAAGAACGTTGCAGTAGTAGCAAGCAGATATGCAAGAGGTCACATTGTTATCCTTCCAGACAGAAACCAATATCCGTACGCGCTTCAGACCTCAAATTGGCACCCAGACCATGCACTGTGCCTCCCAGGTCTGGGGGGGTGATAAGGTAATGGTAGCCCGCAATCACGAACCAAAATCTTTTTTAGCTCTAGGCGGTTGGTGACCACCCTTGACCGGCTACAGGCGGGAGCCTTTTAATTAGTTATTCTGACCGGGCGGTTATGTTGGACACACCTACTGATAAGAAACAAAATAGACACTCACACACACGAGATTCGTGGGGTGATGGATGGTCGTCAGAACTGGCCTGTGAGATGACGATAACAGGTTTTTTTTTTTTTTTATGAAAAGAAGCAAATCAAGCAGCAAATCCCCCTGAAAAATGATGATAGCCCATTCTCGAACAACCCCGGGCCAAATTGGAGATACCGGGATCCCCCCTGTTCATTCTCACAACGTTCCCGAAATAAAGAATGGAGCTCTATTCCCAGAAGCCCAGGGCAGAACAGACAGAGAGAGACACAATATGGCAAACTCGCCGAGATGTCCCATTCCCATCGAAATCCAGTTTTGGAAGCTGTAGAAGAAGAATGCTTGTCCCTTCCCTTGTCTTTGTTGCCAGGGGTTTCCAATCGTGAGGCCATCCATCCTTCACCTCAAACTTGCATAGCCGATTGCCGAACCACATGACGTTGTCTGAGGCATCATCACCTCATACCGCCTAACAGAAAGCTGAAGGGGAAAAAAAAAGCCTCCTCCGCTGAGGAGAGAGACACAGGTTTCACACAAGCTTCTTTCTAGCACCAGACCATCTCTTTTCCCCTCTTTCTCTACAATTTTACCCCAAATTCTCACCATCACCCCCTAAAAGTTCTTTAGCACTGACCGGTCCTCCGGGTAGCAAGGGTCAAGCTCCGGTCAAGGATGACGGAAGGGCTTTTTTCGATGCTAATCTCCCCAGGCTTTGATAGACGTCGGATGCTTTGATCTGCCTTGCATGCATTGGGCAAAAGGTTGTTCGATTGCCTTCTCTTCACTGATTCGTCCAGAATGATGTAGGTGTATAACCCAGGAGAAGATACTCCAGAATGTCTAGGGTAGACGTCACTGCGAGGTCATCTGGGGAGAGCTCTCCTCGTGGCAGGTCATTACGCAAGGGGCTCGACACTTTCAAGCAGCTCAAGCAGACCATGACGTTTCATACTGTCAAGGCCTCGAGGCAAGAGTTTCGACCTTGTGTAATGGCATACGTCAAATGGGTCGTTTACTTGCCTGTCAATTGTTCGAGACAACTTACAAGCCCTCCAGCTACACCACTTTACTTGTTATCACCCTGAGATATAGATACAGGCACAGTGCGAAGCTTCACGACGTCCCAAACTTCTTGTTCACCTGTGGCTAGACCTTTCACGCACATGCCTCCTCCTTGGCACCATCATGGCGTCGATTCGGAGTTGTTCTCGCCGTACCTGACAGGCCCAAGCTCGCATTCCATCCCCCAACATGACACAGAAACCTCCCCGGTCTGCCATGGCCCGGATCGCCGACTCCTCTTTCTCGTCCACGGCCGCTGACCCCGTGGCTCACCTTGCTTCTACAAGCCCATCCTCCGTCGGCAGACCATGGGTGCCACGTTCCTGGCTTTTCGACGGATGGATGACTTCATGCCTCGTAGCACCCCCCCTCAACCCCACCTGACCGAACTGATGGATCCAGATGGGAATGTTTCAATGTGCCAAAACGCTGCGCACCTTGACACCACCCGCCGCCATCAAAGGTGGGGTAGAACCAATCGCGGTGCTTAGATCAACCCAAGCTCTCGAGCCTTTGGATCGAAAGCCTCGAACTGCCAAACCCGCCTTCGCTTCTCCCCGACGCAAACCCAATCGCCCTCAGGGGTCTTGGAGGCTTGATTCTGGACATCGTGTTGAGCCCTGATGACGAGTCTGGTCCAAGCTCTTTGTTACGCTTTGGATCTGGCACGCAAGTCTAGATGTCGATGCTCGGGAGTCTTGGTATTTTGGTACACGAACAATGGGGTCCAGCTGAATTGCGTAGTCAATTGACCCCTCAAACCCCATCAAATGCACCCCGTATGAAGAAAGTCAGCCAATGATGGGCCCATGTCAGGAGCCAAATCCCGAGACATGATCGTGTGAACCCGGCAGAGTGGTGTGACGATGTCCGTATATCCATATGCACATCTACATATCGTGACGACCACGCAATTGCCCTATCAGCTGCACCCGAAACGTCGGGGTTCCTTGATCATATGGGGAACAGAGGAAAATCTCCTAGCGGGGATGTAAGAGTGTTGGTGAACTGCGGGTCCCCGACGCCCGTCGTGGTCTGATTGATGATCCAGTGGCATGACCCTTTGACGGCCAAGTCCCGGGTAGCCGAGTTTGTTGCGAATAGCTCTGCTGGAGCTCTCATTGTCTCCAACAAGCTCTCTTCCGGGTATCCCGACGATAATCGGCGCCGCATTCTAGCAAGTCGGCGGTTGGCGCCACGGCCGAGACCCTCCGTTGTGTCGACGGTCAACGCCTCGGTTGAACGACTGGAATGTATGGGGAGTATCGTAGTGCCGCGATTGGTTCTCGTCCGATTCTCTGGATGGAACGGGTATGGCGTCGAGTTTCAATGCCCCAAGTTTCCGGTTACTCTTTTGAAACTTTGCAGATCCGGATAGCGACCTTGTCATTGTAGAAAGGACCCTCCTGTCTCTCGCGCGTTGGAATCTCAAACTCTAGATCCTCCACGGCGAGCCCGTTAGCCTGGCACTTGTCCAGAAACACCTGAAAGGTCTTTTCGTTGCGCTGGGTCGCAGAGATGAAGACCTCCACACGTGGGTAAAGGTCGAAAACCTCCTGAATAGTCCCAACCAAGGCCGGTATCACGCTCTTGTCGTAGGTAATGTCTGCTCCGAGCACTACATCGACGGCACGTCCACCATTCCACTTCTCCTCCTCTGTGCCCATGAGTGCGTGTCCCCACTTGACCTCCATTGGCACCACGCGGGTCGAATCCTGAAGGTTGTTGAGGAAGAAGTTCTCGGGGAGGTTATTGATCACATCATCCGAGCCATCGGATGCGAGCACATGCGTCGAGGCGAGAAAGTTTGCACAAAGAATGGACAGGTAGCCTGTACCTGAGCCGAGTTCCAAGATACGCTTGTCCTGAACAAGGTCTTTGTTCTGGCAGAGGTATGTTCCCAAGTGAAGAGCAGCCTCCCATGTGCGAAGGCCAGTGGTCCCCGATGCCGAGATGAGAGAACGATTCTCGAGAATCGTGATGTGAGGTGATTGAGAGGCTGACTCAAGTGAAGCCTCTGGACATAGGTCGGAAAGATGGTATGTGACATAGCACTTTTTCTGAACAGATGAAACCTCAGCAGGGAGTGGTGTTGCAAGTAGCACCGAGAGAGCAGACATCAAGTCATCAGATACGCCCTACAGCCTGTTAGAAAGACATGGACTACATATAATGACACATCAGAAGCGATTTCGAATACGACTTACATACTCATCCCAGTCATCGATGCTGGCCTCAACTCGAGACATGAGCTCCTTGAGAACCCGAAGCTGGTAGCGTTGTGGAGGGCCATATCGAACGGCATCATCTGCGAACAGTCTCGTATAGAGAGCATCCTGGACTTGAGAAGTCTTGAGGAGAGCCGGCTCGGGAAAGTCCAACTCGGGTTCAAGCTGGAGATATTGATGGCAAAACCGGTTAACTTGGCGTGCCGTTGAAGCCATGTTAGCAAACGTGTTGAGTTCTGATGTCTGTGACAGTTCCCCTCAGCATCAGTTTGAAGTATCTTGACAACAGACCATCATGAAGCCATTCGAGAAGTCTCGAAAAGCGACTCCATTGGATATTGCTTGAGGAGTATCTCCACTCAAACTGGAGTTGCACCTCGATCACCAACGCAGAGTCTCACTAACAATTTCGGCGATAATTCATCCGAAGCTCTTCCGAGGACCCTTCACATTCACGTGACAAACATGAAAAAAAGCCCTCGTGGATGGTCACCGCCTTAGATCCAAGGCACAAACTAACGCACAAGCATTTTTCCCTGCACCTGTTTAGGGTTGGACCCAATTAAGCGACACGGGAAATCGGAATTTTCGCTCTCCCTCTGCCTAGACTGTGTGTCCCGCCCGCGACAACTTCAATTCCACGACAACACCGCTGCGCCCCCAGTCTCTCCCCCCGTCAACTCTCACCCCCAGAGACCATCACGACAATCGGCAAAAATGGCGGACAACGATTCCCCCGTCACCCTCCGAACTCGCAAGTTCATCCGCAACCCTCTGCTGGGCCGCAAGCAGATGGTCGTGTGAGTGACCCTTCAGAATTTGATACCCCTCGCGCGGTTCCTTCGTCCATCAAGATCATCATCGCTCTGCCCGTCTTGCATTTCTCGGACGGTCTGGTTTGTGCCCGCGGTGCACCAGATATCACGATACACGAAATATATCTGTCCAGAGAATGGGAAAAGGCGGGCAGGCGTTTATGAGCAGGATGGACAGAGGACCAGGCATGGCAGGAAAACTTGGGCTGACTCGACGCGATTTCAGTGACATCCTCCACCCCAACCGCGCCAACATCTCCAAGGATGAGCTCCGCGAGAAGCTCGGCGGCCTCTACAAGGCCCAGAAGGACCAGATCTCCGTCTTTGGCCTCCGAACCCAGTACGGTGGCGGCAAGACCACCGGCTTCGCCCTCGTCTACGACTCCCCCGAGGCCATGAAGAAGTTTGAGCCCCAGTACCGATTGGTGCGGGTTGGCCTCGCCACCAAGGCCGAGCGTGCCTCGCGACAGCAGCGTGCGTCTCCATACTCATCACGACGGAGGCATCAGATGCTAACACACACCAGGCAAGCAGCGCAAGAACCGACAAAAGACCCTCCGCGGAACGGCAAAGGTCAAGGGTGCCAAGGCGAAGAAGGACAAATAAGCGACCGGCAATTATGTCTATGTATATCCTCGGGCTGGTTGTTGGGGAGCTGTGGTATTGTGCATTCGGCGGCCTCGCGTCCGTCATCCCCGATCCGTCGGCGTGAGGTACAGGGACCTGTCGCCGGCGGACGACGTTGGGGAGCTCTGGACTCGGCTAGGGGGGGTGAGGGCCTGGCTTTCACGGTCTCTCCTCAATACACTAGCATGAAATCAATGGTGTTTCGGGTTTCGGACCAAAAAAATATTACATCTCTGGTTATCTTACGGGTCTTTTTTTTCTGTGATGTTGATGGATGACTCACTTGATAAATAGGCGACGGATATCACGGAACGAAGATATGAATGTTGAATCAATTCAATTCAAGGCCTCCCAGCAGTTGGGTATCAAAATCAGAATCTATAAACTCCTCAACTCCCGCAACGCAATGCAACTCGACAAGTCAAACACACCCTTTACATGACAACACCAAGCGCAACGGCAACACCAACAACCAACAACCCCAAATTACTCCCCCGTTCCGCAGCACCAGCCTTGTAAACGGGAATATGCCATCCACAGCGCTCCTGTCCATCCCTCGTCCGACACTCATAGTAGGTAGACTGCTTCCACCCCAGACTAGCCAGCGCATCCTCCTGAGTGGGCGCTGCAGTCACGGGCGGGTTGAAAGGCGGCGGGTTTTGTTCGTTGTAATTTGTGTTCTGCCTCGCCGTTACGGCGCAAGCCCGAGCCGCCACCGTCTGTGTAGGAGAAGAAATCGTCTGCGCGGGCTGTTCAGCCGTTGGGATGGCAAAAGTTGTGGTTGTGAGGCACAGAACGGCCAAGAGGGTAAAGATGATGCGTGTATATCGTGACGCCATAGTTGCGACTCTTTTAACAAAAAGGCTTATGCTTCGTAGGTAAATTGTCTGCAATAGTCCAACGTATTGCGTAAAGGCTTGATAGTGATTTTCTCTTCAATTCGTAAAGTCGGCGTGTCGTTATATAGTCGTCAAGTTTCGTCGGAACACCAGCCAGCGAACTTGTGTAATTCAACCAGAACACGGAACAAAGCGCAACAAGGCGTATGAAGAAGAGAATAAAAAGGTAACAAGAAAAATTCCAACAAGGAAAGAAACGAGAGAACAAGAGAAGATTGTTCTGGAGGTTCCCGACAAGACTACACACAATATAACCTTTGAACCCTCTTACCCCCCCTTTGACTCCCCCCATGACGCAAATGAACAACGAATAGCCAACAGCTTGAATCCCCCATGAGCTCATGAGACAAGACAAGAGATCCTTAAAGAAAAAGATGCGGAGCGTGTGGTAACGTGAACTTGAAAAGTTGGGGTTGTCTCGCTGCATCATCCGCCAAGTCTGACAACTCGATTGGCTGACATGGTCTGGCTCGTGATGCAGCTCTTGGTTCCAAAACCCCTCTGAACCCGCACTGAGACAGCCCTAGAGCTAAAAATCGGTTCGTGATGTACCTCACATGAGACGCCTAGTCTTGGACGGATGAATTGAATGGGTTTTCTTGGTCTGGCTGCCTTATGCCTTCTTGTTCATAATGCCCGTTAACCCTGTCCTGACCAAGGACTTGTTCGACACGTCAGGCTTTGCTGACGCCAGGTCCCGTTCTGTCTCGTCATCGTACACATTTCTTGATATACAGGTTATCTACACTTCCTTGTCCCTTCCATTATCCCTAGCCTTTATCTTCCTTGCATAACCGAACCCAAGGCTGTTCCCAAAACCCTTGACCGATTCCCCAGAACCTCCATACTCCCTTCCTTGTTAGAATTTGCGGGTCGTCCTTCTCCGTCCTTTGATCTGGCTATAGGCGCTCGCCGTCACATCCCGAGCCGGTGGCAACGATGTCCGTCCCCGAGCAGGCCGAGTTTGCGAGCCTGTGCTGTTGCTTGCCGATGCAGCTGCTGCAGGGACACTCTTCCCTCGACTTCGCGTCATAAAATTCTTTTGAACCCAGCCGGAACCTTGGGGCATTGAGTTATCTTGATAAGTACCATCCACGCTGTCATCGGCGTAGTGTTCGACAAACTGCACAGAGGGCGGACTGGAGCTCAGTTCGATAACCTGGCTGCCTTCCGGGATCACAAATGGTGACTCTCGCTTGACTTTCTGTGATGTTGGTGGTGTTGCAGGACGTTCAGTCTTGACCGGCGCCTCAACCTTGACCGGCTGAAGCGACGACGAATTCTTTGAGGGTTCCGGTTGTGTTGCGTTCGGGAACAAGCTGCGAAGGGACTTGTTACGATCTGGTGACCGATCAGAGTCGTCCTCGCCCTCATCGAGCTTCCGCATCGCCTCTTCATACTCCAAGTCCCCCTTGCCAGGCTTCAACGATTGTAGCACTGACTGTTGTGTCCATCTCGCCGGGCTTTGTGTCTGTCTTGACGTGGCAGCTGTATGGAAGATCTCTTCTAATGAAGGAAACGGGCTGCTGCTTCTCAAAGATGGGCGTGGGCTGGGCGACTTTTTGTGAGGTCGCTGTATCGTTTCGGCAACTGCTGAGTCTTCAACACACTCCTCTAGGAGATCTTCATGCCCGTTAATCGAAGGCGGCTGTCGTCCACTGCGGATGCTACCAACGGACGAAGGTACCGCCAAAGTTCGGTGATCAATGGGTCCCATGTTCTTTAAAGGAAGTGGTGGAAGTTCTGGAGATGCTATGCTATCCGGAATGATAGCATCCAACTCGGTCCCTTCAACACCAGCACTCGACTCCATGTCGACATCTGCAACATCTTCTGTATCCCCTATCTCATCAACCTCCTTCTCCATCTCCCCTGCTGTAGCACCCTCTGCATCGTGGGACAGAGTGTGCTCCTCGCGTGCTATGGCCGCGTGTAACGTTTCCTGCAACTGTCGTGAAGGGCTGTTAACCATGTCGCTCGACGTGTCGGCATTTCGGACCAGGCTGCTGATTGGTGTGTCGTCTCCGGACGTCGTTAGCTCGAGCCGCGGAGGCGCCTGGCCAGAAGGGATCGAGGTTGAATTGTTGCTCTCAGTAGCTTTGGCTGCTGCTGCCCGTTCCCTTAGATCGGCCTCCACCTCGGTTCTCACTTCCTGTGTACCTAACTCCTCAGTTTTAGTTCCATCGTGATCTTGTCTCTCGCTAACCTTGTTGTCCTCCGCCGAATCCCCGTTTTGTGCATGTTGCTGCTTTTCGGTTGTGAGTTCTGGGCCGTTGGTCGATGTCTCCAACATGCTGGGCGATGGCGCCTGCTGGACCATTCTTGGGTCACTCATTTCTGCCCAGGAAATCTCCCTCCGTCCATCATCCTCCTCGTCTTCGTCTTCATCCAGGTCTGGTGCTTCAAACTTGGCATACACCCGCTTGCCTGTGTGCTGGTCATATTCTTTGTCATTCCGTTCACGGTCCCTTTTTGCTAGTAGGACGTGAAGGGTGTTGTCCGCATCAACGGAAAGAACCATTCCTGTCACGGGCAAGATTTCGGGCTGCCAGTTGGTTGCCTTCGATAGAAGCAACTGCTTCCATGTCATGACCATACCAGGCTTGACCTCGGAAAAGTCGAGGCTGGGAAGAGAAGAGATGTCCGATGGCAACGAGGGGAGATCATCCATGTCCGTAAACTGGCTGCTTTCCAGGTTGCTTTTGGCTGGTACGTCATCATAGTTCAGCACCACGTCCGCATCGGCACTCTCCTGTCTGGCGTCGAAGTGGCTGTCGAGATATTCATCCTCGTCGTAGCTACTTTCCTTCGACTTTCCCTTCTTGGACTTCTTCTTCTTCTTCTTTTTCTTCTGCTGGCTGTCATCATTCCACTCTGCTTCATCGCCATACGCCTGTTCATTCTCGTCGTAGTAGCTCTCATCGTAGAAGTTCTGTGAGGCTCTCTTCCGCTTCCTCATGGATCCGTACTGCTGTTGAGGATCCCATCGCTGCACGAACGGGAATGGTGGTTCGCTCAACACCATGCCCTCATGGCAGCATTCAACAGCGCGATACGAGATCTTCTCTCGCCACGCGTCGGGATCTTCATCTGGCTGTTCCAGTTCAGCAACAGCGTCGTTCTTTGCTGCCTCGTTGCTCTGAACCCGAGGGTTCTCCAAAGGCTTCACATCCTTCATGAGATTCTTTCGAAGCTTGTCTTCCTCAGCCTTCGACTTGGGGTTCTTCAGTCCAAGGGCACCAAGCAAGAGTCTTCGTCCGGCGCCCATGTCGACCTTAAGGCGGCGTGAGGCCTTGGGCTCTGCGCTTGAAACTGCCTCTTCAGCGGCCGCCACTTCTGGTGCCTCATCCATGGGTGCTGCAGGTTCCGTAGCCTTGGCCTCGTTGGTGGGCTTTTCTGTAGACGGCGCTGGGGCCTGATCTTCATGATCATCACTGACAACGCTGAGAAGCGCTCGCTTTCGTGCCATAAGCTCGGCTTCTTCATTGACGTCCCCGTTGACAGAAGATTGAGACGGTGTATCTGCCAGGGCCTGAAGTGCCTTGAGACGCTTGGTCTCGCGCCTTCTCGCATTCCTCTTCTTTGTCCTTGACAGGCCGGCGCCGGGGGCAGCAGGCTCCTCAGTGGATTGGGAGAGAGCGTCTGCAGCCTTGACCTCGACAATTAGTTGAGGTGCAGAAGGCTTGAGTGACTTGGGTGGTGATCTCTGGGCCTTTGCTTTTGAAGATACCTCTTCAGGTTCTGAATCCGAATCCGAGTCTTCGCTCGAACTAGAATCGCTGCTGCTAGAGCTATCACTGCTGGCGTCGGAGCTATCTGAGTACTTTTCCACAGCAACAGCGATCTTGTCATCGTCACTATCAGAGTCGGAGTCGGAATCGCTGTCACTCGAGTCGCTGTCGTCAGAACTCGATATGTCCATTGCATCGTCATAACGCGAGGAGACTACGATTCTGCGCGGAACCTTTGGAGAGTCATCGGAATCATCAGAGTCGCTGTCGGAGTCTCTGTCAGAATCGCTGTCAGAGCTCAAGTCTGCCTTTGAGCTCTTGCGGGAGCCATCAGAGTCAGAGTCGTCTTTGGAACCATCATCTGAGTCTGATTCCGAATCTGAGTCCGAGTCAGAGCTGCTGGTGTCGCTCGAAGCCTCCTCTTCCACCACGGTGATCAGCGCTGGTCGCGGCTCACTCTCTACCTGACTGACCAGGTTTGGAACAGGGTCCTCTGCAAACTCAACCTCCTCAATCAATGGGCGTGTTGTGTTCACAGGCTCCGGACGTCCAGGAAATTGGAGTTCTGCGGTGCCAAAGTCTCCCAGTCTTGGGCTTTCCTGTCTCAGAATCCCTGGCTGATCATCACTGTCATTGATACCGAGCAGAGCGCGGTCCATAACTTCATCGAAACTGAGTGTTGGCTCATTTGATTTGGAGAGGGCCTGGAATGTTGTCCGCAGATCCTTCTCGTGTCGAAGCAGTTCAGATTGTATCGTAGATATCGAGGTCAAGGGGAACGCTGCTCGCAGTGCTGTGATCTTGTCGAGAAGCGAGAGATCAAAGGTGTAAGCTGGAAGAAGGGCTTGCGGATCTTGACTGTTGTTGTTGCTGGACAGTAGAGTGTGCTGTTCTACCGGTGGTGTTTGCTCAACCAGAGCATTATCCTCTTGCAAAAGTCTCAGCTCCTCAGTCAAGTCCACATCCAGCTCCTCTTCGTCGCTCATCTCGTCAACTTCATCGTCCATGGCAGGCTCCGCCTCGATATCCCGAGCCGGAAAGAAGTCTCCATCGCCATTATCGATCTCGTCCTCTTCAAAGTCGACAGTCGGGTCGATGTCGATGAACCTTGCGCGGACGGTTACACTGCCTGGTTCATCCACAGCATGCGACTCAGAATCCTCAAGTAGAAGCTGTTCTGACTGGTGTTCCTCGTCCGAGTATGAATCATCTTGTTCGTCGAGTTCTTCTTCGTGTGTGATTCGAGCTCGTTTTCGTGGCGGTAAGTCGAGGGATGGTCGATCTCGTGGTTGCCTCAGCCACGGCCTGCCAAAAGCAAGGCCGTCAATAAGGTGCTTGCCATCCTCAGAAATCTGGTGTCGTCCGCTAAGTCTCCGCCGTCGCAAGTCGTCTGTGAGGAGCGATCGAATCCTATTAAACGTAAGCCTTGAATATTGCGCGAGGGTTAGAGGAAAGGCCCTTACAAAACTTGGTCGTCTGCCTTCAAGACCTTGCCAACCTGTTGGAAATGCAGCAGCTCGAAGCTATCTCCCTTGTCGTCGGCAAGCTCTACAGCATAGTCCTCCAGTCCCCAATCTCCGCTCTCGAGCGGAATCACCTCGTTGACCTGCGCGAGGAGCTTGGAAACTGTGAGGTCATCAGATGCGACGCAGGGCCACACGAGCTTGACCTCAGGGACGGCGTGTCGACGAACGACGAGGCGCAAGCGAATCGCCTGGGAGGGCATTGTAGCAGCTTTTGATGGCTAGTGCTACAGTCGCATTATTATTGAGAGAATGAAAAGAAGCGCTATTAAAAACGGTGGGAAGTTGGAAAGGCAGAAATTGAGGTTGCGATTTTGCGAGCTTCAAGTTGACGCGCCTGCCTCAAAGTCCCTGTTGAAATCTAGAAGGTACGTACCTTCGTACCTTCCGCGCCCCACTGCCCTCGAGTCCCGCAGGCGAAGAAGGTAATTGTGAGTTGTGAGAGCATCTTTGGCCATTAAAATGAGAAGCGTGTGTTAATTGACAAACAAATCCCTTGATGTCGGTATTTGAAGCAACAAAGAGGCAAAGCTCAACCTATGCAGACATGCAAGCAAATATTGGAAAAAGGGCCATGCGCGACGCCCATCAAAGCATGGCAATTCAAGTATCACGGAGTACTTGGCCTATCAATATCCGCGTGTGCCAATTTGCAACTTGAGCCTAACTTCGTGATGAAGTTCTTGAGCTTCAAGTCGAATTCTTTTGACAGAGGTTGCCAAGGCCCTGGGCCCAATCGAAGAAGAGCTATGACACTCTCAAGCCAAAGACTTGGGAGATGGCCATGTCACTTACACGCCAAGCACAGGGAATAGACTCTGCCGTTCCATGAGAAGACACAAGATGAGGAATAATGCAGGTCGCCGAGACGGCGTATTGTCTACAGTTACATCACCAAAAGTTACCACCCAGAAACGCCAGCAAGAGTAACCCCATCCAGCGACAGCAAACTCCATTATCATAATCAGCAAGCCTCCCATACGTTCTCTTGTTCTTTCGAGTCTTGACTTGTCTGGTGTTCAAACAAACAACAGCCCGCATATTTTTTACTGGAGTCCTCCCATATCTAGCATGTGACCCATCTTCTCGATCTGTGGTATTGTTAGCTGATGCATCTTGAAAGAAAGAGTCGTGGTCGACTCACCTTCGTCTTGAGATAACCCTCCACCTCCTGGCTCCGGAAACCTCCCCTTCCCCTCCAAGACAGAGGCACCATAGCCACACGCTCCCTGACCACAACCTCCCTGTTAGGGCCCTCGACCGCACGAATCTTGTCGGGGTTGTTGGTAAGCAGTCGGATATCCTTCTGGCCAAGATCCAGTAGCATGGCCGTGGCCAAACCATAGCTTCGAGCATCGGCGGGGTGTCGCAGAAGCAAGTTCGCCTCAACAGTGTCCGAGCCAAGGTCCTGGAGGTTGTACGCCTTGAGCTTTTCGCCAAGACCGATTCCGCGTCCTTCTTGTCGCAGGTAGATGATAATACCGCCGGCCTTGTTCTGGCTCATAAGGCGCGCAGCTTCGTCAAGTTGCTCGCCACAGTCGCATCTCGCTGACCATGCTGTCTCGCCTGTGTAACACTCGGAATGGATTCTGACAAGAGGAACCTGTCGCGATGACGCTTCTCCCGTTGGTGTATTTGATCCACTCATACCACTGGTTTCCCGACCGGGAAACAGTTTACCTGTGTATGCGCCACGCACCATGCGATCCATTTCGGTCTCACCCTCTTGGACAGCATCCAGACTCTTACTTCTGATGTCATTTCCAAACACAATGGCAAGGTGCTCCTTGTTATCGACATTGTTGGTGTAGAGGTGCAAAAACATCTCGGTACCATTGACTGTGGGAATGCGGGCGCGGACGACACACTCGACATGTGGAAGTGTCTCAAGCAGCTTGGGCCGCTTGGAGCCGCATCCTCCCGAGGTAATTGAACTATCAACTGGAACACCACGAGGTCCAGGAGTCGCAGGTGTCGATGTTCCGGGTGTGCTTGGCGGCGTAAAGGCGGGCGACAGCAGAGACGGCGGGGGTGGTTGGCCGATGGGGGTCTCGGGGCCCTCGGCGTGAGCGGAGACGGAGGCGGAGGCGGAAGTGGAGGGAGCGGGGGAGAGGGACAAGTCTTCTATAGACTGCTCAAGGGTTTGACCAACGACTTCATTGTACGACGGGGGCTTTTCGTCGGCATTCTGTGTCTTGGGGGAGTAGAAGGAGGGGAGAGCAGTGCTAGAGCCCGCCGGTGAGCCTGACATGGCATCAGACGGCATGTTTTGGCTTGAGGCGGGCAGGTGGGCGCCGCGATCGGATTTTGGAGGGGTTCGAAGGGTCGTCGAGTCGCAAGTTTCGTCGGGTCAAAGGCGGCGGTCGCTAGATGGGCATTGGTCGGCGTGAGGTGTCGCAAGGCTGCCGAGGGTCAGGACTCAATGGGCAGAGGTACAGAGAAATTGTGCGTCGTAGGTTGTAGGGAAACAATAGTCAATTGAGCGGCCCAAGTTCAGCGATGGCGATAGTTTGCGGAACCATGACTTGATGGCCGGGTGAGTGGGGTTCAAGGGTGCAAGTGCGGTGGTATCATATTAGTCATCCGCGATACCCATCCCGCGCGGTTACTTCCAGGTTTAACAATGCTCGCGTGCCGGACTCCGTAGAGAACCTTGAATTGAGCCGTTGAATCCGACATTTTGGTACATTATCCGTCTGCCTCCTACGTAATTATTCGATACAGTCAGATTTTCTCTCGGCTGACGGCAGTCACCGCTATAACAGCCACTTCGCAACAGTCACGATATACAGTGTTTCCGGCGTGGGGAACGAACCCCGAGCTAGAGAGAACCTCGGCGAATGCGGCCGATGGGGACCGAAGCCGGCACGTGGGGCGCCGTTGACTGAGCGTCTCTGTAAGCATTTCCAATCGTCCAATCGTCTGACTCGATGAGAGGCGGATTTTCTTCGGTGATGGATATTAATTATCAATGATGAGGATGTGTAGGGTAATTTTGAGAGTTGAAGCATTTTTGGAGTTTTATTGCACATTGCAACATGATGAGACTTCTTCTTTGTCATGATCGTAAAGCGAGGACAGACTAACATTGAGAGACCATTTGAGCTTAACATACGACTAGAGTTGTCCCTGTCAAGTTGGGTGGTCCGTGTTGCGTGGGAGGTTTTGAAGACACACGATATATTCGACTTGCCTCTTTGGGCCATTTTGACGATACAATTGAAGGCTTACACCGCACACGAAAGGGACAACGCTACAGCTCATATCTGACTAAAAGGCATGTGATAGCCTGATGAGGAGAGGAAAGCAAGGGATTGCGACACAGTGATTGATCGTTAGACATGATGAAGCTGGACGGCGTCATGAATACCCAATAAAAACCATACAACTCGGACATGAGCCTCGACAGCATAAGAAGCTTAAAGTCATCACATCGTTCCTTGCCAAGACGAGAATTCCCTTCTCATAGGATCAAAAAGTATCGAGTATGACCCGTAAGGAACACAGCTCTCAACACAGCCTTGACATGAAACTCATCACTGCACAACATCGCACCACATCGCCCTCGTCCGTTCAAAAGCCCATCTCCGTTTCACGAACCATCAAGACGGTCATGACCACCGTTTAAACCTTCTCCCCATCACCTCACCTCGAAACCGACACCGAACCACCTGACCGCTACGTTACACCTCCCAACCCCAGCGGCGTCCCGTCCCAAGAGAAGGGATGAGCCACCCCCAGCCCTGTTTGACGCAGGTACAGCACATCTAGCCCCTGGACGACATTTAGACGCCGCGTCGAAGCGCCTGCGGCGTTTTTTGCTCACCCCGTCTCATCTTGATTGTCCCGTCATCCTTCCCAGCCCGGCCGCCAGATCGCACGGGAAAAATAGCATGGGTTCAGGTTCCTCCCGGGATTCTACCCCAACCTTGCCGAACCGAAGTCTGTTTCACATCTTTGTCGGACAAACTCTGAGCGAAAAACCCTAGATCTAGGAAAACTGCGTGGTCTGTTCTCGTTGGTTAACCGTGCCATCTTTTGTCCATCAGGCTCTCTTTGTGTGTTTGAAGTTGGGGCAAGTCTAGCCAGCACATCTCATCACAAGATCAGATTTCCACAAGGGCAAGCGCTGATCATGCATGGACAACAAAGCAACTGGCAAAAAAAGGTTTGGCCAAGGCAGAAAACAAAGCATCTTTTAATTAAACGTTTCGTTTCAAATTCCCTCGTGGCCGATTCTCAACTGCACATGAATCCTTGGTCCTGCAGGTTTCTATTGGCCAGCCACCCCCTTAAGCGCAAACGTTGGGCTAAAAAAGAGTTTGGCAAGGACCAAGCTCTTGGGAGAACGACAGGTGAAACTCCCAGGCTGACCGCTCTCGTGTGATTCGTGAAAAAAGTCGAAAGGGCCTCAAGAGGGGGAAGCGTCAAAAAGCAAAGGGCTGAGGAGAATGGCAGGGATGTAAGGGGGGAGGGCTGAGAACAGGGCACCAGGGGCAGACTTGAGAGCCTGCTTACATCAAGCCGCTAAGAAAAACGACAGACGACATATCACGCATGAGTGACGTTTTAAGCATAGAGTGAAAGTGCATGTGAAGTAATGTGAATGGTATTGACCTTGTTTCCATCAAAGTATGTACATGAAGCGAATGAAATGGCAAAAACAAAGTCTTCTTTTTTCCTGTATCCTGTATCCTTCCCAAGTTTTCATATCGGTCGTAGCGAGTGGCATACATCCTGGTTTTCACCAGGGTGGCGGGTTTCTTCTATTGTGATCATCATTCAATGAGACCAAAATGTTCAATCCTGTCTTGTCTCTTTACAGAGCGGTGACCTTCTTGCCAGTGCCGTAGAGGATGTTCTCGACCTTGAGGTTGGTCTCCTTGACGGAGCCGAGACCGCTGGGGCACTGGGGCTGGTTGCTGACGGCCAGGTTGAGGTGGCACTTCTCATCGACACCGTGCTTGCAAACGGGGTCGTTGATGTTGTAGAGGGCGTAGTTCTGGGCGACCCAGCTCTTGGGCTCGCTGAGGCAGGAGGCGACGTAGTTCATGCTGTTGGCGGCGGCGAGGGGCAGCTTTCCGTCGTCCATGAGGTCCTTGCACTTGGAAGCATCGACATACTCGTAGTTCATGGCAATGCCACCGCCCATCTGAGGGTCCGCGGTGGCAGACTTGCCGAAGCCGAGGTAGTTCCAGGCATCGTAGGAGATGTCGTGGGCACCACCGGAGGAGTCGATCTTGAGGAGGTAGACGGAGCGTCCCTCGTTGGAGACCTTGACGCAGATGTTGTTGCAGTCGACGCTACCGGGCCAGTAGGCAACACGGTTGGTGTTGATCTTGCATCCCAGGACACCAATGCTGCTGGAGTACTGGTCGTGGGGAGTGACGCTGGCAGAGCCAGAAGAGCCACGGGGAGCAATGGGGCTGGCAGAGACCAGAGTAGCCGAGGCGGCGGCGAGGACGGCGGTGAACTTGGCAAACATTTTGGTTGTTTGTTTTTGGTGTTTTGTAAAAAGTCTTGTGAAAAAGCTTTTGTACTAGTTGAATGGTATAGTTGGAGACTGGCTCGACTTGCTTTTCTCAACGCACGGCGGAGAGAATAAAGGAATGGACAAGTGAGTTGTTGTGCAAAAGGACTGATCTCAGATCAAGGTCTGTTTTTGGCGACGGCCAGCCGAGGGAGTGACGAAGAAGATTGGAAAGGAAGGAATATCACGAGAGAATGTGTTGTGGTGATGGTCTAGAAGAAAGGGAGTGTATCTGGGGTGGAGGTGTTGGACCTTATATACATGAGATGGACTCTGGGGGTGTGGGTGAGCAGCCCACGGTCCATGGAGGAGGTTTGCGAGGGCGGAGACAAAGAACCTACGCACAGCTCACACGCATCGAGGCGAAACAGATTCCCAATGCCGACCTGGACGACGCCGAGAGAGTGACCGCTCCACGGGTGGAACTGCCAGGTTGAGCAGGGCAGATTCTCGAACCCCAGAGTCAGGCTCCAGAGTCAGGGAGGGCGGCTCCATGATTCGAGATGCCGACCCCCGGTAGCATGTCACTAGTCAAAGGGGGCAGTGACGGTTTGTTCGATTGGCCGTGGAAGCCATGGAAACGTGAGGGCAGACTCGTGGGAAGAGGAGGCGACGTGGACCCGCTCGGCACGTTGCCGATAGGGATGGGACGGTACAGCAGCTTCGGATGAAAATCCTCATAGCCTGATGGAGTCATGAAAGGCTTCTGATGGTGTGCAAGGCCCAAGGGCAGCCAGTGACAGTCAACTCTGCCTGTCTCTGGCATCCTCCGTCTTGCTGGCTGCCGGGAGGGCTTCCCACCCACGCGCCGACCGTCCCCTAGCAGAGGAAAATGGCTCACTCGCTAGGCCTGGATCTGACTAGGTCAGTCCGGGCTGCCATCCCTCTTTGCCAGGCACGGTGCGTTAGTCAGGGCCCGGCACGGCGGCAGACGCACGCACTCAAAAGGCCTGGAGCGCCACTGGACAGGGTTGGGGTGATGGGGAGGTGCAGTGAGAAGGCCTCTGACTGGGCGGTTGGGCCATCTTGTGCCTGGCGATGCCACGCTGTACCTGATTCCCGTCAACCTCCCTGTCCTGTGCCTGGCAATCCCGGCCCTTCTGTGTGGCCTCCATGTTTCTGAAGCACCTGGGGAGCCGCCAGGGGAAACAGCAAACAGATTTTACCCCTGCAGGAGCTGCTTCTTAATCGCTGGTGGTTGAATCGATCGGTCGATTCAAGTTGCAGAGTGTGGTGGGTTGACGTTGTATTCGTGGACTCCGTTTTCCCAAGGGCAAACGCCAGTAGTCAGAGACGGACGAGGAAACGGACGAGGGAAAAAAAACTCTTCTCTCTGCGGACCCGCGACAAGTCGGCGCGACCAACAAGCGCGTCCTGGGATCGTGGAGTCGTCTTTTCTTACTGCCTGGCATCGGCATGGATGGTTGCCTGACAGCCTGCTGGAGGAATCTGACACTGTATGCGAGCTGAAGCGTCAGCACCCTCTGGAATCGGAGGTCGCACTGATGGCTAGTGATGATGCCTCAGGCATGGGAAGAGAATGCAGTGGAACGGTGGATCAGTGGAAACGGCCTAACTAGACGGAGATGGGCGAAAAACAGCGAGGAATTGGAGACGGTCGGCTGCGCAACGGCACTTGGCTGACAAGAAACAGGGCACGGAACGAAGAAACAGCGTTGGCGTTGCCAAGCAAGCCGGACACCGAACGAGGCGGATTTTGTTGAGCTGGCTGAACCTCACGATCCATGCCATGGGCGGGCGTGGACGCGGGAAGCCGGATAAGCTTGTTTCGATTTGCGGAGGCTGGATCTGTCTCATCTCACAATCAAGCCATGGTAAAGGACTGGGCATCTATTGACGGGAACCTACTGAAAGTGCACCTCAGTCAATAGATGGTGGGATTCACACAAACACGCCTCGCAACCCGCCACGTAGCCAGCAGCAGGCTGTCTCATCTTCCCGCCCAGCTGACGCTTTTACCTGTATGTAAGTCTCGGCACCTCATCACCTCGCAAAAAGAAGTGAAAGGCGGCTTTGTCAAACCGCCGTCTCTGACCATGTTAGTTGCTGCAACCCTGCCTTGCCCAATTGGTCCACACGGTCAGCCAAGGCGTTATCCCGTCTTCCGCGCTGCTGCTGAGTCGGTGAGATATTTCCTTCTTTCCTCTTTTCCCTCTCTCCGTCTCATACTGTGCGCATTTTTTGCTTCTTGGCCTTCTGAGGCAGTGCCCTGTGGGTTTTGGTTGAAGGGCAACGGCCTCAGGATCAAGGTTTGCAAAACGATTTAGTGGATTTTGGAGGTCCTCGGGGCCTTGCTCGCTTCTACTACCCTACAATGCCCACTCAAAGGTCTTGTTCTCCTCTCAACCAACCCACTCACACTCTGTCTTGACGTGCCCACACACATGGAGATCGGAGTAGAGTTCCCAGCCTCCAGGTCCATCCACTGTGTGTCCGTGCCTTGTCAGAACAGCGGAAAGAAGGGAAGAAAACTCTTCCCGCTGATCCTTATTGGATCTCGGAGTCGGGGGTCGGGGCTTTTTAGCGGTGGCTGAACCTTGGCGAGCGGATCCCCTGAGGTTCTTTCAAGCCTTTCAAGGCGGAAGAGGCACCGCCATTGACAGCCAACAATCACCACATGGCGGCGGCGGTTTTTTCTTTGAAGCTTCTTTCGTGGATCAAGAAGAAAGCCTCTGATTCAAAGCCTGTGGAAGTCGGCTTTATTGACCAGAATAGACGTGAAACCGCCCCAAACTGGCGCATTCACCACATGGCTGGCAACCCTCCATCAGGCGTTGAACAATGACATGGCCTTCAGAAAACAAACGGTTTTGCCTCCCTTCCCGGTGTATTCCAGAAGAACTCTGAGTTCTCTATCTAAATAGAGTTTCAAACGCTCTCCGTTCTCCCACTTTCCGGGACTTTTTGCCGGTGAAGCGCGCCTGTTCACATTCATTCCGTTGCGCTGCACCTCGACCGACCGTCACAGACGCCGTCACACGCGCCGTCTAATACGCCATCGAGAACAACGCCATGCTTTGGTTCTTCGTTACGGTCCTGCAGGAAACTTGACTACTATGCAGGCTCCACATGACCTTGCCTTCGTTCGGTCTTGATGGCTTCGAGTCAGTTGCCTTTTCGCCTACGATATTCGCTCGGAACTGACTACTACACTCGGTTGATAATGCTCTTGCGATGTGGATTGTGTGTCCACAGCCCCGATGGGCGGAGTTGAGATTCGTTCACCTTCCATGTTGGGCTTCTGGCAGTAGTTGATGGTCTTGGGAACTCTGTCTTGGATCCACGGACATTCCTCCTTCATGCAAGTCGGACGACTCATGTCAGTATGGCTTCTCCGAAGGCTCAGACGGTTCATTTTCCGTTCCGCACAAGCGACGGAATTCTCTCGCAGTTCTCCGAGTTTTCGTTCATGTCCGCTGCCCGTCGTCGTTCACCCGATGTTGAGTTCCCCAACACAATGTCATCTGTCAAACTCGGCCACCAGTATGCCCTACAGATCATCACCAAGATCTACACTCGCCCTAAGTCTTCATTTCTGGGGTAATAAGGCATCCGGTTCACGATCGTCTCAATTGATCAGTGATCCGGTGTTTGAAGGGACGGTCCGAAGCTCCAAGGGAACTCATGGATATCGACTCCACTGGTAACAATCCGGGGAAACAGGATCGCCTGTGCTTGATAGACGAAATGACCGTCTTTGTTTCGATATGGGCCTCGTGTTTTGGATCGTAGACTGGGACAAGACTCTGGTCAACATCGTCAGTCTCTGTAGTCCGGTGCTAGAACAAGGAGACTCCGTGATCGGCTCTAGAATGTTGACCGTAGTTCTAAGCCCATTCTCGTAGACACTTTCGATGTCTTTAGACGACTGTCATTCGTACAGTTTCCTACCCCAACTTCATCGTTGAGTCAGGTCATTGGAGAGAGGACCCCCGACACTGAGCTGTTGCTCCGTGATCATGCTATTGTGTGATGGGTTATGATGGGTGGTTATCCCCTTGTAGGCAGGTATGAAGTTTTGTGGTGTCCTGTCAAGTTTGTTCTTCATGTCAGGTGTAAATAGGCTCGGGAATTCCGTATATAGTGTATTGGTGTGAAGACTTGCGAGAGAGTTTGGCGGAAGACAAGTGAGGAAGTTGGCAGCAGGTTGCTATAATGACGCGGAATGAACTCATGGAGGGAAGCAAGAGGGATCAATGGGCCGATTGAAGACTGTGAGAGGTATTCATTTGTCAAAGAGCTTTAAGAATATTGTCTATTGGTGTTATTTGCTCTGCATACTCTCATGCACTGAATTTATATCTCATGGGTATAGGGTAGGTCGCTTCAACTTCACCTCGGTGAGGCCCCACTACCCGGCTCGGTGATCTCGGTGAACCTTTGCCCGGCGATAATCGATAAGGAAACGGGACTAAAAAATTTCCCACTGGAACTGTCTGCAACACCTTACGACTCCCAGCACCACGACAACCACCGACGCAATGGCGCCAATCGACCACGCAGCCGCCAAGGCTGAGAAGAAGTCCAAGAAGGAAAAGAAGCGCGCGCGAGAGGAAGACGCACCCGTCGACACTGAACGAAAGCACAAAAAGTCCAAGAGCGTCGCCCCAGCAGATCTTCCTGCGCCGGAGGTTGTCAATGGTGACCTGAAGGCCGAGAAGAAGAAGAAGAAGAGCAAGAAGGATAAGCACGCTGAGGAGGCTGTTGTGCCAGCTGAAAGCGAGTCTGCTGCCGTGGAAGAGCCCAAGTCGGAAAAGAAGCACAAGAAGAAGAAGCATCATGACGATGAGGTCGCGGCTCCTGTCGAGGAGGCAGACACTTCTGTCGTAGCTGACGGAGAGAAGAAGAAGAAGCATAAGAAGAAGCACAAGAAGGGCCAGCCCGAACCCGAACCCGAGGCTGAACCTGAGGCTGAACCAGAAAAGGATGCCTCTCCCGATCCTGATGCTATGGACGTCGACTTTGCGATCCCCGCCAGACCCAAATCCAAGCCCAACATCCACCAGCCTCCCGACATCCCCGCGAACCCTCAATTCCCCTTCTTCACCCAGACCGTGTCTCTATACGAGCCTCTCTACCCAATTGGCTGGGCGCAGCCCGTGACGAACTGCCAGTACCAGCACCTACGGCACCTCCAGAACAAGTACGTGCCCTCGCTGCGCGGTGTGCTCCTGGACTACAAGAATGTCGCCTTTGGTGAGAAGCCTGGCAGGAATGGCGCGGCCATGGATGACGAGACTCCGACAACCGTCATGTCCAAGGACGAGGCTGCTGTTGGTTTCGGTTGGATCACTGCCGATGTCGACCTCTTTGTGCCTAGCCGCGGTGCCTGGATGGAGGGTAGTGTTAACCTGCAGACCGAGGGACATATTGGTGTCGTTTGCTTCGGCAAGTTCAACGCGTCGATCGAGGCCCGTCGTCTCCCGCCCGACTGGAAGTGGGTGCCTAACGAGTCCCCTGAGGCTCAGGGCTTTGAGGAGACGGCTTCGGTTATCACCGCCGACGACCATGGCGTTGTTCGTCAGATCCACAGCACCGGTTTCTGGGCTGACGGCAGCGGCGAGAAGATCAAGGGCAAGATCCGCTTCCGGATACGCAACTTTGACGTCGGCACCAGCGGCGAGACTAGCTATCTCAGTCTTGAGGGCACCATGCTGGATAAGCAGGGTGAAAAGGCCGTCGTGGCCGAGGAGGCCGAGACTGCCAAGATGCGCAAGGGCAAGAAGGGCGGTCAGAGGCGACAGAGGAGACGCGCGCCCGAGTTCAGCATGACGCGCTTCGCCGTGGACGAGGAAGAGCAGACGCAGGACAACGAGGAGGAGAAGAGAGAGGTGCTGGCGGTGAGCGAGGATTAAAAGCATGGGATGGGACTAAGAAGGAGCCAGGAGTTGTGATACCTTGCTTTAATGATGATCTCTGTTACCATAGCCTTGAAGGCGTTTCCTATCGCTGAAATATGACCCATAAACAAAGAAAACTATTCGTATAGACAAGATGATATTCCCGAAACGCCAAAAATGTCCCTCAAAAAAGGGTATATCAAGCCGCCGCCTTCACCATGGGCTCCCACGGCCGTGCCAGATTCCAAAGGTATACCTCCCCAACGGGCTCCTCGCCCAACGCCTTGACAAAGATGTGTTGAAACAGCGGTACGTTCGAGAACAGCGGCGCAACCGGTGAGATGGATCCCCTGTCCCATCCTGCTGAGAGTCCCTCGGTCCATGCTGGCTGCTGTAGGAACTCGTCCACCTTTTCGTGGTACGCGTCCCAGTCGTCTGAGTGGTCGTTTACGACGATCTGGAACCTCACGCCTTGAATGTCCACTGTGATGCGCTGCACTGTGCTCGGGAATCCGTGTTGAGAGCCTGAGCTCAGGATCCATGTGTAGTCTGTTTGATCGCCGTTGCTCTCCCAGTCATACCAGACCTGCGTTCCTCTCTCGGAAAAGTCATTGAGCACAAGTCTTCCCTCGGCGTCAAAGCTCAGCTCGCAGTGTCGCGCATCAATACCCTCCATCGGTGGGAGAACAACATCGCAGGATGCTGGATCTGTACCGAGGACGAAAGAACCAGGACGCTTGGGGGCCGCGTCGAATGTGAGTTGGATGGCGCGTGGAGGACGGCTGGCGAGGAGGTTTGGGAGACGCGAGGTGAGGGTTTGAGATGAAGTTGTGAGGACGATGCGGGAGATGTTGGAGGGAAGGTGAGTTGCCTTGTCGGCGGTGGAATTACGCGCCGTCGGGACCAGCCAGGCGATGATGTTGGACATGATGGATGTGTTGAGTTGAGTAAAGAGTGTTGTATTGGTGTTGTGTGCTGTGTTGAGAGATTGTAGTATGAGTGAGAGGCACAAGTTGACGATTTGTTCAAACGAAAGAACCAAAGTGAATGCAAGCTGATGATGATGTGAATGAATAGTTGAAAAAACACACGCTGAAGAAGATGTTCTGATTTCTAGTCCAGTGTCGTTGTGTGTCTTTATATCTCAGATCAACAACTTCAACAACCTGCGTTGCGCCGACAACCACTGGCCCTCAGCCACCCGCGTCGAGCGTGTCGCGAAAGCACATGACGACCAACGAGAAAACCCCCCTAGAACAAAGAAGCACCCGTTTCACCGCGTCAATCCCAATTATGGCTGTGGTTATAGTCTTGGGCGCGGTGGTGTTTGATGTTGGGAGCACGAGAGCCAATCATTTTTGGTAGTCTTTGAAACGAACAGGGGAAGCCACCAACGAGAGCAAAGGAGTATACAAAAAGGGAATTGAAGTGATTCATGTTGCAGTTTTTGTTCATTTTGTGTGGGAGGATTTGATGTGGCTTGTCGGGAGAGGCGGTCTTGGGGGTTCATGTTGTGTGGCGAACGTAGACAAGATGTTTTGGACCCTGGATTTGAACTGACTGAGTCATAACCTTGTTTGAGAGGTGAGATATGCTTAACCTGTAGAGTTGCAGTGATGCTTATTCTGATAGTCTGTATTGGTGTCTGTATTGGTGTCTGTAGGTGATTGACATAGAGGCGATGTTTCAACGCTGGTTCACCTGTTGTTCATCGACAACTACCCATAGACAGCAGCAGCGATATTGTTTCAAGAACTAGCATTCACCGTTTCAAATAAGGCATTCTTATTCTTATGGCCACGAGAAGTGTTGAGTACAGATGGGCCTATAGGCATCCGGACACTCTTGAGACTGTGACCAGCGGCTATCACCTCTATCTGCGACGAGATCGGATCTGAGCAGAACCGCATTAAACCCCTGATTCAGTTTTATATCCCCTGCTCGAGAACCAATAGAATCCTGACGTGCTTGACGGACACGTTGGTTCCTGCGTTAGGCTCCGAGACTTGTCATCCGATTGAGCTACCTGGGTAGGATAGTCATTGCTATGGAGGATGCACCCGCCATACTCACCGGAGAGAAGTCACCAGTCTTTGGGGATCGATTTTAGCCCGGACGAGATGAATCTCGAATGTGCCATCTTCCTCTTTTGTCGATGCTGGGCGCGGCTAAGAGTGAGTTGGAATTGGAGGCCATTCGCCACTGTCATAGTGCGCAGAGCAAGCAGTGTTATAGTTCTGGATTGCGATGCCCCCAACTTCAAGGCCGAGGCCAAATTAGTTGTCTCTGTACCAGAGGCTCAACTTTATATGTCTGGACACTTTCTTTCATTATTGACTTGACATTATCCAGACGACCGTGATCAAGTCAAGCACATCATCATGGCACGCAAGCACCTACTACATAGTACCCGCTTGCCGAAGCAATTCACATCAGTTAAACACAGAGTAGCACAAAACATGTGTCATGTTAGCACAACCTTTGTATCTAGTGACACAATCCTCTCGATAATATCATCTAAAAACGAAGCCATGCATTTCTCGCCTTCGGGATTGTGGGGGTGTTTGCAAGACCCATGCAACACCGCTGTTAGTGATAGAGTGGCACATCCGCAGATAACGCTAACATTGACGCAATCGGGAGCCCTGGATTGCGCGACATCAAAAGCCTCATGGGAATTTGCGATGAGCCGAGACGTTTCTTTAAAGATCAGCTTCTGAAGATTTGCTTAGAGTGAAGATTTGTTTTATTGAAAGCGTTCTTTGGTGCTTGAACGAGGTAAAGAACGTTCGAGGTGATTGAGTTGCTGCAGCTGGCGACTCAGCCGCAGGTATCCGGTTCAACAACAAAAGCAACAATACCAATAGCAACACCGACAAACAACCGCAACACCGCCCAATATGCGGTACTCAACCTGGCTAAAGCCAACCTATCTAGCCAGCACACTCCTCTTCTCAGAAACAGCATTCGCTCAGCAAGACCAAATAGTCCTCGACAACGCACCCAAAAAGAACATTGTCTTCATCCTCACCGATGACCAAGATGCGGTCCTCGACTCGGTGGCTTACATGCCGCGTTTGAATAAGCACGTCATAGACAAGGGAACCTCGTTTGTCAACCACTTTACGACTACAGCTATTTGTTGTCCCTCGCGTGTTTCGCTGTGGACGGGGAAGCAGCCGCATAACACCAATGTCACAGACGTGAGCCCACCCTATGGTAAGTCGCCACTAAACTCGTGCCAATTGAAAGTATAGGGTTATTGACTTTGTAGGCGGGTTCCCCAAGTTTGTTTCTCAAGGCCTCAATGAAAACTACCTCCCCATCTGGCTACAAGAAGCAGGATACAACACATATTACACTGGAAAGCTATTCAACGCACACACAATCAACAACTACAACTCGCCCTTTCCCGCTGGATGGACGGGAACAAACTTTCTGCTCGATCCAGGAACGTACTCGTACCTGAATCCCATCTACCAGCGTAACGATGAGCCTCCAGTACAACACCATGGAACTCACACTTTGGATCTGATTTCCAAGTATGCACACGACTTGCTTGACGAGGCGATTAGTTCAGACAAGCCCTTCTTTGTTGCCATTGCCCCTGTTGCGCCGCATTCGAATATTGATGTCAACCGGGGTAGTGGCCCTCCTACCATGACCATCCCGATCCCGGCCGAGAGACACTCCCACCTTTTTGAAGGAGTCAAGATCCCTCGAACGGCAAACTTTAACCCCGACTCAGTATGTAACCTCTCATCTTCAGGGTAAGAAAACCTGCTCATATTTCCTAGCCTAGCGGTGTGAGCTGGATCCGCCAGCTGTCCCAGCTCAACGAGACGGCCGTGTCGTACTTAGACGACTACTACCGCGCTCGCCTCCAGGTTCTACAGGGAGTCGACGAGATCGTGGAGCAGGTAATCCACCAGCTGGACTCAGCCGGGCTCCTCGACGACACGTACGTGGTCTACAGCTCCGACAACGGGTTCCACCTTGGCCAGCACAGGCTGCCTCCCGGCAAGGAGTGCGGTTTCGACGAGGACATTCGCGTGCCCCTTTTCATCCGGGGCCCAGGCGTTTCCGCTGGCGCCGTGGAGACGGCCGTGACGACTCACATCGACCTCGCCCCGACGCTGCTCAAGCTCGCTGGTGCGCGTCTCCGCAGTGACTTTGACGGGACGCCCATCCCGGTGCTGCCCGGCCCGGGAACCAGGCGCCACGAGCATGTTGCTGTAGAGTATTGGGGGATAGCTCTCGCTGAGGGAGAGATCGGCGGTTTTGGTATGCTTGGCTTCTCCCCCCTTTTCTCCGTCGTTTCCGGTCGCTGACGAGATCATCACAGATGGGAAGGGACAGATTCTCATGCCTAATAATACGTACAAGGGGGTTAGGATAGCACATGAGGACTATGATCTATACTACTCGGCTTGGTGCAGCAATGAGCACGAGCTCTACGATCTCAAGGTATGTCTGGCGGGGAAGTCTCGTTTGGGTTTAAAGTTGAGGCTGATAATTCCACAGACGGATCCAGGACAACTGTACAACCTCTTCCCTGAGGATGATGACGTGACGGCCGATGTGTCACTCCTAGGAAAGAGTACACGTCAGGTCATAGACCGACTTGACGCCTTGATGCTGGTTCTCAAGTCGTGCAAAGGAGAGTCGTGTATCGAGCCCTGGAAGATCCTCCATCCAGATGGCGACGTAGCAAGCTTGAAGGACGCCCTGGATGACAAGTTTGACGAGTTTTACGAGCAGCAGGTCAAAGTCAGCTTCGACCGCTGCGAGGACGGGTATCTGATCGATGCCGAGGGACCACAAGTCGGTTACCAGTACCGAGACGGCCTCGAGTGGCATCACTGGACCTGATACCGTCTCGTGTTTTAGAGAAGGGCGTTACTTTTCTATAAATCATCAGTTTATACAATAGTTGGCGATGTGATCGTGATGTATGCTGCTGAATGAATCAGGCAAAACGGGGTCATGAATAATCTTGCCCCTTGAATCTCCAAATCCCACGAGTGACGAGCAAGTGTCCTCACAGATCGTGACTCGGCCTTTGTCAGCCCAAGTATACACGAGCTGGGTCCATAAGAGAGTTTGTCGCCCAACAGTGGAGTCCTCTCCCTAGGAACATGGGTTTGCTGACAAGAGGTAACATGTTGAGAAAAAAACCACGCCAGGTCCGCCCACGACTTTTCGTAACATCATGTTGGGTCATGTGAAATTTCCCACGTGGGTGTAGAGTCCCGTCTATTCGACGATATGAGGTCTCTCATTCCAAACCTGCAAGGAAGCCGGGAGCACGTCATGAAGGCCAGCGGTGACACGGGTGAGAGAAGAGAGTGCCGACAAGGTACTTCATGAAAAAGCTTCTGGAATGGGTCGAGGGCTTGACTGCTTTGAGATTCTTAAGCATATACGATGGGTCTTGAACCTCGTCCAAGCGTCTCAAGATCGGTTCCTGCGATTCGAGTCTGCCTGCCGGTGCCGGTGACCTCTTTTTTCTTCAAAGCACATGAGCAGGTAGTTTTGTTGCCAAGAAGGTCCAAGAAACCCCAAGAGGTTCACAGACAGGAGACACTGACAGTAGTTTTCAAGGCCTTGATACCCCCCCCTGAGTGATCTTCTTGCCTCTCATCTCCTTCAACCCATGCCAGGTCCCGGTTGTCTCTTATTCTCTTAGTGTAAACCAAAGTCTTGGCCGGAGTCGGCGCCCGGTCCGGATCCACCGCCGTGTGCCGGTATCGACTTGAGATCCAAGTTGAGATCTCAAGGACACGCAACAGAGGAGGAGAGGAATTGAGTTGATCGGAATTACAGGAAGTAATACGGAAGAGGTTTGGGATAGTTATTATCATGAATAGAAGTGATGGAGAGTGTGGTGGTGTTGTAGAGTCGGAGTGGTAATTCGTGGGCTCCCATTGGATAGAAACGCGTTGCTGCCGGAATTACGAGGCATAAACTCGGCAGCTGCCGACCTTGAACCGAGAGAGCATCTCACGACCTCAGCCAATTCAAGACAACCTCACCCATCTCGAAGCGCCCAATTGAACCCGCAACGATGGCCTCCGACGCGATTACTGAGCCGCGGCGTACGTACCGATCCCCAATTGATCCCCTGGGTCAATTTTCGACGACGACCGCTGACCCGATGAGCAGAGGCGACCCGCGAGGAGATGCGCGATGCTAAACTCCCCATTGCCTACCGAGACAGCTGCGCACACCTCTTGATCCCTCTCAACAAGTGCCGAAGGGATACTTGGTATGCCCCCTGGAAGTGCACGGTAAGCTTTTTTTTCCTCTTCCATGACATCCCGCCGAGCCCAAGTCCGTCCGCGGCCACACCGAAACGAGCCCAACGCAACGGTCGATTTTATTTGCCAGGATATATCAGAGAAAGAACATGATGCTCACGCCGAGATTCTTTCCCTTTACCAGGATGAGCGACACAGCTACGAAAAGTGCCAGTACGTCGAGTTCAAGAAGCGAGTCGCCAAGATGGACGAGTTGAGGGAAGCCAAGGGCGGTGCTCGAAGCAACTAGACACGCAATTGTGTGACTTGGGATGTGCAGGATGTGATGTGTGATAAGAACCGGCATGACGGAGGTGACACACCGGCACACACAACACGCACGAGGTCAGTCACCGGGACGTGGGTGGTGGTGGTGGTGCCGGCCGGGATTGTACATATACAAATGAGCCATTGCTTGGAGGAGAACCGGAATAGAAAGACGGCTTTCCACACACACAAAGAGACGGGCAAATGAGAAAGGATGCGGATCCTCCATGGCGTGAACGACCGGGTGTGGAATGGTATCGATGTGCTAATGAGAACTGTGCTGTGGTCTGGGCCGCAGAGCCTCATGAGGCTCATCCGGCGATGCTCGATCTAAGCCGCACGGCAGGTGAGAAGTCAATGGGCCGACTGAGTGAAATGGGCCGGATAATAGTGGACTCGGCAAGGGAGTAAGTGGGACGGGAAAAGGTAAAAGGTGTGAGTATGGCAAGAAATGTTATTGTACAATGTCGCAAGACCGGAGGACCACGCTGCAAATGGGTTTTGACTTGTCATGGTGGCCGACAGCAACCCTTGTCCCGTCGAGACGCCAAACACGCCGGGGCGGAGACAACATGATATTGCGGCGCCAGAGGAGACGAGTAAGAAAAAACTATATAACGTGGCTCATCTGCTGTCGTTTGGGGAGAGAAGAGGAAATGGTGGGCAGTCTCAAGTTGAGCGACACTTGGGAATCCGACATCAACAGTTCCAACTCTTTTGAAAAGGGGTGTTGATCTTCGGTAGTTGATGCCGCAGAGCCTCAACGCCAGACCAGATTGCCTCACCTCGCAGCTTCGGCACTTTTCAGACCCGACCCGACCGAACGATAAGGAAGCCTTGCACACCGATATCGATACCGATAATCAGACACGCGAGCCTCATCTGAGGCTGAAGCGCGGCTGGAAACAAGCGGCACAGCGCCTCGAAAAGTTCTACCAGGGTTGAAGGATGCCCTGTGCTTCCACACCGGTCGTCGTCATTCCCACCCCTTGTTCCGCTCGGGTTCTCCTCCTTGTTTTCATTTCTCACGCCAAGATCTTTACAAAAATGAGAGCCGCGGTTCAATTTTCTTGAAACGCCGTGATCGACACTCCGGAATGTGTCGGCTCAGTTCACAACAAACGCTGTCTACCTTTCCCCCTTACTCTTCTTTCATCACTCACGCATTTGATCAACAGTCCGAATCATGAGCACGGCCAAGACATTGCGTTTACTCACAATGACATGACTCCGGCCTACCCGAGTTTTTCTTTGCCTGCCTGGAAAGACACGCCTTGGGAGGATGACTCTCGTCGGCTACTGGTCCGCATCCCGCCCCAGCCTTACGTACCATTTACACGTCTGCGGCTCCCGGCCCCTTGCTCGCAAGGACAAAGAGCCGCATTCAGGTCGTTCCAGCAAACTTCTATGCATGTCCCGCAGCCGAGCGGGTGGCTTGGCGCCGTCGTGGGCCCTTGTTGGAAAAAAACCATGACTAGCGAGTCGGGCCACACAACGTGATAATTATCAGATGAGATCCACCCCGCCAGGTCACCCAAGTCTCCCCGATCCATCAAGATTGCATGATGCCAACAGCCGGCATTAGCAAACTTTTATTCAACGACGGTTCCACATCTGCCGGTTCAAGAGCCTCGTTCGGCATGCCTTGACCACCAGACCAAGGGGGCATGACGCCCGGCCCGACCAACACAACCTTTGGCCGGTTTGTGGATATGTCTGCCTTGGTCCGTGGCCAACCTCTTGAGACGAGTGCCAAGAAGTTGCCAAGATTCTGCCAAGAGCTCCTCTCGTGCTTTACGGGATCCCCGGTGACCAGTAGTCCTGCTCATGAGGATCTCGAGGAACCACCATGTGGATTCTATAACACAAGCATCACTTCACGGTTGGGTAACAGCAGAGTATGTGGAACCACTATTTGAATTCTCTTATATAATACTTTCTAACCGGCATCCCGGTAGAAATGAGACATGTACATGATGATCAAGGTAGGTAGAACGGCTCGCAGTCACTTTTTTTGTGGTGCTGAGGGGCGCGTAGTATCTTTCACAAGACGGTGAGGCTTTAAACAGAATAATGCTCTAATATTGGCGAGAAAAGGGAAAATATTGTAAGGGGGCATAACAGGGGGGGGGGGGGGGGGAGAAGCCTGCTGCTCAGAAGAGGGCATTGTTGCCACAGTCAAACACGCCAGAGATGGAACTCGAGTCGCTGGCCATGATGTCTGTGAGCTCAGTGATGGACGACCAGAGACCGGCAGCGTTCATGAAGAACGAGATGCCAATCAGGAAGGCGTTCACGCAAAAGAGGCAGATCTGCTTGGGGCTGCTGAACATGCAGTCCCAGTTCATGTGGAACCAGAAGACGGCGCTAAAGCCAAAGGTGAACCACGAGATGGTGGTGGCTGAGGCAATCGACAGGATCGAGTCGAACACGGGGATGGCGTTGGACAGGATGAAGCAGAGAACCCAGAAGATGGTCACGAGGGACATCCAGATAGACCACGAGCGCACATTGTTGGTCGTCATCTCGTGGGTGAGCTTGAAGTGCTTCATGACCTCGACGTAGCAGTACTTGATACCAGTGTGACCGAAAGCCAGACCAGTAGAGAAGACGGCGGGGAGCACGATACCGTAAGCGACCTTGGCGGTGGTGGCAGCGGCCGAGCCCAGAGCAGGTGACACGGTGTATTCACCGGCAAGGCAGTAGATGGCAATGGCAACGATGGTGTAGAAGCCAATCGAGGTGACCTCGAGCCAGCACAGAGCAAAGCCAAAGTCGTTGACGGGGTCAATCATCTCAGCCATGTAGCCAACAAAGTTGATGTTGCCAGAGTAAGCGTAGCAGATCTTGAGGCAAGCGTTGAGACCCTCTCGGAAGGTAGGGTTACCAACCACCTTGAGCTCCTTGTGCCAGGGGATAGGGGCATCCTCGGGGTTCTTGACGCCCAGGGAGATCATGACGATGAGGGCAGCAGCGATAATAGCAACACAGCAAGGATAACCAGACCAGGCGACGAACTTGGCGGTTCGGGGCGCACAGAGGACCCAGCAGCAGAGGCAGCCAATGCCAATGTAGCCGACAGTGCAGATGGAGTGTTCGGAGATGGTGTTGAAAGCAATGGAGAGAGTGACACTGGCAGAAGCGGCAGTCATGATGACCTGGATAAGCAGACCGATACCCGCAGTGATCTCGAGGGGCTTGCCGCCGACAACCCGGGTCATATCAACAACGTTGACGACATGTTGGTGACGAGCATAGAATTGCTTGAGGACATAGGCGGTATACCAGGACAGAAGACCAATTCCAATGATGGCAATGATACCAGGAACAATGCCCATCACCTTGAGGACACCGGGAAGAGACAGGACACCGAGACCGACCTGGTTGGTCAGGAGGGCAAAGGTCGTGTCCCATTTGGTCATGTTGCGGAAGTTCTTGCCGCCTTCGCCACCGCCGAAGCCATTGTCGACGGGGACGTTTCTTTCTGACTTGATGTCGAGCTCATGGCCGCTCTCATGGCCAACCTTTTCCTTGCTGTTGGTCTTGCTCGAGTCGTTGCCCTGATCAGAAGGGTAGATGGCGTTGGTGGCGTCTTGCGTGTAAGCAGTCATGATGGGCTAGTGGTGGTGCCGTGAGGCGTCGTGTATAAAGATGCTCTCTATGTATGACAGATGTGCGAGGTCTATATGTATTCGATTGGTGTGATGTAGTATGTACGGCGCTTGAGAGAGTGTATAGAGCTGATGGAGGAGAGGGAGTGATTCCAGTTGAGGGATGAGAAGGAAGAAGCTGAGAGGAGTGAAGCAGAAAGATGAGGGTAGAGACGGGAGAGAATATATACAATTCGAGCAAGAGTGAGGGCAACAGGGAAGAAGGGACTAAGACTCGGGCAAGATGCTGAGGAGCTCGGCGTTCCGTCGTCAAGCTACCATGATCCTTGGTCCACCGTCCTCTTGCAGCGGCGGCAAACCCGTTGGAGCTACGGGCCCTTCCTCTCCATTGCCCTAATCGGCTGACTAGGTCATTGCTAATGGGGCGGAGGCTTTGCGAAGGCCAATCTCCCCATGGTGGAGCGAGCACAACGGGGAGCGGAGACTGCGGTACTCGAGAGGATATCGGGGCTCCGGGCGGAGGTGTATCGAGGCGAAGGGACGCGTGCTGGGGAGGGTTAGAACGCGGAAAACCCTGGGGCTCCATAAGTTGGAGATGGGGAGGCAAGCTTCCGAGGGACAAGGATGGGAGGGGAGGGGAGGAGAGGAGATGGAGAAGAATCACGTCAGGATCCAATGGGGGAGCCCATTGGGCCAGCGGCGGAAAGGTGAAGGGATCATGACGCCCTTCTCCATGGGGGACCAAGCAGGACAAGCATCAATGGCCCGTGGGGGATGGAACACGCTATTCGCTTCCAGAAGCCGTCATGTTACGTATTGTGAAGCCGTCTTGGACAACTGCTTGGTCCGGTCCGGCCGTCATCCTGGGGCTGCTCGCCCGGGCCGGTTTGGATGAGCGGATCCGAGGATTTTTGTGAGTGATTTGCGTTGTCTGAGTTGTCCATGATGAGGGGATCACCAACATAGTCGAGGGCTTCAAGATATAGCCTGAATTATCAAGACAAGAATCTCCAATTGCTTTCCATGTACAATGACGATGAGGATGGTGATTAGAGTAGAAGGACCAACAGTGAGCGAGGCAAAAGCAAAAGGGAACCACAAAATGCGACATGAACTTCAATGCTTGGCTGTTGACTGGAGCAGGGTTCCATTCCAAGCGCCGCGGCGGCTCTGTCGTTGGAACAAACGCTAGCTCGCTCTGATTCGAGGCTGACGGCGAACCCAGACAGGGAATAGACCGAGGACGGAGAACCGAGGCGTCGGGTGGAGATCTCTTGTTCAAACACGCCCTAGAGTGGAGGCGGGCATGGAGGTTGGTTTGCTCTTGTTCGTCTTCTGTGTTCAACAGCAGACCACTGCGCTACTCCCATGCCGCGGCGCCGGGTAGAAGCGAACATGTGCGTCGACTCGGTCTGCATGGATGAAGGATTGATGAAGGAGAAGAGGCGTGATTCATCAATAAGACGCATGATGGATGAATGGTGGTAATCCTAGATCTGTGCGAGTCGTTGCCGCTGTGAGATCCATCCGTGGTGGGTGTGGGTGGGTGGCAGGGGCGCCTTCCGGTTTGGAGAAGA